AAAAAGAAAAAAATAAGCTAAAAATTCCTTCTGACCTTCTTTTCTAAGTAGTTTTTTTAATATTTTATCAAAAATTCTTATGAGAGTTATACAAAATATTCATACTAAAACATGAGGCTCAGTTCGGACAACCTCTCAGAACAGAAAACCGATTTAAAAAAACGGTCCAGAAACGTGCAAAAAAACATTTAAAAAGAAAGCGTGCGGCAGCGGGTAAACCGTGAGATTTTGCCTCCAGTTGTACGCCGCGCGCGCTCGTTTTTTGGCCATAACTTTTTTCTTAGTGGACCTTTTTTCAAAAACTAAACGGATTATGAAAATGGACAGTCTCCTCTATAGAACAGTGTGAAAAACATGTTTTTTGAATCGTTCTGAAGAAATGGCTTGCGGACCCTAGTTCTAGTAACACAAGTTACAAGAAAATTGAAAAATTCCCAATGCCGAAATCAATTTTCAGCCTCAAAATAAAGAAATTATTTCGAAAATATATGTTTTGACGATGGAAGAAGAACTTATTCAGCTATGAGAATATTGAACTTCTTCGAACTAGACAGAAAAAAATTCGAAAAAAGGGCAGCGTACCTTTGTAGTGAGCGCTTCGAGCATTGCCGCTTCTGTTGGACTCTTCTGACTGAATTGACGTCTTCTTCGTGAAGAGAAGAAGGCCGTCACTTGGCGTCAGAAGACTTTTAACGATACTTCTCCGGACGCTCTCCTTTTTTTGCAGGAGATCTTCAAATCCGGAAGTCTGCGGCTGATCCGGCTGTAGCCGGACAAACTTTAACTGGAAAGGAAAATCAATGAGAACAGTTTGAAAAACTTGAAAACAAAAAAAACGGAATAGACTGTTGCAGACCGTAGCGTCTTATCAAAAAGGAAAACCAGGTACTTGAGACAAGACGGCGACTTTTTTTGAGTGTGAAACAAGCAGTAGAGTAAATAAAAAAGTGGGATAAACACTCAAATGAGTTGAAAAAGTTGTCTAGAACTTTCTTTGAATTATCTTTTCAAATTTATGTGATGATTTGAGCAGTTAGGATAACAAAAATAAGTTTTCAAGAGTCTGAAAGAAGGCCTTTTTGATCTTGAAATTTCAAAAATCCGAATGAAAATGGCGAAAAAAGAAAAGTTTCTGTTTTAGGTACATAGGTATATTGATGACAAAGAAAGAGCTTTTTAAAAAAAATCTCTTCCGAAATGGAAACATGTGGATACACGATTGAAAAAGACTTTAAAACGAGAATAATATTCATCAAAATTTCCAAATTTGATGTAAAATCACAAATGAACTACCTTCAAAATTTAGGAGAAACTGACTGACAGTTGAAGGACATGAATTTTGGAAAAATGAGAAGTGCGAAGAATTATGAAACGTGTAAGAAAGTCATTCTAAACAACTTCGATAAAGGTGATTCAAGATTAGAAAAACGAAAGAAGGAATCTCTGTTAAAGCTCTTATCCCAAACTGGAGATAGAAGAAGTTGTTCGGGAAAGAACCCAAGCCACGGAACGACTGATAACGAACAGAAGAAAATCGGAGAATCAAAGATGTTTACAACAAACTGTAGGCAACGGAAAAAACGCCGAAAGTCAAAGAGTTCTCCGGAAAAGCCGTTCGACACGGCAGATTAACTTGGCGGCAGAAACTCGAACAAATCGGCTGGCAAAGTTCAAGCGGCGCCGCCCCACACAAATACACACAGAGAGAGAAGACAAGACAAAGGCGGAAACTTTGCTGAGTTGCTGCTCAACCGGAAACTGTTACTCGCCACTGTTCTCCCAGTCGAACGCGTGGTTATTTATGGAATTCCGGAGAAAGAGAGAAAGATTATTTTCACTGGGTGCCTTAAAAAGTGAGAAGCGGAGTTCAGTCGAGAAAAATGATTTCCTAGCGTTTGTAAGGTCGCTATGTTGAATCTCTCCAAGGTTTATCGAGACTTCCAATTCTAGAGTAGTCGAATTCGGAAGCTGAATACGGCTAAAGTCCTCCAATCGTTTTTATCAGCTTTTGAAATGACGGCACTTCAAAATTACAAACGATATCCTGTCATTCTGATGATACCTTTACAACTTCTACTTCTTCTTCTTAGAGTCTCTAGAGACGTTAAAACGTTAAACATAGTTTCAAAATATTGAGCATGAAAAAATGACTACTTTCAAAGTAAAAGACCTACTCATGAAATTCAAGTTTAGTTTATCCTGAAACTCCTGAGAAATCCCGCTAATTTCCAAAAAGTACCTTTTAATTTAATTTTTTTCAGAAAACTATTTTTCCATTCCTGACTTTTCCATTTCCAAAAACTTTCACTCTTCTAAAATTTAGCAAAACTTCTAGTTGCGTCGCATTTGATGTCAAACTTGTACGGCATTTTTTGGCAAATTTGCCTCTTTATTTTGTTTGCTTTGCCAAAAAAGTTGATGGGAAAATGGGTTGCCTGATTGAATCCAGTTCTACGAGTTCTATTCGATATCCAAATTTTATAGAGTCAATTGTCAATTTGATTGAAAAATGACCAGAAAAACGGCATTTTTGATTGAATCAAAAATATTTCTGTAGAAAATGATATTCGAAGACAGCTTATGAGAGCGGTAAAAACATATAAATAATACTAGAAAAAAAGTATTTTTGCTGCGGAATAAAGTAGATGTTTAAAAAAATATCATTAAAATTCAAAAAAAGTTGTTCAAATTCACTTGATTCCAAAACGTTTTCCAAACTTTGACCTTATTCAATTACTTTTTGAGAATTGGGGGGTCTCAATCTTCTTTTAAAATCGCGAGACTCCCATTCTTACCGAAGATCCGTCCTCACTAATTTAACCTGTGTTTCCCATGGCTTTACTTCCAACCTATATTCGGGTTTTCCTCGCATCTTGTCTAGATAACCTAGAATTAGTTGGTTCCGAGTTGCTCTTCAGACTCAAAGTAGACTCTAGGAGATGAGAGGCGCCGCCGACGTGTTGCCCTCGCCTTTTTGCCTGAGGGCAGCACCGGAAAGCCGTCGAGTGTCTTGATCAGACACGTGTTCCGGCCACAGACAGGTACTCTTCACATTCTAATTGTTTCCACCAATTATTGACACCTCTTTGTCATAGTGCACAACAGATGGAGAGTGGATGTGATCAGATGCAGAGAAAAAATAATTCTTGGTTCTCAAATACTCAAGAAGATGATCTTCAAGAGTTTCAGACTAATCCGAGCTCAACAGAACGTCAAAACATACTTTCAGAATTTTAGGATAATTGAAAAAAAAGAAATTCATCATAGTTCATCAAAACCGTTTAGAAATGAATTAAGATTTCTAGATGGACTTTGTCCCCAGAAATAGTTACTCAAAGATCACTAGTTGAAAATTTTGTTTGATCCTCTCGAGTATCCAGGTGACTCCTGGTGTTGTTTACTGGGTTTGTATAGCAAGGTAGGAGAAAAAAAGAGGAGATAGTAGAGTTTGGATTGAACAGGAAGGTCACAGATGAACAAATGAATGTGTTATAACCTTGTTAAAATTAATTTGGAGTCCCATCATATCACGAAAAAAGTAGTTAGATAAAATTTTCCGTGTTTCTTTCGTAAGTTCACGTTCTTACAAAACCAGAATGATGATGTAAGCCGTTTTTATAAGGGAAAAAAACAGAGAAGCTCTCAGAATTTATTGGAACTTATTTTTCAACCAGCATCTCAAAACAAAAAGTGATGGCGCCACCTTTTTCAGGCACTTCACTTTGGTGTGGGAGGGTAAACAGCTCTTGTTAACCTAATCACATCATTTAGAAGTTTACATTTTGAGTTAGAATAACATTTTCAAAAAAAAGAAAAAAAAATTGAAAAGAAAACAAATGACGCAGAACAAGTCTGCGCCTAACTTTCGACGCATCTGAACGGAATATCAAAAAAGAAATAATAACTTTTCAGCTTCATTCTTTCCTCTCCTCATTTAAAAAGAGAAGAGCTCTCAGAAAATTCAGCCTCAGAAGAACGATGTCAATGAAAATAAGGGTGAGAGCGAGACAATTTTCGACGCAAGAAACACTAGGAAAAAATAACGAAATGCGGAGATTAGGTGGGGAGAAGTTGCTCAAACACGCCTGATTACCGGGTCTCGACACGTTTCTCACCATTTTCTGTTGATTTTCAGGATTACTATTGAAGTTTTTTTGTAAAGATGTACTTCCGGTGCGTTGAAAGTGGATAAAGAGCAAATTATAGAAAATACAATGGCACATTTCAAAGACAAGAAGCTTCCGTTTGAATAAATTTTACTTTAAAAAGGCTCTGTCGTCAGGCCGACCAACGAAAAGCGCAAAAATGCAAATAAACTTGTGGCAGAAGCTTTGCCTCGTTCGGCTGACGCAAAACCAGCGGTGATGCGACAGGCTTATCATATATCGCGCAATGTGAGATTTTTTCGACGTTATCAAGCTACAAAACCCTAATTTCCGGCCAAGAAGCCTCATTTTGAAAAGTCAAAAAAACCAGAAACAAAATGGAAAGAGAAACGAAGAAAAAAAAAATTAAAAAAAAATACCAAAAGCAACTTATTTTGATAGCACCCATTCAAAATTTTACGCGAAAGACAGCATTTGAATGAGAAAAAACTATTCGAAATATCATTAATCGAAATCGACCCGAATAAACCTTTTACAACAATAAAAATACAGTAGTACTTCGGAAACTTTAAAGAAAAAACTGTAACTTAATTTTACAGAGCTTGCGGACTTAGCGCCGAAGCCCCCGCGCAAGTTTGTTGGTTTTTACGAGCTCGGCTCACGAGAAAAAAATTATTATTTTCTATTGTTTTTCTGATTTCTTCTCGTATCCATGACGCAGAAACTGTAAAGGTTGGACAGAAGTTTTTTTTTATAGATTTTTATTGTTTTTTTTCATATTTACTTGTTGCTTTCTAGGATTTCGAATACTAAACTGTGTTGAATGATTTTGAATCTTTTGAAAAACTTTATGAGCATAACTGTTTTAAAATTAATAGTTCATGTTACAGTTAGATGGCGGAGGCAGTTACAAACGTTATCAGAACATCTTCCTCAAATAATGAACTGAGCCGCTCTTCATCGTCTTCTTCCACTTCGAGAAGGCGAGTTTCTCCTCCTCGTGAACTCGCTGGAGCTCCGATACGCTGTCGAAATGAATCTTCGTCAACGAGAAGCATTCATGACGAACTTCTGGATTTGGAGGCCTGCGATCTCACATCGTCAGTAAATGAGGAAGTGAGCTAAAGCTCTTGAAGACGTCTCTCAAAACTTTCTTTTTTAGATCTCATTGATGCTTTCGCCATCTCCGTCTCCAGAAAGAACTCCAGCTAGTCAAGATTCCTCGGCGACACCGGCGTCTGTTAGGCCGAGCTCGTCAAGGGATTCCGGAAGACTTAGTGACGTTTTCCAAGACCCGCAACCAAGAAGAAGAGCGACGAGACCACTCTTCCAACAGGAACCAGAGTTCAACTTTAGCAGTGATTTGGAAGAAAGCGTTAGTTTTTTTTTTGCCTTGTTCTTTGATCAGTGGCAATTTTCAGTCTGATTTTCGAAAACCTTCGCGAATATCGATTGATGAAAGATTGACTGTTATTTGTGACTCTTCTGATAATGCAACCCCTCTGCGTTAGTTTAATTTTTATTAAATACCTTCCAAGCGGCATAGCTCAGCTGGCATAACTCATTTCTAACAGCCTCAAGGTCGTAGGTTCGAGTCCCCCCGAGGTCGACCAAGCCTTTCATCCCTCCGGGGTAGATAAAATTGGAAGCTGCATGCAGCGAAAAGGCTCAATCTCTGCCATCGGCCCTTGGAAAGCCGGCACCGTACTTCTTCCTACGACCTCTTTTGTACCTGATGTCCTACGAGCGAAATTCACAACTTCTCTGCCTAAGCCACAGCTCCTGCCGCCGTTTAAACACATTTAAATCAATGAAAGTCGATTGCACATGTATTCTTACATTGAAGATGCAATAAACAGTAAAAAACAAACCTTCCAAACTATTTTTCTTCAGAAACGCCAACACACGATAAGTCACCGCTACTCGATCCTGATCCGCCCAAATCTTGTGGCTTCTTTTCTTTTTTCTGGAATGAATTAACTAGGTTTATTTTATTTTCAGTTTCGGTGTTCAAATGAGTTTTCAGGGGATACTCTCTGCATAATGATCAAGCGCGGTACTCAGAGAAAAGACGAAAGGTTCTCTTCAAGTTGGATCAATAATGAAGACTTTTTTTTTGAAGGTTTACGCGTTTATGAGGATTCCGGTGGAGCTGGAACAATTTTTGTGTTACGGGCTTTTGCAGTGTATCGACGCGTTTTGCTATTTATTCACATTTTTACCGTTGCGGTTTTTGGTTTGTTTTTGCTCTATATTGGAGGTTTCGAGATTTACAAATATGCAGTACATAATAATCATATTTTCATGATCATTTGAAAAGTTTGTTGAATTCCGTGAAACATTCCGCAATATTCTCACTTTTCATTCATTTGAAAGCTTGGAACACTCAAGACTCTCTAAAAACTATAATTTTCTTCTAAAAATTGACTACAGAAAATAATAGATTAACTTCATGAAAGCAGGTTCATACTATGTATTTTTTGTTAAACTTTTCAATGGTTTACAATGAAATTCGATAAATGTTCTTTCCTTTCAAGATGTCGATTCTGGGATCTTTACTCCGCATAAAAACCTGGACTTCGGCGGAAACTTGCGATGTTTTGAAGGTTCTCATAATTATTTGCGCTTCTTTCCTGATCCGAGAAATAGGTTTTTTCTTTTGTTTAGTTTTCATAAAGTTCCCAAGAGTTCAGATTCTTCTGTCCTTTACCACCAGGTGCGGAGCCAAGGCGTGATAAAGCTGTACATCTTCTACAACATGCTCGAAGTCGCCGATAGGCTTTTCAGCAGCTTGGGACAGGTTTGAAAGTTTTTCAAGATTGTTGGAAAAGGATTTTTTTTTTCCCAATATGTTTTCCAATCTTTGTTTGAGAGTTTTTTTTTATTTAAAGGTATGCGCTCAATTTGATGTAAAATAGAAATCGGAATAGTGTAGGAAAATATTCAAAGATTATTAAAAAGAAATATTAAATAATTTTTTTCAACTTGAACCCTAGGATATACTGGACGCGTTGTTCTGGACGGCCAACGAGCCGACAAGATCTTTCTGGCACGGCGCCAAGACGATTTTCCACCTCTGCGCCGCCATCCTATATGCCACTCTCCACACTTTTCTGGTCATTTTGCAGGTTTCTCTCCGTACTTTTCCTGTTTTATTGGAAGTTCGAAAGTTTCAGGCGACGACACTGAACGTGGCGTTCAATTCGCACAACCAGGCGCTTCTCGCCATCATGATGTCGAATAATTTCGTCGAACTGAAAGGATCCGTCTTCAAGAAGTTTGCCAAGGCGAACCTCTTCCAAATGGCTTGCAGGTTCGTCCGGTATAGTCAATGTTTCCCGACTTGAAAGGCGAAGGAGGCGGGGCAAGGGACGCGTAGCGTGTGCGTTCGCGGTTCTTGGCACGAGTTCAATTCAACCGCCAGCGACTATTTAAAAAGCTCGACAACCGCTCTTTTTCAATGTTCTCTACTATTTCTTGATGCACACATGAACATAATCAATAAATATTTGAAAAAAGAATGAAAAAAGCGAAAAACGGGCTTTTCAAAGAGTAGATGTGCGGTTGAATTGAACACGTGGCAAGGACCGCGAACGCACACGCTACGCGTCCCGCCCCTTGCCCCGCCTTTCTCGCCTTTCAAGTCGGGAAACATTGACTATACAAAGAATAATTCAGAAGATTTTTGTTTTTTGAGTTCTATTTTTCAGCTTTCCTGGATCATTCTGAAGGCTTATTTTAAATTATTTTTTTCGATATCTGTTCTTCACCTTTTCTACCGCCAGGATTCTGAAAATTTCTGTCGATATTCTTCAATTTTCATTTTTCTTCCTATTTCAAAAAACTATCCAATAAAAGGGACCTCTGAAAAATATGATTTAGAGCCTTTCCTTTTTAAAAATTTATTTTTCAATACTCTTTTTCATTTCATTTTTGAAAAACGATGAATTTAAAAAAAATTCAAATTTTTTTTTTTCCATTGGGCATGAGCTACCGCATAACGTTGAAGTTTCAAAAGTCCGAATTTTCAGTGACGTTCGAGAAAGAATTCACTTGATCGCTTTGCTTTTTGTCGTGATGATCCGGAATCTGATGGCTGTGGATTGGAGCGTCGAATCGGCCGGCGAAATGCTTCCCGATATTGTCAGTTCACGAGATTTTTTGAAAATAATTATGGTTTTTCTTTTCAGATGATGGTCATTGGAGCAGAACTTCTAGTGGATTGGCTCAAACATGCATTCATCACAAAGTTCAACGAAATCAATGCCGATGTTTATAAAGGTTTGTTAAAGTAATAGTCAATCAAGTTTCTAGAAACCTTCAACGGAATTCTCACAGAAGAAAAGGCTTAAAAAAAAGATTCTTGTTCAGTTTCTTTTCAGCTTCAACTTTTATAATGTTTATATTTTCCTTTAAGGCGGCTTTCTTAAGTATCGATGTTCAGGGTCAACGTTAAATGTGCTCAGAAGCGAGCTCCAAAAATGAAATTATAAAAGATTTTTTTGGTTTTGAAAAATTTATTGGCTTGAAGAGATGAGAAAAAAAAGTTCGAAAAATAGCACTTTTTTCAACTTGATTGTTTCTGATAAATAACTTGATGTCATTCAAGAAGAAATTTCTGAAAACTACTGACCGCTTTTCCACTTTTGTATGTATCTGTGGCAGACTTCACGATAACGATCGCTTTCGACGTGATACGGAGCCGAGAGCAGTCGGCGTTCAGCGATTATTCGGACCAAGTCTCCCGTCGGATGGGCTTCATCCCGATCCCGCTCTCCATCATGATGATCCGCGTCCTCAGCCAGACTTTTTCCGTTGAGAACCGCGCCAGTCTTCTCATTTGCTGTACGTTTTCATCGCTTTTCTGAATTCATTTTTTCCCGGAAAACATCTACATAGATTAGGAAAGGAAGCAAACATTGCTTCGAATGAATGAATAGTTATATGGGCTTACGGAAATTGATATGAAATTCATAGGCCGTAGAAGATCTTAAAAAGGCTACAGGGAACAGTATCACCTCTTTCTTCTGAACGGTTTCACAACAAAGATTATTTATTAGAGACTAAAAAGAGATCAATCTCTATCAGAACTTTTTAGTTATTGGCTGGTTGCTTTTGCTGGCGATCAAACTGTGCAACGGGATCGTTATGCTCGGCAAAGCCTGCCAACTCGTCAAGAAATATCGCGATTTCCAGGTTTATCGTCTCGATTTTCACAATTCTGATTCATTTTGAACTTTTTCCAGGCTAGAATCGAATGCGACGAGTTCCGAAAACGCATCGTCGAGAAGAAAAGCAAGAGTGCGCCGAACTCGCCGAGGATGAGCCTCATCGACTTTTCTGGCATGTTTTGAGGCCCATTGTTCAAATTTCTTGGCTTTTAAGATGTTCTGCACCAACCTCAAGGCGGAGGCAAGTTCTACACGGTTTCGGACATAATGAACAAGTGGGACGAGGTTCAGCCGGACATGGTGAGGATCAGTTTTTGTGCTCGAAGAGATTAATATTGTTGAAAAAATTCAACTTTTCTTGTTTTTGTTTCTGTAATCTAAGAAAGCAAAAGCGCTGCGATATCAACTAGTATTCAACTTATATACCGATTATTGCAGCTTTCTGAGCGGAGAAGTACAGATCGTGGAGATCTCCGCGACGAAAGAACGCCTCGAAGAGCTCAGAGCATGGCTAACATGGCGAGGTGCGTCTCTTTTTCAGTAGAATCAGTTTATTTTCTTCTCCACTTTATTCTTCTTTAAGATGTAATAAATGAACTTTACACCTTTTTAATTCTCATGGGCTCCTCGCAAAGGCCTTTCAAACATGTTTTGATTTGAAAAATCCCGCAATTCCTTTTGTCAAAATCAGTTCCCGTTTCAGAAGAGACCGAAGCGAACCGCCGCCGACGATTGCAGAAGAATCCGGAGTGACGTCACCGTCTGAGCCACGTCACATCGAAGAAATCGCCTCTTCGGTGGCCGGGTCCGTCCACGGAGAGCGTACCCGCGAGAACAGGTCGGTCATCGTTCCGAGACCATTTTATGGTCTTTCCGTTTTCAGCGGACAGTGCAGTCCGAAGAAGCGCGTCATGAGCAGCAGCGGCGGGGAGAACAACGAGTTCGGCGACGTCACCGCCTACACGATGCCAGAACAAGGCGTCCAGCGCATCGAATAATTTAGCTTTTTCAAATTTTGGGTTTTTCATGTGGTTTGATACACTTGCCTTTAATCCAAGTTTTTTTTCCAAAAACTTACAGATTAGTCTATATTAATTTTCCCGCTGATTGACGATTAATTGAAGCCGGTTGAATAGTTCAAGAATCTATTTCATGTGTTATATAGACTTTCATAATAATTAAATGTGTGATATCCTCGTTTCTTTCTTTAGTTCATTCGCAAAGTCTTTCTGATCTTCCTCATTAATCTTTATAATAAAACTCTCGCATGTTTCAGAGGTAAATGTAAAACGCAGAATGTTATCAATATACAGGAATGTGAGACACAGGGGCAAGTCGAATGGTACAAAATGAATCAAAAGTTAAAAATAAAAGTAAGTATTAATCAGAACTGAAGATTTGCTTGGCTCGGTTTTCGACGTCGGCGATAGCCTTCTTCCAAACTGACGCTGACGTCGCATCGTTCATTTTCTCAGCAAGGCAGAGCTGAAAATATTCTTCGAAACAGTAGTTAAAAAGTCTTTATTTTTCCTCTTCGATTGGAACATTATAATTTTAAGAATCTATAACATGAATTTCTACGAAAGTGTGTTGCTTCTAACTTACGATTTACATTTACAAAATTTAAGAAAAAAATAAGTTTAAAATGTTTTTTTAAACTCCGTTAGATCTACCACACCTTGCTCTGAAAAAAAGGGCATTCGAATTGTTGAATTTTTCAAGGTTTCTAATTAATTTTTTTCTAAAAAGAATTTTTTTCGAATAACTTTATATGGTCCAAACCTGGTCTGACATACACGTGTGAAGAGTCAGGAATCTGCCAAAGTCCTTGGAAAGAATCCTTTGATTGGCGAGCTTTCTGAAACATTTTCATTGAATCTTTTTTTGGATGAAATAAAACTAACTTGAAAATGTTAGCGTTTTCCTCTGCCTCCGTTTGCAAATCTTCACAAAAAAAAGCTGGTTTTCTACATCTTAAGGGTAAAAACATACTTGATATAGATTTCCAAGAATTTCTCGGTGTCTTGGAGAACTGTAAAAATAAATTTCAAGGGAAAATATTTCAAGTTCAAATTTTTTTAAAAACTCTAATTTTTCTCGTTTTTTTCTCTCAAAAAAATAATCAATCTGGGAGATGAGAAAGAATATTATAGAAACAAAAAAATCGACAGAAAAAAAGAAAAAGTTAACAAGGAACTATCAAAAAAATCGAAAGTTTTTTTCAATTTTCCAAAAAATCACTGTTTTTTTCGAAATTGTATAAAAAAACCGCTAGTGAAATGGTTACCCAATAGATTTATTTCTACTTCTTACTCATCCAGAAAAAAGAAAATGAACCTCAAGTTTTCGCGCAGGTTTCGGCTTGGGGATGAAGTCGCTTCTAAGCCCAATGAACTTACTGAAAATATCAATGAAAAGAATATACAGTTCGAGGGGAACTAACCTATTCCTCGAAGACCAATCGAAGTCATCATCTTTTGTTTTGTTCTTTTCGGCAGGCGTTTCTTTCTCCGGGCTGAAAAAGAAATGATTATAAAATATGGCTAGTGAACGACAAAAATAATTAACCTGGTTAAATTATTCTGCTCGCTAGATTTTTGCGTAGGGCTCGAATCTTCAATGGGAGGAGTTTGCATAGAACTCTCCGGAAAATCACTGAAATGTTAGAAAAAATAAAATTTCATCTTCATTCGTGAAAAAAACTCAGGATCTGTCGTATAGTACAAATCATTAGAAGACGACTTCTTTTCTTTCTTCATAGATCGTGAAGGTATAAATTCCTAGAAAAAAAAAGATATTTGACAGTCCGAACATAATCCAAGTGGAGTTTACGATTTCCTACCTTTTTTTTGTCTGTTTTGCAAATGATAAAAAAAAATGGAGCAAAAGATTTTAGAAACGACAAATTTTGAAAAAAAAATTTATAGAGTTGAAATCGACAAAAAAAATCTCAAGTCGAAACTGCCTGTTGACACTTTATCCAAAACTATAATTGATATAAAAAAACCGTTCTTTCATTCATTTTGTGGAAATTTTCAAAGATCTAGTCTCAAAACGAGAAACTTGCGAGTTCATGCATAACTCGAAAAATACTCCTAGGTAAAAATAGACATTGAAAAAGGAACCTTTGCGTTGAGATCGATCCAGCTCTTTGAATCATTCTGAAAGATAATCTTTTTTTCCTTATATATGTTTCTTACCTTTTCCGGCGTTTGAGCCATAGAGTTTTCAGCGTCCTGAATTATATTATTCAATTACGAAAATAAAAATAGTATTTTACCGTAAGACCAAATGCGAAATGTTTTCTGTTTTCGAGCATTTGTTTGCGGTGGGTGACCCCAGAAGTCTGAAACAGAATCGTTGTAAAATGGATGGGAAAAATAAAAATTGGTGACCTTTTTGATGGACGGCGGCTCGATCTTCAGAATTTTCTTGGCCTTTTGCTGGCAAGGCGGCCTGTTTTCATCGCTGTAGAAATATTGCGAAGATGCATGTGGAGGAGGTATCATTTCCGGCCCATAGAAGTACATAGGGCGCATCGGAGGAAAAAGAGGAGGTGGTGGCGGGAAAAAGGCGTTTTGCGGAGGATAAGCCATTGGAAACGGTAGGGATGGTAAGGCTGGAAAAACTGAAAAAATGCCTTTTGTTAAGTTTATTCATCACTAGCCTGGGAGAAAAAAGTACTACGAGCGTCTAAACTCCTTTTTTTTACAAACCTATGCCAATTTGATAAATAATCTTATTGATTGCTGTCTCAAGCCAGCGGTGAATGAAAAATAGATTTTATCCGGTAACAATTGGGAGAGTGATTATAGGAACGCAGCTTCATGAAAATCTTGAGGCGCAAGTTTTTCTGAGCAAACTATAGTGCCGTTTTGCTCTACAAAACTGCGAAAGAGACAGCAAAAATGAAGATCTTCAATTAAAATGGGGTCAAATTTGATCCAATTCGGTACAGTATTTCGAACAGAAAAAAAAGACAAGTTGGGGCGGAATGGGCTTTACGACACGTTGTTTTAAAAAGTTAGTATATATGCACTAGAAAATATTCTCAAAAACTCTTTAGTTAACACTAGATTCAATCATGATCAGTGTTAAAAACTCACTTTGAACGCGCTATAATGCCGAGTTCGAAATGATTCCGTGAAACTCGAAATATCCGTCAAAAAGTGAAAAGATAACTGAACTTTGGAGAGTTTGAAAAATTATTTTGAAAACGGCATTAAAAAAGACACGATATTCAACACCATTCTTTGTGAGCAAAAAAAATGCGCGAAAAAAAAATTGATTTGTTCTACCAAAGTTTCTTGGGGCTTTTCTAAATAAGAATTTTTTTTTAATAAGAACAAGGTTAGAAACAAGTTTTTCACCAAAAAAAAAATTAAAGTGGTTTTGATTTCGAAACATTTAAAAAAAACGTCGAATGAAATCTTTTTTGGAACAAGTTGCCATGAAACACTTTTGAATAGTAGATGTAATCAGCAACCGTAGGTCAAAAGACTTCTCCGCGCGAGAATTACTGTTCTTTTTTTTCTTTCATATAACCAGTGTTGTGCAATGAACTTTCGTTATGAGTATTAGAATATTTAGGTTTTTCGTGAAAAAGCAAATACCACCCCCATCGTTTCAAAAATCTGCGCTGTAGATGCAGAATGATAAACGTGAAGATTTTTGTTCTTGTACATTTTATTTTTATTATTGCCTGTGAATGATTAATCATTTAATCGATTATTATAAAATATCGATCATTATAATATAAAAAAAGAGAAATGTGAGAAAAAAACAGACTGGTAGAATAAACTGGTGCCACCGTGAAATTTTGCGTTGAAACTTCTGGAGAGTTTTTGAACTATATGTTTCTCTGATTTCTCAAAAAACCTCGGATTCGTTGAGAGCGTTTCGAAGATGCATCGATAGTCCGAATATTAGCGAAACTAATAGTCTGAGAGGATTTTGTTTTTTTTACTCGCTAAAAACCAATTTTGTTACATTCGCGTTATTCCGAGAGACAGAGGACTGCGAAATTGGTGGACGACTTCCGGATTTTCCAGTGGATCTGAATTTGTCTTATCGTATGCCGAGAAAATGGTAAGTCCGCTTAGGTGCTCACCTGGATGGCTCCAATGCGTTCATTATGCCTGTAGTTTTGTCTGATAGAACTGAATATTTTTTTGATAACGGATCTTTTTTTAGGAATTAAATATTTTTATATATATAAGCACTAAGAATAACTGACGAGATAAACGCGAGCTCGGTGGCGGTACATTGACTAACTCGCAAAAAAATGTCGCTTTTTTTCTAGGCGCGATCCCGCATTTCTCTCGGCGCGACCTCGCATTTTTTCTCGGCGCCATCTCGCATTTATCTCGCATTTCGGAAATTTTTCAAATTGCGAGAGAAATGCGAGCTCGCGCCTAGAAAAATGCGAGCTCGCGCCCAGACAAATGCGAAACCGGCGCGAGAAAAAAAGCGAGATGTTTGCGAGCTCGTCAATGTACCGCCAGTGTCTCGCGTTTATCTCGGCAGTTATTCTTAGTGAGTGTTTGAAAAAGCGCGATTTTTGTCGATTGGCGTGAGGTCTGGCGTTTGCTGTTCTTACGGTGACTTTTCGAATAACTTTACAGTAATCTCAAAATTTTAAAAATTTCCATTTCGACAAACTTTGAGACATAATTTTTTTGCGGAATTTGCAGAATTATGTTCTCCTTTTTTTGCTTTTTTTTAAAGGCATTACGTGAAAAATTTTCATTTTTATTAATGGTTCATGTCAAAATATTTTCTGATTCAGTAAGGTTCTTATTCAATTTTAAACTCATGAGCTTAGAACAAATCACATTCGATTCGATCTTTTTGTTCGTGTGCTGTCAAAACTAAATTTTTAAAGTACCTGGAATATAACTCGAAGAACGAAGAAATAATCATTCTGAACGTCTTCCCCGATTGTATGAATACTTTCTTTTTCGAAAAAAAACTTCGATGTTAACGTCCTAACAGGACCTAACTCTTCTTGTTCACATGTAATTAGGATTTCTCAATTTTTCAATTTTTCCACTTTCTTAGGTTTTTCTAATTATCGCAGTGTTTACGCTTGTCAGAGAGAGTGCTTTAATGCCACGCCATTTATTTCGGGGTTAAATATCTGCTTATAAATATATTCTGCGTTTTCTGTGTACTATTCTATGTTTCGAAGTTGTTGAAGAACATCCGGTATTTTTCGAAAAAAAAAATTCCAGGGGTTCCGTCTCATTAAATATCCATGAATCATCACTTTCAACCTGAACTGTATAAAATGTTAAGATTCAAATGTGAGTCATTTCTCCTGGCCCTTTTGAGTTTTTTGCTCAGTTCGAACCTTTAAAATGAAAATATGGAAGTTTACCGGGCCAATTACTTTTATAGCACATATTTTTCGCATTTTAATGGCGTTTCGCCTCATTTAGTCTCAGTTGACCTTCATCTTTTTCATTGCTATATCATTTTTTCTGAGCAGAATGTCAAGGCTTATCATAAATTTTAGTGGATCCCAAATTCTCTATTTGGTTTAACTCAGATTATGCGTTATAAATTTTGACCGCGAAAAGATTTTCTTCACTCGTTCTTCACATAGACTCGAATTTTCCATAATAGCATCCCTGTTTCTGTCTAAATATCCTAAAGAATAACTTGTGTTGCGCAATAATACGTTTTCCGCAGAGTATTACTGTAGAGAAGCAACTTCCTTCCGAGTGTTACTGTTGCGCGTTTCACCAGTGTTTGCTTATATACTAGGCTATTCTGAGAATTCGAAATGAAAAGAACAAGGTGAAATCCGAGTTTTTTTTTTTTGAAAATGACCTTACTAGTGGGAACCACCATCTTTTTCACAAGTTTTATGGAAAACACTTAAAATTTACGATGAATGGCAACACTAGAGAAGTGTCAAAGTTTGCAAGCCAGTGTTGCCCTCTTAATTAAGTACACAAGACACCTTGACTTTTCGCACCCACCTGGTGAGCCTGAACGGATACTCTTCCCGAGAAATCGGAACCAATATGTTGGTACCACACCTGTTAATGGGTTTATCACCTTCTGTTAGAGTTTTTCAACTAGAAATTTCTTGGAAAATTTTGGAAAAGCTGAAATGTTCGATTTTTTTTCGCAATCAAAACTTTCAATCTCTTTTGAAGTTATAGCAAAATTTTGAAAATGTTTGAAGTAGTTAAAGAGGAAGAAAATTATCAATTTGATAATTTTCTGATAACAATTTTGGAACATTCAACGAATTTTTCTTTCTTGTAGAAAGTTTCTTCAAGCGATGAATGAGCGGAAAATTTGAAAACCTAGAAGTCTTGAATCGTGGTTTTTGATTTTTGATATACTATGAATGCCTTACTTTTCGTTCATTTTTTCTCATTTAAACAAGTTTTGAAATAATACAATACTTTTCTTTGCAGATTTTTAACAGTTCAATCATTAGCTTGAGCTTCTCAGTAAATCCCCGTTGTGCTCAACTTCAAAAAAATAATGTATTACTGTATTTTTCATTCAAACACGTTCTGGTATTTGAAATAGTAGTTTTCTAACTTGGTCGCTGATTGTGAGAACCCATTATTAACCTCATAGTGACCAAGTGGCGCCAGTTGTCCTACACTGTAGATGGCAGCATTTGGCTGCGTGCTCGCGGCAAAAAGAAGTTCATTGAGAACACTTGGGCCTTAGAAAGCACTTGGGCCTGAATGGTCATTTCTCTTGAAGCCTTTAGGAAGTTGGAAGCATTTTTTTGCAGTCAGTATGATTGAAAATTGAATAGTGGACACGGAAAATCTCTACAATAAAACTATGGAATTAGAGTTTTACAGATTCACGCCAAACCGGGTTGCGCGAAAAGCTTTTATCACATGTTTCTTGTATTGAAATTAGTTTTTTGATCAAAATTAGAAACCGGGAATGTACCAAACGGTTTTGGTCTGTATGATTGATATGCTTTCAGAAAGAAAAAATAGCTTAGAAAAAAAAATTTGAAATTTCAATTTATCGATTTTTTTAAAATAAATGAATACATTATTTTTCACTTTTCTAGAAAATGAATTTAAATTTGAAAACTTCAAGGATCTTTCAAAGTTTTTATTGCTTTTTTGAAATTTGTGAGTCTTAATTTCCATGAAAGTATTTTCTTGAAATGTGGGATTTTTGTCGAGGAATGCACAGGAAAAAAAGGTAGATCTTCATTTTGGCTAGAATTGAAACGAAAATTGTCATTAATAAAAGCAAGTAGTTGAAAATAAGTCAAACAGCAACAAAGTACTACTTGAACCCAATATTGTAAATGTGCTATGGGCCAATTGGTCACACTCGAGTCAGCAATCCAACCTGTCCAAATATGGTCCGAGCCTGCGGGAAGTTGGGCCAGATCCTGCTAAAATGGCACCTTTTGAGGGTGTGGCCGTAATCGGATTCCATTCGGAAGCACATTACTCTCACTTACCTTCTTGTAGAGTTATCCCGTTTCTCCACCTTCTCAGATTTATTTCTTGATTTTTCAGTTCATTGGAAAATGGACGGCATGTTCTACGCGATGAACAACCCATACGCCTTCAGTCTCTTCCCAGTGGTGCGTCTTTTTTTTTCAAAATTTTATTCATTTTTTTTTTATTCTGATGAGTGGAACTTCTCGGTTGTGCTAACTTCATCGAATATTTTATTAAAAAAACTTTAAAAACCTTATTTTTTTCTTTTTAGGGCTTTATTTTCTAGTGTTAGTAAAAAACCTCGGACCAGTCTTTTTCAGTTATAGTAGAGTGAGTCGAAAAATTTTTTTATTTTTCCAACTTCAATTTCACTTTTTTTGTTGTTCATTAGAAAAAAACCGAAATTGTATTATCTTTTTTTGAATTGAATGAAGCGCCAGATTTCAGCTGTTTTAGCACTGAAATTTTTATACTGCCCTTCTTATTCTGTGGCAGTAATGCATGGCCACAATCTGAATTTTTCTAGTTCAATCTTTATGAATCTTTACAAGTCCCTTTTTTATTTACAAGTTCCTATTTTAGTCATTTATTCTGGCAATTTCACGTTTTTCTCTTTTTTTTTTCTCTCGTTCAATTCAACCAACCATCTAGTTCGATTTACAGCTTCTCTAGTTTGAATCAAGAAATTGAACTAGGAAAATATTTTCTCGTCTCTGTAGTTTGGTTTTTGAGGCTTTTAGTTCCACTGTTTCCTGAATTTAAAAGTCTCTTATTCGAACCAGTTTCCAGCTTTTCCAACTTGAATTTCCTTAAATTTTAACTTGACTAGGCCACACAAAAAGCGTTCAAGTTGGCTCTAGTTGAAAATCCATTTTTAACTTTTGGATTTTTTTTTTCAAACTTTTTTTTTCTCTTGATAGGACCTTTTTTTGGCTGAATCCCTCCCATTCTCGTTTCCTAGGTGTATTCAGAGTATTAAGTTCTCAGAATTGGACGGACAGACTCATAATATCGATTCTTTGAATTTCCAACCAACTCAGGCATTTGGACGTCACTTGCTTCTATCAGAAGGCTGACTGAACTGAACAGAAAACCCATCTTTTTTCAATCCGGTCTTCTAAGAGTTGATTCAGTAGAATCACGAGCCTTAACCAAACGGTTCTCATATACGACCTTTTTTGGCTGAAGCTCAACCTTTCTTGGTCTCGCTGAGTTGAAGTTTGATTGAGAGCATAAATTTCTGAGGCCTGAACAGATATAGTTGTAAGAGCTACTCTTTCCGTTTCCCACCACTTTTCAGAGCAAGATTTATTTACGACTAGACCAGCTTCAATCAGAAGTCCGAAGTGACTGAACCATACAGAGACATTTTTCTAGTGGTTCCAAGGATCAACCGAAAGAGATCTTGTCGGCTGAAGCTCAACCTGTCCAGGTCCCCCGGTTATTGGAGCTTGATTTGGAGAGTCGCCTGGGCGACACAACAACGGCACACCTTTGCGTCAAGCTCGGGAAAGCACGGAGCTGGATGGAGAGACGCAGAAGCGTCGCCTCAAAGAAGTCGTTCCGGCTGAGCAAACAAGTCGGCGCCGCCGCACAAAATTCTGTGAGGAGCGACTCTGCCTGTCGACTGTACTTCGGCTGCAGATCGATCGACTCGGCCTCGCTAGCTTCTCTTTCCCTTGTCTTGTCTCTCGAAAAAATTTCCGTTGAGTTGTGATAAGAAATGACTCAGAGGACGTGCTGGAGTGGCTTGGCTTCGGGATCGGTAGTGTCAGAACTTTGTTGGCATCTTACTGGAGTAGGTCTGAGAAGAATCCTGAGAGGAGAGGTGGATGGACAAAACTTCAGAAGGTAGTTTGACTAACCTGGAGCATAGTTTCACGTAGAACTTCATCCATTTTCTTACTTCCTACCATCAACTGTTCATCCGAACTGCCTTTGCAACTTTAATGTGATTTTCCTGAAGCTAAGCTTTCAGATCAGAAAAGCTTTGAAATGGCTCTTACATGCTCAGAATTTAACTTCGGAGCGTAGGATGGGCGTGGATCCCTTCATGTGTAGTCAGGACATTCTGCATCTGGATCTGTAGGAAGAAGCCACTCCTCCAATCTCATCAACTCGATTTTTTTGTTGGGTCTGATTCAGATCTAAAATTAAACCGACTCCGAACTTCACTACTCGAAAGATTTTGGCCAAGAGCACGTGTTGCCTACAGTACCTTCCTTTTTTGTGCCGTCACCCTTACTGGACCAGTTGTCCGCGAGTGGCGCTAAATTTTTAACGTCAATATTTACCGGTTCCTTTCTCGAAAATGAACAATACTTTTCCCCCCGGTTGCACGGAAGTCATAGGTTTGCAAAATGGTCTCGTAAATTGAATATGAGTTCACGCAAGGACTGAATTCTCTTGGTTGTAGATTGTAGGCGGCAGTTTTTTGAGATTTTTCAGATTCAGAACTTCAGATTTATTGTAATTCGAAAAGATAGAACTTATTTATCTGCAATCTAGGTTCGAACAGCGAACTCTAAATTTAAGAAAATGATTTCATTTCTGTAGAATTTTACCAAGCCTTTTGCTCTGAAGGATGAGCGTCATTCCTGAGTTGAAAAAAACACAAAATCTTCCAACCTGAAAAATAACATTATATTTTCATTATTACTTCATTAAACTAAAGTCTTTCAATCGGCCTTATGAATAATCCAACTTTTTTCTGGCCTGTTCCAAGGTTTGACAGACCCTCTGATCGATAACGGAGCCTACGGACCACTAGACTATTTACTAACAAAAAGCCTACAGTAATCCCGTGTGTCGGCGCCTTGTTTCCAGCCTTTGGCCGACTAATTGCCACGTCATAACCATTCCTCACGTTCAATACCAATGCGGCGCATCGAATTTTATCGACGCTCATAAAAAATCCTCGCGCCTTGCCGCATTCTTCCTGACGCACCTTTTCTACCGTACCCGCCTTGCTAAGGGTCAAAAATTATTGGTCGTTAATTTTGGCGCAGCCGCTTTTGGTAGAACGAGAAGCGTTCTTTAGGTTAAGCCGACAAAGCTTGAATAGGAATAATTTATGTTTTTCGCTGAAAAAATTCATTGATTAAGATCTAATAAACCGTTTTCGGGGTAAATTTTGCTCTTTTGCCGACAATAATCAGTATTTGCTTGTTTGTGTTAGTGTTTCGGACGAATCCAAACAGTCCTCTTCCTCAGATGTTCTTTCTATTTGTCAAATCGCGAAATAGGTAAATATCAGGCTATAAATGTTTTTCACGCCTTGAAATGGATAATTTAGCGTAGTTTTGAGATTACCGAGCTAGTAGGAGATAAGTTGTACCAAAGAAATAATATAACTATAACTATAGCCGTTGGGATCCAGAGTTATATTTCTTTTTTTTCTCGTTGTTTGAAAAAAGAGTTCCTTCTCATGGCTGGAAACTTATTCTGCTGAACCAAAGATTTTTTCTCGATAGGATTCAGGATTTTGACGATTCAAAGTACAAACAAAAGAAAAGGAAGTTTCAATAAAGTTCTTTCTGCAATTTAACAAGTAAAACACCTTTTTTTGCTCATCCATGGCTTAATTTGACAATCATTTTTGATGTGACCGCCTGGAAATCCAATTCCATTCTTTCGATCGACCCATCGATCACCTTTTTTTGCGTCTTATTCAGCCGCCCGATTTGGGCAAACACTTCCGGAAAGTATGACCTTTTGGGCCTTTCGTCGGAAGCCGCCACAGCCGCCACCAACTCACGCAACTGAAACCCGATATTCCGAAGCATGAATATGCTCTGACGGACTGTCAAGGCGTACTGTACAGCTTGTCCCGTCGCAGAGTAACGGGATACTCGGCAAAATTTCTTTGCAGCTTGAACTCTCGCCACGGCTTTACGTTGTCTTCTTCAACGCTCCCAAGTTTCAGTTGGAGTTTTGTACAGTAACCTTTTCATCATCACTTAGAGCGTAATATTGTTCTTTTAAAAACATCGTTGAGGTTATTAAAGGCGCAGGTTATATGTTCGGTAAAACATTGCTTCAAAACCCGCAAAAAATTCCACTGATTTATTGAAAACTTTGAACAGAAATTTTTAAGCTCGCGAGTTTTGACGTGAAATTTTAGCGTCTCTGAAGGCCTAACAAGGTTTTCTAAGGTTTTATCGACCAACGTAAAAAAAAAGGTCTCATGGAACTTTCAAAAATAAATTGAAAATTCACAATTGGAAAAGATTAACTTCTGTAAAAAATGTTCGCCACGTTTTTTTGTCTTTTCTAATGATATGGCTTATTTCACTTAAAAAAAGTTTAAAAAATAACTGACGCGAGATTAATTCAGCTTTTGTGTATAGAAAACTTTTCTAGAAGCTTTTTGGTCCAGTGATTTCTTATGAAGTTTCGACAGACCCTCAGCAGGATAATTTAAATGGTATTTTGGACGAATCTAACTCTAATTCTCCCCAAATCTTCCCCCAGACTTTTGAAAAGTTGAAGCCGTACCTCGGCTAGCTTTGGCAAGGCGGCTCTCCGCCAAAAGACGAACTACTAAAAGGACAAGAGACGGCCGAGCATCAAGTGTGCTCCGTTGCTCGACTACGGTAGTCCAAGTAGGTGATAAGTCACGCCGAGCTCCTTCCTCACCCACTTCTTCCAGTCAGAAAGAGGGAAAAGAAAACTTTTTCGTCCTTTCCCTTTTGCCGCTCTTTGATGCATACCTACGGGTGATCCGTTTTTGGCAACTTTTTTTTTAATCCCGCCCTAAAAAAATTATTTTTTTTCTTTCAATTAGCCATTAGGGGCAAGGCTTAGCGATTTGGACCTGGGAAGAGTTTTGAAAGACGAAAACTGGTAAGGAAAGTCAAAGTTTAATTCGAACTGAGTTGATTTATAACATTTATTCATCTCTTCTTATTAAAGACTCTTCTACTAAAGAACTTGAAAAAGTTTTTAAAATGAAAGCTGTTCCATGTAAAATTAATTATTTCTTTCACCACTTTTTTTCGGTTGAAGTATGTAGTTTCAAACCAAAAAAATGTATTCTTTCTTGGTTCAAATATTCCAGAATGAAATTTTTTTGTGCTGATTTTTTTATTTTATCAACGACTTTAATACTCGCTAAATTATGTCCTGGCTTTCGAGGGGCTCTGGTTTTTAATTCAAAATAAGATAAAGCCTTTTTTTAATTCTTTGGTAAGTCCTGTTCAGAAAAGTTGCCATAAAATCCAATTTTAAAGATTTAATTGGTCATTCTTTTATTGCACCTTTTCATTGCGGTTCAGAAACGTTTTTATTCGAGAGCATACAGATTTCTTGATTTTCTATCAAAATCTGTAAAAAGTCCAGAATCCCATCCCGAACCTGGTATTTATCACTAGGAACTGACAACATATGGCTAACATAACACCAACTGGCAATTATGGGCCTCAAAAAATCGCCAATTAATTGTGGTTTGTTTGACCGCCCTACAGGCAAATCTTCACGGCGACGCGGACTTTTCGCGCATTTCTCTTTAAAAAAATATACAAATATTACATTTTGGTGCTCAAATATTTGGGCAAATTGCTTTGTTCTGTTCGCCGATGGCCGTTGTTTTGTTGATTTTTTTCTGGATCGTTTCAAAAAAATTTTTGTTAATTGTTTTTAAAAGAAATGGAATCCTCCTTCAAAAAGTTTGGACAGTAATAACAGTTTCAGTTCACAGGAAATAGTATAACATTCTGTCGTTGTCAAATTTTGAAAAAAAAAAGCGTTAATACTATCAAAAATTGATTGAAAAATCAATAATTGAAAAGCGTTTTTTTCAAATAAATATTTTCCTTGAGTTGAAAAAAATTATTTTTTTAGAAACGAAAATTGTCGAAATATTGTTTAAATATTTTTTTACGATCAAGAATAATTACGGAATTTTTGTAATACTGGAAGGAACACAAAAAAAGTTAGTGGAAAAAAATTTATAATTTTTTTCAAATTTTTCTGTATAAATCCTCATAAAAAAATATTTTTTTATTAGAGATGTCTTACTAACTTTGCAGAGTCACTGAAAAAACAACACACAATTTTTTAAAAACTCTTGAGCTTTTTCCCGGACAGTTAAACCCTTGCAATATCATCCAGTTGAGGTTAAAAGTCATAAAATTCACTCCGGAGGCCAAAAACAAGAAGGCTTGTTCCCTCGTACGGAGTGGACCGTGGCTCGGCCCAAAAATACGGCTATCAACTCGACCGGCGGCCCTTTATCAACCTGATAACGCTCTCCTGAGACCGTTCCGTGTTACCTTTTACCTGTTCCACCTTGCTTGTTTTCGAAAGTTTAGCGAAAATTAGCTGAGCAAATTCTATTTCGAAAGCTATGATGACTCTCAAGCCCGGCAATCAATCGATAAGGCTTGAGGATTTTTTCGTAGTGATCTTTTCTAGAAAACTTTAAAAAAAATTATGGAAAAAACTAATAATTTATCACTAATGTTCAGTTTCCAGTCAGTGTGTTATTATTGTTGAAAAAGTTCTGGCCTATTTTTTTTATGAAAGCACATGATTGAAAAATGGGAAGCGTGATTCTTTGAAAATCTCCTTTCTTCAACGAAAAGAAACCTTTGAAACTTTTTTATCATGAAATTCGGCACAAGAAATTTTTTGGTACTTATGGCAAAGTTAAGACGCTTTTTAAGATAAAAGAAGTTTTCAAATGCGTTAAAAAAATATTTTTTTCATATCTGTGGTAAAATGTTTCGCTGATATTGGATATCGGTTTTTATAAACTGTTTTTTTCTATTATATTGAGCTGTTTGAACAAAAACTTTTAAATGGGGATTTTTCGTGGCTCAAATTCAAATAATGACTAGAAAGCCTCATTTAAAAATCTGATGGATGATTTTTCCTTCCACTATGTTTTTTATAGTTTCAAATAGGTAAAATACCTTTTTTTGTGCATTATTTTTCTCCCTGAAAAAGGGTGGTATGCTGGTCAACCTCAATTTGAAGCCGGCTGAATAATAAATTGAAGAAATTTGTAAAATAACTTTAGTTCTCTATTTTTTTATTCTGAAACCTGCTTGGTTGGTTCCAACTCATTTCATATCCCCCTATGAACTTTGAAAAGGACTTCTTCTCGCTCTCCTGCCCTATTTTGGACCCTCCAACCGAAAATAGGCTGTCCAGCCTCGCTCTGAAGCCTGCTGGATGGAGACGCGAGAGCCAATGAGGCGCGGCGACTCCGCCTCCGACATCCACGAAGGACCGCCTCCTCGTCTTGCGGACGTCGTTTTCCACGAGCTCTCGCCACTCTTATTTGCACAAAACTGTGCGCCACCCCAGGCCCTACGTGTGCTGTAGAGATTGTGTGGCTCTCCTCTCTCTTTCTTCTTTCGTTCCTTTGGATCCGCCAAGTTCAGCGTCGGTAAGGCGAGAGTACTGTTTGCTGAGCGCCGGTGTCTCCGCTGTCATTTCCATCCTCCCACCCAACCTTTTCTTTCTTTTCCTTTTCCCAAAAGCTTCTACCGTACCAGACGCGCCCTCACGCCAGTTTTTTTTCTGTCTCTCTCTCTCTTTTGCTCCGATCTCAGCCGAGTTTTCCGATGCCAACCACCACCGACCGACCTGTTTCTCAAGTTTCCTCGTCTTGCAAAGTTGCGGAGGAGTTGAGCTCGCCAAAAAGTTCTTTTCATTGGAGAATTTTCGGTTCGCTCCTCGGTTGAAAGCTAGTTTATTCATATTTTTGTGGAAGTCTCTCTGCCGAGAAAGTTTTTTCATCTTTGACATTGAGACCGCAAATGTTCAGTTTTCCACTTGCGATTTCTTCAAAACGAGCTTTCTTCGTAAAATAACTTTTTAGTGAGCTTTGCGAATTTTCGAGAGTTCATTTCAGGTCATAAATCTCATTTTTTACAAGAAAATTGTTTTTTTATAATATATCTGATTTTGACTCTTCCGGTCACTTGCTTGTTTTTATTTGTTTGGAATTTCGACTTTGACACCTCCTCCTGATTATTTGCATTCCTTTTTGCAAACATGGACCTCCTCTTGTGTTTGTATGTGTACATAATTATCACACACACGCAGACGCATACACACACAGGAGACAGCCGTTCGCACTTTCATCTTCTCAAATATTTATTTTTTGCCCAATCGAGTGCGATAACGAACCCAAAGATAACTCCAAATTCGGAAGTTGCCATCGGACATGTTTGAAAATGGGTCGCACGGTTCTGTTGGAACGATTTGGGTGCCTGGGAGCGGTGTGATTTGCCGTGGGACCTCGAATCCAATAAACCGTGGGCACCTTCATTTGGGGTCTTCTTATCAGGAGTTTTTCGAACGCTTGAGTTCTCCTCTTCTGGGTCAGGTTCAGCATCAGTTCACTAGCGTGGGAACCAAGTTCCACGCGAACCAAGACAATGCACTGTGCCCTGAACAATGGCAAGTTCTTCCGCCATTCATCTATTTCGACGGCTTGTCTCTGTTTAGGATCGGTTGACTTTTTGAAAACGGTCTGCTGAGAAACTGCACAAAGTTAACTTTCAAATTTTTTCATCAAGTTTTGGCGTATTTCGAAAGCTTCTGATTATTTCCATCAAAAAAGAAGTTTATTGTAATTTCGAACTACTCTATATTGAAAACTTACATGTGTTCATACACTAATTAGAAAATTTGTCAAAAAATATTTATAACGTAAATTCATAATAATACTTCCTCATAATAACATTTACTTGGAGTAAACTACACCGTTGCAATGAAGAAAATAGTAGAAAACAGCATAATACTCCCAATTTTTTCGTTGATTTACAATTTTTCCTCCTCATCCTATCTTTGAATTAATAGTTTCAGTCACACTTTGAAAGAATTTCAATAGAAAACTTACTATTTTCCTCCTGAATAATCAACGACTTTTTTAACCACTCTATATATAAAAAAGCTGTCTTCTCATCCTTACATGTACTGTCCATCCAGTAAATGGTCATCCTTCTCTTTGCCCTTTGCAAGACCAGCCGACTACCAATATTTGGCGACAGGGGAAATAATCACACGAGAAATGACGATCAAAGGAGTTTCCTCGCCCGCGGCTCTCCTTTATTCCGATCCAATGAGCCGCCCTTTCCTGGACGCCGTGAGTCACAGAGAAGGCGGCCGAACTCCCCCGTCCCCCCATTAAGTGAGACCCATCTCCCGTCCCGTCGCCGTCGCTATCACCGCCCTTCACCGTCCATCCCCAACCGTAACTGATAACGATATCAACATTATCGATCCTGTTTTTCCACCCTTTTGCTCCGTGGCCCATATGGATTCGTTTGCTGATTAGTCATGCTGTGCTTTTCCTAATTAGTAGTGGAAATTAGAAGATGAGTCTTTTCAACCGAAAATTTTCATTTTTTTTTCCGATTCTATGGCTCTTCAGCGATCTTATCCTTAATCAGAAAAATTTTGAAAGCAGAAATTTTTCTGATCAAAAATTGTTTATCTCGCTCCGCTGCCCACATGGATTCATTGGATCGCTAGTAATCCGCTAAGTTCTTTTTCTCGACATAAATTCAGAAAAAAAAGGATTTTAACGGCTTTTTTGTTGGCTGGATGAATGAAAATCCGCTATGTATATAATTTCTATTTTTTTTTCCTTTTTTATCCATTCCAAAAGCGACCTTCCTGAGCTTTCCTACCTATTGCCAAAGGAAGGACCACCCATACTATTGATTTGTTTTCTTTTTTGTTGTTTTTTCTCCTTCCGAAGAAGCGTTCCGTACAAATACAAATACACACAAACAGAGACACACGCATATTTGCCGTCTAAATATTTGGTGTGTTTCAATATTTGACCATTCAAAGAGGCGGCAAAAAAAGCCGAGTGATAGTGGGGCAGTGTGCCAATTGACTACTGATGAGATAAGTGACCCGTTGATTTTTATGAGGTAATTTCGAGAAGTTTGGAGTTGGGGTAAGAGAAGAGGGATTGATTCTGAGTAGTTAAACTTTACGGGGATTTATCTTGACTCTAGTTGATTTTTGAAGGTTCAGACATATTATTCCGCTTTTTAGTAGAATTCAGGGTTAGGAGAAGACTTTTCCGAGAAGTAGAAGGAACTTTTATTGTAATTTTTGAAGTTCTTTTGTTTTCATTTCGATCCGAAAAGTCTCAGAAGTTAAAAAAGCTATGGCTTGTCTGAACTCTTCTTTTTGAATGATGATTTGATTGCAAACAATAATATGTTTCATTTCGATTTTATAACCTTGATGATGAGAGAAAAGAGAGCGCAGACAAGCCAGACTATCTCAAGTTGTTGCGATTGATGTATCTCAACAATAGATCCCATACAAATTTTTCGAAGAAGACACCGCAAAGTTTCTCTTGACAAAAAAACGGCTAAATGGGGGAATTCTCCCAAGTATATATTGGGAAGAATTGAGCGTCGGAGGCAGCTTCTGGAAACCCGATAGGCGACGACGGAGGCCGCCGAGCCAAGATATGAGCCGCAAGAAACGAACCCCGTGGCCTCATTGCCTCGCTCCTAATTCCGCCAACGCGACCGCTTTGGCCGCTATCAAAAACACTCGTTGATTCATTATTGCTTGGCGTGAGCTTATTGTGGTGCTCTTGGAGGCCGCGACGGCCCCTCAGGCGGTCTCGTGGTCTCCGTTTCGAGTGGCCGCTTCTATTGCGTTCTCCTCGAGGCTCCGGACACAATTTATTGGATTTGAAGGGAACCTTTTGTCTGGAAATGGTGCCGTGAAATGGGTTATGTTCCTGATGTGGTATAAAACTAGGCGTTCTGCCCTTCAGTGATAAATTCATCAGAAAAATAGCCTACAAGTTTTTTCGGTGGATCTTTAGACTGTGTTGGAGAAGGGAGGATATCCCACTTGAAAATTAGGCTGTGAAATCGCGGAAAATGATATACAGCCACTTTGAAGAGTTTTTTGAATCAGAGAGAAGTTATTCTTTGGAAAGAGATCCCTTCAAAAAGTTGTCCTTCAGAATTGTTGCTCCATTGACAGCATACTTTTAAAAAAATACATTTTTTTAAATTACAAGTCTCAAATGATTAAAGCAAACTAGGAACTTTTTGAAAAATAAGAAATTTCCCTTCAATGGCCACTTGATTTCTCTTCAATTTTTATCTGTACTCTGATCCGTCCACTAGACTACGAACCAAAAAAGTGTTTTTCGTTCAATTTTTTTTTTCTTTTTTGTTCGGTTTCCATCGATGCATTTTTAAAAATCTTCCCTTCTTCTGTTTCAAAAGAGATTTGAAATTTTTTTCCCAATATTTCAAAAGTTTCAAAGCGCAGGTCAAATAGCCTCACTTTTTTTGACCTCTGATCTCTATAAGGAATCTTTACTTGGAAGTGTTCTCATTGGAGCATTTCTTCATCGTGGCTGAACAGGGATCTTCCAAGTATGAGTAGTTTTTTTGGATTTTTCGCTCGAGCTGTTCGTCCCCTCCGAAACTCATTTCAATCTTTTGCCCTTTTTTGCGACCAGCCGACCTCCATTCCGCGTTATTACCGTATCCTCGCGCAGAGCCGTGACATTTTTCTTTTCCCGCACCGACCGAATTGAGAACAATTGTGAGGAGAATTTAGGTCGAGGAGGGTATGCTATCGAGCACGCTTGCCGCGACGTCTTCCGCTGGAAGCGGCGTCGATTCGACCGCCCTCTACCAGTCCGCCAACACCGTTCAGGTACCTCTTTTCCCCGATTTCCGGGTTTTTTTTTTGCTAAAAACCTATTTAATTGGACTGATAGAAGCATTTTGAGCTCTAGAAAGGTTTAAGGAATTTTTTCCTAGTTATTCAGTGATTTGTGGAAAAAAAAAGTGAAAACGGGTTATTACCTCACTATAAATGTAATTTATTTTATTTTATAGAGAGAATGCACCAAGTAAGAAAGGTTTTGCGTGTTTTTTTAATAAGAAAATGTGTAGAAACGGCGATTTGATAATTTTATAAAATAAGAGAAATAACTTTTTGAATTGGAAGCGCTCAAGTTTTTAGTGGAAACCAAAATCTATTTCGCAATTATTTGGAAAAAACATTTTGAGAACATTTTATAACGTCGACTTCAAATTTTAAACACAAAAAAAGAGAAAGTTCTCATTTTTAATTCTTGATTTTTTTTTATGCACTGAGCGCATTTGTGTTATTTTTCAAGTCTCAATTTTGCCAGAATAGCCCTCTGAGAAACCAAAGTTCGACGCTCTAATGAAAGAATTTGAATGAAAAGAAAGACGCGCCTGCATTTGATTAAAAGTACGAAAAAGTAAGGGGCCGTTATCTCATCGAAAGGATTAAAGATTCTTGCGCGTTTCCGTGTACGGATGTGTAACTCGAGCCGCGGTTCTTGGGCCTAATCCGCCGTCTAGTTATATCACATTCATTCAACTTCCAGGAGAATGTCCAGAAATTTGTTCCACATGAGAATTTTTTTGAAAAAGATGTTTTTACAAGTGGAAATTCTTTTCAAACCGTGACACGCCGCCGCCTTTATCGCCATTGCTCATGACGTTTTCGAAACGCGTATCGCCTTGTACAGATTTCACAACAATCCCCTCTGCAATGTATATAGTTTTGGGTATTTTCGAAGGAAAAAACAAAAACAGCCCCTTTGAGACTCACCAAAAATTTTGCACGTTTTGGAAGGCTACAGGGAACTTTGAAAAGTATTTTCGAGCTAAAAGTGCATCATACTGATAAAAAGTCTTTTGGTTGATAACTGAACATTTTCGTCATCAGTTGGCTCGCGTTTCTTGGCGTCATTTGAATTTTCCTATTCTGATTAATTTTTGTCAGCTTTCCGGTTCTTTCATTCATTTTTTGAATATCTTTAAGTTTGAAAATTCGGGCGCTGAATTTTGAAAAAAAGGAGGGGCTGAATATTATGATGAAATTTATCAAGATTAGCCGACTTTTTTGGTTCATTAGATGTTCTTCTAGTTTCCATAAAAGTGCAGCCTGACTAGATTGAGCTCTGTTTTTTTTAAACTTCTCTATAAATAACTAACCATTTTTTGTTCTCAAGGTACCTGAAAAAAAAAGCTCTAATAGAGCAAGGCTACCCTGAAGAAATGACCACGTGGCCAAACAAGGGAAACGAAGATTTCCGTGGGAAAAAGGGCCGAGAATCAAGAAGCCAAATATTTATTTATTTATTCAAACCATGGCGTCGTGTTGTGTATATTTAGTTAACGTCATTTCCCACTGAAGGTCGTCCTCAAATATTTGAGAGCCGCCTTTTTTCGGAGTGGAAATCGATTGGGATATCCCTTAGAAGTTCAAGCTCTAGTTTAATGAGAAAAAACGAAAATAGGAAGAAACTCAAAGGCGATGGCTACGGTAACTCGGAAGGACGGCCGGCGATAGAAAAGTAGGCGTGGCCGGGGAACGACGGGCGGCGCAGTCGCCTTTTTCTCTCGCCAAAATACGCCCACGCACATCCTCTAAATCAGATCCTCATTAATCATCTTCTTTTTTCGATTACTGAATTGTTGATGTGTAATTTGTACAGGTTTTACAGGGAATGAGCGCCCAAGACTATGCGTCGGTCCTGCCGTCGTACTCGTCCAACGCGGCCGCTCTCAACTACCCATCTTATCAGGTAATTGGAGAATTTCGAAAGGATAGACAGTAGAAAGTTTTTGGAGAAGGTGTTTGATCCGGATAGAAGAAGTAGAGTCGAAATTCTGGTATCTGAAGGGTTTTCTCTCTAGGACTTGTATTTTATCCAGCGCAGATTTGAGACGTTGTTTTAGAAATTTATTTAAAGGAGTAGTGACAAGAAATGCGAGAGAAGAAATTCAGACCGTTTTGTAGCTTTTTGTCTCAACAAAACCTGAATGAAGTAGACAGAATTTTTTTTGAGGATCATTTTCATACAGATTTTTGTGGGATTCAGCTAATTTTATGTTACGATTAATTTTTGAAGAAGTTTGTTCCTGTAATATAAACCATGGTCCCATTTGTTAACCAAAAAAAGTTTAATTTAAAAAAATTAGAAATCATGAACTCTTTCTTGAATATCTAGAAAAAAATAATCTCAAAAAAAAGAAATTGAAATAGTGTACTTTACTTTTCAATCCTTTGTTTTTTTCCAATTAGGCCTTCTCATTATTTCAAAATGATTCAGTTCAATTAATTTCGAATTGAATTTCTAGCTTAATTGAGCATGACTTTTCATCATTCCGAATCGTGTTTTGGATCTTTTTTTTTCTCGAGCCCACTTTTCCATCTCATCTTTATTTTAAAAATTGAACCAGTCCCATTTCGAAATGTTATTTTCAATTGAAACTAATCATTGACTGAGAATTGGAGGAATCTCACGGGGCGGCCTTATCATTTGCATTCGAAAGGGAGAGAGGGCGAAAAAAGATGAGGAATAGATTCAGTATCCCACGGCGAATGGCCTGAACACGCTCGCCTACAACACCTACAACCAGTACGGCAACTCCCCTCAGATCAACAGCACCTACGGAGGATTCATGCCCGGCGGAATCTCGCCTCTCGGTTCGTTTTTTTCTTCCTCATTTAGCCATTAGAGTGAACAAAAAGTGTGCTTTCCGTTTCTAAGGTTAAACAAGTTTTTTTTTAACTTTTGAAAACGTTTTTAAGTTTTTTTTTTATTCTCTTTTTTTCAACATATTTTGTTTAATTTGTAGCGAATTGAACCTTTTCTACTGTTTCCGTTTTTATTTATAATAATTCAAGACTTTTGCGCCTTTAATAAGACTAACGAATATTCTTATATTGAGACGTGTCGAATAAAGATTTCGCGATTATCATGGAAAGATGATTGAAATTTGATGATTCGTTAAAGAATAATTCTTGTTAACAAAAGGAATTAAATAGAATGTATTTAATCTCTCTTTGAATTTGGTAGAAACTCTATTGAAACTAACTGTTTTCACTTCTCATCTTTTTTCCTTTTACAATCTGCACTTCAATTCAAAAACACTGCATCACCTGGCCAGGGACAGTATTTTTTGAGTATTTTTCGGGAAGGGCATTGATTGGCCGGTCGCTCCAGGTTCCTTTCCTTTGCCACGGCAAAATATCGATTCATTCCCTCTCTTTTTTCATCCAAAAGGGGACGGACCGACGAATGAAACTTGATAGCTTCATTTTTGGGCGACTATTCTTCTCTTCCTCATATTTTCCGAATATGTTTTGGCCTATTAATTGGAATGGGGAAACGAGGCTTCGGATTTTTGTTATATTAGTTTTTTTTTTGCGCAGAAAGAGAGTTTGAGAAAAAAAAAACACTTGGGTCTGAAAAAGCGGGAAAGAAAAAAAAGATTTATAGTATCAAATCAGTTAGTTTGGTTTTTGAATGGTCTTGGCTAGATCAAGGGCTGATTTAACTACTTCTCAAGAAATTTTTAGAAGTGAATTATTTTCAGTTGTTCTAGGCTGCTTCAGATGAGAAAATAGGTTAATAGACGATATTTCAGGATCAGCGTTCGCTGGAACAGGCCGAAGCGCCAGCACCGGCGGCTCTTCGACCAACTCGGCCTCGGTTTCTGTGTCGGCGTCCGTGGCGTCGCCGTCTCGCGGAACCTTCGCCCCGGTCCAAGGCGGCGGCCAAGAACTTACCAATGCCGAATTTGTGAGTTTGAGACAAACTGAAAAAGTTTGGTTATTTTCTCGACCTGTCCTTCGGGTGAAAAAGAATCAAGTTTATAATTTTTTTCGAAGTAGATTAGACCAGCTACACTTATTTATTTTTGAGTTTCTTTTTCGAGAAGTGTCTTCATAATCTCAACATCATGAACTGACATTCAGGAAAACGTGCAAGCGAAGATCCGCCGAAACGGATCGTACGGCTGCGCGAAGCCGCCCTACTCCTACATCTCGTTGATCACGATGGCCATTCAGAGAAGCGAGTCGAAAATGTTGACCCTCTCTGAGATCTACCAGTGGATCATGGAGTTGTTCCCGTACTACCGCCAGAACCAACAAAGGTCAGGCCGAGGGTTAGCTTCACTACTCTTTTTCTCTTTCTCTCTGCATTTTTTGACTCTTTCGCATTTTTTAATATATAGGTTGATCTGAAAGTCTCGTGAAAAGTTTTTACAGTGGAAAGGCCAAAAAAAAATCATCAAAACTACAGAAAGTTGTTAAGCTTTATTTTTCCTAAAAATCCTGTTAAGTTATCTTTCTCCGTTTAAAATCACATAAGCGTATAAATTTTGGTTCCTTCTATTGTTTTTGATAATAACTATTCAAAATTTCACAAACTTAAGGAAGTTCCACTTTTAAGTAGCTGTTATAAGAGTTTCGGATCAGTCTAGTGATCCTCTGAAAAGCGGGGAACCATTTCCAATGCTTCCAAGTTTCTCAGAGTATCTTTTAAGCGTTGTTCCCCCAAACAACACCTGAACTCCTTCATTTTAATCTCTCAGTCTTCTTTGTCCTTCTGAGTTCCCCTTATTCAAGAATCTGCTCTTGCAGATGGCAGAACTCCATCCGCCACAGCCTCTCCTTCAACGATTGCTTCGTCAAAGTCCCACGGTAACTTTTTCCGTCTCAAAACTCATTGAGATAACGAGAAAAGGAAGCGATTCAAGGCCGAAATCGTGCAAAGTTCCCGACCGATCTATAATACCATATAAAATGGCGTTGTATTGTCTTTTTCTCGTTTTCCGGCCGCACATTTTTTATGTTCGAAACGCGCCATTTGTTTCGGAATCACCAGGCGGTGGTTTCGAAAAAGGTGCTAACATTTTTTTTTCGTAGTTCAAGTTGGGGATCAGCTAGTGAGATCATTCGGAATGAAGCACCTTTTTTGCTTTTTTGTCGAAAACTGTTGTAGAATTGAAGGTTGAGGGTAAAGCTCAAACCCTGGAATTTTTTTTTCGACGAAATCACTCTAGTGGATCAAATAAAGACCGCTTGAAACTAAAAGGGAATGCTCGACTTAACTTTTTTCTTCATCTTCAGAACTCCTGACAAGCCGGGCAAGGGATCTTTCTGGACGCTTCACGCGTTGTGCGGCAACATGTTCGAGAACGGCTGCTACCTGCGGCGCCAGAAACGCTTCAAGGTCAAGGAGCGCGAGCCGAGCCGCAAGAAGGTGAGAATACTTGAACCATTTGGAGACGAGTGCGGGCAAATGAGTGATATCCTTCCCGAAATAAGTTCTTCTGGAAACGGGGGATTTGCAGAGGAACGCCAACGCCAACTCCCAGCAGCAGCAGAGCCAGAATCAACAGGCCCAACAGTCGAATAGCGACTCCACCAACGGACTTTCGGCCGTCAAGGAGGAGTACGCCGACATCAAGGACGACATCAAGAACTCCGTCGAGGCTGGCCTGTCCAACGAGGTTCGTGGACATTGAAAGGAAGAACTGGGATAGCTTCTTCTGGAAACATTTGTGTTGAGGAAGAACTCCGTTTTTTTCGTGAATTCCGTTCAGAAAGAAGTTACAAAAAGTAGTACGTTCGATTAAGCTTTTGAGATCTTTTGAATGACAAGATTTCTTCTTCAGAAGCGCTTTAGTTATTTTTCAATTAGCATTTTTTCGGAACATATGTAGTTTTTTTTTTCATGACGTTTCTTGCAGCATGTTTTCCTTTGAAAAGTTCATTTAACTTCGCGTCTCAAACCAATTTTTGGAAGTTTTGAGTATAACTTTCAAAAATAGTTTCGAAATAGTCACCGGAAAGTGAACAAAACAGGAACCAAAAAAAAAAAAATCTATTTTGATCCAAAATATTATTCTCGTTTCTCCAGCCAAAAGACCTCGCCGAAGCCTCTCTTTGCACGACTTCAGCCCACAGCCAGCCGACCTCCGTGATATCCACCGTCGGTTCCCTCGGAGCCCAGTCTCAGGTACAATATCTTCTATCTTTTAAAAACCTTTTTCTTCTTCATTATCAAACAAAGCCGGAAAAGGGAACTTGCGCAGGTGCAATTATGTAGGGTCAAAAAGGCCAGGTGCCAGATTCATCAATTCTCAGTGACAAAGGGCCGCAAACAAGTTGGTTCTACACAGAGGAAGACCGTAACCGGTTCTTCTTCTGGCTAATTGACGTCGTCGTACGGTAGAGTAGGAGGGGCGTCGTAATCATTTAGCACCGGGGATGAGGATGACGTAAGTTGGACAAACAACCCATTGCGTGAGGAGCGTGACACCTCCGTCATTCGGTCGTCGGATTGGCGAGAAGGTTTCCTAATTAGGTAATGGGGTCAGGAGCGAGGTGTAAAGCTCGGCTTGGTGTAACTTGGCGGAGAAGATCTTCTCGAAATGAAATGTTCACAAGAAAATCATTCTTTCAGTCAGGAGGTGAACAGAGGTCTGAGGAAGTTTTTGAAGTAACTGGTCGTTTCTTTTTCTTTTTTTTGGATTTGTCACGGCTTTTCCAAAGAATATATCCACTTTCTGGATATCTAGAATATCCACGTCATTGCAATCTTTTAAAATGCTTTCCTTGCAGTTGAACATGAACCAGTACCAGTACAACGCCAACCTCTACGGCGGCGCGGATTTCTCCTCGACGACTTTACCAGCCTTGTCGATGGGCACGTTCACCATCAACCAGCTGATGGACTCCTCCAAGGCCTTCGACTACAACCTCTACAACACCGGCATGTACCAACAGGCCAACGGCGCCGCCACCGACTATTCCGGATACCCGCACACGCTTTATAGGTTCGTTTATGGAAAAGATGGACTCGGATGAGAAGATTCTGAAGAAGATAATTTGAAAAAAATCGCTACGATTTGAAAAAAGTTTCTTGTATTTGGGACGCGTGCGGTCGCGAAGCGGTCACGTGCACTTATATTCACAGTATTTTGTTTCAACATTCAGCAAAATTCAAAAACCCTGACGGTAGGAGAACTTGAAACCGCTTCGCGACCGCACGCACCCAGAATTGGGCGATTTAGTTTTTTTTTTTGACAATTTTCCGCTCGTCTCAATTTTTGAATAAGACTAAAATAGTTGGTTTACATCTCTCCCATTATTCCGGATGACTTCAGAAAAAATGAAATAATATTCCCCTCACATCTTTTTTCAATCTTATTTCTTTCAGCTCCACCAATCCGAATTCGGCGGCAAATCTTTAAAATCTCCGGTTCTTCCAGTCATTTAACTGATTGTTGCAATAGCCAACGGATGTGCAATTCCCGAAATGGCCATCTTTTTTCCATTTTTTCTTGTTGTTGATTTTCCTCCTCCTGTACATAGCATAACATATGGATGTTTGTAATTGCAGAACAACGCGGTTCATTTTCAGACAATGTTGCCTTATTTCTTTTCTTTTTGCTTACTTAAAAAGCTTTCCGTGCGGATTTTGTTTTCTTGGATGAATTTCCGCATTCTTTTTCTCTGTTACGCGGTCCAAACCCCTGTAGTATTCCGATTCCACCGGACATCTACCTTCAAATCTCATTTCTGACGAATCTTTCACTCCCAACGAAGCGTAATACTTTATCATCCCCTTTTTTTGAACCTTTTTACCTCCTCTCCGCATATCTATCCAGCATACATATTATTTTCCATGAAAAAAAGGTTGAAGATTTCACCAAAGATTTATATTTTGTTGAATCTGTAAACGGTTTATTTTTTTCTTCTTTTCTTCGACACAACCAGGGATTGTTTCCAAAGCTTGTTGTTCGTTCCTTTCCGTTCTGGGTTTTTACTTTTTTTTTTGTCAGAAAAGCTCTTATCCTACCGTATCTCCTCGCGTGTGTACGCACACACATTTATTTCATGATAGTGCCTACTTTTTTTGGTTATATCGTTTATTGCATTTTTCGTCCTTCCATTGTGATTTCACGTTGTTTAGATTTCTTCGATGATCTATATCTCATGAAAATATATTTTTATATGGTTTTTTTCCGCGAAGCAAGAAAAATGAACGAACAAATTTTGATATTGGGGAATCAAGAAAAGATTTTTTTGTAATTTGTTAGAAAAAAAAAATTTTATTTTGAATATTCTGGCTGTCTTTTCATTTGCGGTAGATATTTCTATTTTTCAAGTTTAATTTTTTTTTTCAAATCAGCTTTCTTCTATTTTAACGTCAGCATTAGAAAAAAAACAGAATTTTTATGAGATCACGTCCCATAAAAATATTCAGAAAAAGAAAATCGATTGTTTTTATTACAAATATTGTGGCCAGCAGCGATTTTTTCATGACTTTTAACATTTTCAATCTTTTTTCTTCCATTTTTTTTTCCAATAATCTTCATAGTAATCTCAGCAATAGTACCCAGCTGGCGTGAACCGATCTGAGACACTTATGTCTTGACGGCCATCGACTGGCCCTCGACGCGGCCCTCGGAAGAAGGTCCAAGTAGGCCTTCTTTGTCGTCTTGTGTGTCCAACGAGACAATGGTCACCTGTGGACTTCCTCCGTCTATTCGGAAGTCCTTCTCTCGATCTTCTTTGTTCCTGGGAAATTCGAATAATGACAACGCCGGAAATACATCTTCTCAAAGTGTTGCTGATGCCTTTTTCTTTAAAATGCATATTTTTTATTGAAAAAAAGAAAAAGACACTAAAATCAACAATTTTGGCTTGCCTAGCCGTTAAAACAGAGGTTCGAATTTTTATTCATAGGGTTTACCTAAACGCACTTTAGCGACAGGAAAAAAATCAAGAAGTCTTGGACCTTGGTAACGCGATCCGGAACCGTCCTGAACGTGTCAGAGCACTTCTAGTTTAGTAGCGCCAGCGCTCTTAAGTGACTCCTAGAATCGCTCAGAAGCGTCCGGTCCGAGGTGTTTTGAAAAACTCGAAGAATGTTCAATTATGGATCAACTTCGATTTCTGATGAGGTTGCTCTGATTTTTTACTGTACCGCAAAAATATCGTCAGCTGGATGATTATTTAAAACCATGGAAAAGAAATTAAGAAAAGAAGAAAAGAATATTTATTACAGGAACCAAGAAGTTCATTTTAGGTTTCAAGAGCTTCAGTGACTTTTCCCCTTTTTTCTCATCGTTTGTGATCCTTCACAAGTTTTTTTGAACACAAAAAGTCAAGAAGAAAAACCGGCAGGCCATCTTTCAACTGGCAACGTGGACCGGAAACTGTCTTTCTACGCAAAAAATTGAAGAACTTTTCTTTCGACAAGTTTTTGCCTCGAGGATATCAATCAAGGTATCGCATTTCTTCCAAAAAGCGCCAACTAGGTCATCCTTGGGGGTTTGCATTTTTTTAGAAAACATTTTACTAGAAATTTTTTTAAGTTTAAATTTTTTTGAGCGGTATTTGAAGTCAAGATCACATTTTTAAAAAAACTCAAAAATGTGGTTGAAAAAAATCAAAATATACAGGAAGTTCCGACCCGCCAACTTCTTCCTACTGGAAACATTTTTTATAATTTTTCCTCGAATATTAGTTTCAATTTATTGATTTTTTTTTTGTCTTGCATTTGAATCTCAAGTTTATTTCCTTGTATAGAGGTGTATTTTATTGAGATTTTTCTTCCTTTCTGCAACTGTCACGAAATTCTTTCCATTAAATTTTTTTTTTCGTAGTTATTTAGAGCAAAAAAAAACTCTGTTTACGGTAGCTTTTCTTCTCCTGTTCTTTTAAAACGTGGTCGTCTCTCACGGGATGCACTATAACCTTTTTTCTTTTTTTGAGAGCGTACAGAGCCGCTTCTCGAATCAGTTTGGCATGGATTGCTCTGTTGATCTCCTTTTTTCGATTCACGTTCCCATTTCTTTCCAATCTTCGAGAGAAAAGAGACCGCAGACAGGCCAGACTGCAGGAGAAAACATGTTTTCTGGATAGTGCCGGATCTGAGGTGTTGCACGTGGCTCGATCCGTGAGCCGACACCTGCGAAGGTCTCGTTTCCGTCGCCTCGGACGACTGGATTATTGCCGTCGCTCTGCCTTGGGGTGACGTTGAACAAATAGTCGAGAGCGGTCGTCGCCCCGTCATCCCTCCATCGACTCTTCGCCCATCAGCAACACAGTCAAATCTCGACTTTTCAGGGATTTTCGATAATATATTTATTCAAAAAGGATCTATGAAGGTGTATCACAATTACTAGGTTCTTCCAGAATACCAGTCAACGGGGTCAATTTTTTCGAATATTCTGAATCTCGTATATGGAATGACTGGAACTCTGAAACAATAAATCTAGAAGTGTTTTTTTTTCTGATTTGAGATCCCCCAGAATTTGTGTTAGGGAACTGTTAGCAGACCGAAAATCTGAAGAAGCCTTGATTTCGCGAAAAATGTTACAGATCTAGGTAAAAAAAGGGAGTTCTCAAAAAAGTACGCATTCTTACAGTCATTCTGAATGAAGGTGCGATGAAGAAAAAATAAGAATATTGTTTTTTTTTCGGACGTTCTTCATAACACAAGCTCGTTTATTGTCGAACAGTATGTTGCTGTCTCGCGCCGTTTTCTTAAAAGTGTTCAAAAAAAAATCTTTCAGAGCATCTGAGATTCGAACTATAATAAAAAGGCCCAAAGCTAAAGAGTCTTGATAAAGCCCTTTGAGAAGAAAGCTATGGATTTAATGGTTGCTTTACGATCTTTAAAAACGACTCAGATAAATTCTCGAACTATAAATGCTTCATAGAATACTTGATGGCCACTTCCATGACATCAGATACTATCAAAGCCAAGGTCAAGTTCACCAGGATCTAAGAAATAAGAGCATCAACTAAAAGAAAGATTGTTCGACGCTGGGCACTGGGAATGAAGCGGCACCAGACCGACCTCAACGCGGCGCTTCCAAACTCGGAGTCTGACTTTGTGGCTGGAAAAAACATGCAAATACTCGGATGGGACATTCATCTACAAACAACACATACAAACACCGGGAGGGACCGACGAAAGAGCTAATATTGGTTTTCTTGGTTTGGATAAACGGCCTCGCACCCAGTCGCAACCCATGTGCCACCAGCAGCATGTCCTCGTCGCCAGTCTTGCCCATTTTCGGAGTTTCTCCTTCCTCTCGTTATTTTCTTGGAAAAAGATGTCCTTTTTGGAAATAGTTCATTCCTTAGTCTTTCCTGAAGCTGATCCTTCCTTTCTGCACCAGAAATTTGAGTTAACTTTAAGCTTATTCTACCCTCCGCGTGGCCAAATCATGGTATTCATTTATTTTTATCCTTATTAGGCTTATTCTGTGAAAAAAATAGAAATTCCAAATGTTATGCCAGAGTTTTTTTTTCTGTGCTATTGAAGTTGAAAATCTCTGACTTTTTGGTCTCACTTAAGCTTCTCATATCGTCCAGCTATTCTCATTTTCAGAATCCTCTTGATCTGAAATTTCTCCCATTAAAAAAATGTTTTTTTCAAAACTTATCATGTTCAATGGTCTCTTTTTTTCGTTTTTTTATTCTGTTTTTGTGAAGTCCAAAGCTTTTTTTCTCCGCATTTTTTTGTCTCCGAAAAAAGATGGGCCTTGACTTTAATCTTCATGTCGTGGATTCATGTCCCCTTCTTTTATTTTTTGTGCTTTTCATCTTAAAAAAGTTTAATCAAGCTGGTTTCCCTGATGTTATCGCTCACAAAATTGCAAATTCTCGATTCATTTTTTTCAACTCTTCTTTATTCAATTTTTAGAAATATGATTAGAAAAGCTAAACCTTCTAACAAAATTTTTGTATAGATTAGCAAAACCCTCACTTGACTGGGAAAAAAATGTTTAGAACTACAGTAAGCCATCATTTTGAAACACAAAAGCTTGGTTGGACGTGTTCGTGACGAAAGCCACGATCGATTGTCGGTTATAGCCAGGGTGACGAGGCGAAAAGGTGAGGCTCGACTTGCCCGGGTTACTGTAGTGAGCAAACACGCGCCTCGGCTAATCTCGCATTCAACCTTTACGTTTCGGCCCTGGGAGAACGAGATGATGGGCCGATGGGCTTGCAAAAAAGCCACACCCGACGGATATGCATCGAGGGATCTTTTGCTGGAATTCCGTTCAGAAAAAGAATTATTTTTCTATTTTGCGGTCGATTTACCGTTGGCTGAGTCAATATTTGAAGGATGTGTGACTTTTAATGAAAATGGTCCTGTCACGACTCAGAGCCCTCTTGCATAGACTTTGAACAAAAATGTGAATTCAAGGAGGTCTACGAGCACGAATCTTTGTAATTTGATAATAAAAGCTTGAAACTTTTAGTATCCAGCTAACCTTTTTGGATTTTTCGAAGCCTTTTTAGGTATTATGGGATTGACAAGTGGTACTTTTTTATAAATAGAGCATCATATTTAGTACGACTTCAAAATTTTCCTGCGAAAATCAAGCCTGAAAATGAAGAAGACATTTTTTTAATTAGCTCTGAGAATTGAAGTCTTTGTACCTGAATCTTTCTTTTTTTGTCCCTTTTTAACTCTTCAATCAATCAAAATGTTTTATTTCTCACACACAAGTACTAAATTTCACGAAATAGATGTAGGGAGAATTTGGGAACATATGTGTCGGAACTTGTGGGGATGGAGGGAAGAGGACTCGCGGTCGTGTTAACCCCCCACTTGAGTAAATTGGAATAACCTTGAAGTTATTCTTTTAAATGTCGATTATGTAGCTTTCATATTTTTGTTGGATCAAGAGTGTTTAGTTCTGTAATGTTGTTTTCAAACCATTTCTCAAGTTTAGATCTGAACTTATTTTTTTCATACTCAAATACTATGTTTCTATCCATATGATTCCAATGATTGAATACTCTTTGATTAATGAACCGGTAGTGTATGTCAGAAAGTAGAGGCCGCTCTATTTTGAGACCATTTCCTCGCAGTTGATTCGATCTACTTGTTGTATTTTGTAAAATTTATCTATCTATACTGTTTTCTTCAATTCCATCATATAAATTTCCTGCTACGAGCGAACAGAAATCGAAGAAAATTCTTTTTTTGATCCTCACTTTGAAAAATGATTACCTTCTCTGAAACTCCGAAATTCTACTCAATAATTTTTAACGATGGTTTTACCCCGGTTTTTTTTTATACTTATCTCTAATATTCTGGAAGTCTAAAAATTTTAAATTTCTTTTTTCTAAACTTGATTGGCGGAAGATATCAAAGCTCTGTCAATTTTTTTCATTCGTTTTTTTGAGGTTCGTAGCACAATAAATGTTTTTCTTCAATCAACTTTTCATAGCGAATCAACTTTTTTTAGAGCTTGTACTCAAATTTCCAAAATTGTCTTGCCTTTTTCCCAAATTATTGAACTTTTTGTAAGTTTGAATTATCCTTATTTTCCGAGAAGCATTTTTCTTTCAGATATTATTGTATTTTTATTTTTCCGAGACCTTTCGTGTGCAATATCTTCTGTCTTTTCAATTTTTCACAGCTCTCGATTCTAATCGTCGAAATTTCGTGCAAATCAAAATAAAATCTATTTTACTCCATATTAAATCTCTCTACATTAAAAAATCAACAAAAACAAGAAGATCTGAGAAAAGAAAAAGTTCTAAGAAAGTTACAACCATTAAAAGAATACAGTAAACCCGTGCGTCGCGTAAAAAGGCACGTCGTAAGCCTTTTCGCCTGAAAGTCGTCGGAGAAAAAAAGAAGAGACAGGGAAAAAAGTGGAGGAATAAAGAGGAAAAGCGTCGATGGAGGCCGAATCGAACAACAAGTCTCATCTGGGAAAGGCAAACACACAATTCGGCCGGAAACGACATGACAACCGCCTACGGTAGACCTTTTCGGACCCATTTTCAACGCTTTTATGCGATTTCCATTGATCTTTTTTCGCCTCCTAATGGTTTCTTCTAAGATATTTTTCAAACTTTGGGGACCGTCAAAATTGATGAAGACCGCATATTTGAATATGGAGCAATTATTTGAGAAAGGCTGAACTTATAATATGGCAAGGAATTTGAAAAGGGAAATAGATACGTCATAAATTAGAAGTTTACATACGGATTTGGGATATTTGTCAAATTTGGCACCGAAAAATTGCATAAATTAATTAAAAGACTTCGATTTGGGATGTTTGTAGAGTTTGGCAACAATGAAAGAAAAAAACAACTGAATAGTGTTATTGTTGCTGCTGAAGGCCTTGGAGCTTCCGTCGGAGGACGATGATCAGCCGCTTTTGTCTGGAATCAGAGCAAAATTAAGAAGCGGAATATGGAGAAAGTTTGCGAATGGGATTGAGCAACTCTGTGTCGGGCCTTCTTCGTCCAACTTTTCTCAAGAGCCTGTGGATTCAGAAGCGCGTGACGTAACCGTCGGCTCTTTCAAACGAAGGATTATCCGACCACCGCCTAATGTAATGCGCTAATGGCAAGTGGGTGTCGGGCCGCTATTCTAACGTTCTTCGAAACTTTCTGATCGACTTGAGGGCACTATAAGTCTTATAACAAAATGATAAACTCTTCGTTTTGATTTCACAGTGAAAAGATTTTCGATTGAAGGCAGCTTTCATTTCAAAATTGTAAGTCACTCTCAAACATTTAAATGTCCCTTTATTTTGTGATGCGAAAAATTCCGTAAGGCCGTTACCGTTTTTTTTTAAAAAGCCACACAATCTTCAAAACTGGTAACCTGATAATGATCGGAAAACAACAAAAGGAAAATTTGATGGGTCAAGAGGAAAGGGACAAGACGAATGAAGCGGCCATGACACATCGGCCGCCATCAAAACGGCTTGTTTGTACGGATGGTTTTATGTTTCAAGGGTTCGGTTAACAGCCCAAATAAAGGTGCAGACACAAATACTTAAAAAAATCAGGTGTGGTATGAATAAAATAAACTTCAACTTGTCTCTCCAACATGCAGCTTCAAGGTTGGAACTAAACTTCCCGTGTGGCAAAGTTTTTCTTTGAAAACTCGCTGATTTTGTGAAAAAAAACTTCATCATAACCTACTGAAGAAAAGCATGCCTTTGATAAAAGTTGTCGACTTCTTTTCGGTATTCATTAAGCTGAAAGTTTCAGCGCTTAAAGGGATACTAATGAAAAAGACTTTCGAATTAGCCAATAGATGAGAAAATATTTTTATCCAAGACAGATTCTATCATTTCATTCACAATCAAAGTGTTTTTGCGTTTGAACTAGGGGAGGACACATTAATAGATAAAACTCCTAGTGAAATTAAAAAAATAAAATAAATATATTTCATGGAGACGTTAAAAAAAGTCAGGAATAATAAACAAAATCCATCGAATTCTAGAATGACTTTTGACTTCAAGCCTAAAAACATACTTGAAATGAAAAAATTCCTTGTCGAAGTATTTTTCGATTGGCTTCAATAAAAACTAATAAACCCAAAAATTCCTCGAAGGTCAGAACAAAAAATTGATGGCAGAAGAAAAACCATGGAAAAACCTATTATTCACCTTATGTCTGTTTTTCATACTCCGTCCAAGTTCTGGTTCATTTCTCAAAAATTCGCGCAGTACAACAGCACTAAGTGATCACTTTGGGAGCCTTTCGTCGAGTTTTGACCTGAGAAACACGAGGGTGCTCCACGGTCGTCGAGTCATCGGGAGCCGTCCCATTAATTAAGGACACTCGTCTCGAGAGCCCAAAACTTGGGTTGTCGACAAACAAACTCCACGGGAAGGACAACTTTTGTAGCACAGGTGGGTGCCAAAAATGGGAGGAAGGAAATTGTGACGCGTTTTCCGGCAAATAGTGTGAAGGACCATGGATTCTTGGTTGGAGTGACTGGTTTTTTAATGGGTTGACAAAATGAGAACAGTTTTTTTTTTGAAAAAAAATCAGCACTTTTGGGTGCCTACTTTGAAAAATCCATTTTTTTTCCGAAAAGAAAGAATGATTTGAATTTAAATGCTTTTCATGACGTTAGAGCTTCAAATTTTGAAGCAGAATTGAACTTTTCCTCGATTTATACAACAAAACTCAAATTCCCTGACTTAATATCTTGAATTTCTGTTTTATTTCGAATGGCTTTCTTATGAACGGTTTTTTTTTCCGGATTTTCGTTAAGATTACGATCTTTTTCTTCTAAAAGTTTCTTATTCGGCAGCACGATCCAAAGTTGAAAGCTCTGATAATCCTTATTAATTTTATCAATGCATTTAACCAATAAGAAAAAGGAAACAAACTTGTTGATTTCGTCGCGCAACCGCGTAACGTCTTCGACGTCGCTGAAGTCGTTCTGAGTGAAGTTGGTGATGGAACTCATGTTGGAGATGGTCCTTGTTGACCGTGGCGGCGCGATCGGCCCATTCGCGTGAAGTCTGAACTTTTTTGTGAGACTTTACTTATTGAAAGATGGTATAGGTTTCGAAGTGTTTATAAGGATTATTTTCGCAGTTACAAATGAAAAATAAGTTCTGAATATGATTGCTGAGATTAAAGCAATTAAGGAACAGTTTGAAAATTCAGAACAGGAAGAGTCCCGAAATGCTTGTGAATTAAGGGAGTTGTTTTAACAAACACCTTGAAAATTTGTTTGTTTTTTCTTGCTCAGAGTGTTATAAAGTCGTTAGCTCATCTCAAAAGTCTATTTTTGTTTTCAAGGGTCACGCAAATCTTTAATTCAACCAATTAGTGATCTGCATATCTTCTGCGACAAGTTCTGAACACAATTGATAATTTGGAAGTCAATTTTTGTTAGTCTCTCCTACAAGATTTGCTAGTTCGCTGAAAAATCACACGATTATGTTCACAATTATGTTCAATCCAAACAGTTAAAGGAAAAGCTATAAATCAGCTTTGTAACTAAAAGAAACCAAATACACTGCAAAAAAACACAAAACCACGAACTTCTCGACTTCAATCTTCAGTCTCGTCCTCTCATCGCGCAGCGACTCAATTTCCCGGGATTCGTCACGTCTTCTGGAAATTCAGGAAACATGCAAAAAAGGAACAGCAACCAATCAAATCAACAGAGCAAAGGGGAAAACTGAAAATTAGAGCTGAGGAAGATAAAATGAATACCGTTTCTCAGCGGACTCCAATGACGCTTTTTGGTCTTCTATCCGCATTTCGAGGACTTTTTGCTTGGCCTGTGCGGCTTGCAAATCGCTCGCCAAGCGTGTTCTTTCCGCATTCGCGCTGAAGTTTTGGTTATTGTTATTGTTTTTTTGTGAGTACTAGTGATGTGAATTCGACTTTGGATGCTACTCAGACGTGAAAAAGAAATTTTTTGATTATCGACTTCAAAACGCACTTTTTGAGTTTCTCCTCGAACTGCCGGGCAACTTGCTCTCGTTCAGCTGCAACCGATCGTTCTGCTTGCGAATGAGACTTGAGCAGTTCTCCGGCGAGCCTCGCGTTTTCAGCCACCAGTTCCTTGGCCTGAAAGAGGGCGAAATCTTGGTCTAGTACTCCTAATACTGTTAAAAAATATGATATGATCCGAAAAATTTCGTTTTTTGTTTTAACTTCTGGTTTTAACTACTCGAAATCAGGGTTTTTTCTTCAAATTTCTCATTCTTGGCATGATTGCCTTCACTTTTTAATCGAAACCTACCCGTTCCGAGTCCCGACCGCCGCCGGTTTTCGCGTTCTCGAGAGCAGCCTCGAGCCGTTCGCTCTCCTCCTGCCACCTCTTCTTCTCCTTGGCGATTTCTTCCACTCGCCGTGCCTCCGACTCCAGAAAACGCGTCATCTCCTGCACTTGATTGAGCAGCGACTCGTTGCTCTTGTTCGCCGACGTCAACTTTGATTCTAGATCTCCTAGCTGAAAGTTTCGTTTTGTATTGGCTTTTTCACGTCAATCATGCTATTCAGACACAGACGTCGTTAATTTATACACATGCGTGTCAGCTATATCTAACTTTCCAACCTTTTTCTTTGCCTGTTCTTTCTCGACTTCTGCATCTTCCCCGTTCAGCTCCAAAGCTTTCTTCTGCTCGGCGAGCTCCTTCAACTCCCGCTGCCACTTCTCCTTCTCCTTCAGATGTTCTTCGACAAGTCTGTTCTGCTCCAAAAGTGCATCGTCGATGGTCGCTTGATTAGAACGGATAGTGTCAAGATGTCCTTTCAAAACTTCGACTTCTTTTTCTGACTTGTTCTTTTCAGCTTCCAGCGTTTCCATTGTCTCTTCTTTCAGTTTAATCGTCTCCAAATATTCATCTATTTCGAGTCGACTGTTCATCATGCTCTTCTGGTGTTCTTCCATCACGTTCTCCAGCGATTTGTACTCAGACCTGGAGTTTTCGAGCTCTTTTCGGAGTTCGTCCAGTTGCCGAGAAATGACTTGCTTTTCCTCGTTATGCCGGGCAGTGAGTCGGTCTTGCTCTTGCAAAACATCGTCGATAACGCCTTTTTCTGATCGAAGAGTCGCCAACAGCTGCTTGAGCTCCTCGACTTCCTTTTGAACCTCGCTCTTCTCTTTCTCACTCCTTTCCAAGGCTTGTTCACTCTTGTGCATCTTTTCAATTAAGGAATCTGTCTCCAGTCGATTCTTCACCAACTCTTGCTGATGTTCTTCGAAGATATGCTCAATCGAATTTTTTTCTGTCTCCACTTTCTGCAGTTTTTCACGAAGGTCAGCGAGTTCTCTTCTCAATTGAGCCGCCTCTTCTTGATGCTTCATGTTCTGCCTCTCTTGGCCTTGAATGACGTCATCCACTGCAGATTGGTTGAACCTCATTTTATCGATTTGCTCTCTTGCCCCTTCAGCTTCCGAAACAGCCGAAAGTTTCGACCTCTCACTATCTTCCAAAGCCTTTTCCAGGTGACGGATTCGCGTGGTCATCTCTTTCAAAGCTACTGACTTCTCGCTCAAGATCTTCTGATGTTCTTCATTGGCGTTGACCAACGACTTGCTCAGCTGGGACTTCAACTCTTCTGCTTCTCTGACCGCCTTAATTCTCTCTTCTTCTAACTTGGATAGAGCCATCTCTTTTTCTCGGACGATTTCTGCCAACTCGTCTGTTTCGGCGCGGTTCTTGATCAAAGCCTCCTGATGTTCTTCAAATACGTCTTCAAGCGACTTCCGTTCTGATTCTGTCTTTCGAACCTGCTCCCTCAAGTCTTCTACTTCTCGTTGCAGACGCTCCTTCTCTTCTTGATGCTTGAAAGCAAGATGTTCTTGCTCCTGGAGAGCAGAGCCGACATGTTTCTGCTCCGACTGCGATTGATTAATTCGCAAATGAAGTTGCTCTATTTCTCGTTTGGCCTCAATTGATTCACGTTCTTTTCCGCTGATCAACTCGCCGAGCTCTGCACTTTTCTGGTCCAAGATGTCCTTGTGCTGCTGAAGCTCCGACGCGGCTCTTTGGTGTTTCTCCACCTCGCGTAGTCGTTCACTTCGAAGAGCCTCGACCTCAACCTGGTGCTGGGCGTGGACTTTCTGCAGCTCCTTGCGGTGCTCCGCCTCGAGCTCCTCGAGCTGCTGCCGAATCATCTGGGAGAAGTGCTCAGCCTCACGCATACGCTCGGCCTGCTGCTCGGACGCGTTGAGAGCCTCGCGGATCTCGTCGTACTCCTGCAACTTGCGGGCTTCTTCAACCGATCATTCATCGTGTAAGTAGTATGAGATGGATAGAAAGAGAGAAGTAAGCTGGGATTAAGCGAAGAAAAGATCCGAAGATAGGGTGCCAGAAGGCCGCAATTTGCAGGGAGTGAGGTGGTGGAGGATCTTTCTCTACCTTCTGGAGCTGTTTGAGGTGCCGATCCAGATCTTGAGAGTTGAGTCTTTCGCGTTCCAGTTCACCAGTCACTTTGGATAGGTTGGAAGTTTGAGATTCAAGTTGCACGGCGAGCGCTTCGGCCTGCAGTTGAAAAGTCCAAGAACCCATTTAAAGAAAACCACAGTTTTTCCCTCGCTTTTATTTTCAATTTCTTTTTTCGGACAATACAAGTCATGCGGATTCATGCAGAAAGTATTCCACATATATATGCTTTGATTCTGTTTCTCTGAAATATGTACCCGATCTTTTTGGACGCGAGTTTCACCCAACAGCCGCTCTTTCAAGTCGTCTTGCGAGCCGATGGACCGGAGTTGATCTTCTGAGAAACATCTTCATGTTGACTTCCAGCATGCTTTTTTACCTTCTAATTGCTGGAGCCTCAACTTTGTGGCCTCGTTTTCCCTTTGTAAGACCTGACATCGTTCTTCGGCATCTTTAGCTCGTCTCTCTACGGTGATCGAAGACTCGGCATGTTCAGCCTGAAAAGAAGAAATGAAATGTGCAACGGACAATTGGAGTATTTGAGAGACTTTATCCGTATTTCTATGAAAAAATGTCCGAAAAACGACCTACTCCTGAAATATTTCATCAAGATATTGAAAGTAATTGAAACTCAGGAGGAACTGAGTATTAACAGCCCTCAAAATGATGGATTACTCGTGTTTTTTTTTCAAACTGTTGAAAGAATACTAAATTAGGAATTGGAGAGATGAGTTCAAAGTACATTTTTCCCACTCGAATACCTTGATTTTAGCTATGGAATTCGTCAGCTCTCTTCTCAACTCTTCCTTCTCGTGCTGCAACTTCTGGAGCTGTTCCTCTAGTTTGTGGTTCTCGGACTGAAGACGTTCCTGACTGCTCTCCTGAGATGACGTCAGCAGGGAGATCCTCTCCGTCTGATGGCTTTGTTCGGTCTCGGCTTGTTCAGCCCGGGTCTTCCAGCGGCTGCATTCGTCCTGCTGGTGGTACAGCTCGTCTCGCGTCTCTCGGAGCTCCTTCTCCAGGTTGCTGATCTCCTCTTGGTACTGGCTGGAAACAAATTTTCTGTCTACTTTTCAGAAAATTTTTTTCATCTGAAAATCAGCTTCAAACTCTCTCCTAAATCTACAACAAAAATATGAAAAAAAAAATCTACCTATTTTCTGAGCGGACAGAGTTCAATGAGAACATCAACGTGTTGATTTCATCGGCAACAGAAGCCTGAAATGAATTTCTCAGAGCTTTCAGACTTTTCTGACCCGACCTTAGACTCCAACTTTCTCTTCTCAACGGTCACATTTGCCAGCTCAGACTCCAGTTTTCTGTAGGCTTCCTCTTGCTCAGAAATCCTGCGCTGGGACAGTTTCAGCTCGGCCTCCAAGGAGTGGCTGAAATAACCTCATATTTTTTTGAAAAGGATCAGTTGCCAAGATTAATATGTAGGACTAAAAAGACCTTATCTGCGCTATTAGCCTCTAAAACGACCTACGTTGAAAAGCTTGAGGTAAGTTTTGATTCTGATGTTGTCTGGGAAAAATCAGAAATTCATGAATGAACTTTTAAAATCTCTGTTATGGCTTCTTCCTGCACTTCTCATTAGCCCGAAATAAAAAACAATCTAGCATTAAACAGAAGAAAGTTTTCGAAAAATAAATTTAGACAGACATGTTCATCTGGACGGCAGCGACGGCGTCGGTCTTCTCCCGTCGGAGCTCTTCGAGCATCTCGTGAAGACGTCGACTTTCTTCCGCCGACGACTCCATCGAATCCGCACGTCTTCTGCTTTCCACTTCGTACTCCTATATCCACTTGTTTCTGGTGGATTTTCCATTGTGAACTACCTTCAAGGAAGCCTCCGTCCTCTGTAACTTGGACTGCAGTTGCTGATGTCGTTCTTCGGATCTCGCGAGTTCCGATCGGAGCATCTCAACCTGAAACCGCAGATTCATTCTGGATGATTATTTTCCAATAACCTGAGCGTTAGAATCTCCCTGAGCAGATAGCTGATCCGACAGTTGCTGTTCCCTTCTTTCAGAAGCTCTGGCTCGAGATTCCATCACCTAAAAGCTATTTATTTTTTGTGGATTACAGTTTTTGTTGGACCTGAAGATCGGCCTCCGCCTGTTGAGCTCGCGATTCCGCTGAGAGAAGCTTCACTTTAGTTCTCTGGAAATTATTATGAAAATTTAAAACTCCTCATACCTATTTGAACTTTTTGAACAGTATATTTCTCTCCTTTTATATCATTTTTTTCAGTTTATCTTCAGATTATTTGAACGGTCACAAATAAACGAACATCAATCTTCTCGTCTTTTTCACGAAGAGTAGCGTCCAAAATGTCGATTTTCTGCTCCAAATGTCTGGCCGAAGACTCCAACTCGACTCTTTCGCGCATCAATTTGTCGCCGTCCGATCTTTGTTCCTTAAATTATGAAAATAGATTTTCACATTTGAATATATTTATTTCAACCAATATTCGAGTATGATAATCGAAACATTGAAAAATTGAATATAGGTTTTAAAAACAGTCAGAATCCGGAAAGTAGTGTTGACCCTGTCGCTCGAAATCGTCAGTAATTCTCCAAAATATATATTCTAGACTATCAAGTTTTTGAAAAATAATTAGCTAATGAACAAATTAATTTTTTTTTACTTCAAAAAAAACCTGTTCAAGACGGTCATTTTCCTGTTGAAGCCGAATGGCGTCCTGTTCGAACTTGGCGATTTTGTCCTTTAGACGGGACAGACTCTCTTCTGATGATGACAACGTCGACTTCAGTTCTTCTACTTGAGCCTGGAAAATTTTTTTTTGAAACTAATTTAGACCGAAAAAAAACCTTGAGTCGATCTTTCTGGCCTTGTTCATCCTGCAGACGTCTTTCCACGTTCTGAAGTTTGCTCTGAAGATCTTCCAGTTGCGTTTTTGAGACGTCGTGAATGCTTTGGGAGCTGGAAACGATCATTTTGAATCATTTTTTGAGTATAAATAGTCAAATTTTGCCGTCTTGAAAGGCGAGATGGGTTGATTGGCAAGGATGAAGCGTTGCGTGTGCGACGCGGCTTTTGGCAAGAAACTCGGGCCAAACGAAATCACGTGAAAATGTGGGGGAAAAAAAATATTTTCATCCTTTTTATACTTTTATTTGTTCGAATAAATTATTTGGAAACTATAAAAAGTTGAAATAAATTGGCAAACTGTCAAAAAAGCATAAAAACATGAAGAAGACGGCTCCCGTTTGACCACGAGTTTCCCACCATAAAGCCGCTTCGCGTACGCAACGCTTCACTCTCTCCAGTTTCTCGTTTTTTAAGTATGATACGATTGTCTATGATAACTTGAAAAAATTCCCGCAAAAAGACAAACTTTCGAAGACGTCCGATTTCGGACTGATGTTCGACGAGTTCGCCAGTGGCACGGGTCCATTTCAAGCGCATTTCGTCGAGTTCCCGCGTTATCCTGTCATTCTCCTCCACGAGCTTGTCTAATTTTCCAGTGTCCTGAATGGAAAAGATACTTTCCATCATATTAGTCGGAACAGACTTGTTTAGCGAGCATCAAGGACTGCAAGGAGGCGTTTTTGATGTCGAGTTGTCGTTGTTTCTCGTCGAGTTCGGCCTCGAGTTTGGCGACGTCCTGCTCGCCCGTCCTTCTGACTATCTGCAAGCGGAACCGGGTTCAAAATAGATTTTGTTCCTCAAAAAGCGCTGTGAAACGAAAAATTTGCGGAATCATTTCAGAAAAGCTTCTTCATAAGAAGAAATATATAAATCTTGGATTTACCTCAATCTCTCTTTTCGCATCTTGAAGTTCATTGGCAAGCCTTGAACGATCGGATGATGAAGAGTTCTGAAAAAAAGGTAAATAAAATTAGGCGGTTGTTTTTTTCTTAGATTTTTAAAATTGTTACGATAATCAGGACGATATTGAAATTCCTCTGCAGGAACATTTTTTTAAATATCTAAAATGACAAACGTGCAAAATCGAAAATTCAGAACACCTAACAACCTTTCAAATAAAAAAAGGCCCTAAAAATTGAACCCCCAATACACTTTATACGATATAAATTTATAACCGATAGTGCCTATAAATACTAGAACAAAACGAACAGCGATACCGTATTTAAATGAGATAAGAAAAGTTAAAAAATCGTCTAAAACCGGCGAGAATAAATGAAAAGTGAAGAAAATAATCAAAAACCTTAAGACTGTCGAGCTCCCTGCGTGCTGCGTTCAGATCGCTGCGCAACCTTTCCGTTTCTTGGGAATCTCCAGCTTCTGCCAGCTGCGCGATCATCGTGTTGATCTTCAAAATAACCTTTTAGGCTAAAATATGGTATTGAGTTAGCACAGAGAATAGAAAGAGCGACATCAAGTCCATTTTTTCGTCAAAAACTATGGTAAACGGAATTTTTTTCAAGTGGCTGGTACTGGAGGCTTTATGGAACAATCCCTGTAAAAGTGAAGAAAAAAAGAGACCTGCATGAAGAGTTCGTGCTTCTCGTTTTGCTCCCGCTCGAGCTGCTTCCGGAGTTCCTGTTTCTCGGCGTTGAGCGACTGAACGTCGGCCGGCTGTTTTGACTGCCATTGGACCCTGAGAACAGCTTCGTAGTCCATTATCATCCTTTATTGTTGTTTTAGGCAGAGTTGAAATCAGATGAAAACTCCCTCACACTTTATTCGACGTCAGATTTTCAATTATTTTCCTGATTTCTCTCAGAAATTGTGCAAAATTTCCTCTTGGTCAAATTTTTTGCAAATTTTTGAAATCAAAACGAACTTTCGAAAATTCTCTCAATAGATTGGTAAATTACATTGTTTTCATTTCCTTTTTCTGATTTTCACCATATTTTCAATTCTTCCTTAAACAAACTCTATTCGCTTTAAAGAAGTCTTTACGGTAGAATACCAGATTTTTAGAGAGACCCCTTCAAAATGACGTAAAAAAGCCAAACTTTCATCGAATAATCATTATGAAGAGCCTCTTAAACTTGTCGAAAAAAAAAAATCAATTTCACGAATCCAAATGACTACAAAGACAATTCAAATTCCGTTTTGATTTTTTTTTTTTAATAAAAAGAAGAATTATATCAAATCAAAAACTATGAAATTCGAGAATAAATCTGCCGTCATATCCATTAAAATCTTCAACTTTCTGTCCTCCACAAATATCTCACACATCTCGAATCTTCCGAAATGCCATAAATTTATCAGAATCCCGTGCGTAATGCATTCGCATCCGGTTTCCGGCACTCTTACCACTCCGGAGTGTTTCGCGACTCCAAATAAGACATTAATAAATTCGAGTCACGATATTATGCCCACCTTGAGCTGTAAAACTCTTCTCTCAGGGAGAAAGTCGACATTTTCTCATTCAGTTTCTTTTTTTTCTAAGGATCCTATATCGGGTCAAACACGAATCAAGAACTCACTTTTCTTTCTTGAGCTGCTCGACTTCGGTCGTTTTATCCTTCAGCTGCTTCTGAAAAACAAATAATTTTTGGTTTTGTTGCGTCATTTTATTCTTCCATTTCTAGTTTTTTATTTCTTTTAAATTTCTCTTTTCATATTTATTTTTCCTCCCTTGTTCCATGTTTCTACTATACTCTTTGAAGGCAATATATAAAACTCGTCAAAGATTTTTTTAGAAAAAAATCTTTATAAAATTTCTTTAAAGGTTTATTTTTGCAAGTAATTTCTCTAAAAAAATTACTGCCTTTTGAAAACTACCGAAACATGGTATTTCAAGATTGAAATGAGTAGGAGAATCTCACTCGGAGGTCACCGATCTCGTTTGCCGAGCCGGCAGCGGGGGCCGGCGCCTCGCCGCCGGCCGTCGACCGGATGAAGTTCGAAAAACTGTTAATGGTTCCACACCGCCTGGCCCAATTGCTAAACATTTTTCGCCGATTCCAATAAATTCGTAGAGAAATAGGTGAACACGAAGACAAGTGGAAAAAGAAGTAGTAATTCAAAAAGAAAGTAGAAAAATGTTATGAGAGGAAATCTCTCTTTATGAGAGGTTTTGAATAAAAAAAAATCGGAAACTGATCTCGTGACAAACACGTTAAAATCTGCGCATTTTAGTAAGCAGACTTAATTCCAAAAAAATCGACCAGCTTTGATTGATTAAAGAGAACATGAGTGAAAAAAAAAAAAACGAAAAATCGGCTTATTCTGTCCGTAGAGCGCAAATGCAGTCCTTTTTCGGCCAAACTACATTCTCAATTCCCTCATTCATCATTGATATTCCAAGATTGGAAAAGAAAATTTATTGAAAAAAAATTTTTCCTGTGGTTAGGAACAGCAAAAAAATTTTTGGCTCATTTCAAGCTAAATTTGAACATTCTTTTGTAATTGGATTTGCAAAAAAAAAAACCGGCTAACAAGTAAAAACCAATAACGAAAAGTTAGAATGTGCCACCGTTAAGATAGCCAAAGTAGAAGCGAACACAGGGAAGAAGCTTAGGCGGCCCCGCGCGCAAATACTCGAAACCGACACTTCAAAGCTTCGTCAACAGCTGTTTTTAGAACAGTTACGAGCCATTAGGACCGCCGGTTCAGTGAAGACCTCAATTAGAGAAGAAAACATGTCTATTCTCTAATTGTTCTCAATTTTAGAGCAATATATCCGGAAATTTTTGAATACTATAAGATAAAAAAATATCAAAGGTCAGATTAATTCTAGTTCTGAATCGATTCATTCTGGAAAATGTGAGCCCAATCCTTTCACAAACAGAAAAGACGCTTTTTGACGCGAAATCAGATGGAAATCCGGCGAGTGGGTCACAAAAGCGCCCAAATCTTGCCGTTCCATCTCAAATCGCTCACACTCTCCAACTGTGAAATGGACTAGGAGATCATTCAAAGTTATAGATTAATTTTTCAAAAAAATAAAAAAATGGGTTTTTTTCTTTTTAAAGTCAACTAAACTGAAAAATATTCCAACAATTTAAAATGACCGTGACAATTTATTTTTACAACTATTTCTAATGTTCGAAATGATTTAAAAACAAAACAATAAAATTAATTAATAAAAAAATTTGACATGATTTTTTTCCGAAAGAGTCCTGTCAGATTGACTCAAAAATTTTTCAGAAGAACGAGAAACGGCAAAAAAATCAAGAAGCTTGTTCAATTTTGAGAAAGAATTAAAAGGAAAGTCATATGAAGAACCTAGTCATTTTTCCTCCTGAGACTAATTCTAGAATTTATTAACAGTTCAGTCGAAAATCAATAGTAGTAGCTTAGCGGTTGATAGGGTAAAAAGAAAGAAAACGAAGGTAGGTTCAGAGATTAAAGAGGCGACCGGGAGGTCCGGCCCGGCTGGTACAATTGGAGGCTGAGGTCAGACCTCCGAGGGACATGCTCGAGAGAGAGAAAGAGACGCAGACACAGACACGCCATCTCCTTGATTTATATCGACGACTTCCCTTGTTATATGCCATGTCCGGCCTGATTGATCTCTTTCTTTCTCTTCGCCGGTTAATTAGGACTTCTTCTCTCATAATAACTGTCCTGTGAATTGGTATTTGATGTGTTTCAGGATCCAGTTCAAAATAGTGAAATGTTTTTTTTTTATTTGTGAAAACATCAATGTAATAATAATAGAGGTTTGGAAAATGAATTCGGATTCCGGTGCTGTGAGTCACGAAAAATTCGTTTTTTTAACTGTTATTTCCAACAAGATGTTCCAAAAAAACCTTTCGAGCGTCAAAAAAAGTTTTCGACAACTTTTTCGAAAAAAATTTTTTTAAACTGTTTTTAAACGATGGTTAAGAAATAAATTTGAAATATGAATTTCAAACAAGGAAAACTCAATTTCGGTCATCACATCACAGAACTCAAGTTGTCAATTCGTGAAAATGAATCGAAAATACGTTAGGAAATTAAAAATTACACTGCCAAAATCCAAAATAGAAAGAAAGGAACACGGGAATGTGTTCTGCTCAGGGCAACCGGCTCCATTTTCCCACCCAATTTTCCCTCCTTTTTGCCATACAACGTCATATGCGGACGTGTTTGCACTAGGTTCTTTTCCTCGATAAATATCCATTTTTGAGTTGAGCAAAAAAAAGTTCGAAATTCTCAAATTTAACTCTTGTGAAGATATGAAATCTTTCAAGGTTTACCTGAAAGTGCAAAAGGAGGTAAAAGAAGAGGAATGGAGTGACCTGAAATGATCGATTTGGGTGGTTGCCCCTGGTTCTACCAAAAACCGACGTCTGCTATTTTTTGCACCTTTTTATGCGTCATTTGTTCGCGGAGAATGTCTCCTAATGAACTCGAATTGGGAACAGTTTTGAAAAAAATATTTCAAAAATTTTTTCATTTACAAAAAAGTCGTTATATGGATTATGAGGAAAATATAGATTTAACCGTATAATCAAGTTTTTGATGCAAAAAACGGTCATAATTTAAAAGACTGTTTTTAAAACCACTATTTACGCGTCGTTTTTGAATTGGAAAAGAAAACTTTCCAAATTATATCCTGAATGAATCCCCAAATTTCTTGAAATGGAAGGGTTTTTCGAAATCATCATTTAAAAAAGATCTTGTTGGAAGAAGCTCGCATTATTTAAACTCATATCGATTCAAAATTTGAATTGAAATGGAGAAAAAAGAGGGAAAATGGTGAGATTGAGCCAACAAGTTTGAAAAGGTAGTTAGAAGAGTACAGTCACGGACTGGCGTACAAATTTTCGGCCCAACCCAACTGGAATGTGTTGGCCAATGATAACGAAGTGTGTGATATGCCAGGCTCCAAATGACCCATCACTTATCTTTTTTTCCTCTAAAAATCGAGTGGTCATTTGAAAGTTATTATTTTTAGTTACAGTTTAAGAAATTTATCTCTTTGTACTCTGAAAAGTACAAAATCTATTACGTTCAGGTTTTAGCTGTTCAATTTTTTCCTGAAGTTTTTAAATAAAATTTTCGAACAAATGTCCATTTTTAGATCTTCTGAACTCTTCAACAATAAAAATTTAACACTAAGGATGCTTCAAGTTTCACAAAACCGTGATTGGAAGTAAAAATTTGAAAAAAAGAAAAACCAACCGAAAAATCCTCGTAATCCATGAAAGTAAAAGTTATCTGTGAATGTTGGAAGGTAAAGTGGAGCGTCAAGTCATATGGCAGTTCGTATAAAAATTCAAATTATAAACGGACGGACCGGTTCGGCGACGATTTGTCGCCCAATCAAATTTTATTGATCTTGTCGGGATTTTTTTCGAAATGGTTCCATTATTTTTTTCAATTCGCATTATAACTGAGTGATATTTATGATTTTTGAAAATATACTCTTCCATTGAATCTAAAAAATTCTTGGAGATGAAAAGAGACAAAAAAAAGTTCATGAACCCAAAAAGGCATTTTATACAAAGCATTGAGTTTCTCTAGCTGAACTTTAGATGTAGCCGTTCCGCGATTGCTTATGAAATACGATATCAATGTTTAGAACAGGTATTCCAAGCGCGTATTTCCACGTAAATAAAAATATTCAACGCGAATCTCATTTCATTGATGTTGGAATATGTATTAAACACAGAAGAGAAGAAGAAAAATACAAGGTAAAGAGAAAATTTCTTTCCCTCCTCTTTTTCTTGACAATGACAAGTCGATGACGCATGGCTAATCTTGAATGGGGGCGGCTGAGGAACGAACCATACGAAAAAAAAACCGTTGGTTTGAAATGGAACCCAAAATGTTGAGAATAATGTTCTGTAAAGGAAATTGAGCAAGAAGAATAAGAAATCGATAGAAAGGAGCCGGCGGTCGTCAAACGGACCGTGTTGTTTGAGTTGGGCGGAGGTTTTTGCGAGGCCCAAGGAGAAGCGGCGAAAAGAGGAATGGGACAAATGTAAACACGACAAATATGGACACCCAGGTTGCATTCTTAATCACGGTTCACTCTGCAAACCTTGACGTCTTCATTAAGCTTTCATGTGGAAATTCTAAAGTTTCAGGTTCAAATAAGCCTATGTACTCGCTCAATGCGCTAAATTCGTTGCAAATAAAGCTTTTCCTCTTTTCGACCGAGATTTTCGAAAGCTTATGGCTGCTTTTTATAAGGAAGTATGAAAAAAAAAAATTAAAAACAAATGTTTTGATGAGCATAAATGTGGTATAAATGTAGTGCCATAAATTGTAAATATTTCTTTCCTCGAAATATATTCTTCTTCTGCTTTTTTTCTTTGTACAATCAGTTTTTTTTTTCATAATCGAAACAGTGACCGAACTTTTCTCAGAAAATTCTTTTGGAGACTTTTTTTTAACATATCAGTTCTTTTTTAATCCCCTCCGAGAATATTCCTTTTCCGCCTATGAAAATTTTCCCAAGTTATATAAATAGAAAAATGACTTTCGAATTTCAGATATGCCCGTTGTGGATCAAGAGAAGCCAGAAGACTTTGGTCCCATGTACGAAAGTTATCAAATTAGAGAGGTAATCATCCTAACAGAACGTCCAACAGGAGCGGTGACTTGGCCGTCGATGCGGCAGACCGCCAGCGTGCCGTCGATAGCTCAGTTGGTAGAGCGGAGGACTGTAGAGCAGTGGGTATCCTTAGGTCGCTGGTTCGAATCCGGCTCGACGGATGGCTTTTTGCCATTTTTTGCTTATCGCGCATTGTCTTTTTTTTATAACGATTTTCGAAAAACTAGTCAATGAAAGCTCATTTTTCTAGTTGCAGCTCGTGAACGAAACATTAGGCGCCGTGATGGTCAACGTAGAAGCCTTGAGAGCGGGAGAAACCTACGAAACCAAAAATGAAAAGACAGATAAACAAAGAGAAATCCACGAGTTCGATATAACAAGACTTGAGGTCCCCTTTCGTTTCTAAAATTTATAAAACTATTGCTTTCTAGGAAGAATTATCAGCAAGGTGGAGTTTTGAAGAAGAAGAAGACGAGTTCGAGGCTGCACGTTCTCACTGGATTCAACTTCAGAAAACAAATAAACAGGTTGGAGATCCGATTCAAAATATGATATTTTCAAAACTTCAGGCGATCGCAGTTCGAAGTGCATTCTTCTACCTGCTGGAAAAATACCCTCACATGCGGCCAATCTGGAACTTTGCCAGGAACATCGACGACTGCGAAGACATGTGGAAAGGAGAGCTGGAGGACAACTTCTACTTCAGGTAAGTCCAAATCCGATTAAGGAAAAGAAGAAGAACATTTTGAGACATCACTGCGCCTCGATTCAGGCGGCGATAACCATGATAATGGAGAACAAAGACGAGCCGAGCAACCTCCGCAAATTCCTCAACGAAATCGGCGGCCACCATTTTTTCTATGACGCATCGGAGCCCCATTTGGAGGTGCGCGAAAACCCTCACGCAATCCCTGATTGACAAAACAAAGGTGTTCCACGAATCAATGATCGAAGGCATGAAACTGGTTCTGAACGGCGCTGACGCCCTAGATGACGCCATTGAGGAGTCTTGGAACGAAGTGAGTCAACAAGCTCGAAGTGCTCACTCAAGGGATTGATTCAGTTGTTGAAAGTGATCAAGTTGCACATATGCGAAGGGATAACTATTCAGCGAGTGAATTACTTGACAAACTGCATGACCACAGCTGAGATCACCGAAATAAAGTGAGCTTCTTTTTTGAAAACATAACTTAAATATCTTCAGAGAAACTTGGGACAAAGTCAGGGAACACGGATTTGAAAGCGCCGGTGAAATGTTTTGCCGCACTGCTTTCTCTGTGAGTTTTATTTTTTTGTGAACGAATTCTTTAAAGTACATGTCCAGAAGTACACTGAGCTACTTCAAAAACACAACTTGACGAGGAAAATGCCAAATTATGCGCGAATCGACTCTAGAAAATTCAAAAACTTTTCTCATCAAATTATCCAGGTAAGGACTCTCGTTTTTTGTTTTACTAAGGGGAAGAAGTTCAGGCTGTTGATAAAACGATAGCTAGTTACACGAAAGAGGACGGATTCTGTGGTTTGATAGAGGAAATCCAGGATTTTGTCGTCCGATTTTTGGTGGTCGACGTGTGTCCGCCGCTCATTAGGAAAGCTTTCATGGAAGGTGAATACCAAATAAATATTTGGTAGTACTTCGGAACGACGGATTGGTCCCTTTAAATAGTAGAGAAAAACAGCCTTTTGAGGGGAAAAAAAAATCACTCCTCAAAGGGTGAAATTCAGGTGGTCCCCATGGGGGATTCGGAGAGCATGTCCCCCTAGAGTGGTAACTTTTGCAAGCTTTAGTGTCCCCTCTAGGGAGAGGTAAGATGGTTCCCTAGAAGGATACCTTCTAGTGCTCCTAAGGTCGCCCCTGTAGGGGCTGCTCTAGTGATTTTTAAAAATTTTTAGTCTGTTTTTCTTCCTTTTTCTAATTTATTGATTTTCACCATTAGATAAGCATCAAAAACTTTAAAACCCAAAACTAAGTTCAAAAAAAAAGTTCAGGCTTGGTAACAATGGTAAAATCAGTGAGCCGAACAAAGTTATCAAACGAAGAACTACGCCATTTATGGAGCAAACTATACAGAATCATGGAACAGGTCAGAAAAAATATAATTTTTTGATCAACTTTTCTTTTTTACAGGCAATGATTGCCAACATCATAGACTACTGAAATCTTCTTTTTTAAAGCTTCGATTTGATCTAACATTATAATTTTTTTCATTACTCACGAATGTAAAAATAAATGGATATTTTCGAAACGAACCTTTGCATCTGCGAGTTCCTTTTTAATCGTTGAATTACTGCTATTCGCCAGAGTTTTGAGCTGTTGGTTGAGACGGTGGTTCTGAGAAAATAGCAGCTTTTAAAATATTAGAGTCTTCGATACAGGTGGGAAATTGGATCAGGCCAAAAATAGAAAAAGATCAAAAAAGTGCAAGCAAGTCTTTTTTTCTAAAAAATTTCTAAAAAAGTAGACGAGATTGAAAAATCCAATTATTGAATAAGTTATATCCCCATTTTTTTATTTTTGATTGATTTTTTTGGTTAATTTTTTTGATAAACTTACACATTGCTGTGCCTCGGTGAGTTCCCTTTCAAGTCTAAAAACGAGATTCGTCTCTCTGGCGACGTCATTTGTCGAGTTGGCGTTGTACTTGACGATCTGCTCGCTCATCGACATTATCTAAAAAATTCGTTTCAGAGAAGTGAATCAAGGAGAAATTCGTGCAATTATGAATTCAAAAAAGGGAAAATCTATTCAATAATAAAAAGAGACCTGAGAACTATCACTGCCAACACTGCCATGATCATCTGACGTGCAACGGGATGAGCCCTAAGAAAAAAAAACTTTGTAAAATAGAATCTAGAAAAATCTGAATCAAAACTTAATACTAGGAAGGTCTCAAGTTTTGGCCTTTTCGAAGCGACTTTTCGAGGTCAGCGCAGGCTTAGGATTAGTATTGTTGGAAGAATCAAAAGGACCGGAAGAACGGAGAAAAGTTTCGTTTTAATTTGAAAATAAAAAATAATATTAATTAATCAAAAACAACCAACCTGACTGTTATTATCACGGTGACCGGTTATGTTCATTTCAACACCCATATGTGTCGCGTTCACCTGCAAAACACTTCAAATTGAGAGTTATTTTGAAAAAAAAATACAACTTTGGCTAGTTCCACAGAAAAAAAATGATAAGAAGAGACAAGAAATGACTTTCGGTTTATTTATGCCAAGGACGAATGATTTAACTTGAAAGACCTTGAAAAACCGCAGAGCTCATTCCAAAAAACTATGACTAAAATCGAGAGACAGTAAAAGTTCGAAGCATGTTTTAGAGTCTTGAAATACGAATAAATCTACACTGAACACATTGGGATGGATTCATTGATATTCCATTTGATTTGAAGATTTGCATTGAAGACCAGTTTCCGAGTCAAGGGAAAAAAGAAGAAGAAGAAGCTAGAACGACGTACATGTTTAGAATAAGTGAGGACAAAAAAAGGTCAATGCGAATCCCTATGTTACCTTTCAAGAACCAGACAGGCAAAGTGATGGTCAAATCGATAGGAGTTGACAACCGGTGGGGAAATCAGATGTTTTTGGGTGTGGAACTCGCCTGGCGGCGTTCGTTCTAGTGGTCCGAAGGCATTGACGAATGGCCTGCCGTATGCGACGTGACACCGCGAGGAAAACATTTACAAAAGGCAAGGTCGATGGTTTCTTGGATATCAACGCCAGCTATCTGTTTTGTTGTTGTCGTTGATCAACACGCGTTTCAGCGCTTCCTCTCAGAAAAATTCAGCCTTTTTGAGATACACGAAAAGTTCAAAATAGCGAAAAATCATCTTGAGTCAACGTTTTTTGATAGTGAAGCCTATGATGGAAAGATCTTATCTCGCAAAAAAGACGGCTTGAAACATGGAAATGTTGGAACTACATTCAAGATTCTTCTAGCTTGATTTGAGAAAAAATACGGGAAAAGATAAAGACAATACATTTTCAGTTTCCTACCACTGATAAAAAAAAACCTACGAAATTAAAATTTTAAGGTCGACGAGTACACAATTCGTAGATGAACTTCCACGTTTTTGAATTTACACTCATTAAGATCTACCTCTACTCGCTTTCAAACCTTATTAGTTGAAGTTTGAAAAAAAACCGCAGAAAAAGATAAATAATTTCTCCATAACTTCGAAACTTTGAGGACTGTTTGAAAAAAAAAAATTTAAAAGAAGTAGAGATCTCATCGAACTATATGTTAACACCAAATTCTAGAAATTCCCCTTCTTTGAAAAAAAAAGGCATCAAAATCGTTAAAAACGAATCGATGAGGAATCGTTTGCAACATTGGCAGGTGGGATCGACGCGCTATCTAATTACATTAGCTGGATCGGATAGACCTTCAGGCCAAAATACAAAACGACATTATTCATTGCGATTGATGGACCCGACGTCTCCGGGGAGGTTCGATGATTTAGGGTGAGTTGACATCTTACAAAGAGAACTTGATTTCCTTGAACCGAAGGGAAATTTGTCAACATGAAAAGTTCAACCAAGGAAAAAGAGAAATCGGGTCCTCCAACTATCATGATCATTTTTTCACAATTTATGACTTTCTCATTAAAAAAATACTAAAAAAAACTTTGAAGCTTCATAAAATTCCTTAGACTCAACTTACAAGGGATGTGACCTTATTTTTTTATTTGATTTTTTCTGAAATGAGAAAACGTGAATCTTGGATATGAACGATGAATGTCAAGTCTACATGATATTCAATCATTTAAAAGAACCTAATGTATCTTTCCTGAAAATATGAAAAATCCTTATTTTACTTTATCAGAGACTATTCTTCTAATATAAATTGAAAAAACAGCCATCGGGCGTCAACTGACGTCTTTGAGACATGACAAAAAAGACTGAAATCAACTGGTCAAGAAGACGGAAAATCACAAGGAAGGGGCAGAACAGGTCGGCGGCCAGTCTTTGTTAAGCCATTGTTACGTCACCTCCATCGTTTTGCAACAAAAATGACCGGCGGCAGAAATCGAAGAACATGGAGAAATGAAGCAAATCAAACTTCTGACTAGGCTCTGTCTTACAGCTTTAATTTATAGAGTTTGGATCATAATTTTGTCATGAGAAGAGCTGGAATGTTACTTCATCGAAATATCCTTTTTCAGTGAAACATTTTGAATTTTTTAAAGCTTGACAGTGAGGTCTAGATGAAAACCTTCCATATCTGCTCAGCCTCGAAAATTCAGATCCTTGGAGCTTAAAGAACACAGGAAGATCTTCATTAAGATATGCAAGCAACGTTTCGGTCAAACTCATATTCATACTGAAATTGGATTTGAGTTACTTCTTGAGAAGTCTATTCAGAACTTAATCTTCAACTGTTATAGCAATAATCGATAAGGGATAAGGACGAAAAGGAAGGAACAAAATGTCTGCGGACGGCGTGTCCACTCGCCATTTCGTGTTTGTCTTTTCATTTTTTCGCCGCCTCCCCTTATCTACTCTTGTTGATGAACACGGCGACTGACCAGCTCCTCGTGGATTCGGTCGATCTCGCGGAGCATCCGGCTGCGGCTTTGAGGCGACGACGCGGCGCTCGTCGCAGAGATGTCCGTCGCCAATCTCGGCGACGTCGCTTTCCATTTTTTCACTGCTGCAAAATATTCCGCTTCGTCAAAATAATGAGAGAAAATATACTGGAATCACATATGATGGAAATCGTTTCAAAAAGGCCTATGAAGACAAAACATCTGAATGAAAAATTCTTACACTGGAACTTTCTCAGCCTCCGGTTAAACTTCTGATGAAAATTCGCCAAAGTGTACTTTTGAGCCAACTAATCTCTGATGTCAAGACAAAAAGTTCTCAAAGTAGGTCTTGTTTTTTTTTTTTTTGGTTTTTCTTTTCAAATTTCTAAAGCTTTGAATAATGCAGTTTTTTTATTTCGGGTGGTTTGCGAAAATTGAAGCGTTTTAACTCAAAAAAAGATCTAACGGGCAAAACGCTTTTTCTTGTCCTGCAATCCGGAGTTTCTAATAAAAAATTGAGTGAAGCTTGATCAAAAGTTCAACGGACGGCCAAAAAAGTTCCGTTTACGGCTCAGACTTGTTTTATGGGTTAGTCCTAACTTCATTTCGCGGTCTGGAAATTCAAACGCAAAATTCGAGTTTTGAAAAAAAGTTTGATGCTCTTTCTCAACTTTCCTCAAAATAAGCTTGTTTCTATCTCGAATTTTTTAAAAAAATATTCTGAATTGTTGAATATTTACTGGGCTCATTTTTTTCACTTCAAATCCCTAAAAAAACTTTCAAATGTCCACATTTTGAAACCTTGAAAAATTCGATTTTCAAACTCACATTCAAGTCGAGGAATCGTCGAAGAGTTGACAGATTCAGAATAATCATCAGCCAAAACGAGATTCGCCTGGAGACGATGTTTTTCCACTTCAATTTCGGCAAGTTTGTTCGTTAACTGGAGAAATTTTTAAATTTTCCCTCGATTTCAAAATATTCCTGAACCTCTTCGATGCTTTTATTCGCCTCGGCCAGTTCCTTTTCCTTGATCGAATACTCGATTTGTTCTTCCAACTCCATGTGTCTTTCTATCGTTTCTTCTCTGGAAAATATTTTTTTCAAAAGAAAGAAGAATCAAATTTACATGAAATAAGAATTGGGTGAGTGGCGGTCGTTTTCTGCCATTTTCTGAACAGAAATCGTCTTTGACGAGGGGATTCTGACAACTGTCGTCGGACCGCTTGCACGTTCTTCTGAAACAAAAGCTACTGAAAAAAAAACTGTTTTCAATTTCAAGAGAATTATTTTTTCAGACGCGTGGCAATCGATTTTTGGCCTTTTTTTCCCATCATAAATCAGTCAAACAAATATGAAATTCACAAAAAAACTTCCCATTTTTTTCTTCCAAAGCTTGCGTTTTTTTTTTTTTCAAGATTAATTATTTTGAAAAATCCGCTTCTCTGAAAAGGAAGGTTATAAAATTTCAAAAAATGAGACAAAGTTTGAAAAAAAAATCGTGATTGAACAAAATCAAAATTTTGAAAGTCTCAAACGGCCCAGTAGTTGTTTCTGAGAACATAAAAACTCAACAAAGTTCCACTTTTTTTTGGATTATAGCGTGGAAACGATTCGGGACTAAAAATATGCTAATTGTCCGCTTTCAAATTAAACTCCACGATTAAATCGTTGCGTTTAACATTCAAAATCTAATTTCTATCTCCAAATGAACCTTTGGGTTGAGAGACGTTGACGGTAACGGTTGGAAATCGGTTTTTTCTCACGGAGAAGTAGGGTCGCGGTCTTTGCAATTGAACGGTAGGCGTTGGGGAGAAAGATGTGGTTGCGGCGGGCTCTGCAAAAAGAAAATGCACCGATTTTTGATTTCGATCACGCGCTTCTCAGATCCATTAAATTTGGTGTTCTCATGCCCTTTTTATTTCGTTTCTTTCTCGAAAATTTTTTTCCATTATTTGAACTATCAAAATGGAGAATAAAATTTTGTAAGTGGCCGTAAATGAGTTTTATGCCACTTTTTCATATTATTTGAAATTTTGAAACTTTAAAAAGTTGTTTATTCGATATTTTTGGAAAAGTAAAAGTAATATCCATTTTCGAATATTTCATAGGAAAATCATTCAAAATAAAAAATCGAGTGCCCTCACCATCCTCAATCATCTCCCGTCGATATCTGATCGTTTTATAAACATCCGAAATGTTCTGATCATTTCCATCGGTTCTAGATGTTCCTGGATCCGGCGCCAGCATATCCGCGGGCGCGGTCACGCCCAAGTGGACGACGTCTATTTTCACACGTCTTCCGCTGGAAAGATATAAATGAAAAAAATATATTCAAAATATCTACCATATTTCTTTCGGAACAGAAGATATTATAATTTGAAAGTTTGAATATATGTTTTCCATATATTATAATTTGAAAGTTTGAATATATCTTTTCCAACCTGGCAATGATAGGTACAGGAGCAGGCAGTTGTTCCCAAGAAGACTTCATATTTTCGTTGTGCGTGGCCGATGGAGCCGCTTGGGGCGGCGGTCGGACCTTCATCGAGGCCGAGAATTCGACGGGGCGACTTCTTTGGAGCTCCGACGAACGGAATTCGCCAGAACTGGCGAATTTCCGAGGCTCCGGATAGCCGGCGAAATCCCTCATTCTGCTTTCAACGATACCACGTGGAATTCGAGGGTCTTCGGACTGTGAAAACTTGGATCAGAAGATTATGGAGACCCAGGCTTCATACAAAAAGTTAGTTTAACTACTTCTTAAAATATATTTTTCTATTCAATCATAGTTGGTAATCAGGGCCAAAGCGCACTTTCAGAGCGAAAAAAGCTTACAGCTATTATAGAAACAGAAGCGAAACTCACTTTTTTCGTGATAACTTCCTCAAGCAAGCGAGTTATGCTTCTAAAAAGTACTTTTGACATGTACAGACATTATTTTAAAAATCCTCTTTTGATTTGCATTCAGTAAAACCCAAAAAAAAACTTCAAAAAGCAAGAAAAAAAATGATTATCACCCGAAAATCAATAAAAAAAAACCTCCGGATAGAAATAAGCGCTCGTAGCTTTGCATATTACCGGCTCCCGCGGTTCCATCGGCCCACTGAAAGCTCAAAGTTACGGCAAGAAAAGTGATAGGCATTTGTAAAAGAATCAAAGAAGACCAAAAAATAAATTTCATCAAAATAATCGAACTCGAAGGAAAATGCAGCAAGAAAATGATCCAAGAAGTAGTCTTTTCAAAACAATTTTTTTCAAACTTTTTAAATTTTGACTTCGTAAGGTCAGCTGTAGAAAGTGCAAATACTTGATGAAAAGGGCTGATTTCTCAAGAACAAAACGGCCTTCGAGAAATTGGCGAATGAACAGAAGGCTTTTCCGGATGATAAGCTTCTTCCCACGAAGACTTTTTCTTCCCTTTTTCTCGGCGGCCAACCTTTTTTCGCCGGTTTGCTAGGCATCAAATTTCTCGCTTTTCAATGGAAGTTCAACGGACGGAATGGTCTTTTCCGAAAACTTTCCTTTTTCAGCTTTGCTCTTTGCTCCCAAACAACAAACTACATTCAAAAATTTCAAATCTTCAATCAAAATTTTTTCGCTTTTTGAATACTTTTTTCCAATAAGAGAAACCCGATCAAAACTGGAAAAGCATCCAAACCGATGAAAAACGGACTGAAAGGTGTTGGAATGCGAGCAGCGTGTGGGAAAATGACCAAAAAAAGGCCCTAAAACGTGGGAAATCGTCGGCTCCACAGAAAAAAAAAAGGGATTCCGATCACCAAACAGTCGTATAATAGATTTATTTCAATCGCTTGATTGAAAAATGATGTCGGCGTTCATGATGCAAACGAATTTTGTGAAGTAACTCATATTGAAGTCTAAAAAACGATGTTGGAAATCATTGGAAAACACAAATTTGAGATTTAAAAAAAGTGGGAATGACAATAAAGAATATTTTTAACGTTCAGTCTTAACTGTGAGAATTTCTAAATTAAATTCTCGGTCTTTTTCATCCCTTTTCAAAAAAACTTTCAAAAAAAATTAAAAAAATCTCCTACGAAACTTATTCGGATTCTTTTTGAAAGATGAAAAAAAAATGGTTGAAGCCGGAAACTACTTGGATCGACAAAAGCTGAAGACTTTGAAGTAAATGAAAATCGATATTGATGCTTCAGGATGAACGAGGAAGCCACTGAATGTGCGAGGTTTCCGTGCAACTGCGCATACAAAACGGACCATCACTGTCCAGCTTCTGCCTCTCTGTTCTCTCTTCCTTTTCTATTCTTTATTCTTCTTGTCGCTTTGAAAAAAAAAATCATCTATCAAAAGAAGAGAAAAGTCAAGTACAAAAATGAGGGAATCTTCTCTCTTATTAAATCGAGAAAGCCTTTTTTATAGTTTTGAGTTTTTTGCCTTGCCCATAAATTTACTAGGTGTAAACTAAAAAAATACAATTTGGCCTTTTGTTGATAAAATTGAAGGCGTTCCCAGACATCTTATCAGTATGGAACGGATGAAAACAAGCAAATGTCGTTGACTTTTACATGGGAAACACGATTTAAAAAAAGAAAAATTTCCCGGTTTTAGAAAGAATAACGGGTGCAGTTCGACTTGATTTCTGACGAGTTATCATGAAAAAAATAAAAGTCTAAATTTCAGTGAAAATATACATGATTTTTTTTGAAAAACTTTTTTGAAACTTCAAAGATTTTAGACTTTTGAAAGAATTCAAAAAAGGCGAATCTTCTCATAGGAAAACTTAGACTCACATCTCGATAGGGATACGCCGCATGAAGCTTTTGCTGGGCCGTCGACGGTACATTGACGGAAAGTCCTCGAACGACGGGGAGAACGGCATCGTCGTTGAGGCGTCTGAAGCCGTCGATAACTGACTGGTTAGGTGTAGGAAATAGATCAAGGAAAAAGTAAGGGGCAGATCTTCCGGTTGTTATGTGGGAAGGTGAGAAAAAAAAGAAGGAAAAAGCTGCTTCACTGTATAAACATGCCTCCCACCTCTGGTGAGAGTTTCATTACACGAAAAGTTAGAGGAAAAAAGTTGGGAAGAACTTTGGCTCGGATGAACGGTAAAAAGGATGAGCACACGCGATACTCGAGGGTCACGCCTGTGTACATTGCAGTGATAAAAAAGACAGCGGCGAACGGACAAACGCAAGGAAAATTTCGCCTTGCAACTTTCTCGAGAACTTCTCCTTGTTTTGAGAGTTTGAGGGAGTTTCGCTGTTCACAGATGGTCTTAGGAATTTTTTCTTCGAAAGAGTGATTCATTTTTTGGAAGAATATATAGTCACATTCGCAGATAAGAGATTACTTTATGTTTGGGTGCAACGCTTTGGAAATTCGGCAAGATACTTTTAATTTACTACACGGCGACCCATTCCACGACCACGTTGAATGAAAACTGACCAAAAAATAGTTTTCAAACTTTAAAAGCCCAAATTTTCTCTTAGATTAAAATAATTTCATTTAACCTCATTTTTCGGGACTCAATTTCGCCCTTTCTTTTAAAAAAAAAGTTCTATTGAAAAATAGTGGACGAAAAAATCAAAATAAATCCGAAAAAAAAACGTTTCTAATTGCAACCCTGAGAATATAATTATAATTTTAATCACTAATTTCAAGACCGAAAACGCGAATGAGAAAAAGCAATAGACTCCTAAACGAGGACAGTGGGATATTCTGAGAAACTGTTATAAAAGTGAATGGGAAAGTGTTAACAGAATCTCGTTTGAATTTGAAGTCGTTGGAGGTGGACGCGGTGGGAATGGGAGTGAATCATCGCGGTGGAAGAGCAAACTGCCGAGCCGGCGGCCTCTGAATGGTACGGAAGGCCGAATGCCAACCTTTATGCATCGCTTGGAAAATGGCGAGGATTTGAAAAACAGTTGTATAAACCTAGGAAGGAGAGGCAACATGAAAGAGAAGGAAAAAATCTTGGTTTTCATGAGAAAAGCGGGAGAGTGGACGGTGCGAGTAACGATGCAGCTGCGTGGGAAATGCCCTTTTCTTTTGAAAACGATCCTACTTGGGATTCATTCCTAAACCTTCTGTTTTCTCGGAGTTGATCTTAATCGGGCGATGGGAAAGACATTGTTACCGATATCAATGATAAATTTGATTTTGAAATGACTATTATCAACAAGTTTTTCAACTTTACCCGCTCTTTTCATTTTTTTTGGACTTATATAAAAAACACTCACATTACTAGCAAATGAAGCTGATCATCGAAGTGAGAAGAATTCGTAACATCTTTTTCTGAAAATTTTCAACAACATTTTGGAAAAAAAATAGTTCGAACCTGTTCTGTCGAGTCATTTTTTGAAGTCATTCAGGGGGAGATTCTTGATTCAGAATACACTGTTCTTCGATCGCAAGTAGAAAAATTTTAAGAAAATGAAAAAATGTATCAGTGGAAGCCTCTGGCATTTACAAATGATTTTAGTAATTTTAATATAAAAAAGAAGCTTCAAGAACTTGGAAAACGCGAATGTCAACGCAAGGAAGGACGTCCATTTCGAATTCGAAAACGGAAGGTCAAAGGAGTTCGCCGGCGCGCAGATCAAACTTACGAGATTCCTTGACTTGAAAAAAATTTGAGCTTTTTGGGCGGGCCATTTCTCCTAGGAAAAAGGATCCTTCACAGAATGGAAACAATTTTGACCAAAAAAAAAAACGCTTGCGCTCGCTATATGGCGTATTTTGAGTCTCTTGAATTTTTTTCAATAATTTAAAAATCGGATTATCTTCCAATTTTTGGTTTTTAAAAAGTGAGAATTTAGTCTGCAATAACTTTCCTAATTGATTTTTTTCAATCTGTCTTGTGTTTTCTGTATGAAATGCTATTTTAATTTACAGAAAAGTAAATATTTCTTTGGGGAATGTAAAAAGTTCATGTTTCACGTTTTTTCTTCCTTTTTCGAAAATGCTACCATTTCTTACTAGTCAAAGTTTTGTGAATGGTTTCGTCTCCACCGCTTGTGAAACCATGGAAGTATGTTTGGAAAGTCGAAAATTTGTTTATGATGCCGTAGTTTCCGTAATTTTTCAATCATTAAAATATCCGTAATTCAGAACGAAGGCTGTGGAGCGTTATATAATGCTAACTGGCGCTTCAGAAAGGTCTGAAGGCCTTTTGCCTACAAGGTAAATAATCAGATGTCTACTAAAAATGATGATGAAGATGTTTAGAATGGCGAGAACACAAGCAGGACCATCATTATCTGCGAAAGCCAGGATGCACCAAGTGTCAAAGTCGGCGGAAAGGTTGTTCGTTTGAATTTCGATAAGGAATGAACATTATTTGAATCTGTAGCTTTTCATAGATTAGGAAGTTTTGCAGTTTTTTAAAGTTTATCGTTTGATAATTTTCCCATTATATCGGTATTCAAAACTTCATGTGACCTTTGAGCTTTTTTTGAAAAATTGTAGAACTTTTTCGTTTGAAAGTTAAGGATTTTGTGCCATTAATCTTATACGTTTTTTTCGAAGCGTCTAAAAAACGCGAAAATTTCCTAGTGTTCATCTTCATTTCACCTTGCGAGTTTCTTTTTCTTTCGTTGATGGAAAGGTTGAAGTAACAGAAAACAACGCTCTTTCTTCAATTGTATATTTTTGCACTGATCTCGATTCATGAAAGTATGAAGAGGAGTTTTTTCCAGAAATTTGCCCCACAAGGTCGATTTGACTCGACGAGCTCATTCAGCGGGAAATCTTCGTCGTCAAAAAGGTCATCTTTGCGTCGGAAGCGAAGCTTCGACCGTCGAGTGGGAATGTCGCGTTCGTTTTTTTCAACTTAACTTTTTCATGAAAAATATTTGCAATAATTGGAAATGGAGGGTCAGATGTACTCACACTTTAGCTGGTTTTAGTAAAAAAGATTATTGAATCGAATAAAACTTAGTATTTATAAGCAAAAATTGAAGAAAGTTATAAATTAATACGCTTTTTCTCTTGAAATTCCTGAAAGAATGATAGAAGAGATGTTCTCAGAACTTGTATCAAATGTTTATCAATATTTTATGTACTGTTTGTGACTTCGAGTTTCTTGTGAATTTTATGATTTTTCCGGAGAACTGAACTTTAATGAATTTTTGGAGATTATTCAATGCCAAAATATATATAATAACGTGATTCCCATAGCAAGTCAATCGCCAATGCAAAGATTCCACCCGTTTTGAAGCAATAAAAATGTTATGACGCCTGCAACTGCTTCACCAGCGCAATCCGATCGTGCGTTAGTTAGCGCCTTTTTTTTGTTTTCATTTTCGAATATTTGATTGTTTCATTACTTTAAAAATACCATGTCCTCAATTATGAGGTGCGTGGAATGACTAATTGCGGTTAATTGATTTGTTCACTTCGAGTTGACAACCAGTTTCCGCAAGTCTTTATTTGACTTCTTCTGCCAGAACGTCATCGTCGCTTTTGGATTTATTCGATCTTCTTGTTAATTTGTTGCATTTTCTTCTTCCAGAACCAAAATTTCTTGAAAAAACTATACAGAAGTTGCTAGGCTAGTTTTATATGCGTCAGACGTTTTTTCCTTTCAATTCTGATATTTTCCTTTCACGGCAGTGCTCAATAGTTTTCCCTCCTACTAACTTGACTACCACGCCTCCTGCGTGACTTTATCAGCTTTTCTAAAGAAGATTCACATTTTTTTTTCTTTTTTTTTAGTTTATGAATTTTTCTCCTCTCGAGAAACCATGATCATACATTTTTCTCACATATTGAAGTCAGCTCGTGACATTTTTACACCCAATTTTGTGGACTATATCGCAGCGAGAGTAACGCTATACCGCGGGAGAGCCGCGAGCGATATCGCTCGCCTCTCGCTGCGACCTCGCAAACGTCTTGCGCTATATCGCTCTCTGAAAAATTTTTCTTTAAAAATTTTTTTTTCTTGAATTTGATTGATTTCATCATAAAAGTCAAAAATAAAGCAAAAAAAATGTTTTTCAAATTTCAAATTTTTGAGAGAGAGCGATATGGCAGCAAGACTTTGACGAGGTCGCAGCGACATGTTGGCGAGATCGCAGCGGGAAGCCTTGGCTATATCGCGTGCGGCCCGCTGCGATATCGGCAATTATGTTGGGTGTAAGCTTTCAAGTAAATTTATTGTTACTGGAAGCTTTTCATTTTTCCGTCAAAAAAGGAAAATATTTGCTGACGAATGCCGATTAAAACATACATTAAATTCGTGGGAGACGTGTTGGCTCACGCTTTTTGCCGCGGAACCTCAAGGGGGTGCTCCAGAGCGAGCGACGTTGGCTTCTCACTCACCTGTTCGGCCTCACCTGTCGTGTTTGCCACTCACTCGCGCTGATTATGCACTAATCCGCCAAAACTTTTGTCTTAGGCCAGCCGCTTGTCTTTCTCTCTCCTTCGGCCCGTGTCTTCGATGATGGCTGTTCGTTTTCCTCGCGCAGAGGTGGTCCTTCCGACCTCCTTTGTCTTTTTTTTTTCTCTGATCTCTTTTCTTCCTGACCGCCGGCTACTTCAAACTAATCTTATTAGGATGAATTTATCAGAAAGTGCTTCTTTTGTAGCAAAAATGTCCATTTGCGACAGATTTTTAATTCAATTTTAAAGTGGACTTTTTCTCTGCTTTTCAATTCAAGCTCTGAGCATCAGGAAAAAAAAAATCAAAAACAACTATGGCAAAATCTGGGCACTTACAAAAAAAGTTCATGATATTCAGTTTTCAAGAAAAAAATTATCATAGTCCAAACTCGGCGAAGTTCTGATGGTCAAAAATCGTTTGAATATTGGTCAACATAAATATTCAAACGAAAAAAATATTAAAGTTATTTGCTATTCAGTACTATCTCTATCTTTAGGCAGAACTTTTTCTTTCTCAAAAAAATTCATAATGAAAGTAATGGGCCTTGGTTAGTTTTTTTAATTGTTGGCGACCACTCACGCTTGGCTTCCTCACTTTTTTTCATTCTTCGTAACTTTTGTTGTTCCTTCCAATCTTTGAAAGAAAATTAACTTTCTGATAAATTTTTGAATTTCAGCTTTTAAGGCCATTTTTTTATGTGTAACTTTTAGAATTCCTAAAACGTTTTAATAAGAAGACATTTTTTTCTGTAATTTTTTTCGATATTTTTTCAATTTACTTGATCGAGATTTAAAAGTTTTTCGGATTAACTCTTTGAGTTTTTCTATAAACTTGGCTGCTGTTCACAATGAATTCCGCAACAATTCTTTTTTTTACAAAAAAAAGTTTGAGCGTTGCTTAGGAGACTTTGCATAAACATTCAAGAGCAAAGTGGTTTTTTTTGTTCAGGTAGTGTAATTCGCTTCTTTTTTCTATGGGATTTCGCTCGATAATCTAGCATTCCGCTGGTCATTACTTTTCTTTCACTCCCAACCATGTGGGCGACGAAAGTTTATGATTTAATGCTGACCCGAAGGTGGAGGAGATTTCAAATTTTTTTCACGTTTTTTTCTTTCCGAGTCTGTGCAGACACAACTTTTTTGTTAATTTTGCTAATTTATCATCTTTTGTTCCTTTCATTTTTCCGATTCGAAGAGTCTTTGAGAAAAAAAGCGAACGTAGAGAAATGAGTAATGGAGTGAGGTTACCGAGAAGAATCGGGCTATTGTTGCTGGAAGAAGGCCGCCGGTTCCTGCGAAGACGAAAGAAATCGGAAGGTTCGGGCCAGCCAGAAGGTCGAGAGATCCTCCATCGCCATGAGCTCTTCTTTTTTCAACCTCATCTTTTTTTTGCTTCCAAAAAAATTCTTGACATTTTTCAGCGATGTTGTCGATTGTGTTATATTTTTTGAAATGATCTATCAAGTTATATGCGCATTCAAATCTATTTTCTTTAATAATTGGATCTCAGAGTGTAAAATATTTTGTTAAACTGTGCCAATATTTTCATTAGAATTATAAGGAACAATGCCTAAACTTCTCATTAGTCAACTACTACAATTTTTGAATTTCGACCCTAAAGAATTAGTTGGAGTGGTCATCTTTTCCCCTCATAGATAATTTTCTATAATTTTCTATTCACATTTTTTTCTCTTTGGTTTTTAACCTCTTATCATTCTTCTTCAATCTGGAGATTTTACGAAGAATGAAGCTTTTTAATGACGATTTCTTGACGCTTGTCATGATGAATTTTCAAAAAGTCCAGTACATAATTTCCAATTTTCCACAACAAAAAGTCCTATTTCTTTCTGAAAGGACAGTGAATACATACTCTATTATCACTGCACTCAGCCAAACTTTTCCATTTCGACGTCGGTCTGGTTTCTCGTCTTTTATCGTCGAAAGATCTACATTAAGTCTTGTCATGATGCCTATTGGGCATCGGGACTGAACGTTTGACTTTTTTTTTCCGAAGCAAATAAATTTCTTCTTCCTTCTTCGATATCAGGACGAACTTTTTTCTTTTTTATATCCCTTCGTGGTACCTATCAATGCTGAATCATATTCGATTTTAAATATATTGATTATTGTACTAAGTTGAGTAAATTTATTTTTTTATTTATACCAACCTTCGATTAAACACAGAAAAAGAAAAATAAGGAAGAATATTTTGAACTGATCCATATTTATTCATATCTATTCTAGCAAAAATAAAGTTCATAATTTTTTTTTAGCGTCATTCTTGAAAATTCTCGGGAAGATTTGTACCAAACCGATAAGAATAGTCTTTTTTTTTACGCCGCTCTTCCAGTTCGACCCACATTCGGTTGATTGGATTTTTGTCAGAGGACCTCATTTTTCAACTTTTATAATTTTCCTGTTCCTCAATGTTTTTTTCAACAAGCTTTGTGATTGAAAGGAGCTTACTTTATTGTTGTTGTTAATGATTTTGACTAGCTCAGAAAAGAATCGTTTAATTATGGATAATATCAAACATTCTCAACCTACGGGAGTTAAGTTGAATTTTCTATCCGGTTTTTTATTTATTTAAAAAGTTGTTTCTGTTGTTTCAAACTAACTAATTTCACAACGAGGAACGGTTCCAGCTTGATTTTTTTGAGCTTTACCCTCCCATTAACCAAGAAAAACTCGTTTATTTCAACTCCTTTTGTATTGACCTTGAGTTCCAACTGAACAAGTCGATTAACGAGTTGGTTGGAGATCTTTGTGAGATGCTCCTCGATTTACATTGGATCGACTCTCCGAGACGTCCTCCGATTACCGCCGCCGCAGTGCAAATCGGCCTGTCGCCTCTCGCAACTCGCCGATACGGACATTTTTTTTTGTCCGACACGCGTCTCTTTTTCTCTTTTTTCTCCTTTTAAGGACTTGTCACTTTTTCTACCTGTTGCTTTTTGACACGGTTTTGTTGTTTTTGTTCCAATTTCTGTTTTTTTTTAGTTCAGAGGCGTTCGCTTTCACTTTCAACGGACTTGTTGAGAAAAAAGAGAATTGAAATATTTTTTTTCATTCAGCTCAGCTATTTCATAATTGAATAAGTTAAAGTTTCGACCTCATTTTTAAAAAAAAATGAGATGAACCGAGATGGTCAATAAACTTTGCGTAGATGATCTTTGGATCCCTTTTTTTCCTTTTCCTCAAAGTTTTAGGTTTCTCTTTTTTTTTAGTTCAACCAGGAAAGATTGGCTTTTTCTTCTATCAAGATGAAGAAATATTCATAGCCGTTTTTGTTTTCAGACCACAAATTTTACTTCAATTTATTTACTCATAAAAAAATTTCATTGATATTTTTCAAATGGATTTCTTCAAGCAAAATTTCAGAGAAAAAATTTATCAACTTCTCTTTTTGATTCATCTCTGATGAGGATTTGAGCAGCTCAGTTTAGCGGCGACCTCACAAAGAGATACCTGATAGGCTCCGCCCATTTTCCCGCCGAAATTTCCTATTATTTGTCTCTGCGCCTCTCCCGATCATGCTGTCCATGACGAACGGTTCTCGTGGTCTGTTTTTCCAACTCGTATGGTTTGGGTTCTCAGGTCTCGGTTTCGACTTCTCTCCCTCTGTATGTGTGTGTATATTGTTGTTGTTATGCCCCGTGGCCGTGTAAATTTCTCGCGGCTGACTGGAGGCCTCTGTGTGTGGCTATTTGTGAGTGTGACTGTGCGCTCTGACGGAATCGACTCGCCACACCTTTTCTTGTCGGCTTTGCTCGCCCCTCCTCACTCCAAAAAGCTTCTCTGTTCCTTTTTGACACTTTCCTGATGATTTTCCTGCTTGCTTGTTTTTTTTATTTTTGATTTCGAACTCTCCGACTGCTCATTTTGCTCTGAGTTTGCATAGTCTTTATTTTACCTTTCTATTTAAAAAAAATTTCTTTTCATAAATTTTATGTATCGACTCGGATTTTTTTTTTCAAATTTAAACTTCGTATCTTTCTGAATTTAATTCTTTTTTTTTTCTTGAATCGCTTCAATGTTTCTTTCACTCTTTGGGCTCTAACGAATGAAAAAAAACCCTCAATTTTTGTACAAGTTGATTTCATAACTTAATTCGAGTCTTTTTTTATTGATTCAGAGCGCTTGCAAGACTTTTTTAGAAACATTTTTCAAATCGTTTTTAGGTTTTTGCTTTGCATAGAACATCGAAATTCGCATTCAAAGCATACGACTATTGATCAATCCCGAAATTTTTCACTTGATAGAGATGAAAATAGAAAAAGCGTCCTTGGCCAGCACTTGATATTGACAATTTTTCTCTTTGCGAACGTTGAGAGTATTTAGTTTCATATTTTCCCACCACCTTCAATTTTTTTTTCCACGCGACCGTCAAGACGTTCCGTATTTGTAGAGGAAATGTCAAATGTCTCTTTTTGTGCTGGGGCGACTTTGTTGGAAACATTTTGCAAAGAGGCCAGCTATAAATCGCGGCTGCGTCATCGCCACAAGGGAAGCGACGACGGCGACGTCGGTCCGACACCTTTTCCTTTCAGTTTCCCGCCCTGCCAGACTTTCGCTTCGAAATGCACGCCCTCTGGCAGCACGGCAGCTTTTCTGAACTCGATTAATTTCCGATCTGGCCTTTTTGAATGGCTTCGAGTGCGTTGGGGCGCGCCTGTGTCTATCTGTAGGCTTTTTTCCACTCGTAAACTTCTGCCAAGTGCTGCCACACCTTTTCGGTTCTTTTTTTTCAATCTTTCATGCCTTCAGCGGCTTTCATTCTATTCCATTACATTCCAAGATCACAACATTGCTCAAACCTCTTAGATTTATATTTTACCAATTTTGTCATTTTTCTTTGAGTTTTCCATATTACACCATTTGTAATTTTTTAATTTTATTCTAGTATAATTTTATAATTTTTTGAGTAGCTTTTCATTTCTGGTCAAGAAACTAGTAGTTGATTTGGCGAAACAAAGGTAAAAAACTGATTAAAATTTTATCGCGCTTTGAGTTTGACCGGCTGTGATATTAATATAGCTCTGAAGAAATTCAATCAGAAATTTTCAACACATAAAAACATTTTTATTTTCTTCTTATCCTCTTGCTTTGACTACAATCAAGGTCTTTGCACTAGAACATCTCTTCCTTTACTGTTTCATGTTTTCCGTCGTTTTTTTTTTTGTTTTCCTTCATACAGACTTGACTGAGAAAGTTTCTAAAAAAATCTTGCTTTTTTTCTAAACCCCTTTCTCTTTTTTCTGACCTCCAGCAGATTTATACGAAGTTTCTCACGTTTTAAAGTTCACAAACCGATAAAAGTTCGCGTTTACAGCTTTACAGCCCGGCCTCTTGAATCGCGTTTTTGACACTTTAAGCTTGTAGTAGCGATTTGTGATGATTATTATTTATTTGCCGTCATTCTACGATGGAAAGAGTTGTGTCTCGTGTGAATGCAACTGTTATCAATCGTTTATCTTCCATGCCTCTCCTCCTTCCTGTGGCCTTTCCCGCCTTGGAAACGCTTGCAAATTTAAATCTTTGCTCGAATTTTCCACGTTCTCACCACTATTGATCTTATTATTTTTTGACAATTTCACGCTTTATTGTGTCTTTTTCTTTCGCTGCTCTCTGCGTTTTTTCCTTTTTCATCTCGATAAAAATTTCTATTTCGGAGTTTGTAATTCGACCGCGGCCTCCGCGTGCTCGACGCCGCCGTGGGCCATTTTTGTTCGACCACCTAAAAATTGGCCCCAGGTTATCTGAAGAACGACGTCAATGCAGGAGGGCGTCGTGCCCGGTCATGTCAGTTTTCTTTTCATTTCTTTTTTCTTTTTTCTGTAATCGTTTCTCTGTGACTCTTGATTGCGGTCTATTGATTTTTTTTCTTCTGTGAGATAATTCAAAAATTCTTCATAACAGGGAAATTCTCGAAGATGACTTAGATCCACCGTTTGATATCGTGTACAAGACTTTTGTTTTCCAAAAAAAAAATTTCACTAGAACGTCGTATTTTTGAACTCATCAAAATAATCGAAATTTCAATTTTGAGTTCTATTCTTTGCCGAAGTTTCTTTCGAAATTTCGATTTTAGATTATTTTCCCATAAAGCTACGAATATCCCACTTCACTTCCGAAAGTCTGTTGTTTTCATAATTTCCTCGGAAAGTAGCCATTTGAAAAGGCTGTCGAGAGTCTTTCAAGCAGCGCATATGGCTGCGGACAAGTTATTTCTGACAATCTGTCCCTTGGCGCAGTTCCAATTAGTGTTCGGTCGGTTTTTCTTGATCCTCTTGCCCTCTCAACGAAAACGGAGGATTTGCGCGGAAAATTGTTGCGTTGCTACCTGTTTTGGGACGAGAACTTTGCCTGATTGCAGCCTTGTGCGTATTGAAACTAACATGGAAACAAGGAAGCTTTGCAAAAATTAAGATTTTTCAATCTGCGAAATTGGTCTTTGCTATTCTTTGTGAATTTTCAAAAAAAAAAAATCACTGGAATATTTTTGTAGCCTCTAACAATATATATTTTGGTTCGGCGGCGTGTTTGTTCCAGTCGTTAGTTGTCAAGTAGACATGCTCAGGGCAAAGTGTTTGTCCAACTTGTTCTTTTTTTTGTATGTTTTGTATGGTTGAAAATTGGTTGGGTTACTGACGATTGGACAAAAAAATGGGTGTTGTGTGACCTTTTATGGTAGTGCTAACACACTATGCGTACACTTGTTAGGCTTTTTTTTTTAACACGGAAGTCATTTGTTGAGGGACTTTTATAGCCTATTATTCTTCTCAACCGTCTTTATAGATAGATTTTTGTTTGACGATCGATTTTAGAACGAACTTTCATCAGAATCAACTAATTATTTTTGTTTGATTAATTTGTTCAAGTTGAATTCTCGAAGCGTATTAAGCTTGAGCCAGACGCCATTGTCTCTGGAGGGAAATGATTTCCTTGTGACGAATGACCTGTTTTGCGATGGCCGAAAAATTTCGCCCTCTCCAGGACAGGCCAAATGACAATTTGTGGACCGAACGTTTGCACACTGGCTTTTGAGGGCCGTCCTTCTCACTTATATATGTTTTTTTTTCTTGAAGTCATACTGATATCGGTGTGGAATGAAATGGAAGTGAAATAGTATAAGACAGAAGCTGAAGATTTTAAACCGAAGAATTTTGAATCGGGCATCTTCGACGATCTATGAAATTCGTAACAAGGTCAGATCAAAATTCGATAAATTTGAAAATTCAAGCAACTTATCTCAAAAGAATCCAGGAAAATAATTAAAAGTTACTGATTCCAGAACTTCTAACTTTGTATTATAAGCCGTTTTGTCAATAGTTTTAGTAATATTTTCAGTTCTTCATTGAACCTGTCTTTTCAGTTTTGATATCAAAAGAATGGTTTTCGAATATTCGAACATATTTTAATGTTTGTATACCTTCATGAGCGATGGTGACGAATATAAACACGTCCTGTTTATTTTGCATCACATTCGAGAAGAATCAATTGCAATGATTGTTATTGAAGGCCAACGTTTCTGTGAATCTGGGATGGACCGAGGGGCTTTGGATAATAAAACTTTTTTTAAATATTCATCCAAAGAGAAAAAAGAAAAAGAAAAGTTTACTGATTATAAAATGGTACCGGGAGATCTTTTTTTCCAAAGTTTATCGAAAGGCTACAACATCTTTTAAAGGCTCCATACATTTCTTTTATACTTTTCGTTGTAAAATTCAGTAATTTTCATACAAGACTCACTAAAATCGTGGTTTTCTGAGCGCTTGCCAACCTCTCCCTTCCTTTCTTTTCATTTTCTGCGCTACGAAGCTCCCTGAAAGACAGTTTGATCTTCCAGTTCAATGTTTCTTACTGTGACCATGAAAAGAATGGTTAGTATTCATTGAAGAGACGGTAGTGCGAGTGAGCCATTTGCATAGTGAGTAGCCAATTTGGCCTGTGTTGTGGCTTGTGTTACGCACGGATGGCGGTAACTGACGTACAAAGAAGAAAACTACAAAAGAAGCGGGATGCCATTCGCTCAAGGGTACCCAAAGGCTGTTTTTGTCGGTTCCTGTCGTGAGTTTGCGTTGAAGCTTGCCGTCGGAAATGGCATCTTTAGGGCATTCAACTGGTTTTCTTCGACGACAACCACGTAAAAAACGTCCGATTAGCCTTGGTCCAATACGCTTTCGACTTTTGAATTAGCCTCTCGACATGGAGGTTGTATGGCAACGGAAAGTATATAGTGTATCCATTGCCTAATAAAAGTCGAAAAAATTCTTCTAGGGGAAATTTCTTGCTCAGGAGAGAGGTAGGTTTCGCGAAGTAACGTGCAAAAATTTTCAAGGAAAAAATCAGAAAATACAGACCAACTTTTCTGCATACTTATGAGCTTCGAAAAAAAATATAACGAAGGCTATAAAAAGAATAAATTGAAAAATTATGAGAAAATGAGAAAGCAGCCGACTAACAAACTTTTTTTGTTTGATGAGCTCAACCCTTTTCTAACTAGGTATTAAGGTTTTTTAGCCGACTTTTGTGGGTATAGTTGAAGGCGAATACACAAAAAACATAATAGGAACAGGAATCGTGAAATTAACGATCTCCTTTTTTATTTCGGCGCACGAAAAGGCCGTCGAAAGATATGGGGTTTTCTCTTATCCGATTGGTTCTTTTGTTGATGACCGGAAACGGATGGCCGATCCATTTGTCCTCAAATAGACTGGAAGCAATTCGGCGTGAGCACCAATCCCGATCACATTTTATGGCTCTCCTTTTTCCAGAACATTTACGTATTTTGATGGCGAGCTGAGGCATCAAAAAAGTGTTTGGAAGGGAAAGAAGCAGGATTTGGAGAGATTGATAACTAAAGTGCTCGTCAAACAGACGGGGGTCAAAATGAAAGAATTTCTTCGAAGTTGGGATTTTATTCTGGCACAATTTCTATTTTGAGTAGAAACTTCCGAGCGAGTAACACGATAAATCCGATTTTGGTTAGGTAATCTCTATTGGATTCGGATGTGGGTCATACTCTAGTTTATGTTCTGTTTTACTGCTTTTTTGTGGAGATGTTTTTAGTTGAAAAGTGGTCACTACAATGATTAAAGAAAAATGCATAGTTAATATTTTGGAGCGCTATCAAAAATCGTGTCGGCGTGATTGGATTTCGAGTGGTGAGGCTTTTGTCGGCGAATGCAAATTTCGGCATAGGGATAATCTGATTGGAATTGGCAGCCGACTTGTTCAGGGATCAAATCCGCTTCTTTATGTTCATATTAATCAACACATCGCGGGATGTTTTACAAAAGAATCTCGAAAATTTGTGAAAATTCCATTTTTGGTTTTGGCAGCTTTTTGAAGAAAGAAAAGGGCTCGGCATTCTACCTCTATTGTCCCTAAAATTAATTGATTTTGGCTTTTCATTGGAGTTTATTTGTATCCCTTGTGAAAAGGACCCGTTTTCTGGCATCGAACATTTAAAAAAAACCAAATTTTCATAGACTCGGAAAAATTGATCAAGAACTTTAAAAATCTGATAATTTATCTATATTTCTTCTTTCAGGCACGTCTTGAGAAAGTCTTCGGGAGAAATTCTGTCGGCGTCAATTCCTTTGCCATAAACGCACAGACAAACTCGTTGCTCTACATCTCTGGGTACGTTGTGTTAGAAGTTTATCCAAATCAGGTGATAGGAGAAGTTAAATTACTTTTTTGAAACAGTAAATGCTGCCACAAACAGACTTCAATTAACCTACAATTTTTTCCAGGTCCGTTTTCACTTTATTTTTAGTTGAGATTGTCTTTTTTTTTCCAAAAATGGCAAATTTTCATGAAACGCTTCAAGAGTAAGGTACCTAGGCTGCCGTAAAGGATTTACTTATCATTATTCAACCACGTCAAGTTGATTTTTTTTTCTTTTTTTTCTCAAAAAATCAAAAAAAGACAGAAAAAAAATTTATGGGAAATGGAATTTTGTGACAAGCACTGTCGACGCTCGTTTCGTTCGTATTTGTTTTGAATAAAAGAAAGGGTCAAAGCGTTTTGTGCAAATATGACCCCCAGGAAAGTGATAAGATATCACTGGTTTTTATAATCGATGAGAATGAGTTAGGACTGGAAAGAGAAGGGATTTCGATAGGCAATTGTTTTTCAAAGCTCTTAAATCGGAATTTAAACTTTTCAGATCATGTTATATGAAAGTAAAAAAACAATGATAGCAAATTATTTTTTTACTAATTTTTTTCCAAAATTCACTTTAGCTATCAAAAAAATCGCTCGAAAATTATTTTGTTATCCTTGTTTTTTTATTTAAAAGTTTACTTTTTTACAGCATGAAAAAAATTTGAAAAAAATAGACTCGAAAGAAACAATGATACTTATAGGCTTCGGCGTTGGATCAGTTGAGAAAAAAAAGGTTATTATTTTAAAGAATCTTTGAATCTGTAACTTGATGAAACTCCTTTCTCAAAATTTTGAGAAAAAAATCCGCGCTGACCACTAGTGAAAGATTGTCTCATTGGCTTAGTCACCAGAAAAATACGAATTTCAAATTCGATTGTTTTGAAAGATCAAAAAATTGTTCCCCCTTTCCAGATCTTCGGTAGTGGTTTCCTCGACGACGCCGAACAGTTCTCCAGAAGGCCATCTCATTTCTTCGGACAAGCAGGCCTTCACATGCGTCGCAGTCTCTTCGTGTGGCCGATTTGCTGCCACCGGCGAAGTTTTCCTCTTTTCAAGCTCATCCAGACATTTTCTTTATCAAGGCGGGACACAAGCCGGCGGTCCGCATCTGGGAGATCAGATCCGAGACCGGCGCCTTCACCGGAAAGTTCTTGCGGGCTCTCACGGCTCATCAAGTTTCGGTGACCATTGTGGTGAGGTTTTCGGAGATTTTTTACAAGTTAGTAAAGAAGAAAAGAAAAAGGCAAAGTTTTGGACATCTTGTACAATTGTTTCCGAAATAATAGTAAATTTTATCGGCACTTCAAAAATTTTTGGAAAAAAAAAGTGAAAAAAATTTGTGAATTCGTCTAATAAAAGAAATTTTTTTCACATTTCTATTAATGAATGTTATCAAAATATTCAATTAAATAGTAGGATGTCGATCTACGAACAAAGTTGATGAAAAGTTCGACTTGTGGAAGCTCCGAACGACGAGAGACTCTAAAAGAAAATCGATTTTCAGAAGTTCACACCTAACGATTCGACGTTGATTTCCGTAGGATGTCAGCACGACGCAGGGATCATTGCCTGGGACTGGCGAAGCGGCAAAGAGTTGCAGACCGGACGTCTCATGTCTCCTGTCAGTTTCTGGTCTTAATAATTGAATTTTAATTGCAGAGCTCTCTCACAAAAATTTTTGGGCATCAGAGAAAAGCATTGTCGCGGAAATTTGGACTTTTCGTTGTTCTTTTTTTTTAGGAATAGTCCAGTGATTCCATAATCCTAGGTCTTTTCCTTTTGGCGGCAATCAACAAAAAATGTTCGATTTCCTAGACTTTTCCAACAAAACTCTGTTATGGAGTATGTGAAGAAAAATGAAAAAAGAAAGAAAAATATTAGTTGACGAAACTATCCCGCAGAATTTCAGGTAAACGCTCTGGCGATTTCCTTTGACGGAAGCATGTGTGTGACGGTCGGCACAAAAACCATTAAATATTGGTTCATTCCGCAAGGCGACGACGCCAAATCTTCCCGTGGATTTGCTGTTCGTTTTTTTTTTCCTAATCTTCAAATTTTGTATTTTCGATGTGCATATATGGATCATTTTTGATGCGAGCTGCAGCTTGGAACTTGTATTCAAAAACTTGAATTTCATTCGAAAAAAAGATTAAGAAAATAAATGTTCAACCTATGACTTCATCTGCAATTTTCATCTCGGTTCTGTATTTCCAGTCCCGCTCGGCGATTTTGGCGGACAAAAGGAACGCGACTTTCGTCGACGTCGCCTTTTGCGATGCTTCCAACAGGATGATGGCTGTGACGGCCAACGGAAACATCATCGAGTTGAACGAGAATAAAAAGGTATCGAATGAAAAATAAAAGAAGAAAATTCATTTGTTCCAGTACGTCAAAGGCTACTCTTGGAGGACACCCGAGGTCTCTTTCCGCGCCAATTGCATCGCCCGGATTCCGGAAGGATTGTTGGTCAGTTTTAGGAATTTCTTTATGTTCCTAGAAGAATACTGTGGAAAAAACGGGAATTTTTTTCTCACTAGGAAGGCGATTTTATTTGGAAGAGCTTTTTGAAAGTTGACTTGCAAATATTGACTTGCCCTCTTATTTTGAAGGAAGAAAAGCTTATATCTCATAGAGAATTAGTTCACATTTTTTCGGGATGAAGTCTGATTGAGATGACCCTTCTCAAGAAAGTTAGAAAGGTTTTTTCTTCAGGCTTTCAGGATCTGACTATTTCAAACATTTTTCTGGACTTTTTCTAGAAGTGGCCAAGTAAAAAATCAGCACGGTCGAAAAATTCGAAAAATTTTTTTTGCTAATTACTTCCTTGTATTGAGTTCAATCTTTTTGAAAAAAAGCTGCGTTTTCCCCCCCGCGAACTGAAGTTTCACCATATTGTTAAAAGTAACAGTCAACACAACTCCAGAAAGTTACAGAAAGATTGAATTCCATACAAGAAAGCTGGCATTTTCTAAAGGAACTGTAACCTTACTTATTACTAATGTAATGTCTGACATGTGAGTAGTTTTCTGAGTGGTAAAGATGAAATTCAAAATTTCTTTTTCGTTTTTTTTTTTTCAAACGTTTTGTCCCACTATTGGAATGATCAGATTGGATGTGACGACGGCATGGTGCGACTCTTCTCCCTGACCGGAGACGACCTCGACTTTGTCGCCGACCTTTCCTCGCCAGTCGCCCTCGGCATCGACCCCTCCAAGGTCTACAGCGCCGAGAAGCTCAGAGCGATTCCAGACGGAGCCATGTGGGTGTTTTGCAAGAGAATGAATCATTGGTTCGGATTTCAGTTATCCCGAAGTCCGTTGCATCGTCGCATCGCCCAACAGTCCGACTTTCGCTGTCGGCTACGCTGACCGGACGATGGTCGAGTTTTCGAGAGAGAATCGAGGCTGGCAGTTCCGAAGAGCCTGCATGGCTCATGTCGGACCCATCAACAGTGTCGAGGTTTCTGAAAAAAATCTTTCAAAGAATTTTTTTCACAAAGTTCACATCTTGAGAATGTTCAGAACAAGGTTTCAGAAATGAGATCAAATTAGTTAGGCGAATTTATGAGAATTTTCAAAAGTTTAGAAGTTTACTATAAGTTTTTTTTTGAAGTCTAGAAGATTAATGGTATCTTTTTACCTTGTAATTGAGTTTCTTGTCATATATATATGTTTGAAAATTTTTTAAGTAATCCTGTCAACATTTTTTTAATCCATCTTCGAAACCTTTCTTCAGCGGCTTCTGAAATTCTTCAAGAAATTCAAGAACAAGTTCGCTTATAAAGTTTTTGATTGTTTTTATCCTCAGATGTATCCTCCGAACTGTCCGTATCTTCCTTCTGAAACCTTCATCACCGGCGGAAGCGACGGCACCGTCAGATTCTGGTCGACAAAAAGTAGCGCCGCAGACCGACAAGTTGTTCCTCTGAAAAGAAATTAACATCCAACTTTTCCATAGGACTGGGTCAACTTCCTGTTCCCGCCTCTCCTCAAGGTCCTCTACCTCGAAGAAGAAATTTCGGCCCTTGTAGAGAAGCGAAATAGTGAGCAATGCTCGATGGCATTCATCTCTGAGAGGATGTTTTAGCCGAGGTTGTCGGAGCCGAAAAAGCAGTCGCCGCGGAAGACGAGCTTCTTCTGGGCATTTGCTGCACTCGGGTGACTTTGGATGGACGTATTCTGGTGGCTGGAACGAGGACTGGCGTCCTACAGTAGGCCAATCAAGGAGTTCCAATTTCCATTGGGACCGTTTTCAGCCTGATCGACTTGTCTTTTCCTGATATGCCGACTCTGGATGTCATCCAAGCCCACGACTCGGAAGTCACTTGCGCCGAATTCTCGGATCGAGTTCCTGGATCTGGTTATTTTTTTTTTTTTTCATGCTAAAAGTTTTCTGCATTCACAGACAGTCTATTATTCTCAATATACCACGGGAAAAATAGTCCATTCATACCAGCCTGTTTGATGTGTTCAAAAAAAAAGCATAGAAAAACCATTTTGTGTATTTTCAATATTTTTGCAAGAAATCAATTGCTTTTTCTGCAATTTTAACTTTTGTCATGTACTCTTCTACAGACGCATTCCCGCAATTGCTGGCGACTGGCGGCCGCGACCAATTCGTGCACATTTTCCGCCGAGCGCCGTTCACCTCGAAGTTCCAACATTGCGCTGTTCTCGACAGGGGCCAGTGTGGCGTCCGTCGTCTTCGATTCTCTGTGGTTTCGACCTCGAGATTTTCTCCATTAAATAAAAATAATATTTTCAGCTGGATGGCTTCCTTCATCTGTTCGTTTTAACAAACGACAAAACGGTCATCGTCTGGCGGTTGGAGGACCCTTCCAAGGTTAATTTTGCCTTTTTCAACAGAACTGACTATTTCAAAAAAAAATATCGTTCTCAGGAAGAATTGGAATTCCGACGAGTCAACCAATTCGTTTCCCCGATGTCGGTGCATGATATCGAAGTCGTGCTCAACGCCTCCTGGACCTCTTCCTCTACAAATCAGGCCGTCTTGATGATGGCTGGGCAGGACAGGTTATCTTCATTCCTGTTGTTCATTCAAAAAGATTCGGAAAAGTATTTTTATCGATTTATGAAAGCTTTGTAATAGATTCAGCCCTCAAATTTTGAAAGTCTTTCGTGGAAGGAACAGTTTTTGTTCAATCATTAAAAACTTTTGCAGGGTTTTGCGGGTAATGGATCTCAAAGGAAAACTGCTGCCAGCCATCAAAGGAACTGGTCCCGAACCGACAGAAGCCGATAAAGTCACCGCCAAAATCACTAACGTAAGTCTTATCTAAAAGCACAGAATTTTTTTAGTTACAACTAAAAGTATAAAAATGACCTATTTTTCTCAATAACTTTTTCAAAAAAAGTCGTTTTTTTCCTTTTTCAAATTGTTCATCTTAAAATGACTCCATTTCATTTTGGCCATCTGGAATCAAGTGAGAAGACGATATTCTTAATATTTTACAACTAGACTTTGCAAAGGTAGAAACCTTGCAGTTTGCGGTCGATTCTTCTGGAACCTACGTGGCGAGCGTCTCATCCGATCGAAGGGTCTACATTGTGGATCTTTCCACCGGAGCCTTGGCGGCAGTTCTTTGCGGTTTCGGCACCATCCCTATGGGCGTCACTTTCTCGCACGATTCCAAGTAGGATTTGTCTTTGTTTCAAATTTGTCAAGAGTTATTGAAGAAATCAACAGAAAGCTGTAGAAAATTTAGATTGACCGGTTGATAATGCGTAATTTTTGGTAGTTTATTTCACTATCGAAATATGACAATGAGTGATTCAAAAAGTGTTTTCCATTTAATTTCCCAATGACTTTTGAACAGTGTCCATGTGCATAATGAATTTCTTTCTCAAATAACCGTCTTTGAATAAAATGAGAAACGAGAAGCTCAACGCTCAATACTAATTTCTTCAATTTGAAACGACGGACAGCTATTTGGATCTTTCCTCTGTAACTTCCATGGCCTTTTTTCAATCGATGTAGAGAATAAGAGATAAAAAACGGAAATTTTCAATTCCATAAGCCCGTATTCTGAATCGCAATCTCAAGTTGAAAGCTTTTATTTCGAAGGAAAAGGTCAAATTCTAAAGTTCAAGACTTCCAAAAAAAATATCTTGAGAGAAGGTGTCGAACCGCCTCCTCGACGAGGAAAAAGAGAGATAACCGTCTAAAAAAGGGATTATCTAGCTTCTTTCGAAAAGAGGTTTGACCTCACTGAGAACTTTTTTGTTTCAATCGAGCGGACGCCTTCAAACTTTTTCAATTTATATTGGGATTTTTGAGAATTCTGAAATTGTTTTATATCATATTGTCAACACATGCTGTTATTTCGGTACTTCATAGATTTACGATTTTTCAATGTTATTTCACTTAAAATTAAATTGACACTTACAAGTAGCTTATATCCAATTGTTGAGATTGGAACAAAAAATTGAATTTTTCGTGGATTGTTATTTTAAAGTTCACATAAAAACTACAAAAAGTCGCGAACTTCCTGAAAGCCGATTCTCAGGTATAATTTCAACGTGTTCCAGGCGGATAATTGTGACGACGGCCGGCGGCTGCACCTTCGTGTGGAAATTATCGAAGAACATGACGAGCCGAATGATCGCCGCAATGCAGAAAGCGTCGATCGCCGAACGATATCTTCGGTTAGTATGTGACATTTTTCAATCCGAATCTTTAGCTTCAGATTATTAACTGTTATTCTAAATTCACAAACCTCATGAAAGCTTTGTTTTCGGTCTGAAAGTTAGCAAAACCACAATCATTTTGAAAAGCTGAACAAACTTTGGTTTTGCGTTGCTTTCAGATTTTTACTCTTCACGAGAAGCTTTGTGGATCAGAATTTTTTTTGAAGTTTTTGGAACGCCTTTGGTTTTGTGGCAAATCCGAACAGCATCTCGACCTTTTCAACACCAAAATCGCGAGAGAAAGCGGGATAATCTTGCGCGCGAAAATTCGCAAGCCCACGGAAGTATTTGAAGATTCCAATCTCCGTTTTTGTCGCGTTCTGTGGCTGGATCAGCCTCATCGCGAGCTTTCTTTTTTTTTCTCTGAATAACAAATCGTCCAAAAAAAAAGAATTCATTTTTTTTTAAGTCAGTGGAGTACAACTCCAGCATCGCTTCAAAACTTTTAAGATGAGAAAATCATTATCCTTCAAAAAAGTTTTTGAAGCTTTCGAAATATACAAATTCAGTCCAGTGTTCCGTATAAACAGTCTAGTATCTGAAATATGGAAAGTAAAGAGAATAGTGAGCGTTTTTTTACCCGATTTTTATTTTCAAAAATTTGACTTTTTCCGATAGTCTTCAAAAAAATTTATATTGAAACTTTTCAATCTGAACGGACATTTTTCGTAAAATGATAGTTTTTTTTTTTTTGAATCGGAGAAGTTTCTAGCGGAGCCCAATTCAAATGTGGGTTGACACCAGTCGCCTCGACGGACCCGTTTTAAAAGATTTCACACCGAGATAACGCCCAAAATTTTGTGGAACACCCTTCCGCGGCTTTCTGCCTGTTGAATTGTTCTTTTGGTTTTGTAACAATCGGCTTTTCGTTCCAGGACCCCGACACCTGACAGCCTTTTCGGCAGTGGAAGCGAAAGCCAGGTGGTTTTTTTTATTTGATTTTTTGTGTTAGATCGTTGAGGAATAGATTTTCTTAATGGCAATTAGAAAATCAACAGAGAAGCACAGTAAACGTTTTTTTTGCAAAAGTTTCGAGCAATTTTTTTGAGAATAAAAAGTCCCACACAGCTTATTCAAGAGTAAACTTTCAATTAACGCCAAAAAGTTGGAAAGTCCAGTACCAAGCAGCTTTTGAAGAACTTGGAGTTTTTCAGTCGTTGCAATCTTCGCACTTGGGACTTCCTGGCTTGGGCGTTCCAGATTTCGGCAGCCGATCTTCTGTCATTTCGGCTGGAGGAATCGACGGCGACGACGAAGGAACTGGCAGTTTGGTCGGATCTTCTGCGGGTCGAGGTACGATCAAACATGAATCGACTATCAAAGTGGAATTTTAAGAATATAGGAACTGTAATTGAGTTGATTTCTGATACTCTTAATCATGAGGTACTCTACGAAAAAGATTTTTTTTAATCATGGTGTTCTGGTTAAATGGCGTCGTTTTTTTTTAAATTGGAGACGATCAAAGGATTTTTCCTGATCTTGGATTTCAGCATCTCGAAGAGGAACTTTCACGATCGAACGACCCCCAACTATTGGATTGCCGAGCACCTCGCGTGTTGGAGACAGGTAGTTTTTTTGGAATTTTTTCCGACAAAAAGCTCATTTATTCAAGTTGTCATTGAAAAAAATGCGATATGAAAGAGTTAGACTGATTTTTATGTTTCCCCTGCTAACATTCGATTTCAACTGCACTAGAAGGTCTAAAATTATGACCTTAGAAACAAGCTCCCAGGCTCAACACCTTGAAGGTATTTGCATTTGGGTAGTGAGAAGGGAGTCGGACGTTTCCTTGTATGCATAATCTGACCTTTGCTGTCCCAATATACGCGGTCAGCTTCTTGACGTTTTCACGCCAGCATCTATACTGCGCCTCGCTTTCAGTCGTTCTCGTATTATTCATTCCTCGCTTCCCTTCTTTTTCCTCCATTGAATCGCTCCAACGTCTTCTGAATTGGAACGTTATGTCCTTCTCACGCTGATGTGTTTCGCGGTTTGATGCCGGTCTGAATGATTCGTGTTTCTGGAACAAGGCTGAATCTCTTCCTGGTTTCCTACTTTTTTATTACTGTTTTGGGAATAATTTAGAAAAAGGGCCTCACAGACTTGAAGAAGTTGAAAACAAAAAATATATACTGTGAAGATTTTTTTATTCGAAGGCGTTTCTTCATTTTCTTGAAACAACTTAATCAAGTTTTAATTCCAAGTTATATTGCGACTTCTTGATTCTACCTTCATGAAAGTGCTTGCTTATCAATAATAAATTTCAAGACCAAACCATTCTGTGGGAAGTTTTTTAGATTTATTTTATTTATTTTCCGATAATATCTTTAATTCGTCCTTCATTTTATTCAGAACAGTTTTTCACGCTTGAAAAAGCCATTAAAAAAACTATTACTCATACACAAAAGAACCTTGGAACAAAGAAGTTGTTTTTAGCCGAACTTAAGGAAATGATTTATTCCGGAAGCTTTATAATTTTCTCGACTTCAAAGTAAGGTAGAACAGCATTCTCCACATTTGTGAAGCAACTTCACAAATTAACCCTGTGAACTTATACGCGACTCGCTAAATCTGATGCATACGACCTCAGGTCTCTTCAAAATAATTTAATTGAAAACGCCTTTCATGGGTCTACCTTAAGGTTTTCCTGTCGAACTTCTCCTAAACTTTCAATTTTGCTTTGCGGGAACTTTTTTTGTGGAAAAGATTTATCATTCCATAAAAAACGAGGAGGTAATGGCTAGGATTCAACCGGTCGGATCGTCGTTTTCTTCGACGTTTCGTAGTATAGGACGAAACATTCGCCTGGAAGCCATTCCGATATAGCGGCTGCATATAGGATTCGGCCGTCGGTCCACATTATTTTTATTCGACTATGTTCTGAACAACTCGTTCAGCTTTGTTTGAGATTTTCTCGAGCGAACAGCTATAGTTTGTTTTCTTCTTCTTCTCACTTTTTTCGCTACTTACGTCTTTTCTGAAACCTTTTGTTTGAAGAGAAGTCTATTCTCTTGGTATTTAGGTGTCGGTTTCATGACTACACAACGTTTTTTCTGGTTACAAGCTTGAATTTATTTTCTAGAATTAACCTTGATCTTGCCTGAGTTCCAAAGAAGTTCCCATATCGTGCAGTTCTTGTGGGTTCCTCACAGTTGTGATATCCTTGTTGACCGGTCTATTTTTCGTGTCTACATGACGTTTCATAACCGTTTGTGACGTGCGGCAAAACCAATTTTTCATCCGACGGAGATATTCGGAGCGAGAAAGAGAGAGAGAAAGATGCCTGCCTGACTCCCTCCACAGCCGCTACCTCTTTTGGAAAGAAGGAACCGTAAGCGGTCTCGTCGAGGCCGTCTTTTGTTTGTATTTGTGTTTTCCGACCGCCTGGAGCCGCTCGCCGACGCTTTTTGTGCGGCTCGATCAGCCCATCTTCTATCCAATTCCCATTCTTCTCGGACGAAAACCAGTTCTGATATGAGCCTCATTCTTGTTTTTTGAAGGTTTTTATTTCTAATTCAGCTTACCAGGAAGTTTCATTATTTCTTTTTATTTCATTTCTGTATTTTAAAGATAGCATTCTGGCTTGACATTTCTTTTGAGCTTGAGAAACAAAAAAGTTTTCGCATCCGATATCAATGGAAAAATGAAAAAAAAAACTTATCATAACTTTCATGGTTTCATCAGAAGCGGAATAAAAAAAAAAAAGTTTTTTCTTTGCTTTTATGCAAATTAAACGAATTTTTTTGAATAATTTTGTTCTCAAAGAAAAAACGAAAGCTCGGAGCCTTTCTTTTTCCCTTTTTTTATTCATCCAAGCTGACGAATATTGATGTTTTTCTCCTCTTTTTTTACATATATATATACCAAAGCGTGAGTCTGTGTGGCCGACATTTTGAAGGAGGAAAATGAATGAAAACATCTTCTCCGTTGAATGGTGGTACGTCTGCGGATGTTACGGGGGTGTGAGAGAAGTACGCTCGACTGAACACTGTCGTCGTCGCCTTGATTTCGGCCCGTGTCCTGGTGCTGTTCTTCATCAACACTTACGTGTCCTGGCTGTACGATCACACATATTAGACTTCAATTTTTTTTTCTTTTTTTTCTGCCAAGTCTTATTTCTTCGGACAAGCTCAACAAAAGCATTGAGCTACTTTAAAAAGCATTGGCTGGATTGCAGGTCGTTGTGCCTTTCTATAAATAAATTTCCACACTTTATTTACTGGCGAAAGATGTGAGTCATACTCATTATCAACCGCTGACCCCGGTTGCAGTCAGTTTTTTTTTTCAGCATATTTAAAGCTATCTCACCTTTTTTTTTCATTTTATTGATTTTCTTTCCGTTTTTTTTTCCCCGAAGAAATTTCGATTTTGCTTTTTTGATCATTTTTCAAACTATTATTTTCAAGTTTGATTTTTTTTTTTCCAAAATTTGAGTTCATATTTTTTAAACTGACTCACACTGATTATCGAACTGAGTCGCGCTGACCCCAATCGCAGTCTTTTGATCCTCTTTTGCTTCGGTGTCAAAGAAAAAGTGTCTTTTTCTGTTTGAACTTTGAAAAATTGACCACCTTTAACTTTGCACTGGGATTTCCTTTGGTATAGTTTTCTGACAAAAAGTGTAAATTTGAGCTGGAGGAGTTTCAATTGAACTTGCTTCTGTGCTTTCTAATTATTTTTCTTGGAAATGCTGTATTTTAATGTTACCTTTTCTCATTGCATTCAATTCAAAAAAATCGACGTATTTATTAAGAAACTAGTGCTTTTTTAGGGTTTTTATTGGCCTCCTGCTGTTCATTTGCCCTAATCCTCACAGTTTCATTCAATTAATATGCCTGGATTTACTCGAAAACGAACAAAAAGCTGACAATCACGGCAGACGAACGGCGTATCGTTTGCACCCGACTTGTTTGTATTTGTTTGGTTGTTGTGGATGTGTGGGTCTCGCTACGATCTCCCTGTGTGTTTCGAGATGCGCACTGTTTGTGAAGGTATCCTTCGCGCGAATCGTTTTCCAAGTGGAACGCCAAGACCATTCTCATTTTGAACGCACATCACAAACAGTTGTAAAACGTCCGAGGATATCCATTCTTCTCGAGAATAATTTCCTTATCTCAACACATATTTATCTTGGAGAAGTTTCTAGGGTTGTGAGATGTAGATGGAAATTCATTAGCTCAGATTTCGAATCTCGAAACCCTTTGATTTACACCATTTTCAGTCTTGTTGAAGTACGACGATTTGAAGTTTTGTTAAAATCCTTGAAAGATAATGTGTTTGATATTTGATTGATCCAAATAACTTTTACAAGTAGACCATTTTTGCACCCTCTTCCGTAGTTTTTCCTTTGAATTTTAGCAGCATTTCATTTTTTTTTTCATGGGATTTTGAAGCACAGTTGAAGATGAGTCTTTTTTTTTCAAGGAGTTGCAGGAAAAAGTTTTCGAATCAATAAAATGATATTCCTCTTTGGGACAGCATTAGAAAGTGTGAAACTAGGGAATTTTAATTTTTAGATACGTTTTTTTTTCAGTTACCTATAGTGAACCAACTTTTTCAAAAATTAGCCGTTTCGAACAGCATTTTCCTGGATTTTGAACACCTCTGCAGTGGCCATTTTCCCCATGGACTATTTTTTGCGCAGCTGTTTTGTTCTTCTTTTTTTCTTTTCATCACACCTTTGTACGGATTCTTTGCACATTTCTGTTCAGTTTGCACTTTTGAGAAGGTTTTCAGTTGGGTCTGGATGTGTCTGCTCTATAAAAGGGTATTGTTCCTGTGTTTGCTCATGAAAGTTTTTTATTTCGCTTCCTCCCGTTTGGCCTCCGCAGCTCTATGAATTAAACATTTATTTTTTTGCGAGGCTCTATTTACCTTTTGACTCGTACGAAAACTATTTTTCCACGACTTCGTAGTGTTGAATAGAGCCATCAGTTGCTTTTTGAACTTCTTGAGTGAACTTTCATCAATTTTTTCCCCTTTTCCAGTTTTCTTCAGCGTGAGTGAATATCGCAAACTCGATTTCTACATTTACTTCATTTTGTCACTCTAAACTCTTACGTTGTCTTTTGACAGCTACAGCTGACGAGGAGATTTATGGAGGTGTGAAATGAAGTGGCGTTGATGCAACTGCCGTGTCGGAGGTTTTTTATGACCGGAGGAAAAGTTTGGCTGCCGCGAGCTTCTTCAGAAATGCAGTAATGTGGTGGAAGTGTCGGCCCCGAAGAACCGCCGAATTGCTTTTCCTCAGAAATTTGAGCCGTTCGACGCGTCGTTGATTCTCCAAACTGATAAGTCTTCCTGCCTCACTGTACGTCTTGTTATTATGCGACGGACCGCTTCTGAGAGCATGCGATCATTTTGGCAGAGGTTTTCTCTCTTCTTTTTTTGAGTTTTTCGAAAAATATTGTCGAAAAATGGAATCGTGGTGTTTTGGACGAAACGGTCGAAGGCCCTTTCATTGTGTGTCGCCTTCTTTGCGAGCCAAATCCTACCCGTTTATGGGCCTCCACAAACCTGCCAATTTCTCATCATTCGCCTCGCGGATTCTAACGTTCATCGACATGGCATTTTTTCTCTTTGCATACTGTTCAATCGCTTCAACGTTTCTGGACTTTTTTTTCAAACTCACTGAATTTTAACTCTTCGGTTAATCGTCTTCTTTTTTGAGAGCGAATTTTCGTTTGAAAGTTCATCCATATGTAACAAAATAATGTGATTAGCGAAATTTATCTTCTTTTTGATGGCGTGTTCAAAGTTATTTCCGCGAAATGCACAATGACCGTCAGAGAAAAAAAAATATAACTAAATTTTGGAGGGTCAGAGATCATTTTGCATTTTGCAGAATCACTTTGAACACGACATGACATTAGAACGACACAGGAACTGACGTCAAACTTTTTTTCGAATATATTCTACAGATCAGTGTTTAAGCTTTTTTTAAAAGTTAGTTGTAGAATGAGCGTGGGATCTTCATTTTTACTTCCTCTTTCCTTTTTCTAATTCCGATTTCCATGAAAAGGTTGCTAGTAACGTTAGTGCTGTATTAGTTTATTCCAGGAGGAAGGTATCGAAATTGGTCTTTAAAAATACATAAAAGTCGGTCTTTTTTCGCCCTGTCTCTGATTTGTGTAAGATGCCGTAGAGATTTGATATTACGTCTAGCATGTTTCTGCGGCGAAACACAAAACAAAAGGAGAGAGAGCCATGTCCTGCGCCTTGTGTTCAGCGATTTTTTCCTCCAGTGCAGAGAAGTCGACGGCGATGATGGACGGATTGTGCCTCGGATTCCCTACGTGTGTCTCTGCCGCTTGAATCATCTTCATTTATTGATAGACCCATCATATTCCAAGGATTTTTGGTCCCTCCTGCTTGGCTATCCGTCTTTTTCGTACCTCTCCTCGTCGATCCAATATGATGTTCTGCGTGAGAAGGTATCATTAGCTTACAAAGATTTTATTGTTTGCAAATGTCCGTATCTTTTTTCGCTTAGAAAAGGATTCAGCCAGTTTCTTAATATGCGCAGGACATGGAATATTCAGTTTTTTGTGTATCGAGTAGCTCTTTGGGAGCTTCAGATAAGATAAAATTAATGAGATTGATCCACACTTTTTTTTTACATTTTTGCGAAACTTTTCCGGTTGTTTTCCAATTCGCCCTGCGGTTCTCAAAGCTTTTCGTGAGCTTTTTTTGATACAAAAGTTTTTTTCGAAAAAAAAAGTCATATATAAAAAAAATCAGGAATTCGAATTCTAATCTGTCACGACGCGGAACATTTTATTAATAAAATTTTTTGACTTTTTGACTTTTCGAACTCTGTTTTTTTCATGATTATTCCAAAAAAAAAGTTCAACGCTATCGATCATTTATCAATTCTATTGTTTTGCAGCTCGTTTTCGCCGACAGTTCAGCCGGCGCCGGCGGTCGAACGCCGCTCGACGAGCAATTTATTCGCCAACGATCGCCACGGTATGTAATTACGTGCATGCTAATTGATCCTCCTTCGGAATCCTGTTGATTTTTTTCTCCTTTTATTCGATTGCTTCCGTCTTTAATCCAATGTTTTCCCGAGTTCCTTCTAACATCCCCGTACTTCGTTTTGTGAGGTTGTTGCGAAGCTCTTTTTTAAACTATCGGAACGGCTGTCCTCTGCGGGTTCTTTGTCCGGCGGCGAAAAGACGAATGTTTAAATGAATTTCAACCGGGTTTTATTGGGCTCATCGTAGCCATATTGACTATATTTGCTTCCATGTCAAATAAAGAACTTTCTTTTTTTGTTTCATGTCGTAGAGTTGTTCATATTTTGTCTCAGTCCATTCTGTGGTCACCATTTTTTTTATTCAGAGCCGTCTGAAAATGGATTCAATCATTTCATAAGGACTTTTTTTCATTTCCATCCAGTTCGAGGTTTTCGGATAGTTTATCACGATTAAAATTGAACAACAAAAAAATTTCTTTCAAAGAAACTGAAATCGGATTCATTAACAGACGGTTCTACAGGTTTTTTTCGTCCAGCAAAAAGTTCTGAAAAAAATATTTTCAATTATTTCAATGTTTCTCATTGTTTCTTGCAATTAATCGTTTTTTTCGATTTTTTTAAAATGAGACCTTAAAAAGTTGAGATTATTTCTTAATTATCCAACTTTGTGAAAATTTGGATGATTTTTTTTCAAAAACTTTGGAAAAACTTTTTTTTTAATAGGACTTTACAAAATCAGAATACGATTAATCAAGAAAAAATAAAATGAATGTGAATTAAAAATCTAAAGTTATCTTTTGGTATTTTGTTGTGCTAAAATCCTCTATTCACCTCGTTGTTTATAATTTTTTGTCTGTATTTTCCGAGTGCCTAACTTTCAGCTTTTCAAACTAACCTCTATTGTACCCGTCGGTGTCAGTCAGTACATCGAGTTGCCCTTTTTTGCTGCGGTCAACCCCGGTGTTAATGGCATTTCCATGTGAAGCTGTCGAAGAGAATTTCCTGAACTTGTAGACTCGGACCTCGCCGAAACTCAATCGGACTTTGTCTCCTCCCGACGGATTCCCGAAAGAGAGGAAGAGACCGAAGGACGTCTTCTTTTGGCGCCGAACGACGACGGCCAACGAGAGCTCTACCCGTACCAAGCGAGCAAGTCCATGATGAACTTAAGGTGCATTTTTTGGATGATAATAATGCATTTCGCACCATTGATGAAGTTATAGTGACTTCCGCGCAAAACTTTCTCCTTTTTTTAAATTAGGAAAGCCACTACAGAAAATATAGAATTTTGTGCGCTTTTCTTAAAGTTTCCAAGTTGATATTTTTCTCATTCCGTTTTTCGACTTAACCTCAAAAATGATATTTACAGAGATGCCGGCGGCGTCCGCGTCCAAACCGCCAAGGAGTTGATGATGTCTCACATCAGCGGATCTCCGTCGCGGAACAACAGCGGCAGCGTGTTCACGACGAACGGCGGATCTCCTGGAAGGAGGAAATGGGGCGATTTGGCTCCTGCGCCTCAGCCTACCGGTGAATTTTTTCTCATTATTTCATTTTTTTGCAAGATTTCTACCAAAGATACTATCTGAGTTAAGTATTTCCTAAAACATTTAAGAAATTTATAAGTAAGATTTGCTAGCGCGTGTGAACAAAAAAAAACGAGGAAATATCTTGAACTTTCTTGTTGAATATAACCTCCTGTTCTCTTTTCTAATGACGTTTTTTTGAATTTTCTTCCCAAAAATATTTCCAAAAAAAAACCACGCAACTCTTTAATAGAAAAAAACTCCAATAAAGCCCATTTTTCTAAATACGAAAACCAATGTCTCTTTTTTGAACTCTTAATCATGAAGAGCTTCTGATTTTTTTTTTCCACTAATATTGTACGTTTTCCTTTTTTCTTTTATGAACAGACGAAATTCGCCAATTTTATTTTCTCCGTCGACTGTTGTCCTGTTGTGTTGTTTTGGCCGTTGTTCTCCACTGATCTTATCTTTTTATCACGCCGAACACCTGCAACTGCCAATTTGGTTGATCGCCAGCGGAAATAATGAGATATCGGCCGAGATGTCTCCATTGTCAAAAGGGATTCTTCGTTAAAACCGCTCGAATTTTCAGAATATCTTTTTTTTGTCTCGACTCATTGCTCACTTGATTCACCAATGAAGACAAAATCAGATTTTGATCTTTTTGAAAAAAAAAAATTGTTTGCCTTACTAGGGAACGTTTTTTACCCCCCGGTTGAACTTTTGCTGAAACTTTGCCGAAGTGTACTTTAGGACCCCCTGATTCCAGAACAGAAAGAAAATTTTTCGCAATAGATCTCGTTTTCGAATTAGGACACTTCAAAAGCCCGAAATAGCGCTTTTTTGGCCTAATTAGCGTATTTTGCACACTTTGAAGCTCCATAACTCGGAAACAAGATCTATTGCGAAAAATTTTCTTCTTGATCTGCAATCAGGGGGTTTCAAAGTACACTTCAGCAAAGTTTCAGCAAAAGTTCAACCGGGGGGTAAAAAACGTTCCCTGGTTAAATCTTTTCTCCGGGGTTCCCGATGAGTCACCATTTTTCTTTTTCTTCTTTCCGCCAAAGAAGAATAATTTTCCTTTATCCGCAGTTGGTTTGCACACAGCCGTCGCGGCCACGCCCATCTCCTGCCAAACAAGGAGACGTGCAGGTGCGCCGAAACGACCGGTAGAACGGTGGAGCACAAAGAAACCGGAGGGCACGTGACGTCGAAGACGATTTTTCGTCGGAGGACGAAGATACCCTCGGCGAGGTCTCACCAGCTGGCAGCTGGCCAAACGACCGTTCTTGCGCGCGCCTTTGAATTTTTCGATTAGAGGAGATATCTTCTCTTTTTTGTTCTGAAATATTTAAAAAGCTAGCTTTGAAAGCTTTTTGGGAGAACATCATCATAAAATCACTGTTTGAATCTTTCTTATTTTTGCTTGAATTCAGACCAACTTTTGAGTATTTTTTTAAAGAAAGTATAAGCAATTCAGCTTGGTTTCCTAAAATTTCGTACTTTTTTCCGAAAAAAATTTTTCAATATTTAGTGAGAAACAGTGCACTTTTCTTGAGCATTTTTCCAAGATTTTTGCAAAAAATCCTCGATAATTGTGAATTTCCTGTTTAAAAAATCGTTGAAAGAAGAGAGAAGTTTTTCGAAATAGATTTGAGTTCTCATTTTTTTTCACAATGTTCGAAGCTTTAAAAATTTTTTTCAATAAAAAAATCTTGGGTTTTTTTCTTTTAGTTCCATCCATTTGTCTTGGGAAATGTTTGCATGAAAGTTATTCTTTGTTCACAATTTGGAATCTCGCCTCCATAAATTTGCTCTAACAAAGTTTAGAAGTTTCATGTTCTAGATAAAGTTCAGCGATTTACTACAACTTTTTCCATTCTGACAAAATTTATTTAAAATGTCTTTTTTTTTAGAAAACTCCTGAGTTTCCAATGATTTTACGTTACAATTTTTCAGATTGGCAACGTCAAAATGTTCATCGGAGCGACTTCCAGGAGTACGTGCCGAGGATGAACGCCGTCTCACCGATTCCAACCGATGGTTGGATATTTTTGATTTCGTTTCTTCATAATACGATTTTACAGCTTCCAACGCGACTTTTACTGTCCAGGGATCGCCGTACGACTCTCCGATGGCTCCGCCAGTTGGACCGAGGTCTTCGTCAAGAGTTTTCACCTCGACGCCGACTTCGCGGTCCTTGATTGATGGGCCATCTCATCAGGTTACTCATTTATCTATTTTTCTGCTTCTTACATTTGATCGAAATGTTTTCTGTTGTACACGAATGGCCCTTCCAATGAAAAAGTCTTATCAAAAATGTTTATCCTTCAGTCGCGAACCGTTTGGAGTCCGCAGACGTTGGCGAGCAGTGCGACGCCTAGACGCAGCAACTCGAATTTGTACGCGGCGGCAAACGCGTCGCCGTCAGGACTTTATCATTCGCCTTCCACCGGCAACGCCAATATCTCCAGAAGACGTTAGTTAATTACAGAGAAAGATCTCGAGACAAGGATCGTTTTGCTTTTTTTTTTGGTTTTTGAGATACTTTTGTGCCTTCAAAAACCACATCAATCAGTCTTTCTACAAAAATGACCTTCTACTATCTATGAAGCGAAGATGTTCAATGAATTACCAGTGGCGACGAAGAATCTTATCAAAAAACAAATTGACGTGTTTCTCATTGAAACTAAGGACTGAAAATAATTTTGCCGACATATCCTTACTCATGAATTAATATATTCTCCCTCAAACCAGCTTCCCTGTGTAACGTGCTTTTTGTCGAACTTATTTCGCAGTTTTTAGATTTTACCCAAAACTGACTTTCAATGACTTTCTGAGGAATGAAATATAGCGAAAGCTACAGAACTAATGCGGAAAGATGGATTTTTTTTTCCGATTTCTTTTCTAAGCGTCACAGCAAGTCAGATTCAGAATCTTTTCAGGCTTTGTCGGAGCTAGATTTATATTGCTTTATTAAAGACATAATTTTTTTTTTGGTTGATAACCATGTTTTGCCCCGCTTCCAACCCATTCCAGAATCTGAAAAGCAAAACCGTCTGCGGTTCTCGACAGCCCGCGACGCTGACATCAGCATCAATTCTGATGAAAACGGGGTGTCGACGACGGCGAGTCGCCCAGCGCGAAAGCGTCTGGTTGAGCCGCGTCAAAGGCCTCGGACTACGGTCGTCGACACTCGCGACGTTGGTTTGGCTCATCAGAAGGCGGCGCCGGCCGTCGTCAAGTACTCTTGGTCGACGAAGCCGAAAGGTTCAGCTCTGCCCTGTTTCGTGGAAGCACGCCTTAACTGACTGACTGATGGAATGGCTCCTCGACGTGGAACGCTTTCTGGGCTTTTCTCCTTGGCTGAAGTGCACGAATCGAAGATAATACTCACTAACGCTTCTCATTAGAACTCAGGGATGGTTTGAAAGAATTTGAATGAATGCAGGGGGAAGTCATGATTATAATCTCGCTGGAAAAGTTGCTCATAGGGTCCATCCTGCATCATTTAAAAATTGTTTGAACTATTCCTTTGTTCATTAATAATTTCCCTTGAAAAAAAGAGAAATGAACCATTATTTTGTCCTTCCTTTTATTTATAATTATCATAAAACTGAAGTTCTTATTAGAGACGAATTTATCAAATTTATATGTTCTAGGATTCTTCGAAATGAAAATTTTTCTAAACTGATGGCAGGTGAAGTCAAAATATAGCCGAGTCAACACGCGTTAACTCCACAACCACATTGTTTAACTTGAAAAGGATATCATAAAGTAGAATTCTTTTATAAGTAGATCGGACTATAATTTTGGCGAATTCGAGATGTAGGTCTCCACAGAAAGAAAAACTGAGTTCTGGGCGTTCTTCTACAAGCTCCTATTCTTTCACTGTCACAACCACAATCACTTTCCTTTCCGTACTACACGCAGAGCAAGCTGCAAAAGAAAGCAGCACTGTGACATTTTTTTTTCCGATTCAAGGTTTCTCAAACAACTCTGCCTTTTCAGCCGACGACTTGCCATACACGCCGTTTTCTCACTTGCGTAGTCGAAGTCAGAGCCCGAACAAGCTGGCGTTGAGCCAACTCCTGCAGAACCGAGGCGAAGGAGGTCGCGAAAGCGTCGACTCGAATCCGTCTTCCGTTGGGGCCAACGGCGCCCACAGTCGCGAGCTCACTCGACATCTTCAGCAGAAGCGAAGGGTCGGTCAACCTTGATCTTGGGATTCACAAACAAAGAAAAAATCGATCCAGAATTGAATAGCTTTTTTCCAACTTACTCTTTTTCAAATACACACGTTTTTTCTTCTTTCGAATTTAAATAGGGTTGAAATGTCTCAAATTTAATTTCAGCAAAGTTATATTGTATCAAAAATTGAAGATAGCTACTTCAGTGGACAAAGAAGGTTTTTGGTGTTTGTAAAACGCCATCATTCGACCCCAAGACAAAAAGCGAAAGATATTTTTTGACTGAAGTCAGGTTGCTTCGAGGTACTAACTTTCAGAAACTTTCAAATCTCTGTCCACTTCCACCTCCCTTTTTGATCTATTCACCACCAAGCTTCGAAACTTTTTCGTTTTTTGAAACATGAAGAGCTTCAGGATTCCGACGTCAGCTATACGACTCGTTCTACGTCTCGGGGGCCGATGAGCCGCGACGGAGAAATGCGAAAAAGTACCGACGCCCTCAACAAACTGATGGCCGTACGCAATAAGTTTGTTTATTTTCCAACTTCTTTTTTGATTGAAATGGCCGTAGACTTGAAGGCTGTAAGCTTCTGGGAATTAAAATTACTTTCCTTTTTTGAATTTTTTTTGTGTAGGGGTGCAAGATGTATTTGCAATGTTCTTCGACAGGAAATGTTCCTTTAATCTAGGAGTTTTTTAACACTCAATTCGAAATTTCCATGAAAGTCTGAATGGAACTCCCGAACTCCCCGCGCTATTTTTTGTTCTGAAGTTTTGAATTTCGAAAAATTTTGGCTCTCAACAAAAAAATAATGATTAATTCTGGGATTCCATTTATTTAACTGAAGTTTGAGGAAGAAGTCATCCTTTTGAAGCTTTTGAGCAATTTTTTTTTCAAAAGAAAAAAACTAATCCCTCTTTTACCTCACTCGGACTGCACACATAAACTGTAATTTGACCAAAAATTACTCGATTACACATTTTTCGCAGTTCAAACAATATCTCTCATTGATTGATGGTATTTGGAGGCTGCACCAGTCGAGCGAGAACCTGCGGAAGTCGTCGGACAACCTGGCGTTGGCCCCTGGAGAAGACGTGACGTCGTCTGTTGGGATGCGCACGAGGAGCATCAGCAACCTGAGGACGGCCAACGCCTTGGAGTCCTTCGGGACCTTCGACGTCGACGTCCGAAGCCGATCCGGGTTCGTTCCCAACATTCAAATCGAAAACAGGGAGATTAAAAGGAACTTCCACTTGCTGACTCCCTCTATTTTACCACCATCAGAGATAAAAACCGGTTTTTTCCCCTGAAAAACCTTTTCCCACTTTTTCCCTACTTTTGATCTGTATAGTGTTATCAGCCGGCGCCTATTGCAAGTTTTTGTTTGCATTTGACCGTCTGTTTTACTTTTTGCGTTGGCCTTTTTTGAATTTCTCCACGTGTGACATATTTATCGCCACACAAACGGTTATCGGTGCCCCAAAAAAGTGCGTATATAAGTAGTCGGAACCGTGTGAGTGTGCCTGAAATTCGACTACGATGTTTGAGCTTCGTCCTTCGATTCCAACCTATGGATACAACTGGTAATCGTTTTGCTGTTTCGGGATTTATTCAGAAAAATGATCAACCCTTGGTGTTCTTATGCTGTCTCCTAAATCGGTGAATTTCCCCAACAAAAACCTCAATTTTATTGAAAACCCCTATGAAGCCACCATGTCACTCGTCACTAGAAAGCAATCTTCAGATGATGTGGTGAAACAATTTTGGCAAAACTTGAAGCTTGGCAGGAAAAAGGAAGTTTCGAATGTTCTTTTCATTATTGTTAAAACTGGACTGCTGATTTTCAATACAAATCTTTGTTTCGAGAGCTATCAGTGTGGCCTGGTGTTGATTTGAAGCAAACCATGATTTCCGTTTTCCCTCTTTCTGACCCTCCGGATTTCCTTTTCAGGTCTACGAGCTCTTTGGCGCACTCGCGGATGCTGGCCCGTAGTATGGGCAACGTAAGCGCCGGTTTAGAGGGATCCGGACTCCCGCGGGACTTCGATTCGCCCAGCAAAAGACTTGCCAACACTATTCAACTGATGAAGAAGGCTAGGTAATACGCGGATTTCGTTATCCTTTCTTGTCTTATGTTTCCAACCGAACCTCTCAAGTTTGCCTCTTTCTCTGTTGCCGAGTTACTGCTTTTGTGAATCTTCTGAACCCTTTGGTTGCGATTCGAGGGATCAAAAACAATAAAAATCGTATTTTTGACTATTAGGAACATTCTGGACAACTTGATAAAATTCCCATAAAAATCGAATACGCTGCGTTGCGTGCGATTATAAATCATGAGCCTTCTTTGAAGAAAAACGAAAAATTGTTTCTTTGGCAGCCCAAAACGATGTTTATTTTTTTCTTTTTTTCATGATTTTTTTAAACTTTCCCCTGATCTTTTTTTCAGTTTATTTTTGATTCAAAATTTCGATAATTTGAAAACAAGAAAAAGAACATAACTGAAAAAAAGATAAAATAATATTTTTTTGTCTTTTTTTGGCGAGGTTTGACTTTGTTCTGGTCAGTATTTTCGAATTGGAGCATTTCTTTTAAATTTTTTTACATCCTATTTTTTGCAGCAATCCAGATCTCACTCAACCGGACCAATACGACGACGCGGCTAGTCCATTCGCAATGCGAATGCGTGGAGCTGTCCAGAAGAAGGTCAGTCGGAGGATTTTCTGGCCAAAAAACTCCTGAGAATTTCTAGGTGGACCGCTATCGGCCGAGAAACCGAGGCGGCCCCGCCGGTCGAAACCAAACGAGCGAAGAAAGCGACTCGAACACGAGCGACGCCTCCCCACTCAACCAGTCCATCAACAAGAACGCCGCCTACTCCTTGAACAGGTAAATCCTTCCGAATTTCCCTGATTGAAGAAGTTCTTCAGAGTTTCTGATTGGTCTCCGACGTCGTCACTCTCCTCCAAGAACACGTCGATCGGCGGTCTTTCCTCGTCACGTCGACTCTACGAACAACAGCGCATCTCGAACGTTTCCTCGCCGCGTCGAGGAAGCAACTACCTTGTACAGAAGATGAGGTGAAAATGAAATTGGAATATTGATTCGGCTCTTGAATATCATAAATTCCAATATAAAAACTGAATAAGAGATTATTTTCGAAGAGACATTGATTAATATCTCCATTTTAGCGACACGTCCCGAACAATGGAAGGGCCTGACTTGGGCAGCGACGACTCGCCTCGATCTTCTGTCAATTCTCACGATTGGCAGCATCTCATTGAGCAAGGCCCCGATGGCACGCGGAATCGTCCGTTTCATTTTCATTTTTGATAATTTTGAGACGTCAAATAGGGCTTCATAAAAAGGATAGTCTCCCGGTAATTTCGATAATTCAGTTGAAATCGTAGACAAAATCCAAAATATTATGATACTGCTGGTCCTCATGCGAACACCAAAGTGCCGTCTGCTTACTGTCGTGCTCAAAGAAGCTTTGTCCATTTTTGGCATCCTTCAATCAAATTCGACAAAACTACTTTGGTCACGGCAGGAATTCCAATCGCTATCATCCTATGACGCACAAAACCACCCACCGCTGCTTTCGGCCGTTCTTTCGAAGGAATTTCTCGGCTTTTCAGCACTGGTCCGACACGTCCAGGACTGCATGGAGCAGCTGCGCGTCAGCATCGACAAATCGGTACAGGCTCGCAAATTGGTTTGTTTCTTCTTTCGGCTTCTGGAACTCCCAATGATTCTCCCTCTGTCTCCATCACTGGTTCCTTTGTGCTTTCGCCCCTATGTGTTCTCAAGGAATGGAATTTCTAGGTCAAAAATTAAGCTATATTTATCATTCGGCATGACTTGAGTGATTTTCAGTCATAATCAGAACGACTGTTTTTTTTTTGTTTCGAATAATATCTGATCGAAAAAGAAAGCTGATCAAAAGTTCACTTCACAATAAATCCGCTTTTCAGAAAGTCACAGAAATTTTTTTCTGGATGAATTGGTGTATTAGGAATTCATTTTTCCTGACCTTTTTATGTACTTTCGAAAAAAACAGATGAATTTTATTATCTCGAAATATTAGATTTTTTTGTTCCTATTCATCTATTATTAGTTTATTTAAAAGCAATTCAAACGAATAAATTCCCGAAATTGATACTATCCAGTTCCCAGTTTGCGTTTCATCTCAAAACCTTTGGATAAAAAGATTTTTTTAATTTCCTTTTTTTATTCAAACTTTTTGGTCTTTTTTTTTAAATTTACATTTTGAAAAATAGTTATTAAATTGGTGAGAAAATCCTTTTTTTTTTAATTCAAGTAATGCGACATCCTCTTTTTCGTACTTTTTTGTTTAAATTTTTCTCGACTTATTTTAAGTTTTAAAAATGCGTTACAATTTTCAGGAGAGAAAAATTTGCATGCTCGAAATTATTTAGATAACCGGCTTTTCGTGTTAAACTAAACTATCTTCCTTTTTTTGCACTCCAGTCTGTTTCAGGTGGAAGAGGATCCCTCGCTTTCCATCGAACAGAAGAAGGTTATAACCTGCGAGATCGATCGTTCTACTGAACGAGCCATTGAGAAGCTTTCTCCATACTTACAGAGGTCACCTTTTCTGATACGATAGGATTTTTTGATGTTCTTTGATTTATGATGGATAAAGTAATTTTTATTAATCTAGGTCTTGACAGAAATGACTATGAAGTCTAAACCTCTTCCTGGTGCACACTTTTTTTTTCTAGTCGTGTAGAAATTTATTACCTTAAGATGAAGGTGCATGAACCATAAATTCATTGGTCATAACTCAGAAAAAAACTGAAAGGGTTCAGCAAGCTGGACGACCGGAGCAACGGCAACGTCGGCGGCAACGAGTACGCGCCGCTGAAAGGTCCCCAAATCTACGGCGTCCTGAAGCAAAATCTCACCTCTCGCCAATAAATCTTCCTTATATTGTTAAGAATTCTGACACTATTGATGATCTTCTCTGCGTTGTGCCTTTCTCCCAACCGATCCGTACCGGCTGATGACTCTCTTCTTTCTCCTCTTTAACACTAATCCCTATTACTTGATCAAAACTAACCTTTAATCAGAATTTATTTTTTCTAACTCGTCCTTCACGCAATATCTCTCTCTTTCTCTCTCACATGACCCCAAGCCTTATTATACGTCAATGTCGACGAATTGCCGGTTCAACTGAATTCTTTGAAATCATTGTTATTCTAGGTTTTTACTTGCTCACTTTCTGTCTGATTGCTCTTCGAAAAGATATATTTATTGCATGATTTAGCCCCCGAATTCGAAAATTATTTCCTTTTTTATTGACTTGTACAATGAAAATTTTATCGCTTTTCGACTTGTGTTTTTATGAAAACGAATATTCGCCGTTCCCACACGCGAATTTAGAGAAAATTTGGATGTGTGAACGTTTGGGCCGAAATGGAAGAATAATAAAAACGAAACGTCGACGTGTGCACGAATCGTTCATTCCTGTGGAATTCGCGACGGTCGGCTGACTTGAAATGAATCGTTCCGCTTTGAAAACTCTGTGGATGTCGAATCTCGACGCCGCCTGGGACATTCGCTTCATCAAATTCGTCTTCAAAGTGAGTTTGGAAATACAAGTCAATGAAACGATTAATCGTGAGTTTGTTGAATTCATGTGAATATTGTCAATTCTCAACAGCTTCCTGGGGTTTTCAAAGCATAGATGGCCGAGCTCAACTCAAGTTGAAGTTGTAGAAAGCTCTTCGCTTTGAGACCATAATTAATTCCGGACTGTGGTCCCCTTGACCTCGCAAGGCCTTGAATCGCCTATTTTTGATTTTCTGAACAACATAATCTAATTTAGACTCGGGATCGCAAAATTCCGGAATTATTTGAAAATAACTCCCGAACTTATTTCAAAATGGCTGAATTTAATATTCCTAAAAACTCATTCACGCTTGGAAAAAAAATCGTAAACAAGCTGGGTCGATCGACCCTGAAGAAATAAAACGGGCCTTCAGGTCTTTCCGATGAAAAAAAAAAGAAAACTCTTGAAAAAATCCCGTTCGAATTCCCATTCAGACCTGCCATTAAGCATTTTTATTTATTGAGTCGAGGGTTTTTTTGAAAAATATCTCATATGAAGCTTTAAATATCATCCGATCCGGGCAAATCCTTTTTTGAAAAGATTAAAAGTTTAAACACGAAAAAAAGCTGGTTCAAATATTTTTACAGAAAAGCGGGATCCCACCTATCAGCGTTCGATGCCTCGAATGGTCGCGCAGAGAAGTAATTTTCCAATAAAAAACTTCTCTTCTGAAGCCAGCGCAAAAATCTTTTTCAGAACAGCAGATTCTGCTTCGTGGAGTTTGAGACCGAAACAGACGCCCGGAAGGCGTTGATGGAACTCAACGGCACCATAATTCCCTACACGGATATGAAACGTTTCCGACTGAATTTCATCAATACACCGTTAGTTTTCGGATCAACTTGGAAGTTTGGAACACAGAAATTGGACTAGAACATTTTAGGGGCGAGACCGCGATTTATGTCAGCAATTTGCATCCCCAACTTGTCTGCTCCGACTTGTATAAGGTTTTCAAGCCCGTTAAAAGTAACTAAAAAATTGAAAGATCGAACAGAATTTAAACGTTTTCCCTTCAAATATATGCCCATAATAATTCTTCATACTTATCTGAAAAAAATTACAAAACGTAAAATGTAAATTTTTGATCGGAGAAGAAGAATTGTTCACAATTTTATTTTTACTTATTTCATACGAATTTGATGGAATACATTATATTTCTCAAGGTCTTCTCTCACCTGGAATCTTGCCGTGGAGCACAAGTGATCAAGAACTCCGTTGGAGCTTCGAAAGCGGCCGGCATCGTCAGGATCTTGGATCCTATGGATGTCCGCCGGGCTTTGGTTAGCTCTTATCTGGAATAATTTCTTCAATCCGGAGCCTAGGACATGAAAAACACAATCGTTATGAACAAACCGATGAATGTGAAGCTGGCAAAGTATAATGATAGAAATGAGGTTTTTCGAAAAGTCTCAATTTTTATATACCCCAACTTTCTCATAGAACCGTGAAAAACCCGTCAATCCATCCCAACCACCACAACCTCAGTCACCCTTTTACGAGGACGAATTCTTCAAAAGAGGTTGTACTTCTCTTTAAAACTACAATTTTATTAATGTGATGCTCAGAAACGAATCAGGATGTACAATTGTGCAATTCTTTTTACGTGGCCAGGTCAAACGACTGGTTCGATGACTTGGAGGGCAGCAGGTTTTTTTCTTTCTTCTTTTTTTCATTATATTGCAAAAAAATATTGTTGCCTCCCATAAAAAAATAAATTATTTAGAGATTAAACAGAAAATATCTTTCATTAATGATAAATGAGCCTTTTTCAGGTGGTCTTCGATTCTTACTCAAGAAAAGGTATCTTCACGAGAGTTCAACAAGAATCTGATTTATTCTCGGTGGAGCTTCTCAGAGTCTTCAATATAATAATTATTCTATATATATATGTGTGTTGTTGAATAAATCGGGAACTATTTTCAAAGTAATTTTTATACGTCTTGAATGACATGAAATGTGATAAAACTGGGCAACACAACGAAAGTTTTCCAAGAAGCCCGCTTTCATATAAACTACCAGGAAACAAACGTAGAGCTCCTTACGAGAAAAAGCGATCAGAAACTCAAAAAACTCGAGCCAAGCGTCGTTCGCTTTAAAGAATTCCCGCGGGCTTAAAAACAGAGCCTCCATTCCTTACGTCAACGTGTTTGGCACACTTGAAAAATCCCCGCGCAATTTTTTGGACCTAACTTTCTTCTCGTCTTTCTTTCTTTCTTTTCTTCAGACGCCATTATAGATAGCACTCCCAAAAGTCTCCTCTTGGCGCATTTCGCGTGCGTGCGCGCGCCAATTCAAATTTCGTCTCTTGGACTAGATTTACAGGCTTCCAGTATATGGTTCTTTTTGTATACTTTTTCTCGCTTATACATTTCCAGTTTTCTTTTATTTATTATTGACTTATTTAGTGCATCTTACTTTATTTCCCAAAGTGTTTTGTCTTATGTAAATGGCTCACTTCTGAAACTTCCAACTGATTTTACCGGGTATTATATCTATAGTAACTGGATATACCGGGTAAGTACTGAACTTTTTGATTGCTACCGAGTAGCCCGGAAATGCTTCGCAGGTTGTTATTATTATTACTTTAGTCACTTCGTTTAACTAGGGTGACTCCAAGTTTAAACTATAACTTAAAAGATGAAATCTGAAAAAAAAATACATAGGCGATTCGAAAAAAGGTACCGCGATATCGAAAAATTTTCTAGATACCCTCCAAAAATGAACTTAATCGGAGGCACTAAAATGTTCGACTTTTGAGGGTCCATAACTTTTTTCACAGACCTCCGCCGCAGTTTTTGAGAACAGATTTGGAATCAGCATGGAAAATTACATCTAGTGAACTGTGTCTCATTCTGAAATCCAACTACGACCAGAGACCATTCCCTGGTCAGATAGAGCTAAAGTGTATACTGGAGGTCTCACGAGGGACACATTATGGTACCATTCGCCTGTGTGAGTAAGTGAAGGTGAAAATTTGAATTGGTGCTATATCAAGAAAATATAAATTTTTTTTCGAAAATGAAGTAAGATTCACTAAACGAGTGAATATTAAATGAAATAAAACTGGAAATGAATAAGCAAGAAAAAGTATACAAAAAGAACCATATACTGGAAGCCTGTAAATCTAGTCCAAGAGAGGAAATTTGAATTGGCGCGCGCACGCACGCGAAATGCGCCAAGAGGAGACTTTTGGGAGTGCTATCTATAATGACGTCTCTTTTCTTCGAGCCGTGTTCAAAGTAATTTCTGAGAAACGCAAATTTTATTTCTAAATCTCCTAAATATTTTTATCTTTTTTCTTTCTCTGACGGCTATTTTGGATTTCGCGGAATCACTTTGAACAGGGGATCGTTTTCTCTTCCAGCTGACAGGTTATTATTCATATGTTGCTGTGTGGTGACAATTCTCACCGTACGCTTTGGATCGACAATGTACCCACATCCTGGGATACGGAGAAGTTGAAGGCTGTTTTTGAAGTAAGTGTATTTTTTTGAAGTTTTTTTCTCGGAGCCAGTCCTGTTCAGAAATACGGACAAAAGCCGTACAAAGTGTCTCGAGTGGATTTACGCGGCGAAGTAAGAAAATTGTCACCCTTTAGAAAATTTTAATCTTTTTACAGATTCAATTGTACTGTTTTGTGGAGTTCGTCGACAATGATAGCGCTCATAGAGCGATGGACGTCATGACAGGAAAAAAGGTGTTGGACGGTAAACGAGCCAATATTTCATTCGCTTTCGACAACCATAACCCGTTTGTGTTGGAACTCATGTTTTTATTTGTTTTGCGTTTTTTGCAGAGAACATCGTCTAAACATCAGCAGCCTCCCTGAGAATGTTAGAGAGATAGATTTGTTTAAGGTTGTCTTGTCGAGTTCATTCAGAAATGTTGATGAGTTTTCAGATTTTTCGTAAGTATCGATCTTACCGTGGAGCGAAACTTCACAAATCCGGCCATTACTCTTCCGGTTTCTTGCGATTTGGCGATCAGACTGATCAACAACAGGCTTTGGTGTGTGTGTTACTACGATTGCTTATGTGAAACTTTTTCGTCATACTAATGATATTCTTGGCTCATATATGAGAGGGGTTTTCATAAAGCGATTATAAATGTTTTTTTAGAACATTTAAAGCAAAAAAATAATTTTTTTAAATAAGTCCTATTTTTTTAAAATAAAAAAAACAGATAGGAAGTTTGAAAATTTAAATTTAAAGAACCTCATGTGTTTTTTTCAAAGGATAATTCCTTTTTATATGACCTGAAATATTGTATAAAGCGTCTTTTTGCTTCAGCGCTTTTGTAAAATGACCTTTCAAACAGCTCAGTATTTTGAAATTTTTCAGAAGTTTTATTTTGCAAGGAAATAGAGACTCAAGATTCATTTTTCGCCCAAGTTCGATTTCAAAAAATTTTTCAGGTTGAGTTGAATCGGAAGAAAATTGACCACATCAAGTTGAATCTCACATTGGGGCGGCAAAAAGACGAACGCCTGAGGGTAAAAAAATTTCTCTGAAAATCTGCCAAAATTTGTTTGAAGCACGCGGCGCGAATGTCGGCGAACGAGTCGTTCAACAGCTATTCTCCTGTTTCCTTGCACAATATGAGCGGCTACAACTCGAGCTTCAGCTGCGGCTCCAATAGCTTCTACCAGCCTTCTCCTCAGTTCCAGTCACCCATGTCCACTGTGAGTATGTCCAAAAAAAGGAATACACAAACATTTTTTTGCGAAAGTGAAAAATTTTTAAATTAATAATATTGGAATTCAAAAAAATGTCAACGTTTTTTTCAAATGTCAAGAGTTTTTTGAAGTTTGCACAGTTTTTTAATACTGAAACGTAATTTGTCGATGAAAAAGAGCCTAGTAAAATAATTTAACAAAATAATTACATATAATGATGAAATAAGTTTATAACTCTCACCAAAAACAATGATGAAGCAGATGAAGAAAAATTATAATGAGGAATTTTTTTAAAGATTCATACAGTAGAGAAAAATGGGTACTTAGTTACGCTTTCCATATATTTCTCTGGCGGAAGGTTTGGTGGGAATTTCGAAATTCAGTTTTGCTCACTTGATTATCCGAATTTCTATTGTTTTTCAGAAATATTTTTGTAGTATAATGTTCGAGATCTTTTCGATTATTTTTTTTTCAGGTGAAGCAGTAAAATTAAGATATTTCTTCATACAAAAATTGAAAAAATGCTCACCCTAATTTTTTCCAGATGCTGTCATCGTCCTACGCAAGCCCACAGATGTCGTCGGCGTCGCTCTTCTCGAAAATTCTGCATCCGCCGCTGGATCCGCTGGCTCCGCTTCCCGACGACGAACAGCTCGATCCGACCATCCGTCTTGCTTTTCTCCGTGAGTTCACTAGAACTATGAAGTTGGCTCAATATTAGTTTCGCACAAAGAATTCCTTGAAAGTTTTCATAAAATCTTGAAAGCTACATTTTTTCAGCGAGCAGTGCAAAGAATGCAAAACTCGCCAACAAGGATTTAATTTGCCACTCAAACGATATTTTCAACGATTTGGAATGCTCTAGGTGAGCTTATAAAACTTTTTTTGCGAATGAAACGCTGTTAAGATGGTCCCCATTTGCCTACACGAAAAGAGTGACTCCTGTTCAATTTGAAGAACGTCTCGTCCAGAATGGATGGATGCATCTCGCTGCTTGATCCTAAAAAAGAAACTTCCATTTTTCAATTTCCAATCTTGTTATTTTTTTCCCTCGTACATCTCGGTTACTATTTTCATAGTTATTCAAGAGTCGACTTTTCCGATAAATTCATAGTTTTTCGTTGAGTTTTCCGTGACTGACGGTTTTTCATCCAAGACAACTATTAAACCCTTAAAAGTACTCGAAAACGTCGACAAACTTGCTGTTTGCGCCGTCGATGTGTCATGGTCCTCCACGGACGTCTTCTGCCGACTCATTTTCTGTTTGGATTGCCCGGTTGTTGTGACGACGTCCAGGTACTCTTCTGTAGGTGTGCTTTCGCTTCAGAGCTGAAATTCCAGATTTAATTTGCTTGAAAAGAGTTTTTTCGAGATCCATCAATTTTTGTACGAAGCGTATATAATAAAATTTCTTAAATCAATTCTTCGATTTGAGTTTTTTTTTGCTACTAACTCCGACTTACAAGCCCCTTAGTTCCGAGAGTGATGGTTTTTTTGGTTCTTTTTTGACTGGAAAAAATTCAGAAATTTTTCGACTCACTGTAGGAAAATTTGAAAATGAGTCACTTGACTTTTTCAGCTTGGAAAATTAGTTTTTTTTTTCACCACCCTGAGTCAAACAAAATTTTTAGGAAAATGGGCGTTGGTTAAATCAGAAAAAAAGAAAGTTTTTTTGTCTATCTGATTTTTTTCTCAAAAAAATTTATGCGGATTTTTGAATTTCACGCCTTCCAGTTGGAAAAGAATTTTTGAATTTTGAGAATTTTAAAAAGGAGATTTTTTTGGATGAATAAATAGGCCTACTCAGCAATTCCATTCATTTATTTTTAGTTTCTGGAATTTGAATCATTTTGAAACATTTTGAACCTCATTCAGGGTTTTTTTCAAGTTTTGAATAACTAAATGTTTTTCAAAACAAAAAAATTTCATTGAGAAATCTTTATGTTGACTTAATGATTCCTGCCGCCCTCAAAAGTTGTCAGTTGCAAACATATAACAACTACAATTCATGACGAATCCTCGAGTTTTCTCCCTTTTCTCGTCCGATTGCAAACATTTCTCGTCCACTTTGAAGTCGGCGTAGGTTATATGAAAAAGTGGTCTTTTCTGTAATTTTCCTGCGTTTTTCGAAAAGTTCCCGTAGTTTTGAACAACTTTTTTATGAAGTTAAATCGGGGCAAACCGGTTGGATATAGACCCATCTTTGCTCATGGAAATGACTCATAAGTTGATCATCATCCAGTTGCATGAGTTTTCCGTTTCATTTTTTTTATTTGAAACGACCATTTTTCGTTTTTTGATCGCTTCCTGAAGTTTTTTGAAAATTATTTATTGTTTTTCTCCGGCCTAAGAAAGAGCATTTTTGAACATTTTGAGTTCATCCAAAAGTTCTGGAAAGCCAGCAAGAATTTTTGAACAGACTATAAAAATCCTAATGTATCTTGCCCGAAATAAAATGGGCTGTAATGTGTCAATTTGATTATTCGATTTTTGTTGGTAGTTTTGAGTTCTCAGAGGCATTAATATTCCAGGAATGCTGTTTGAACTGGTTTTGACACTGACGGCGGTGGCCGCCTACGAATACGGCCAGAGATATCCGCTGCCGCCGGAAGTCGCTCCTTCGCAGCTCGGTCTCGAGTCGCAGTGCACAGATCCCAACGTCAGTTTCTTCTCATAATCGAATCGCTTCGGTTTGGAATACGTTAGTTGCGCTTTGGCAAGGATGGTTATTTAACTTGTGGTTGAGAAGTCTCGAGGAGCTTTCTTGAATATTTTTTCGTATCAAATGAAAACCCTCGAAGTCTCAATTTGCATAACTTCCGAGTTTACAGCACCTTTGAGCTTACCTTAACGAAATTATATGGCTCCTTTGACTTCGAGACCTGTTTTATGTAGGTTAAGGCTTTCAAGATCTTCATTTGACACATCTAAAAGGGTTCGAGCCTTTTTTAGAGAGCTCCTAAGAGCAAAATATAAAATAACCTTCTCGTGAGCGTCTCAACGAGTAAACCTGCGAAGCCTCACCCAACTTGAACCGCAGCGCGACCGCGACGCATTGACCCATTCCGAAATTGAGTTTCGAGTTCTCCTGTTGAAGATATGAAGTTTTTTTGCATAACGTCCACCTTTTTCAATATATTTAGAATCAGTTCAGTATATAAAAATAATAATAGTTCATTTCAGTTCAACTGTAATTTTTTTTTGTGCTGATCTAATGTTTTGAATGATTTTCCAGACTCACTTCAAATACCTTTGCAACAGTAATTGTACATTTTTTTCCCAATCTTGCAAGAGAAAAAAATTAAACTCTCTTCTGTACAGACCGTTTACACTTGCTACGTGTCATACTTGGAAAAGTACGGTATTCATTCCACCGGCGGATATTTGGGTCCATACGCGATGCTGGACAGTAAAATCAAGACCCTCAACTTGATGAATGTTTGCAGGTCCACCTTCTTTGAAAAAACTTTTTAATTGTCACGTTTCAGAGATTTCAATGAACTGACGCAATGTCTGGGCGCTACGACAACTTTCTGCATCAATTACAATGTTTTTCTTCTTTTTGTTCAGAGGTAGGGAATTTCAAAAAATGCAATCATAAAAGTCAGACTCGCTTGAAAAAGTCAAAAATATGATAATTTTCCAGGTATCGAGCTCGATACGAAGCCTTGTCTTACCTCCAGAACCACGCTTTCCTGGAATATGTTTGCGGAATTGGATATCAAGGTTATTTTCCTCTTCTATCCCATTTTTCCTCGATTTTATCGAATACAAAATGTTTCACCATGCCGAAAAAGAGAAATGTCAATATTACAACAATCCCTATGCGACTGACATGTAGACCGTAGAGGCAGATGTCGGCATCCGCCTCATTGGCTCAGTGGCAGAGCGTCTGTCTAGTAAACAGAAGGTCGCTGGTTCGATTCCAGCATGAGGCACCAGCTTTTTTTTATTTTTTTTTTTGCAAGGTATCCTTCGATTTTAAAATATTCAGCGTTCATGGATAACGAGGACTGCCTTCAAAGAACTTTGGAAATCGCTCCTTTAACCAACCGAATGATACAATGCGGCCAGGAAAGTGTTGTTCCTAGCGACCCAGAAGTTTGTCCGTGAGTTTACATCTTTTTTGAACCTGTGAAATGAAATATTTTCATTGTAGACGAACTCTTTCTGTAACCGACTGCGTCAAGGAGCAAGTAACCTCCGCCTGTGGATACACTGCTGGAAAATCGGCTTGTGGTGAGTGCGACTTTCCAAAGAGAGTTCATTTCTCCACTAGTTTACCACTCCTTCAATCAATCATGACATTTTTCAGACCTAAAAAATGCTGTAAATTTTCAAAGGACTTTTTTCAGAACGATAATCTTCAAAACTTTCAAACTGGTTTCGAAGCTTCTTTTCTCGAATCCTTACAACAGAATCGGTTTTCTGATAGATCATTTTGGCATTTTTAAAACTTAATTTTTCTCACAAAGTCTGACTGTAGACTACAAAATTTGGTTGATAATAGCTTAGTCAAATTATTTCGAATGTCACGAAGACCTTCCGAAACTTGAAGTTCTCTGAAACTTTTATCAAAAAAAAAACTGAAAGAGAAAATGCGATTTTCTAGTTATGCAAAATTTCTAGATTCAAAGAAGTTTTCCTAGCACAGACTAGTCTTTCCTCTTTTGTTTTACCCTTTCCAATGCCCGAAAAGTGAAACTTGTTATCAAAACGGAAAAGAAACGCTGGTGAGAAAAAAGATAGCACGGAAATGTCGACCTGGCAGCGTGTAAGTGCACCGAGAGGACAGCCAAGTGGCGAGAAATTACTCACCGCAGACATGACTGCTTGGCGCAATGGTAGCGCGTTCGACTCCAGATCGAAAGGTTGGGCGTTCGATCCGCTCAGTGGTCAGAATTTTTTGCCGATTTGACATTGATGGTTGATTAGAATCTCAAAAAAGCATATTCAAGTTTTTCCAAACTGTGATTTTTTTTTTCAGGAGCGGCAGCTAATATAGAGCGTCGGTTGGATTTCCTAGAAGCAGCTTGTTTGACCGAAATGGACGTCAGATGCCCAGCTTCTACTGTTTTCTTCCTGTTTCCATCCATTATCATGTTTCTCACGGTCCTTTTATTGTAAGTTATGTTTTTATAATGTAAATAAAATTATATTTATTTGACCTTATTTTTAATTTACATAGGCGCCAGCAAACAATGAATGAGAAATTGGAGTGCATTTAAAAAAAAGGAATTTTTTCCCCAATTTTAATAAAAATTTGGCATGGAAGCGTATGTTCACGCGATGCTTCGCAAAAAGAGAAGACACTTGAGTGTTCATGGATGATTGTCCAGTTATTTGAGGGACAAAAGAGCCGCCACTCGGCAGCTCAAATATCTCCGATGGCCGTCTTTTATTGTAATATTTGGTGACAAAAGAGGAAAGACCACTTCCTAACACAAAAAGAGCGATCTTTGGATGAGATCAAAAAAGATCAGATCATCAAAAAAAATGAATAAAAATCAGCTTCGGTTCGGATTTTCAGTTGAAGTCTGCGCAGTTTTTTTTTTCATATTTAATAATCTCGTAGTAGTTTTTTTTTTATTCTTTTTACGTCCAACCGCTACGATAAGTAACTGAAAAGCTAATGTACAATTTGAAGGAAATCGATACTTTAGAATAAATTTTTTGGCTTCGACTTTATCTTCGATGTGTATTATCCTTTGAGAAGTTTCGGAAATAGCTCATAACGAATTAAATTCGACATTTACGGAGCTTACTCTATTTTTCTGCATCGAAGAATCGTACTATTACTGATACCTCACCTTTTTGTTTTCAATCGCCCAGGCCTGATAAGGAAAGCCTTCAGACAGTCTGATAGATGATCGAAAACACGCCGGAAACAACTGTCCGTCTTTTCGAGGCGTCGCGGCGTCCATTGTTTTTGACACCTGCCGAGGTGACCCGAATTGAGTGGCCACCGGTGGCCGGACCCGGTTTCTTCCAGGAAAAGCGCGCCGCCGGACAAACTACCGGCGCAAAAAACCGACGGCTTCCTTGTCTTTCGACGGATTATCTCTTGCTCGCGCTGTGTTTTGGCTTGTAGGTCACCAAAAAAGCAAAATGGCTCGTCGATTGTTTTCCGTTGCCGTTTAGCCGGTTGGCAGCGGGTGAAAGAGCAAAAATAAAGCTCTTTATTGAGCTCTCGAAGAGCAGAGCGAGGAAAGAAAAAACAGCGACTGAGAATGTTAAATTTTCGAATTTGAATTGAAGTCTTTTTGCTGGTTTGTGAATTCAAAGGACTGCAGGTTACGTCAAAATATCAGAGGAATGAAATTCCCAACTTTCAGAAAGGAGATAATCTCATTAAAAAGATTAGCCTTTTTCCAATGAAATTTTTTGATCGGAAAACATTTTTTTTCAAAAAGTTAAAAAGGAAGGAAGCTGTCAGAAAATTGAAAATTTTATTCTTTTCAGAAAGAGTTCCGACTAGATGACTGCATACGGAATGGATTGACAATCCTTGCTCATCCGAGTTGTCTGTTAGAAACATTCAGTTTTTAATCCAGTTTTGTTAAATTTTGTTAGCTTGATCCTGTATAGTGAAAAGAATAAAAATTCGTTAAGAAATCGTGCGAAAAAGAGGTTTTTCTTCTTTTTTTATTCCTCAAAACAGTCATTCTCAAATCACTTTTGAAAAAAGTTATACGAATGAAAACAAGTAAATTCGAATTTTCTGATTTTTCAAGCCTTTTTTTCATGCGAAACGTCTTGTTGTTTGACCGGCCAGAACATTTGCCCCTGGGCACACACAAAGGCCAGAAGCCCCGCCTTCAGTCTGCGGCCTTGCTCAGACCGTTCTCAGCTTTTCCTCCGATCCAAGTCGATTCGCTCACCTGCCTACCGTAATTGGCAGCCATGCGCCGCTGGGCATTCAGTTTCGCTTGTTTATTATCGATCGGTTGGGCCGATGCGAACGCTTTCGACCTGATGGACGGTTCGATGGAGCCGATCAATCCTAATTACTGCAACAACAGGTTCTTATTCTTCATCATTATTGAGAAAACTTCAACCGCTTCTTTTTTTTCTTCAAAAATTGCTATATTTTAATAGCAGATTAACAGATTTGTGCAATAATGTAAAACAATATTCAGTTGAATGACTCTCTCTTATATATTCTAAAGCTAGAAAGTAATTACCGAAAAAAAAATAATTGCTCGAAATTGATTTTAACACTGAAAAATGTGGTTAGTGGTTTTTGGGCGAAAATTCTCACGTAATACTTTTAGAAGCCCATAAGAAGTTCTTTCTTCTCATAAAAAATTTCAAGAGAAAAAAAATCATAGTTGGCTCTTCTTCAAAAATAAAGAACAGTCTGAAACCGGTTTCCAAAAACCCACGGCGTTCCAAAAGGGAACCTCGCAGTAGAGAAAAATGAGGCAGAAAGTACCGCGCCTCAATTGCAGAAAACTGGGCGTGGTTTAGTTTTGTATTGGGAATTCAAAACCCTATTTCTTGTTACATTTTCGTTTCTGAGTGTTACTGCTGTGTTTATATTGTTCGTCAGCTCTGACTTCATATAAGTTGGTTGTGTCATGTCGCTCCTTGGCCGTTTACCGCTTTAGTTGAGGCAAAACGAAAAAAATGATAATTCGCGAGTTTTTTTAATTTACATGCCATGTATTCGACATCTTTCTGCTTGATTCATGTGCAGAATGAGTTTTTCTACAATCTAAAATTGTTCAAAAAAATCTTTGTCGGCAAAAATAATTTTTAAACTGAATTTCATGGAATCTTGTCAAATTTTGGGTGTTCCGCGCGAAAGATTAAAACTTTGTGGTATGTCGGTCAATCTTTTATTTTGATAGCTGAAAATGTTCACACAGGTTCATTCAAAAGAACATGGTTAATTAGAGAATTGGAAACATTTTTAGAGAACACCTGCGAAGATCTCAGAACTACGCAAAAAATGAGCGTTTTTCCATCATCATTCTATGTGATTTTTGTCAAAACTTCTCAACAACATTCATTCAACTTTTTTGTTTTACGTTTTACTGTCATTCTTTCATCTTTTAAACAATGAATACCATAGGCTTATAGCTGAAAATTTTTCGTAAAACCGATTTAAAGGTTGAGAAGCAATTATACGGATAATTGCCAGTGAAACTTCATCGAATTGCTTCTTTATGTTTTGAAAGCTTCCACTTTTCCATGGACATCATGATAATCACAAAAAATACTCTGAATTCAATCGAAACATCTCAATTTCTTAAAATTTCGTTTTTGACATTTTCTGTGAATTTTCAAAAAAAAGTTCTGTTGCGCAAGTACGCTCCAACGAACGCAAGGGCGCGGTAAAATGACACGCCTCATCGGCTCGCTTGCGAGTTCCCTTTTGGAACGCCGTGAACCGCAAATTTTACTTTTCTCAAATTCATTTTTGCGCGGATGGGTGTCGAATTGCGTCATCGTGCCACTCCGTACTTTTTAACCTCAAAAATTTGATAATAAAAAATTTCTGTTCTTTTTGAATTTTTTTCAAAGCAGTGCGAATTAGGGTTTTTTAGTGTAAATTTTAAGAACTATTACGGAAAGGTTCGAATTAAAAAAATTTTGACAGAATTCCGTTACTTTTTTTGCAATTTTTCCTTAAAGCTTTTCAGTACTGAAGACTGTTCGCTATTAGTTTCAGTAAAAGCTAAATTATTTTTTTTTGGTATTCTCAAGCTGTATCTGTTTGAATATAACGAATATTAAAGCTTGAATGGTTTAGTAACATTCTGGAAGAAGCGGGCCTGATACGAGCAACTCTTGGACAATTTCTCGGCTACGAATGCAGCGAAGAATTTTATCATTGCCGGTATCATCTAGATGAAAAATACTCTTAATTTATAATATTTCAGTTGGCAAAGCGACGGTTTCCGAACGTATAGAAAAAAGTGCAAAACCGGTTTGTTTTTGTTTTTGTTTCTTTTTTTTTCAATTTTGAATTTTTGCATTTTTTTTTTCTTAATGTTTTATTTCGTTTTTCAATAAGTATTTCCGTGCTCAAAAGTTTTTATTACTCTGTTTCGTGAAGAAATAATTTTTGATGACATTTTTTTGCTTGAAAATTTTAAATACTTCATCACTTCGATTTAAATTTTTTTCGAAGTAGACTCCTTGAAAGATTTTTTCAATAACTTCAAAAACTTCAGGACTTGTGTACGATGTCCTGGGTACTCAAAACTGCAACTACGACTACAATGTCAGAAGCTGCGGCATCAAAAGTGGAGGTATGCTGAAGTTTTTTATGAAATCAGTTTGGAATAGAATAAGTTAAGCTGAGTCATTTTATTGCTAAAATTTCAATTATTTTTCTCATCTCTCATTTGCTCTATGCTTTTTCAACTTTCCCAATAGGGTCATTCCGTCAATATTCGACTTATTTTAGTTACGCTTATCACTCAGTTTTTTTCTCTTTAAAAACCATGTCTGGCATTCAAGATATTCAAAATAACCTTCTCGAAGTTCATCTCCACCAGTGTCTTTTTCGGAAATCATCTGTGTTCCTTGACCTTCTCTAGTTTTGCGGCCAACGTGAGGTGTCGGAGCTCGTCTCCAGTGTTGATCTTTCACACAATACCACGTCTTTGACAGCACACGTTTTTCCCACGATCCTATATCGCCTTTTCGCTGAAGATTTCTATATCGGGACGGATTTCAAGTTTTCAAGATCACTAGGAGTTGGCGAGGAGTGATAAGTTGACAAGAAGCTGGTTCTGGATTGAAAAAACGAATTCCAAAAAGCTTTTCGTATTCCGGAGGCCACTGAAAATCAGGAATAGTTGGTCTGTAAATCGGAGAATTTAGTTTTCTTAACTCATACAACTTTTTTTGGACTTTCAGGTTATTTTGACCTCTCTAACCATTTTTTTTTCTTAGAAATCATAAAAGTTCACAGGGTACAAAAGAAACAACAAGTAAGGTAAAGGAAGGATGAAGTACCGATGTACATACCTTTACTAGAAGCTTATCTTGTATTCATTCCCGACTGTCTTTTGCAGCTCCGATGACGTGCAACTCGACGGACTTCCACTGCGCTCTTTCAGAACAATGTCTGCCGATGTCGAGTCGCTGCGACGGTCATTATGACTGTACCTTGGAAGAGGACGAACAAAATTGCCGTTAGTTTCTTTCATAAATTGGCTTGGAAATGCTCTTTTTTCATCTGGTGTTTAGTAAGGTTTTATTGTTATACGCGTACGTGGGAAACTAAAAGAATAAATTAGTCCAGGAGAAGAAAATGACTTACGAAAATTTGAATAGAAAAGACATAAAAATCAGTATTACTTCGAGGAGATAGTGGACTACAATAAAGTTAGGTTTGATCCTCAGGAGATGGCGTTGGCTTGAATTTAGGAAAACTCGGGAGTTTTGCGGCCTTTAAAAATGGTCTGCCCATGTATAGTTCTTCTCTAAATTGTCCTGAAAAATAGAATAAGATCATCGAAAATTTTTTTTGGTAGGCAATCGATTTTTTTATAATTTTCACGCGGGATAATTAAAGCTAAGTAAACTTTCATAAAGAATTATGATTGCGGTACAACTGAAATGCTAATTTACGACATGGAGACGAGATTAAATGAAAGCTAGTTTTTAAGCGTTTTTATTTCATCAAACTGAAGATTTTCACTCGGTTGTTAATTAATCGCGGTGTTAGTCCATAAAATGGAAAAAAAATACGTTTCATATTATTCAGCCCTCTGCACAGCTGGCGAATTCGCTTGTGTTGTCTCGGAACAGTGCATCCCGCTCGATCGCAGGTTTTTTTTTAAAGTTCTCCAACTTTTCCTCGTCTTCGCCATTAACGAAACTTGTAGAGAAAAAATACCTCTTACAGGATTTTTTTGAGTCAATGGGAGAAACTTTTTCTGGCAAACTAAGGAAATTTATAGATGCAACGGGATCGCAGAGTGCAGCGATGGCACCGACGAACGCGATTGTGATGGTTCAGTTTTTTTTTTTTGCTTTTCTTCTGAAAAAATCGGATCGGAATGTGCTTTCTCTTCCTTAGGGTGGAGCTCTTGGCGCCCATCCAAAGTCGGTCTTTTTTTGTTTGTGGAAGCAGCTGGAGGTGTACGCTTACCTGTGCATTGTGTTGCATTGTCCGACCTGCCTTCCGTCGTTTCCTTTTTTCTCAGTTCAGGAAAGGCACTTGAAAAAAATCGTCCGTAAATATCCTTGGAAAATTTTTGAAAAAAAAAAACAGAAAACTTCTCTTTTCCATTTATATACAGGATATTAGAAGCCGGCTGGTAAGCCTGAAGTCGCTTTCGAATTTTAATTCTGTTTACAGAACTTCGTTTTGAATTTTTCCCTGCATGATAACTATTTTGTGGCTCTCAAGTCAAAACAAGTCGAATTTTTTATCCGCACTTATTCTGGTAAGAAGAAGAGTTGTTTTTTGTTGCACTCTTTTAGTCACGTCTCGGCTTCATTGATAGCTTTAAAGCTTCAAAAACTGACCGAAAACAAAGTTGTGAAAATTTTTTGATGATGTGGAGTCTGGATAGCTCAAAGCTAAATTTTTCGACCATTTACTGAAAAGACGTCCCTTGTAAAGTGTTACCAACGAAGTCTCGTAAAAAATAATTACAAGAGTAAATATAAAAATTAGGTTTTTTTTTCAGTCTAATAAGACTTTGTTTAACATTATGAAGAATAATTCAGTATGCGGACACGGGTTGTTCCATTGCGGAAAGAGCGGCGAATGCATTCCCGTGGACGAACGTTGCGACGGCCGTCGACAGTGTCCTCATGGGGAAGACGAGCTTCTTTGCAAGTAATCTTCAGATTTATCTTCTTTTTTTTGACATGATCATCACTTCTTAAACGTCAGAACCAATTCTTTCAAAAGGCAGAGAAAAGAGTATGATCTATGTTTTTGCTTTTCAAAACTGAAAAAAAAGCTTGATTTTGAGAAAACCCGACATCGACAAGAAGTTCACGTGCCAATCGAGAGACTACGACATTCCGTTCGGCCAGGTGAGGCATTTTTGAAGTCATAGCCTTTTTTAAATCATTCATAGAAAGGTTTTGGAGTTTCTGTTTTCTTGCGAAAATGTCAGAGAAGCTTGAAAATATCATGTAGAAGCGAGAATTTCACCTAAAATCAGCGAAAAAAAATTTTTTTTCAAGTTTTTTCATAAATGGTTTCTCAAATCATAAAAAATTTTTTTTTTGTTTTATATATAACTTAGGTTTGCGACGGAATTCCGCAATGTCCTGACGGTTCGGATGAGGTCTACTGTGAACTTCCAAAGGCTCTCGGAGGAATGTGAGGATTTTATTATACTTTTTTTATTGGCCATGCACATCTCTCATTTTACAATAAATTTAGGCCATTTATAGACAAAAAATGATTCAGATCAGCTCTATTGAAGTTCACTAAATTTTTTTAACCCATTTCATTTCTTCCTCGGTCCGATTTTTCAGAAAAAAAGTTTTTTTCTAATCTGTCAAGTCTACTCATTTCTTCTCTTCAAGAGAAATTCGACTTTCCTCTCAAAAAAGAAGCTGACCGCATCTTCCTTGCAGTTCATTCTCTTCGAATCCGAACCCTCCACCTGAGCCAGCTGCTCCAGCTCCAGCTCCGGCTCCGTATATATACCCACCGACGACCGAAGAAGAAACGACTCCAGCCGGCGAAGAAGAGGAGTACGAGTACGAGGAGACGCCGGAAGAGGAGGAGAAGCCCCCGTCGTTCCCGATGCTCTCCCTTGGACAAATGCCAGCGTTTGTTCCTTTTTTCTATCAATTTGAAACTTTTTATTACTCGTCATATGTAACTTTATTGTCAAGATTTTAACTACATTGACGGAAAATGAAAGGGAAAATGGAGAGTGCGAGAATTTTGGCTGATAGAGGAAAGAGGGCTTTTGTTTCCTAAATATGGAGGTAGATCAAATTTTTGAGAGGATTTATCATGGAAATCAGTGTTTCGCGAGTTCAGACCGCAGCACCCTCCTCCTCCTCCTCCACCTCGGCCAACAACGCCACGACCTCCGCCTCCGACTCGACCTCCTACTACGACAACTCAGGCTCCTCCTCCTCCCCCACCTGCACCTCGTCCAGCTTTCAGCAAGCCAAAACCGAAGATCGTTGTCCCTCCAATCGTAGAGGTTGACTTTGAAATATTACTAAATATTATATTTAATGAATTCACAGAAATTCTCAGGAATAAATATAGTAGAAATAATATACCAGTACTAAAAAATAGAAAACTTATTTTTAAAAAAATAAAATTTTGAAAACTCTCTGAATTTTAAGCAAGTCGAAGCCACGACCCACAAGCATATCATCGTCCAGCCGACCTACGTCGAAGTCACGGCTCCAAGTCGACCGGTTAGAAATAACCGAAATTCAGGAAGAATCTGATAGTTTCCAGGTCTCAAACAACGCGAAACGGACGAGATATCCAACGAAAGCCGTTCCGATGCACTCAGCGACTCCAACTTCGGCTCCTGCTACCAGGCCGCCAACAATCAAGCCGGCCACCCAAAAGTCACGACAGTTGTTTGAATCGTCTCCAGGTGAGTTTTTGAAAAAATTGACTTGTTAAGTACTGATCCCCGTGTAGAAAACAATTGAAAAATGAATTAGTGTCATATCTGCCGATTCCTATGTTTTCTAGTGTCTCTAACAGTTGGTTTGAAATCGTTTCTTAGTGAGCGACTTATTGGAGAAAAATTTATTCTGTTTTCGAATTGAATCTGAGAAAAGAGGGATTTGCAGGAAGCCAAAAGCCAGCGACGGAAAAAGTGTTCATGATGCAAGTGACGGCGGCGCCAAGAACTCCCACCGTCGCTGTGAAATCGACGGCCCCTCAAAGCAAAGTGAAACTGACGCCGCCAGTCGTCGACTCCAAGGACGAGTTGCTCCAGCAAATCAGCAATCAACTCAACGGCGGAATGTCTCCGTGAGTTTCCCCGAAAACTGCAAAAAGCCATCCGTCGAGCCGGATTCGAACCAGCGACCTAAGGATACCCACTGCTCTACAGTCCTCCGCTCTACCAACTGAGCTATCGACGGCACGGCAGCTGCCGCTGAATACGCCAGTTACACCTCTTGTGGTGTCGGTAGTGTGAAGGAAAGAGATAAGAACGCGAAAGATTTTTTTGATTTCAAATTTAGAAATATAAGAGAACAATAAAATTTTCAGAGATTTGCTGTCGAAAATTGAAAAAATTCTCTCAACCGAACTTGAGTCGACGTCAAGTACGCGTCGGAGAAAACCGTCCAGCGGGTACTGTAATATTCGAATTCAACTAATTTCTGGATTACTGTAGGCAAACGATATCTCCAGCTGCTCTCATCAGAACCTTCACGGCGAGGGTACAAGGTCACAACGAACAAGTCCAAAACTAATATTAACTCGTGATGATTCAAAGATTATTATATTTAAAAAAATATTTATATAACTTAAGCTCAATTTTGCGTCGGCTATCACGGCGTTTTTTTGCATCAGTACAAATATTTTTCAATTTTTTTAAGTTATTTCTGTTCTCTTTTTGCCACGCCCTGAACAAGTCTACCGCTCTTGTTTTTTGTGCTGTTTTTTACTCAGGTGAGAAAAAAATGGAGCGCAGGAATGTTAGATTGTTCCAAGTCGTTTTGAATGAAGTATTCTTTTTTTTTCTAACCTTGAAATTATTAAATTAAAACGTCGTGATGAAACCGTTTCAGTATTGTTCCCATTTGCCGGTCTCTTCTTTCTTTCAAACAGTATATTTGATAGTTCTGTTCTATTTATTTGGTTTTTCATATTTATTGTTCCTCAAAAGTCTCAGAAATCAGGACATTTCCAGCTGCAATGTCTTTTTTTCGGCTAGACACTTCTGCGCGAGGTTGTGTATATACTTTTGAATGAGAAAAAATAATTATTTGATTGTTCGGACTTTCGCGCCGTCGATAAATGTTTCTGTGTCAGGTGTGCGATGAAATCAATTTTTTTCGTTTGTAGAAAGGCTATGAACAATTGAGAAGTTAATGTTTATTCAGAAGACGCATCTGAAATGAAATCAAGGCGGTTCGATACACGTACTTTCGTTTTGAAAACTAAAGTTTTTGAAAGTTACTGGTTACATTATTATATTGATTTGAAACAACACGAAACCGTAATGGATGACTCGAAGCTTCGTTTATTCAATTTTTGGTTTTTTTTGTCTCAGTTTCGAGAAAACCTTTCTTCGAAAAAACTAATGTTGACTGGAAGTTTTGGATCGGATACTCGAAACGAAAACGAGACTTTGTTCCTGGGGCAGGAACTTCCCACAGCCAAGTTGCCGCATAAATTGATGACGATAATCGCGGCTACGCCAAAAATAGATGTAAAAGTTGCCGGAGTAGGACAGCAGGCCTGAAATTAGGTTAGGAGTTTTTTTTTTTTCAAATACGGTGAAACCAACCTAGAAATTTCTATGAGAACGGGCAAAGCACTTGAAAACTTAATCAGAGAAATTTTCGAATTTTATTTCTTTTTTATACACTTTTTGCTCTGAAGCTTGTCATACTTTTCACTATGTTTTCAACACGTGTCTATTGCTAATTCAATACATAGAGTAATAACTAAGATACGAAGAAAAATTAGATTAAAACACTCTTGAAGGTGCTGAAATCATGAAACGATATGAAAATACACAGAAAATGAAAAATGGCTTTTTTTGAAACTAGTTTGTTTGTAGTTCACAAGCTCTTTATGTTTATAATACGAAAAAGTACCTGGAATCACGGCGTAGGTGCTGACAAGCTCGGGATCGACGGGAGGCTTTTCGAAAAGGCCCAAAACGGCGATCAAAGCCGCCGAAAGAACCGAAGAACCACAGAAAACTAGCTTAAATCATTCATTCCTTTCAAATATTTTCAACAGAAATCAACTGCTTGAATGATGACGGTATTCAGAATGGCCTTCTGAGTGACGACGAGGGATTCGCTTCCCGAAGATTGCGACTTCTTTTCTGAAAAAGACACGATATTTAAAGGAAGGGAAGAAAAGAGCTCACTGAAACAATAAACAGTGCAATAGGTGAAAGAATGAAGAAGCAACGTGGCGACGGCCATCCACAGATTGTACTGATTCCAAACATAGGAAACCTTGAAATACAACATATTTCAGGGAATATATTCCATCTTACCAATTCTGGCATTGCAAATGGTAGGACACAAAAGTTAACAATTTCTTCAGAAAGTCCCAAGTAACTTGTTCCCTGAAAACTGAAGGAAGTCAAAAAATATTCTAAAAAATATTAACCAAAAATAGCGCGCCAATGATGATGCCTGGAAGGGATATTAAGAATATGTACAAGTCGGTTCTTCCAGTTCGGTACCTTCAATGATTCCAAACATACGACGCTCCGTTTTGGAGAAATCCAGTCAAAAAAAAAAACGAAAAACCGTTTTTTTGGAAATCCTTCAAAAAGAAAAACTGACGAAAAAACAAAATGCATGGCGTAGAGTCTGTCGAAGGCGATCGCAAAGATGAGATGGACCTCGAAAGGCTCGATGTAGACGTAGATTATGTTTGTGAAAAAACATCTTCTGAAAAAAGTGAATTTTCGGATAATCAAGAATCAGGGAATGACCTCAAACTCATTGACTCCCAGCCAAACGTCAGACGAATAAGAGAGGCGAATTCGTTCCATAAACAAATTGTATCGCAAAAGGCGAGAATCACCAGGAGATAACCTAAAGTTATTGAAGTAGAGGATTTTCGACGGATGAGAAGTGAATGCGAAAATTGGAAATCTATGTTTAAAAAACCATTGAGAGTTGGTTTGAGAGAAAGTCATAATGTACTGAATTTCGATCACTTGGACTAGAGAGAAGATTTTTGAAGAGCTCCTCTTCTTCAGTTGTTCTCTTATTAATAAAAAAATTTATTTTCCGTAAAACTGAAATAAAATAAAAGAAACTGACCACACCGATGTCGAAGAAGCTTGGAGGAACTGGTCGCAACGATGATATTCAAGTTGCCAAAAGTTCCAAAAACGGTGAAGAACAAAATGGAAAACTCCAAGATGTCCATGGGAACCTGGAAGTCGAACTGACTGCTCTCGACCCGACATGCAATCAAATTTCCGTGCAAAAAGAAAAAAAAAAGCCGCACGGAGCAAATAAAATTATAAAGAAACTTTTTCGAATTAGCCACCGAACCTCGATTTCATGATTTCATTATTGCTTCGCAGAGTTCAGAATCACATTTGCGCAACTTATGGAAATCACTAGAGACACAAAAAGAGCGTTGTTTTTTTGGAAAAGGTAATTTTTCAGTTTTTTCAAAAATTAAAAGGCAGGTGATTAAATTTTTTCTATTTGGAAAAAATGGAACCTAAAGATTTTTGCGCATGAAAAGTTTGAGTCAGCTTAGATGATACCTTTTGACAGTGAAGATAATTTTACTCGAAACTAGAATTTTTCGAAGCTCATTGAAACCGTTATGGATTTCCTGGATAAAGACCCAGGAATTATTTTAATCTGCAAGACTTGAAGTTATCCAAAGACAAACCCCATCAATTTTGGTTTCTCTTGCCGTCGGCAATCTGAAGATCATCTTGAGAAGTTGTGAATAATTATCAGCAATTAAATTGAGTGGAGCATCCAAAAATGAAGGCGGAATGACTTAACTTCAAAAATGAACAATAGGGAAAAAAAGTATCTTTTTTAGACTAAAGATCATGGAAGGCTTATTTATGTTGCAGAAGAATTAGAAAAATATAACGAAAGGACATCCGCGTTTTGAGGCGTGAACGACCTTTCAAACTGAAAAAAGGCTTAAATTTGCACCATAAACACTCTCTATTCATCTATAAAATTTCTCTTTCGCCAAAACGTTACAAGTCAACTTCAAAGTAAATGGCAAAATAGTCTCGCTCCCGGGTGGGCTCGAACCACCAACCTTTCGGTTAACAGCCGAACGCGCTGCCTATTGCGCCACGGAAGCAACTGGCAGGAAAGGGCTGACAACGCGCTTTTGTCTCATCTTTCAGCCTCTTATGAGCCTTATGGAGCAAGCTTTCCATCATGAAATGGATCAAATTTATTGGAAATACGACGGTATCAGAGTTAAGTTAAAGTTTGTGAATTTTATAGAATTCGGGATGTTTTTGAGTGTTTCGTTTGTGGACTTCAATCAAGTCTTCAGTGAGGCAAAGGGTCTTTTCTGTAGCAACTGCGACTATCTGAAAGAAAAGAATAAGATAGAGCTGGAGTTAGAAACCGATAGAAAAGAACAAAAAAAAACCTGTTGCCTTTTCGATTCTTCGATTTGCTGGCCGGCCAACTGCAACATTGATCCGATAGCCGGCATGACCATGAAGACGGAAATCGGGAAAAGTAGGAGATAAGACTCTTTCAGCTGAAAAAAGACGTTGCGGACGGTTGAAAAAAGGATAAATCAATATGAAAATATGAAAAAGTCTCATATCTTTGAAGAAAAAAGAAGCCAATTAATTACCTGCTCTAAAGTGTAAGGCGCTTTCTTTCCTTCTGGAATGTCCTCCAACAGGAACCCGTAAAACATCTCTAACAAACTTTCCCAATTTTCACGTCTTTCCTGAAAATGGAAAAAAAAAGCTTCTGCTGGAAAATCGACCGAGTAAAGTCTAAAAAAATTATCTCGTGTCAAGAAATACCAAAAACTACTATTTCCTTTTAATTCCCAAAACTTGTATCCGAATACAGCTCCTGAATTTTTTTATTATCGTTTTTGAGAGATATAAAAATGTTTTTTTTAGTTTATGAATAAGCAAAAATAAACTCCCAAAAATGGAAATCTATTTTTTGAAGTTCAACTTGTTTTTACCTGACATTTTCTTCGAAAAACTAAATATTTCCGATAACTTCCAAACCGACCAAACGTCATTAAAAAATCCAAATCGAAAAAAATCCAGTAAACTTCGGTCGCTTCAATTTTCACTGAAAAGGAATTTTTGCCTAGAGAGCATTTTAAGTTTTGCCTATGCTCCTAATAAAATATAGAAAATTTCATCTCAGAAAAAAAGTGAAAAAAAGTTCCATAATAATCTTTTTTCGAAAACGTTACTTTTGTCCAAACATAATCGTCTAAAGAGAAAGGGAAAATTTGCTGCTCAGAAAGAAAAAAATGAGCCACCTTTCCAGCCATGCAGCTGATCAGAAGCCGGCACATGTCTTGGGCGGGAGTTCCACGAGTCACGATCTGAACAAATGATGTTTTTTTCTTTGATAAAAAGGGGATCCCTCGAACAGACCTGCCAGTCGATGAGCGCTTCCAGATGCAGCCTGCCGTCGTTCTTCGTCATCAACATGTTGCCAGACCACAAGTCGCTGTGCGTGATGACTTTCTCGAATCCTGAAAAGAATTGTACCATGATCCGATCACGTAGCTATTCACCCAAGTACTCATAAGCTTCAGCCAGTTTCCTGTAAAAGCCAGGATTCGAGTAGAAATCGAGAAGTTCACAGGCTTCATCTGTCATTTCGGCGTTCTCATCAGGCAGCAACTTTTTTATCACAGCTTTCGTTGACTCTACCCTCTGAGATTCATGTTATTCATCCATAAAAACTAAAAAATAACCGTCTCATCAAAGAAAGTGTCCATGAAAAGGCAAGCGAAATCTCGAGTTTCAGCAAACGAGAAATCTTCCGCGGGAAGCCGAACTCCCATGGCGCTGAGAGCCGCGGCTGCTCGTAGCATCTAGAAAAGTAAAAGTTGGAAGAAAAAAGTGAACTTATTTATTAATGATTATGATCAGGAAAAGCTCAGATTTTTTTTTAAATTTAACGACGCCAGATGTCTTTGGAGTAAGGAACGCAATCATTGTGACCCTTCAACTCCTTTGGCTCAAAGAGTCTGGGATCATCTCAAATACAAAAAAAAAAATCGAATTACAGCGTTACAAAAAATTCGCACCAACTTAAAACATATTGTCACACTTAGAATGCCTACAAAGATTCGTTTAAACCCGCAGCCGACCTAAAACGACTCACGCGCGGAGGCATTTATAGAGTATTGAAGCTAGCTGTTAAACTTCCAACTGGCCTCTACCGTGTTTGAACTTTAAGACTGGTTTCATTCGAAAATTTTTTTTCTATTCCCTATAAAACATTAGTTTTATCACATCCATCATTTACTTCAAAAATAGGTTACCGGACGCAGTTCTTCAGAGGAAATTATTTCATAGGCTGGCACAGGGTACAAGTTATCGAAGTAATTCATGACAAGGAAGCCTTGAAGTTGATTTGAATCGGAAAATGAACGAGTGGCGTAGATCTGAAAAAAGAACGAAGCTTAAGTCGAGAATTGTCTTCCTACCGTTGGAATCGGAATATTTGGGTCTTTTTCTCTCTGCAGAAGCTTGTAGGCGGCCACTTCTCTGTTGTGAGTCTGAGGAATTCAAGGATCTTTTCGATAGGGCGATTCAGAAAACTTCTCGCGTAATTTGGGCAAAAGCATCTATCTGCTCCTTACTCAACGGCTCGTGGTCGAAAACTTGCGACATTTTCTCGTGGATCTCGCTCATCGCCAGTTGAGATGCGATCTGCAGTTACCTATCAGATTACCTTGACCATAAAAAAGGGGAAAAATTCAAGCTCAAGCTTCCAAAATGTTGAGCCTACTTTGAACTTTTCTGGTCTTTTTGGATACGTTCACAAATTCTAAAAAAATCATTTTTCAAAAATAGCAGAATTTCGTGATTTCAGAAAAAAAAAGTCTAAAACAGAGACTTACTGAGTTGAAAAACGACTTCTAGGCGTATGAGTCTCGAAAAAAATGAACCAATATTGAATCCCCCATAGAAACCTGTATTCAGGAAAATGTTCGAGAAAAAAAAAACCTTGATGACAAATTTAGCAGGAAGTTTCTCGGCGTCTTCTCCCTGCCAGAAAGCCTCGACCAATCCGATTCGAGACATGAAACCCTGAATAAAGCCTAAATAAAGTCTTTTTTTCAGTTTTAAAACCTTCATATCTCCGATATTTTGGACGGTTTTGGCTTCACCAAACTTGGACTTGGTGTTCAAGGCGCGTTGCATTTCCGTCTCGATGTCTTCCCAGAAGACGTGGGTTCCGAGAATACCGTCGACGGCGATGTGAAGTGACATACTGAGGGGAAAGAAAAAGTTTCTATTATCTGGTTCGAAGGAAATTGAGATGAAACATTTTGAGAGAAAATTTAAAAGCAATAGGAAAACTAAGCGAGAATAATTCTGAATGAACTTTCCGGAAGTGTCAAAAAATTTGAAAGGCGTGAAATATTGCGGCGAAAGTTTTTGGCAACTGGGAAGGTCATATTTAGAGTGAAACTGAAACTGACGCAATCACTAGAGCGAAAGAACGGCGCTGATTCGAATTGCACAACTGTCCGCAAGTTTAAGACGGAAAAGAATCAAAGATCGTTAACTAGAAAGTGTCGCGGCACTGTTTGACTAGAAGATCAGCCGAGGTGTAAGATGGCAGAGGGACAAATAAAATGGCAAATACTCGTGACCCAATAACTTTTCTTCTTTTTCTTATATTCGAACGCTTTCAGAGCAGTTTGGAAATAAATGTTCAAAGGCGCAGCCAAAAAAAAATCTTTTCATGACCGGACGATTCCCCAAGCGAAAAACGCGTTTTCATTTTCTTAATTTTTTTTTTCCCGATACGCTCAATACTCTCATGAAGGAATTTTCGCGTTTTTTTTTTTACATTTTTTCAATTTAACTCTTCATTATTTTTCCTATTTACAGCTATAACCGTTGATCTAGATTCTCAGCGGTTTGAACAAGAAATTTTGAACAAAAAAGTACCTTAAAAAAAATTCTCAGGGAAACATCTTTATCCACAAGAAAAAAGTTCTACTTTACAAAAACATCAGCAATAGATTACTTTGGAAACCAATTCGACGAGTAGCAAAAAAAAACAGCTCAAAAAGAGTTACGCGTTGCTTTCAAATCCATCATCCCCAAACAATTCAAAGTAGAGCGTCGAAGAAAGTTAAATTAAAACGAACCCAAGAGACTACACAGGCAAAGGGGAAAGTTGCACAGATCCCAAAAGCTCGATATCACATTCGCAACCAGAACTATAAAGGTTATCATTATTATAATTAATAAATATCTAACAAGAAAGTAGAAATGAGGGGAAAATGAAGGATGGGTCGAGAAGATATCTTTTCTTTCAATGAGGGAGAAAGGACGGCTTATTTACTGTAATATACACGGTAATAAAGAGTTTTGGATCTCCAGAGAGAGTAAGAATTATCGAATTTAAGAAGATAGACGCCACGGCCAGGATATTGGTGACTTCCAGCGTACACCTGCAAAAAATAAGAACCTTGAGGTACTCTGAGAAATTAAAAAACCTCTTCATGGCAGTCGCGTCTGTACACGGGGATGATCTCATCCTGTCGCGGTTTGTTCGGATTGCGCTCACGTCTGAAAAATGGATTGTAGGAAAGGAAATGGTTGCCAACGGACCTCGGAGCTCCGCCGCTCTCGACGTCTCCAGGAGCGCCGCCGGCTGGCGGAGGTCCTTCCTCTCCTTCGACGCCTTCTTCGTAGTCCTCCTCTTCGTCAGACTCGCTCACGTGGATCGACACCTTCAAAGGAGCTCTCACAAACAAACATTACTAGGGTCAAGCCCTATAACTTTAGTACATAAACGGTTTTCGATCTTCAAAGAAAAATAACTCTATTCATTTTGACAGAAATCGAAAAGAAGAAGAACCTGATTGCTCTCCGCGATGGTCCATTCAAAGTAGACGCCGAAGCCGATGTCATAGTAGTCGGTGGCGAATTCCCAGTAGAGACAAGTGCCGTCTTCATGAGTCGGCACGCGAACCTGCGGACCTCTTCCAGGTGAATTTCCTTGAAGTCACCTCCTACCGTAACAGTCTCGCCGTGTCCGACTTTGATAACGCCTTCGCTGCCTTCCTTCTTGATATTCACTTTGAACTCGGCGATATCTTTCCGATTCCATAGCGACGCTGGCGCGATAGCCGGATTCGCTAAAATGTTCATTTTCAATTAAAATTCAATTATTCGCTCGCTCTTACAAGGCGTCCTCACTGTATATCAATTACAAAGTTGAAGCCATGAAATACGATTTTACAAGAAATTCATTTCAGGATCATATAAATGAGATTTTTTTTTCTCTCATCCATAAAAACTGCTTTACTTTACAAAAGTAAGCAGACAGCTACAAAACGGCCGAGAGTTTTCAAAAGTGCGTTAAAAAGGCATTACAAGGTGCCATTTGATCAGAGTTCACATCTTCATTCATAAAAGTTCCAACAGGCAATAGTCAAAACATGAAGCTTTCCAAAAAAAAAGTCTCATGGCAAGCAAAACGAAAACATGCAAATGAAAAGCGGTGTCGTGAAGCAGCTCAAAATCATAACAAAAATTTTGTCAGTCGAGTTTCACATTTATTCACGGATAAACGGAAAACGACGAAAAAACAACCTACAGTGACAGAAGAGGCCCATCTGCGCGTGTATCGACGACACTTTAAAACGCAAAATCAGGTTCAGATACCTAATCGAGGTGCATTAATCCTATTGAAAACTGGTGATTTTAGAAACCAAATCGAAATCCAATCCGTCGAACCAAAGTAACCAAAACTCTAAGAGAGAACGGAAAAGCAAGTGCTTGTTAGTAATGAAAAGGAAAAAGAGCTGTGTTAACCGCCTACATAGTGTCTTGTGCAATAGAAGAGCAATCTGAAAGAAATTGTGGTGCTAGTAAAATTTTCATGAGAAGCGTGACGGTGAGAGCTGGTGATTTTTATTTTTGTGGAAAAAAATAATAATAAACTGAAATAAAAAAATTCATCCATATTTTTATATTAAATTTCTTACAAAAAGGGTTCGTCGAAAGTACCTTAACCTTTTCAAAGCTATTTTCGATTTTCAGTTTATTAGGAAGTCATCTTGACCCCATCATGGTTATTTAAGTTATAACTCAAAAACTAAAGTTAAAGGCTATTTTTAGAATCTCATTTTTTGATTTTTCTCAGAACGAACGGAAGGGAATAGCTTCAAACTTACAAGGAAGATCATCTCCAGGCTCCTCGTCGCTGACGTCAGAATCGTCTTCGCGGGCTTTTTCGTCGTCCGGCGCCTTCTCACCACGTGGCGTCGTTGCCGCGGCTTGTTGAGCGTAGACCTGAAGACTCTCCTTTGAAAGCTAGACAAAATATCAAGAAAAGTTGATTGTTTTGAGGATCGAAATTTTCACCTTGTTGGACTTACAAGGAGATACTCGAAGTTCCCTTTTTTGCCTGTTGCGAACAACAAAAAAACATTTTTTTTTTCTCAAAGGGGTAAGACAAACCTGCGACATGTACTGCTGATAGTGCTGTTCCTGGAACTGCCGAATCAAAGCCGCTTGCTGAAATTCATTCGTAAAACTTGCTTCAAAACTTCTGTTTCAACTACTCGAACAAAGTTTTTTCCCGGCGAAAAACTACAAATAACCATGTGTTCGTTCGTTTCAAACAACCAACCAGCCAGCTGTTCTCAGATAAATGTCTACGTGATATCCAGAAAGTTCATTTTCTTCGTGGGAAAACAAGCGATTTTGCAGTTCCAAAAGGTTAATTGAGAATTTTGGCACTTGATTTGCCGGCTCAAAATCGTCCACTTCAGACTTGTTAACAAGCCAAACTGCAAAGAACACATAAAAAAGGCCTCCGTGGAGTCACACATGCGTTCTTCCGCGCAAAATTTGTGAAAGCCGCAAGAAAGTGGATAGATCGAGATGGATCCAACTGCATACGCAAACAGCACCGAGCAGACGCCAAAAGCAAATCGGCAAAATCCAAAGACGAAGAGCCGCCAATCGAAAACAGTCTATTCCTATGGAATTGCGTCCCGGAATTTTCGAGGTAAGTGGATCTTTCTTTTTTACACTCAATTATTGCGTCGGGTACAATTTTGATTGGAGTGGAAAAAAAAATTGCTGAACCATTGAACAAATCTCACTTTTTTCAAGTCCATGAACCGGGTTTTTTTTTTATTATTATATAAGCTTTTTTTCACTAGCTGATTGGTCTTTGAATTACGAAAAAAACTCCTAAAACCCTTTTCTTTCTACATTCACCATCCAACATGGACTAACTACCAACCTCAGAAAAACTTCAACTATATTCCTGAGCCATTTCAATTTTTTCAAGACTTCCAAACCAATAATTCACGCTGGAGTTTTCCAAAAAGAACACCGAACTCTAACTGGTTGTAATCCGACGGATTTTGGCCACCAAGCATCAGAGCTTGAGGCCACGAGCCTTGCCGCTTTACACACGGACCTCGCGGCTGAGCCGAAGGAGAGTTTAGAGGTGATAGTGCGCATTGTGACAAGGCCGAGAGCTCCGGGAGAGCCACACCCTTTTGTTGTCTTGCGTCGACGGCGGACGTCCGCGAGTCTGACTGTCGGTCGGTATCCAGTCATGTCCACAACTGATCTACCAGTTCAAATCGATACCTTGAACGAACTGTTTTGCAAGTATTGTCCACCTGTTCCAAATAATGGACAAGTTCTAACCAATCGCATTCTCTTTTTCATTTGTCTTTTATATCGAAAACATCCAAATCAACTCGTTCCCGAGCTTTATTTGTGGCAAGGAAGCTTCCGCCTTTTTTTCCTAAATTTTGAACTTGTAAGCTTCACCTGATAATGAATTCTGAGCATAGAACTAGCTTTACTCATTCTCTAGTAGTTATGCAATTTTTCTATAAATCCAACTAGGAAACGATGCATGGGTTTTTTTTTATCAAGCAGGCTTGTCTTTCTTATTTTTTTCAAAACTTTCACTATATACACTTTGAAAAAAATTTCTAGAAAAATAACTATCTTTTTCATTTTTATTGAATATTCCTTAAAAATTTTGAAATTCCCAATTTCATTGAAATTGCTATCTTTCAAAAACTGTACAGCTCGTACGCATTTCAAGACGGTTTTCAACAATTCTCTGGCGGTGCGTGTTTCCTTCTCGAATGACGAATGGCCCAAAGACAATAGGAAATCTTCACTACCGTTCACAATGCTCCCGTTTTCTCATCTCGAAAAGTTACAAATACATATCTATGAAATAAACTCGTGAACCATACACATTTTTTGAAACACCTTTGCATTTTTGTGCGAGATTAAGATCAAAAATCATTCCACTATGTCGAACTATTTTAAAGGCAGAAAAAAAAAATCCGAGCCCCGAAAAAAAAAACTCCGCAGAAAATCACAAATTTTTCGTTGAATCATCTTGGCGCCTCGAAAAAAAAGAAGCAAAACAAAAAACGCGCTGCATAATGTTGCCAGCCTTGTTCTTTCAGTTTTCTTCTCATTTTCTTCGAGCAAAACAGTACAAAACAAATCAATGTTTATTTTTTCCACTTTGCTGACTGATAAAGAGATTTTTTCGTAGTTTTCTTGTTCTCTAGTCTAATCAATTTTCCCTATTTATGAAACTCGAGAATGATTTCAGAAATAGCGTCGATATCATAGCCCTCGTGAAACTATACAAAGAACGACACTGCCAAAGATGGAAATTCTGGACACCGACTGCCTCTCCAACATTTTCCTCAATCTCGACTTCATAGAACGGGTTAAACTCGAACAAGTATGCCGAATCTTCTCATTAGTTATACAGGTTTTGATTTGGGAAAATTAAAGATAATTACGAGTAATTCTTTCAGCAACGACACACTTTCAGCGATATGAAAAAGGTCAACATAGCGAAGTTTTTAGTGACCAATTCTACCGAGTATTATCAACAGGTTCTTTTTTTCATTCTTTCATGTCTGATCAAAGAAGTTGACGGAAAACTGAGAAATTTGAGCTTTCAAGGTAAAAAGAAGGAATAATTTCATGAGAAAAATGCCTTTTTACTCTCAACTTTACACTTCTTTCCATAAAAAAATATTTGAAAAAAACTTGAAAATTTCGAACGATTGGAAACAAAATCTGCTTCTTTTTTTCAATTCAAGATATTTGAAATACGACTCAAAAATAAAAAGAAATTTTTTTGCTGCAAATCCAAAACCCCTCTAAAGTTCTGCAATCGATTGACGCACATCCTTGAGATTTGTTTTCCGTATCTCTTTAACTGTCCAGACTTGACTTTTCTGCCACATCCCTACTTTCGAACTGTGGCAATTTTCAGGAAAGCATCAATTTCCTGCCGACGACCCTAGGAGTTCTGACTCGCTGCGGTCCATACGTCCGCGAACTTTCTTTCGGACAAATGTGGTTGCGAATCTCGCAGCCAATCATCAACTCAATCGCCCAGTTAGCGCTTGTTTGCTCCTTAGGGCTGAAATGAGTCGGCTGCAAAATATCCACCGTCCGCATCTTCACTTGTTTTTGTTTTCCTCCGGCTGTACTTGACTCGTGAGCAACGAAAAATAGGACCAGCAGGTGTCCATGAGGCAGAAAAAGTCAGGGTCTAATTCCATCGACAGCTGTTTTTAACCAAAAGTCCAGTTTGAGTTTACACCAATTACAAGAACATTGAACGAGCTTATCACGAGTTGAAATCCCAGCCAAAGTGTCACGAGGAGCTACAAACGGTGCGCAGGCAAGAACAAACCTAAACAAGCACGTGCGGACCTCAAGAGAACACTGCGGACGGCGGGATATATACATTCAAAAGAGCCGCGAAAGCTTTTAGAGCATGGATAGTGCACCCAGCCAACTGAAAATGTTCTTTTCTAATATGAAATAATTTCAGAGAATGCCGACGGATCGAAGTTCTCGACTTGGGGGCGACGATTATCAACGCCGACGTCACACGTCTTCTGGAGCAACTGGCTCCTCAGCTGAGGGAATTTTCTTTGGAAGAAACCAGCTGGGTGGACATGGAGCACGCGAAGAAGGTAACTATTCGAGATCATTGCGGAATAGCAAGAAATAATCGTCTTTAAACCATTGATCAAAGACCGAAGAGCCTACGTAGGTCTGGTACGTTGAGTGGATGCAACTCAAAGAGTGCGAAAAGATAAACACAAAGTCGACTTTTTGATGAAAAATGGCTATTCAAAAGTACAGTTTTTTTTTTCAGATACCACTGCTATTCGAGAAGATGACTAATCTGAGGAAGGTGAATCTGCGATCGGCAACTTTTCCCTTGCATTTGCTTCCGAAACTTTCTTCGACGTTGACGTAAGATACAGAGAACTTCGAAATCAAAAATTGAGAAAAAGCAACACAAAAAAAATTTTTTTTTCATTTAGTTTTATATTTTAGACGACACACAAAATTCTTGTGATAAAGAATGTATTTACAGACATTTGGAGATCAGCGGAGCGCGATGGTTTGATGCAGAGGTCCTGTGTGAATTTCTCTCTACCCACAAACACCTGGAGCAACTGCACATGTGTCCAGCGCCAGCACTCGACGACAACGTTTTGGCTGCACTGGAGAACTGCGCTGAAACCTTGACGCACCTCTCTATCGGCCACGTTCATCCCCGTCTCAATTTCGACGCCCTGTGTTCCCTCAACAACATCCGTCACTTGAAGCTTGAAGTAAGGATGGCTTTTCAAAAACATGCAAGAAGAAAAAATGATTCAGAGAATAGACGCTCTGACGGAAATGTCGCTGCAGCTCATCTTAACATGCATGCCAAGCCTCGAAAACCTCGAAGTCCTGCACTGCATGGGGATCCACGACTACTCCGCCTTGGCACTATGTTCTCAGCTGAAGGCCCTCGAAATCACAGACACTCATCAACTTGTCAACGATCATTTTAACACTTTGGCCTCCTATGGAAAGTTAGAGGTGCTTAAGCTGACCAAATGCCTCAACATGTCGACGAGAGGGATCACAACAGTTCTCACACGCTGTCAGCTTCAGGAGGTAAGCGTCCTCTCCTCGTCGTCGCAAAACATTTCATTTTCAGCTCTGTATCAACTTCTGCACTGAAATGACCGACGAGATGATGTACACGTTGGCAGCGACGCAGCGTTCTTTGAAAAAGATCGGAATTCAAGGGTGCAGTGGAATCACAAGGTGAAAGTTGGAATAAGAGAAGTTCAACGTCTTCAAAGTTTCCAGCAAAGGCGTGTCGGCTCTGGCATGGCTGCGCAATGTACAGGAGCTCCGAGAAGCCGACGTCTCCCAGAATCGGAATGTCGACGACGCCGTCATCATGTCGCTGCACAACGCCCTGACCATGTCCCTTCGGATGGCATGCACGGCTTCTTGCGAAGAAGAGGAAAGACCCAACGACCAGTGTGAACATCAAGTGGAGGGCAACAGGAAAAATGAAAAGGTACTAGAATGGGCAAAAAAATACAGGATTTTTTTTTACATCATTCTTGAAATTTCTTATACAAAAAGTTTGTAGAAACCTCTTCAAGATTTCAAGACTGATAACAATATGTTTTCCACTTTCAGCAGCTCGATATGTACATATTCAACACGAGCATCAGCCCAACAATAGCAGAACAGGTCAAAGATTTGATCACGCTCTTGTGAGCTCTTTTCCGTCTTCCTCATTCAAAATCTAATTAGATACCTCTCAAGAGAGTTCTCGTTCTACCGTACGCCTCCAAAGCTAAACGAATTACGTGAAAGTCGCCTTCTTAATTGGTATATTCTCCCTAACCAACTTTGTTTACATTCGTCGGAAGAAAAATGTCTCGGAGGAAAGAACTTTCTTCTCAAAGTTTACTGTAACTTGTTAATTTTATTTATCGCATTTTTTTCTGTACAAACGAAAAATTCTGGTAGCTGATAGACCGGTACAAAATTAGTGCGTGCAAATGATCTGTGAAACCGTTAAATTCGCCTCTATGTGTTTTAAGTTTCAAATTTGCGGGTGATAATAAAGATTTTCAAACTTGGAGTGAAAATGCAAGAAATAGGGAAAAACCTGTTCTGGTTGACCGGGAAACTGTTGCTGCGCGTAGGCCGAAAACTGATGGAACGTCTGGGCGTTGAGAGCGTCTTGGATCTGCTTCCTGCAACAAACAGCTTTCAAAAAAAAAAAAAATGAAACAGAAGAAAAGAGAATCATTTTGTAGTATCAACTTCCTTTGAAAAAAAAAAATTCAAACGAAAATTATTATTTATCGTTATCAGATTCCATTTCGAAGAAGGGAAAGAAGAACAGAAGACGACCGATAAACTGACTTGTTGACTCTGCCAACGAACGTTTCTCCCCATGGCAACCGCCAGAAAGTCCTCCGAGACTTATCACAAGACACGCAAACGCGCAAAAAACACGAATCTCCTTTGAGATTTACCTTTGGTCCTCAAAAATCTGCCAGTTCGGTTGCTGCTGAGGATGCTCCGCCGACGCCTGAGTGCTGCTCAACTCGTGAAGCTCCGAAGCTTCTTCGATTCTGAAAGAAAAAAAAAATCAATGAAAGGAGATGAGAGGAAATGAAGAAACAGAGTAAAAAAAAACAAGCAAATTGCGAGAATCTTCTGCGAAATTATTCAGTGTCTACCCAGTTCCAATTACGAATAAATGGTGTGAATCTCGACTGAGAAGAAAAACAATCATTTCAAGGGGGATAGATAGAACATCCTTTTTAGAGTAAATAAACAACTATCATTTATATTCGTTGAGAACTTACAGAAAAGGCTTTTTAACACAAGTTGAAGTTTGTGAATTACTTCGGTTAATTTCCATTTAAGTTCTTTTGAATTGAGTTAGAAATAAATGAAGAATGAAATTGAAAAAAATTGTGAAAAAAAATTCGCTATGGAGGCGTCAAACCATAAAAAACTTACCACGCAAAAAAAGGTAAAAAGCTTATACAAATGTAAAAACTTTCACAAAAACAAATAAATATATCGAATAAAGGATTTGAATACTTACGACCCTTCAGATCTATTAAATCTCAAAGAACAATTTTAATTGCCTTCTCAGGAAACTGATTGCTTTGTTTGTTGATTTAATTTTAAAAAAATTCGTCTCGAACTTCAATGCTCTTAAAAAACAGCCGAAAAAAATACCGATAAAATCGAGGCGGTAACCTCATTTCTGAGCGGGAAATGGCTCGAGAAGCGGCAACATGGGAGAAAAAAAGAAAGAAAAAGCAAGGAGCAAGCAAGAAGTAATCAGATGAGGCTCGAGCGGGGCGTATTAGGCGAAAGAAGAAGAGAATGAGCCACGGATGGGTGCAAGTACACGTGCAGCCGCCTGCCCAATGATGGAAAAGGAAGAAAAAGCGCCGCCGGCCATGAGATCGATATCGGCGCCAGTGTTGACGTGCTCCCGATCTCATCATCTCTTCTTTTTTTTTCTTCCCTTTTTTCTCCCAATAAAAAATGCACTGATTCAAGCGGACAAGTTTATGTGCCACGTTTTACATTTATCTCCCGTTTTAATACCAATCCGCAAAAAAAGACGTCAGAAAATAACCTCAACAAAAAAGAATGATTTCTTCAGCTTTCGAAATTCTGTTAAAATTGGAAGACTCCCAGCATATCTCCCGCTGAAATAGAAACAGAAAGGTCTTATGAGTAAAAAAAAATTCTTTCTCTTTTTTCAGGACATCGGATCATTTTTTGCATATAACATGATTGTTGAATTAATTGAAATCAAATTTCCCGTTCGAAAAAAATTCGAAAATCAACTGCAAAATGACCATGAGTAGTTGGAAAAATCCTCCGCCGTCTGTACTTCATTTCTCGGCCTCACACTTTTGCAAAACGGATTAGACTCAGCGGTATCGTATGGGCCTTTGTTTTCAAACGGATTATGTAGATGTGTCTTGCGGAGAATATTCTCACAAGCACTTCGAAATGAAGGAAAAGCTTCTCACAGGAATTCATAAGAAAAATCTATTCAGCTTCAAGTTCAAGGAAAATGTCGGCGAAAGAAAATCCACATCGGAGAATTTTTTAAAATATTCATACAATCGATAATAAACTTGACTGAATTTCAATAGTCCTTCAGAATATGATAGGAAGATACTCGAACTTTTGTAAAAGATTTTTGAAACTGTCAAAATCCGTGAGATCCATTTGAAATTTTCTGTATACTTTTCTGACAAAAATTTATGAAAATTTTCTGAGAACTTTGAGTGGTAATTGGAAGAAAAAAGTCGGGAAAAGAAAATCATGGCAGATTTTTTGTACCTATATTGATAATTTCCCTATTTTCTCGAATCGTGTTTTATTTTCTTCGATTCACAGCTATTTGAAGTGTTAGCTATCGAAATGCATTTCGCACTTCTTTGAATTTTTCAAAACGTAAAGCTTACAAGGCAGAAGTGGAAAAAAATACATTTTTATATAAAAAAATCACTTTTTTTGAGTTCTTTTTCATTTTTTTAAGATTTAGAAACATCAAATAATGTGTGTTTTGAATTTCTTCAGTAGTTCTTTGGATTCAATTACCTTGGAAACATGAAGATCATATTTTCACAGAACTGTGAAAAAGAAACAAAAACCTTTTTGGCGAAACCAACTCATACCGACCCTAATTTTCCTATATTCAAAATTTGGAGAAACAGAATAAAGAATAAACATACGATGGCTCGATCCGTTCGGAGATGAAGTTCTTGAAGGGCGGACAGACGCGGTCGACGAGGAAAACGAAAGAAGCCATCGCGTCTTCCTTCGGCAACCCACCCAATTCGCGCCAGACGCGACTGAAAGAACAAAATATGAAAACAGAAGCCTTGGAGGAACTCTTGAAGACGGAAGTCGAGGACAATTGTCTACAGAATATCGATGCTCGAAAGGAACGGATGACCCAAAAAAAAACCTCTTTTTCCTTTTCTTTTTTTGAAGGAAGATTGCACACTTTTTGTTCCAATTCAACAACCTAAGAATGTTATTAAAACTCAGATAACCTCTTAATAACGTAGATAAAACGGTTTATTATCAAAAAAGACTGCAAATGAATGATCTCCACAAAAAACCCTCATTTCCTTGAAAGCAACTTATTTAAAGCTCAAAAATCAATTTTTTTTTTTTCAAGAATCCAACTTTCTTTTTAAGTTTTATGTTGATTTGTAAACATTTTCTATTCACGTTAAAAGGTGTAGACGGAACAAAAAAAAATTATTTTTTTCATAATTCTACAGTAGGGTTGAGTAGCATAGACAAAGAACAGCGTGTGTTGAAACATTCAGACTTAGACATAACTTCTGAAAAAAAAAATCCAATACCAAAACGGTGATCAAATTTGGTTACAAATCTTTGTTATTAAAATTTGATGTCAGTTCTTTCTGAGTCAGCCATGAAGTTTTTATTCATAGGAATGAAAAATGGAATGAGCTGACTAATGACAACTGAACGTTATCCACTGTTTAGCCTGTTTAACCAACATTAAAACAATAATTCAATTTTCAGTATCACATTTGAGGATCATAAGATTAAGATTCTGGACTGTTTCTGCAAATTGAATCGAATTTTGAAGGAGAAGTGTGATCGCTCTCGATCGAAATGGTACGAGAAGATTTCGGGTGTGTGGAAAAGCTTAAGTAAAGAAGAAGAAAAAGGAAGATGAAGACGGGGACGCTGCAAAGTGAATTTGGTAACACACACACATACACTCCGGCAAAGAAGCCACCCGCGAGATGATTCCAAGGAATTTCCATCCTTGTTTTCTTGACTAACAAGTAAAGTGAGTAAGAAGTCCCGCGGATAAAATCGCAGAGAGGATCAAAGGGCTTGGATTGGAATTAAGTTTCGGAAAGATAAGAACTACTCATTCTCTTCGAAATTCAAAAAACACATGGTATTTTTTAAGAGGCTTGTTTGGAAACAGAAAACGTTTCAAGGAGTCATTTTATTATTTTTCGTTTTCCTTACCGTAGAAGAAATTGGAAATAACAACCTTTTGACATGCGATTGAGCAAAGAAAGTCACCAAGATAATGAAGAAAAAAAAAATAATTGAATGGAAAAATTTGTTTTCGACGGCTCAAAAAGACTGAAAAAAAAGACAATGAAATAAACTACCACTTCATTACAGCTCGCAATTGTCTCGTGAGGAAACAAATCTGCTTTGCACACTACCAAAAAATGAAAAAAAAAAACAACGAAACCCGTTGCACCGATCCAAAGGAAACGTGAAAAGACAACAAAAGAATAAAAGGTGAAGGCAGAACACAAGGAAAAGCTAATGAGCTGAGGAGAACCGAACCCGCGTCGACCGGATATTCGCTAATCCATCAAAGGGTATTCCCCAAGAGCCATTTCCTATTACTCGTCCTGCTAGTAGGATTAGAACAAATGATTTTGTAATAGTGACTAACAAGAGACGTGCAAAAAGTAGTGACGAACCGGGAAAAAACTGGCGGCTGTTAAAAAGTTTTAGATGAATGGGCGCAAATTGTGCATCTCACTTCCTCAAAGTTACGAGAAGTAGAAAAAAAAATGAAGACGTGCCCAAGAAGGATGTTGGAAATGAAAATTTTCCAACTGGAGGAACGTCATGAATTATTAGAAGTGAAAAATGTTCGGAAACCGAAGCGATGATAAATTTTAATGATGCTCAGAGTGTTCTAAATTTCAGGGATCATAAGTCCATCTGCGGTTGTACTTACTTTTCAAACCAAAGTTTGAAGAAATGATCGAAAATATTAACTAATTGGGAGGAAAATTATTGGATTTTAAATAAACTGAAAACTGAACTTCACATTGAACGTTTCCAAACACCATACGCATGGAAAATGAAACTTTGAGCGCACGCAAATTTTCAGTCTTTGCTGTGCATAATAAATGATTACCCTGCTTATTATGGTTGCATGTTCATCATTGAAACCGAAAGTCCATCTTAAATTAGCGCAGCGTTTAAACTGAAGCTAATTTCCATGACACGCATATATTCGGCGAAAAACGCAAGACATGCACTAAGGTCGCGACAAAAAGATAAAAAAAAAGAATCTCGAGAAACGAATGAATTTTTCGAGGTCCAATTAATCACTGTCGAGAGCCCCATAGCAAAACAGCCGAGTGTTTGAGCTTTTCTGGAAAAAAACGAATCGAAAAGGCATTATTAATACATGGAAGCCAATGATTGCGTGTATGGAAGCCAAAGAACGAACGGATTAGAAACGTTAAACTACGATGTGACCTCGAGAAAGAAAAAAGACAAGAACAATGGAAGAAGACAACTAGAAGAGGAGAAAACGGAGGAAAACCAAATTCGAGTCGTCGCAGTCAACGGTAACATTGTGTCAGGCGACTTTTCCCGGAAATCAAATCAACGCAAACGTGCTTTTACTGCTCGTCGAGCAAACCTACGGCTTTGCAAGGGCTTCGCGTTGCACTTTCGAGTAAGTTGCTCTTCTTCAAGACATTATTTAATTCCTGCAAAGACTGACAACCTCTCTTCAGTACAATTTTACGCTCATTCGGTATTCTAGACAGAATGATCTCAATCTAAACATGTTCTACTAACTTTTTTTGGAGGGAAATTCGACCAAAGATATATAAGGCTTCTGTTGTCGTTCAAAAATACCAAAGAGCAAACATTTGGGATTGAAAGAATGTTTCCTACCTAAAAACTTTATTTTTGCAAACCTTCTTAGAAATTTTCATAAATCCAGATTTTTAAAATAGCTTATTTCTTTTCAATTTTCGTTTGTCGGATCTGACTTTGTAGAGATTTGTCCGTAGTTTGGTTCAAATAATACTAATAAACTTCTTAAATAGTCAGATGAAATGTTTTTTCTTCCGGAAGTTGAGCGATGGACTATGGAATTTAGATTAAGGGAATCGTTCATCAAAAGCTTTTTAAAAATAAAGTTCGATCTCAATAACGAAGAAGACCACTTTTTCAAAATCACAGAATCGTTGAAACATTGAGGATACTTCATAATTGCTAAAACCATCTGTGAATAGAAATTTTAAAGAAGAAAAGGCCGCAAAGCTCATGAATGAGGCACCAGATCTGCCTTGAAAAAAAGAAATTAAAATTCGAAGAAACAGAAACAACTAAGAAAAAAGGCGAGAAAAACGGAAGAGCTAAAATCGCATCTGCCCAAAACTACGACGTCGCCCAGAAAACTCAGCTTTCAAATCAGATTAGCGTCGCCGAGAGTGAGCGAGCGGCCCCAGAAGTGGGTAAGAACTGCCGGTGAATTTGCAAAGGCTCTCAGCGGGTGTCGCCGTTGTAACCAAATATAACTTTGAGCAAAACATTCATTGAGTAACTCCTTCCATTTGAAACTCGGCTATCCGCTTCACATAGAAGGAAAGAACCTAATCAGACTAATAAACTGAATTGAAACACTCGCTGTCGCAATTAGTCCTACTTCAAAATCTCCAAGGAGAGTAAATCAAGGACATGTCCTTTCTCAACTAAAAAAAAAGGTCTCTTTCTTCCTGGAAGTGCTGAACCAATCTGATTCTTCAAATATATCTTAATGGGAGAGGAAAAAGCAAAAAATTAATTGATGGACATGACTGTCATTCTTTCTGGGAAATTTAAAATTCATAGCTTTCTCGAAAAACAAATATCCGAAAATTGCGGTCTCGTCTTAAAAACAAAAATAAACGGGACTGTTAGATCAACTGCAGTAGAAGATGACTAATTAAAGGTTTCAAGGAAGAAGCTCTAAATTTTTTTTATTTTTCTCGAAACTTTCATAGAAGATGAAGGCTGTAGAATGGACTCATTTGGCGTTAAAGGTTCTAGAAAAACGTGCCGATCAATTCATAATGTGTATTTTACCTACCTCAAAAGCTCAAAATTTTGAATTTTATCCAAAACGAGCACTGAAAGAATAATCAAAGATTCTTTGAAAATGGAAATAAGCCAGGCAATCGGAACAAAAACAGCGTGCCAGTTGAATGACAAGATACGGCAAGGGTTGCAGGATCGAACCCCTGGGGAACCTCCAGAAGAGTTCTTTCCATTTGCGCCTGGTTCCGCGCAAAGAAATCCACTGATTTCAACGCTCCTCCTTCCAATTTATGAGGTGATTAGATTCTTAAAAAAATGTTTCCTTGTCATGTAAAAAAATTAAAGAAAAAAAGAATTTATGTTAGATAAAAATCTTGAAAAAAATGATTGACCGAGGATTCAAAAAGTTAAATTAAATATTTTTTTAAAGCCTAATTTTTTTGAACAAAAAAATGTCAAATTTCAAAAGGGAGTCATTTTTTTCGAGGATAACATCAAAAGAATGTGATCCTCGTTCAGTTAAAATGGTAAGGAAAAGCCAAAAAAATAATTTCCAGTTTCATGTTTCAAAAAAAAAAAATACATAGCAGTCTCAAATTTCATTATTTACATTTTGGCCCAATATATCACGAATTCTAGCCCTCAAAAATCAAATCGAATGAATTTTTCAAAAAACTACCAACGGGATATAAGGAAAAAGAACCAAGAAAAGCCGAAAAAGTGGCTGGGAGCTCGGGCGACAGACCAAGACAAGTCGTTCGCGTCACAATTTATGACATTGGATGAACAGGCTGAATAGCGGGAAAAGCTCGTAAAATGGGAGCGTTCAGATCTTGATGTGGTCTCGAATTGTTAGTTTGAAGTTTAAAAAGTAATTAGTGTTAGTTATGCATAGGTCTGAGCAAAGCGAAGCTAAAATTGGAATTTGACTGAAAGTTAGGTAGAACAAGGCCACTAGAAAAACTTTAATTAATTTTTTTGATAATAAGTAGATGACATATTTGAAAAAAAAAGATGTTTTTCTACCAAATATTGATTCATGGTCAACGAGATTATAATATGATCTGTAGCACTTTTTAATACACTTTGTGATATCTGAATCATACAAACTATATAAAATCTACTTTGAAGCTTTTCTCAAGCTCGGACACGAAAAATTGGATAAAACCAGAAACCACGACATCATAGGAATTATGAGGACAGTTGCAAAAATGATAAATATAAATCTCCTCATAGACAAGTCGTTGCGAATTTCTAATTTCTGTAGCTTCTTATTTATCGACTGGCTCTAATTTTTTTTTTCAAGTTTATTAGTTCTGCTCTCATTTTTTTCGTATCACGTAGCCTTGAGATTATAAATTTAAAAAAACTGTTCAAAATTTGAAGGGAAACTTGCTTGAATATTTTTTTAAAAAAAGGGAAAAAGTTGTAAGCAATCCCATACTATAGTGTTTTTTTGATTAAAATTTATGAATAAAATGTACTATCTATGAGCATCCTTTCGGAGCTGTTTGAATGCAGTAAACTGATAAAAAGAAGATTCAGTGCTATTTTCAATACATCAAAGGTTTGATATACGGAAAGTAGAAAATAAAGTCATTATCTAGCGAGCCTTCGTAAAAAAAACTTCATCAAATTTTCTAAATGAGAAAGCAAAAAAAAAGGAAACAGAGTAATAGCCGCTCGTTTCGGCAATCCATTATTTCACAAAGCGATTGCAAATAACGTACGACATTTGCTTGTAAATAAAACATAAACAGAGGTTCTCGGAGAGCTTCTGATGCAGGAACTCAGAAGAGAAAAGAACGGCGCCGCATGTAATCCGGCCATGTTCGGAAGATTAACCAAGACGATTTCCATTGCCGCAAAATATGACGGCTCGCCAAAGCCCCCGAGGCAATGTTGAAAACTTATAATACGGCGTGTTTCGCGGGATTTCCCTAAGTTCTTTGTCGGTGCAAACAAAGTCATTCCACACTCTACACATTTTTGGGAATCAATAAATGAAACATTTGAAGCTAACGACAAATTCGAAAGCTTCGGTTGGAATGAAAAAAAAACAATGAGATACCCATTCAAAACACATAATGATCTTAAATTCATTCTCGCCTATTGAAAAATAAAGAAATCAAGACATTTGTCTTCTCAATACTTTAAAACTATACTTTCAAGCCGTTAAAACTCGAAATTCCGTATTTGAAGAGTAAAAACCTTTTTTTCTCGACCGTATTTTAATTATAATAATTTCTTGATCCCCGAAACAAACCTTTCAATATAATATGATCCCAATCGTCAATGATTATTTATCAAAAAGTAAATTTAGTGGAAAGTCGATAAATAAAAAAAGGTTATTTTTTTCGTTTCTAACTGCTTTAAACAGAAACTCTTGGTAAAAAGTTAATTTCCAATCAATGGAGAAAAAAATTTTTATCTGAGATGAAGTGTTTGAATAGGAAAGTATCAGACGATTAAAACTAGCAAGCATTCAAAAACATTAGAATATGCTCTCCAAATTCCTATGTGAAAATGAATAGTTTGTTTTTCTTTTTCAAGAGAGACACAACAAAAAAATATTTTTAAACACGAGAACCATTATAATCCTTTTTTAAAAACAAAAATAAGATCAAACATACGTCACATCGTTTCCAACAAGGTCGAACCATCCAGCCGCTTCCACGGTCTCGCCGCTCGGGCCTTTTCGGATCTTGAATCACTTTTATCATATGTCAAATCTTATAAATGGATGAATAACCAATGAAAACATGGGATCCTGAAAATTCATGAAAAATTAGTGAATACCTGCTTGGAAAGCGCCATAAGCTTAACGCGATCTTCGTACGAAATGTTCAACTCTCCAGCTTTTTCGCTCTCTGAAAATGGTTCAATTACAAGTTTCAATAGAAATTTGCCCACCTTTATAAAACTGAACCGCAATTTTATAGCATTGATCAAGCGGAGCTCCAAACTCGGACTGGATCAGTTGCAGCTCGGAAAGCTTCACGTGGTTGTTGTTGGCCAGCTCATGGTCCCCAGTGGCTGTCATCCCGCTAGACACAAGTTAATTTTATACGAGTAAAAAGCAAAAACGAGAAAAAACACATGAATTGGACGTTTGTAAATCCCAAAGTTTCACCTAATGCCAGTGACCATGTCAAGACACGACGTCTGCAATGAAAGGGTTTGAAAAAATTCCTTAAACGTGAAATATCTAATTTTAAAACGCAAAAGAAAACAAAAAGTGCCGCAGCCAGCTCACAAACTATTCTCCGTGGCGCGCATTTTGTCTCAAAAACCTCGAGATGAGATGAAAGTTTCGTCGCTATAGATAAACGACAGAAATTCGCCGTTTACTTGGAAATTTAACAGATCAAAAATTAATTAGTTGATTATGTGGATTAATAAAGCTTAACTATAAAAAGGATATGTGTAATTCATTGGAAACATCCAGTTGAAATTTTCGAAGGGATATGAAAAATAAATAGAACGATTTTACACACTCTGAAAATTTGTATCCAGGATTTCAGAAACAACATTAGACGATAAATGCGATCTTAAAGCTGTGTATTTTTTTGAAATAAAAAAATCAAATAAAAAAACACATTGAAGATAAAATGAAAAAAATAGTGAGAAACGAATGAGTTAAATTTCCAGTCGCGATTTTGAAATGGCGTGTTCATCGGGCAAAACCAGGCTTGTGCGAGGGCCGGCCCGTCACCCTCGCGGCCCCCCGAACATTTCGTAAGCCCGGCCCGGCCCGGCCTTAGTGGGCCTCAAGAAATAATGGCCCAAAACGCGCAATTTTTTTCTAGTCGAAGATCAAGTTTTTTTACGACAAAAATTAGGTTTTTGCTCATTTTTTCACTAAAAGTTTAACAAAAACCATGATTTCAAAAGTAAAAGTAACATTCCGGTGAAAAATTTTTTTAAATGAAATTTTTAAATTTTTTTGAAGCCCGGCCCAGCCCGGCCCGAGCCCACGCAGGCTTTTTTTCCTGAAAAATAAGGCCCAAAGCCCGGGCCAGGCCGGTCCGGGCCGCCCGGCCTGACGCACAAGCCTGGGCAAAACGAAAATTGCTTCGAAACGCAAGTAAATTGCTCCAAAACAAAAATTAGTACTGTTTTGGAGCAACTTTGGCGCGCCGATGAACACGATTTTTCGTTTTGAAGCACGTTCCGTTTCTCCGATGAACACGCCAAAAAATTTTCTTTCAAAGGCGCAGAAATGTTCACGGAGCTGATTAATTGTAACGATGAGCTGTTCAAGGAGATATATACAGCTTTTCTATTTCCAATTTTTTTTTTGCGCCAAAGTTGCTCCAAAACGGTACTAATTCTTGTTTTGGAGCAATTGTTTTTTGCGTTTTGAAGCAATTTTCTTTCGTAGTTACTAACGATCCATTCGTTCTATTTTTTTTTTCCTAAAAGTGTTTAATTCACTTTTGACACTACTTTGAACGTCGCTTACACTTTACGTTTAAGTTTAAACTGGGAATGTTTCTTCTTTTTTCTTCGAGTTCAGAATTTAAGTTTTTGGTCAAATATATCTCTATAAATGTGAATAGAAATGTTAAATGATTTAACTGACTTTCATATTGCATAGGGAGTGTGTGTCGTTCCTTTCTCAGCTCCTTGAACCCCTAGATTTTCGATTTTCCGCCGGTCACTTCTTATATGAAAGAGGAAGATAAATAATTTGAGTATTCACGCAGTATTCTAATTCCGTCGGCAAGTATCCGCATAGGAGATCTCCGCTGAGAGCTTTCCCACGATGAAAGGTGCTCACTTCCCAGGAACTTGAAGCATAACCTTTTATTAATAAATACAGCTTTGAAGTGAAGATGAAAATAGATTTTCAGATCAAAAATATCAATATGAGGCTCGGTTGGACGATCTCGTCGGCGAAGAACGGTCATCAGCTGCGCTGAGGTCTGCTTTTTTTATTTATTTATCTGACATATTTTTTTGAGAAAAAAAGTTTGCGTATCTTCGATACATTTTTTACAATTCTTGCTGTTCACAACGCCTGTTGATTTGAACTGAAAAAAACTTAAGTTTTTTTAAAATATATATCATAGCTACGGCCGAATTTTTGAAAAAATGAGATAAGGTGTAATCAAATTTTCCTTCTCCTTCCATTCAAAAAATAAAAACTCGCTAGAAGATTGTTTTACAAATTTCTGCTTCTTGATATATGAAACTTCTTTTTTAATTCTTCTTCTCATTACATTCCAATTGTTAATATTAAAAGTCAACCTTGAAAGTCCATAGCTCATCATGGCCAAAGTGTTCATTCTTTTTGCACAAATTGCCTTCGTTCAAGCGTGTTCTCGTATCCAAATAAGGCCCATGATATGGGCTAAGGATTTGTTAGAGTATCTCTAATAAGACTACGCATTTTTTCTTGTCTCGCCTACTTATAGCTGACAAGTCTAGTTAGTTTCCAACCTAGACACTCCTATAAAACGAATAAAATTATATTCCGAGCAATAACTTCTTGGTTACAGACTCTCTTCAGTTTGAAATATTTTCTGATTTTCTCGATGGTATGTTTAAAGGAGCATGCTCTTCTCTAATGAAATTCTGAAGCGAAAAACTTTTTTCACTGTTTTCAGGTTGCTTAAAACTTCTGCGACCTCTATACTCCGTCAAAAAACTCTAATGAAATAATCGGCGTATGATGTAACTTAATTAAGTCATATGAAAACAAGACGCTTAAAGGATGATAAAAGTTTAATTCTCTAATTAGTGATTTCCATGTGACTTTTTTCTCACCGCATTTCAAAATTTTTTTTAACCTTCATGAGTATTGGTCAGTTACCAACGCTTTCTTTTTGGGTTTTCTTGCAATTGTTGCCAAAAAAAAGACAATTAATTTTGAAATGGGCCATCGCAAATCAAGCTTTTTTGTGATTTTTATTCTTTTTTTTTCATTCGGAAGTTTTTTTTGCAATTGTCTGATATATTTTAATCGTTTATGTGTAAATTTGTATTAATCACTTTTCGTTCTTGAAAACTTTAGTATACATTAAGTTTTTTTAGTCTTCGAAAAATTTTTCTCAATAGAAGTATGCTTCAATACTTTTCGTTAGATGACAATAATCAGACATCATCAATCTTAGACGTCGCAGACAACAATGGAATATCACGAACTAAAAATAAGACAAGTGAGACTTACTCTTCATAAAGCGTTGGAGTCTTGTTTTTTTCTATTCTTGAAAAACAACCGTTCAGTTTTTGGATGATTAGATCACTATGTAGTCGTTTGTTGTAGGAAGGAACTTGGAAAGTATTTCGAGAGACATTTTTGAAGTCGAAAATCACCACTTTCATCAATCGTCAAAATTTCCATAAATATTTCTGAAGGTAAAAATGAATGGTCACGTGAATGTAATTGTGAAAAAAGTGCTAATAAGTGCTGGTCAGACTCTCCCATCCAGGTACATAACATCTTTGACCGTCCCAGTCAGCTCAGAGGAAATGGTTTTAAATTAATAAAAACAAAACCTTCACTGGTTTTCTTCAATTTCTTATCACATCGCATTACTAATGTTTGGAATGACATTGAACATGAATTATTGGCAGAGGAAGACAAGAAAAAATTTAAGGACATGTTTTTAGTGTATGCAGAAGATGTTGGCGTCGAGCATATTCTTTCAAGTGCTCACAGATTTGTGCCATGATCAACTTGGTTTTAAATATCTACTTATTATGGTTCTATGTTTCTTTTCTTACACAAAAAACTTTTTTTTTCTTCACAGGTGGGGTTAGTTAATCCACCTAGTGGTCTTTTTCCCTCCCTGCAACATCACCATACCATCCCGATGTTGCGAAAAATAAACAAATTGAAAAAAAAGGTCTTCATCGGAATACAAGGACAGCTTAGGGATTGCGGCTGTTCGAAGGGAGTTCGCAGGTCAGTTCCCAAGCCGTCCGTCTTGCACGAAGTCTTCCTTTTCTTCTTGCTCGGTTAACACGATCCGACGTTGCTCCGCCGTCGCATAACTCAATCGGCAGACCGCCTCGGGCTTTGACCGACGGCTTTCGACGCGTTTCCCGTCTTGTTTCCTTGAGTCCTTCCTCCGCCGGGTACTGACCTTTCCTTCAAAAGAATCCTGCAAAACAGGATCTTTTATTGTTAATTTTTGTTCTTCTGAGCTACGCAAACTTTGTTTGGCGCATCAAGTTGATGAAGGGCTTCGTTCAATTTGAACTAAACTCCTCAAATCTTGCTTTTTGGAATGAATGAGGTGTTTCGTAAATTTGAAAGTTAGAGAAAATTGCTTTTTGGTTCGAAAACATCGACTTGGATAAATATTCGGAAACTGTTTGCTATCAAAAAAAGAATTTTGCTTCTTTTCTGAACAATGTTTCACTATTTTTCCTAGTTGGATTATTAAACAGTATCGAATCTTTATTTTTTTTCCTCATTATCCAACTTCTGTACAGTTTTTTTTTGCTGCTGTGTACTCAAATAGTCAATGAGCGTTTGTTTCAAAATGATTTTTTTTTGGAATTTGAATATTTCCGGGAGTTGCTGAGAGTTTCAGTTTTTCTTTTTTGAAGCTTTTGAAGCTTTTGTTGAGGTTACGTTTACTTTGGCTAAGGGGTTTGTAAAGTTCCTTGATTGACTATTTATCTTCTATTCTATTGAAAGAATTGAGCTGAAACCTTTTGGGAAGCCTTTGTTAATCTAAATTGGACGGAATCTTTGTTTTTTTTTTCTCAGATGTTCTTTGAATATTTCAATTGACATTTTTTTCAAAATTTACAAATATTTTGAAAAAATTGCAGAAGGAAATTATCTCGTTGAATAAGAATTTTTTTAATTATTTTTTTACTTTTTAACTCATAAATGTCCACTTACTAGTTAGGAGTTCAAAATAAATGATACTACATATAATTTTCTCGATCTCTTTTTAGTATTCTCTAGAAGGAACCTTGTGATTTCAGTTCAATTGGGCGTGGGTGCTCGTTACAATGTCTGCTACATCACGACATCATTGCTTCCTTTTTCTTCCCGTTCCAACCGAAATGTAGAAATGTCTAGACTCTTTTTTCATACGAGTCGAGGCTTTTGTAAATTTCATTTTGGGTTAAGAAAAAGTTTTGTGGGGCAGAACATAATATGCAGAAGTGTATGCGAAATTCGGAGAGTTTAGTGTCAAAAGCAAGTGATTTTTTTTTTGATTCGAAGGAGCTTGTTTCTGGACCACAGAGAACCAGTTAGGCAATTTAGAGTCTCTTTGAGAATGTAAAACTGAAATTTTATGAAAATTTTTCCCTGGTGTCAATAAAGAATAAAATATAAAAAGATTTTGAAGTTCTCAATTTTGTGCATCTTTTCTTCCCCCAAAATGTTCCTAAATTTCTCGATGGATATCCAAATCATTTGCTTTTTGTTTTTCCAGTTTTCCAACTCTTTTTGTTATAATTCAATATTTTTCATTGTGCGACGCTCAGCAATCATCACATGAAATGGTTATAACTCATCCTGAAAGATTTTTGAACTTGTCTAGTCCAGAATGTTTTGTGTCGAAAAAGTATTTATCATGTAGAGCTTCGTTTTGCGTTTTTGATTCTCTTTCAACGGGTTCGGAAACCACGATGACCCCGGCATTAGTCAATGGGAAATGAGCTGCGCACAAAAAGCTAATGGCTTTTTTTCCAGTTCCGATTTGAAACGTTCTCTCCTCAGGTTGAAGAACATTCATTGTGCATAAGTTCATTTCATCTTTTCTGCCGCAACAAAGACTTTATTTTGAGAAACGTCCAGTTCTTCTCCCTCAAACTGAAACACCAATGGTCTCTCAAAGTGCATTAGAACTGCCCCTTTATCCGTAAATCACGTAAAAATGGGGGAGCAAGAATTAGCCCAAATGGCCAAAAAATAAGAAGACGAAAAATATTTTGCAAAGGTTAAAGCAGCACAAATCGAAAAGTTCCCACGAAAGTTGACAACAACTCGCTTTTACGTTGAATGGTGCCGTAATTTCAAACGCTGCTATGCTTCTTGGTTATTGAAGAAAGACGAAAGATGAAAAAGACTCTTTTGATTGGATTTTAGCCTACTAGACCCATTCAAGGTTGATTTTTTAAAGTTTCCGAGCGAAAAAAAAAGCTCTGAAAGTAGGCTTTTACAAACAAAAAAAAATCTAATACAGAGAATTGATTTTTTTAAATATCGAGTGTAATTTCTCAAAAAAAAAAACGAAAATTTTGAAAAAGTTCAAACTTTCAGAATCATATTTTACACCGAAGAGTGTTTTTTTTTCAGCAAAATGGACTCTAAACCTCCGAATAGAATGACTCTTCTTTCGAAACAAGAATATATCATTGAAATCTCCAATATTCCTGGAAGTTTCTCTGCATTTCTCCTTTTTTTTTGCAAAAATTCGCCCTATCGTCTTATCTTGATAAGCCCTTTATTAAAGCCTACGCGGATTATTCTTGGGAAACTAAAAGCTATTTTTTATCTCAACCATATTCCATTGATCTCTTTGGACCGTAGAAGATGGAAAGATAAAATGAGTTGAAACCCGAATTAAGTCGACCCAGACGCCAAATTCATTGTGGTTCCTTATTCGGAGCAGTTGATTTGATGAAGAAGCTTCGAGGTGTGGCCGCAGTCCAGCTTTTTCCTTCTTTCTCAAGCTACCAGTCAGTTCATTACATTACTTGCAGTTCATCACATCCCGGAACTTGAACTGGCAGGTTTTTTTCTGGCTAAGGTTGAAATAATAAGTTTTTGTTACTTGTGTTCCTAGGTTGTTTTTTTAACTGTCAGTGTCCAAACTTTTTGGGAAATATATCTAACTTTTTCATAGAGCCTTCAAGGAAACCTGTTACTTTGGTCATAACCCGCAATGATTGGAAATTGTATCTTACTTCATTAGAGGGCGGAAAATCTGTCGGCGACATCTCAAAGATCTACAATATTTGTCTATAAATACGAAACCGCAAAAACGGTCTGTTTTTGAGCCACCTTCCGCTAATTTAGGGTTTTATTCCGGTTGAATAACTCAGGAAAACACGCAGTTTTTTGATTACGCAGATAACTTTTTTTAGGATTTGAAATAAGGTCCAGTTTGGTCTTCATTACGCTTCGATGAAAGGACATCAACTTGCTGTCTGCGTAAAATGTTTGGCTCCCCAAATGTTCAACAAAATTAGTGGAACGGGGCTTTCCCCAAGGCGAATCTTTTCGACAAAATTTCACGTTGGTTACTTAAAAAACCAAGTAAAAGTTTACATTATTCGTGATGGAGAGATACTTGGCTGAAGGAAAAAAAGCACGTTTGACTGAGCCCAATTTTTTTCTGGCTGGAAAATACAACCAAGAAAAACTTCCTGGTAGTAGGTTCACATCACAATTGAGAAAGGCGTCAGAAAGGTTTATGAACTACATTTTACTCAGTAAAAACAGGGAATAAATGTACTTGATGCTTTCTTTCTCGAAAAGCAGAGAGGAACAAAAAAGTTGAGTTCTGAAATACTGTTTTTTTTTTTTTTGCCAAACTCAAGCTATATTCTTCTTCAAAAGCTTTCTGCACTTTTAAAGGAAATCTTTTTTTTTAGAAACTGCAGAAAAAAAGAAAACCGATGCGCGGCTTATTTTGTATACTCCGAAAAAATAAAATCAAAGCTCTTATTTTCAAGCTTTTACCAAGTTTTTGGTTTGCAACTTTGCAATTTTTGAATCGAGCAATTCATTATTTTCTCTAAGGTATCATCGTAATTTCAAGCAAAGAAAAAAGGGGCGGAGCTGGAGGATGTTTGGCTCCGCCTCTTTCTCTGGTTCGTGCTCTTCTGAATTCGCCCCTTTTGAGTCTGTGCATTGTCTTCTTACATTTTAGGGATATTTAGGCAATTTTTCGATCTCTACTGAAAGATCTGTTGTTCAGGGAGTTCCTATTAATATATGATATTTTCTAAAAAATCACCTGCTCTTTTTCAATTATTTGCTGATATTTAAAATAGAATACCAGGCATGTTGTTTTCTCAACAAGAAAATCGATAAGAAAGGAAGTATCTAAGATTTGAAAAAAAAGACCTTTACAAGTTAACTTTTATTTTTCTATAACTATTTCATGCCTCTATCCAATAACAGAATTCTTAACTTTGACTCCAATATCTTGTACTTCGAAAGGCCGAACTTGACGAAAAACTTTCCTGGAAATGATTTGAAAAATAAAATTTCCGAATTTCCGTGCCCTCCTGTTTTGCCATGAATTATAAAGGTCACTCGCTGTTCTCCAGACACGACCTCATTATTTTTATTATTCCTTTTGCTTCTCCGGTGAGAAACTGAAAAGCTTGATATTACAGTAAGAAAAGAAGAAAAGAAAAAGTAGTCGAAAAACATTAAGGAAACTACTTTTTTAGCATTTACCTGGCAGGTGAAGGTGATATCAGCGTTTTATTCCGCTTCCCCATTTTCAATCCGTCTTGGCTTCGTCATTTTCAATTAAGGCTCTTTCCGTTGCTCGTTCATTTAGTTCATTACTCTTCAATTTAGCGTCCTTTCATGTCATTTTGTTCGCATTCCAATGCGACTTGAGGAACTTTGAACCCATTATCGGGCTCTAGAATAGTGAGATGTTTTTGAAAAAGGGAAAAAATTGGCGAAGCTTTTTTCCAGTCAAGAATTTGTATAGCTAACCTTACAATCGAACCTACAATTTTTTTCATGTATTGGTCTCTGGCCGCCACATGACCGACGCCAGTGTTTTCGGCGTTCCGATCGTATGAATATTCTAAAGCGTTCAGTTTCTTAGAAAGTAGCTCTAATGTATAGTTGAGTCGTCTACGGTTTCAAGTTTGAGGAATATCTGAATACAAAGGGACCCATGAGTTCTTATTTTTGCCGTCTTCTTCGAAATCATTTTTTTTTTAAATCGACTAGTTCATTAAATTTTGCTCAAATGAATTGAAACAAAGACTCAAATCAAATTTAATCTTTTCTCTCAAACATTTTATGAGTTTATGTGTAATACATCTTTTTGATAAGTGCATCTTTTGCGCGTCGTGAAGGCCCTAAAGAGTTTTGAAGTTTGTTGGATAGCATGGTAGGCAAAACGATTCCCCCATGAATGTACTATGAAAAAAGCGTTTTCAATGCTTCTCGTTCCACTTAACGACTTCTATACTTTTCGAAACATTTTTTACAAAAATTTTCGGTTTTCAGAATGACCGCGGCCACAGAAGCAGAAACGTGGCTTTCTAACAAATCCGCCGAAATGACGTCACAGGAAGAGGTGACGTCATCAAACGGTTCCGTCATCAAAATGTGGATGATCCTCGTGGGAATCACCATCACTGGGATCGTCCTCAACTTGGGGATTTTGATCCGACGAAAATTCAACTCGTGAGTTTCCAAGAGAAGTTTGAATCATAGATAAAGTTAGCAAGGCGCAAATTTAATAATATAAAATAGAGATTAAAAAAAAATATATATATATAGACTTTTTTTCTAGTGGAGCATTGTTTAACCTCGAAGAAAATAGAAAATAAATATCCAAAAAGCTCAAAAAGTTTCAAGCTGTTTCCATGGGTGAAAGATCAAGGAAAAAGATCTTCGAAGATCATTTTTTTCGTTTGCAGTTTACCTCTTTGCGTCGTTAATGACGTCCTGAATATATTTGAATATTTATTTGATTCTTTGCAAACAGGAAAAAGAGAAAAAAACAGTCGAAATTCAGTCTTGCACATAAATGAATGGAGACCCCTTCAGGTGGGAATGGACTAGAAAGAGCATCCTTTGAATTAAAGATCAAAAAAGCCGGTTGGAAGGGCGATCTTTGTTTGAGAAAATCTAGGATCTTCCTTAAGAAGTTTTTGGCGTGCTTGTGTCAAATTTAGTGTGAAGTCGGCTCTAAAATGTAACGGCGAAACTGGAGACGATTTTTGAAAGTATACTTTTTGTGAAAATCCACTGAAAATGAATAGGTTGCTGAAGTTTTCTGAGTAAGTTTTGAAGGTGATTTTTGAGTAGTTTTTGTGAAGTGTTTCAAGTCAACGAACATATAGAGAGAGCTGGTGTCAGTCAAGAATAATAATATTGAAGTCACTTGACATTCCATAGATCCGAGTTGACAAACAATTATTTTTTCCACGAAACATTTGAGTAGAGTGGAGCACCGATAGAATAGGAAGATTTTTTTGATAATTAGAGTTTTCTTGTTAAAGTAATGTTTTTTTCAATGAATTTTCGACTTTGAACGCATGTGATGATCTTCGTACCAATGAGATTTCAGAATTTAAAAACCAAAAATTTCCCTTTGACCCAAAAACGTGTGTCGAAAAGAAGGAGATTGCATTAATTAGGAACTATTTTGTTTTGACTGCCCTTAATCCAATCACTCGCGACGTCTTTCCAACTCTCCGAGTTTCGTGGTTTTTGTTGCTCTCTTTCGTAATCGCTTTTTGTCTGAGAAATGCCATTGTTAGGCCAGAAAAAAAAAATTTGATTCATTTCCTGGGAAACTGATTCAAATAGTCTCATGGAGCAAGTGGGATTCCAAAAGTAAAAAACCAAAATGAGGGCGGACGTCTAGTAAAATACGCTAAAAAGGTAAGTCCCTCATTTTGTAAGTTTTTTGTGAAAAATACGCGACCGACTTTGAGAAACTTCCTTGAAAAACGAACCATCTTTTGCTGAAAATTGAGTGTTTGAACTATGAAAAAGCAATTTCCCTGTGGTTTGAACGCTGAATCCGCCTGTCAAATGCAGTCTTGGAAAACTCAAAGTTTTCTCCCTCCGTTTTATTTTGCGTGAAGAACTTCTCCAAAAGCCAATAACAAGAAGGAAACGGAATTCGAACTTGTTTGTGTGCAATTATTTTCGCGAATATTTAAGACCAGTGTGACTCTTGAATTTGAGAATGCCTCGTGTTTGATAATTGGGAGTATTGGCGAATATGGAATCCCCATGGACGAGTTGGCTTGAAAACAGAAATTTTGAAACTTTGATTTATGTTTTAATATTCGCAATTTTTTTTTTATAAAAAGTTTCGGAAAAATAAATTGTGCACTGTTTCCAAAAAAATTACTTCTGTGTTCATTTGAATGGCAAAATTTTTTTTATGAGCTTAAGTTCACAGGAATTTGGGAAATGACATAATTAAATTAGAAGATTTAAAAAAATCGAATGAATTTTTTTCAAATAGAACAGGACACTTTTTATGAGCTGAAGCTTGCTTTTAAAAAACCACTCTCAAAAAAATTTTTTTTTTAAGACAAGCATTTTCATTTTATCTTTCCATTTCATATCGAAAGTTCATTCAGCAATCTGCAATCAGCACAAAAAAATCAATTAAATTCAACAGCTGATCTGTGGGAACACCTGCAGGAAAAGAATAGAATGTATACTTCGAAAAACTTTGTTTCTTTCTCAGAAAGGAATTTTTCAGAAAGAGGAGCTCGAGCTCGACGACGAGGTCCTCTTTGTTCCTTCTGGCGGCGATGGCTGCGGCTGACACTCTGTGTCTCTTCTCTCTGCTTTTCCTTTTGTGTCTGCGCTTCTTCAAACTCGAAGATCCGCTCTTTCTCACGTTGGTTTGCAAGGTGAGCATCAACTACGGAAAGTTGAAGCCTCAATGGTCAGAAACAGAAAAAAGTAGAACTGCGCATAACACTTCCGTTTCTTGAAGAAAATGTCGCGGCGGAGGTTTTTGATCTGTTCGATGACAAAGAGCCGCGGTAAATAGTTCGTTGCGTAGTTGGAAGTGGATTAACGAATGCGTAAATGATCTGGAAAGACAACGGAAACGTTCCGATTCGTTTTTTGGACCCCTTCTGGGTTTCAGGTAAACAAAGGGGCAAGAAAACCTTGTGTTGGAATAACTGTGGCCTTCTCTAGACTAAACATTGCTCTCCTTGACACTTTCGGAGTTTGGAAATATTTTCTCAATTCACAGATTATATTGGGATCTTCGCCATATCCGCATCTTCTCTTAATTTCAGAGAAACTACATTTATGCATACTCATGTATAAGAATAGAGAGAGAAACAATTAGGAAAATGGAGAAAAGACGTCGCTTTGTACTTTTCCTCCTCCTACGCCATTCGACATTCTCACAGACACGCAAAGTCAAAAATAAAGAAAAAGTTGGGTTTTTCAAAATCTTTAAAATTTTGCAAGTTATTTTCTCAACACTTACAGTATATTCTTGAACACTGGAAGTTTCAAGGAGCTCTTTTTTCATAGAACTAATATTTGCGTTCGTTTTTGCGAGTTCTTCATAGTTCATTAGTTTCAGTTTCACAGAAAATGCAGGAAAAAGTGTCACATATGAAAGTCCGTGAACATTTCTTCATTGGAAATGAAAAATTTCAATTTCCGAGCTCTTATCCGCTCTTTGTTTGCAATGAGGCGCAAAAAACTTCCTCATACGTTCTCTGCAGGAAATAAGGGTTATTTGATGGTTTTTCTTTTAAAAAATGTTTGGTTCTGTCTGAACTACGTCTTCTGAAGAAAAAAATGGTTTCGGCGTGAGACGGAGCTCAAATATCAAAAAAGAACCTCAATCTTCGTATTTCAAACATTTAATATTTAAAGTTTACTATGGAAACGATTAAAAAAAGTCACAAAGGTATGATGTGGGGCCAAAGGGCAAGTGTTATAAAAGGCAATCTCGAAGTTTTAATTGATAGACCGTTCTAAGGAACAAATTCCTAAATTGAAAATAGAGAAAGTTAGTTAATTAAAAAAATACTTTTTTTGATCTCCAGAGAAAAGATTCGAACTTGAAGATTTTTTTCTCATTTTTGTAACTCCGTTTATTGAAAAAAGTTTTGAAAAGAGTGCGAAAAAAGTTTTTTTCATTTGATTTTTTTTCTAGTTGTTTGTTTAAGATTAAAATAGGAAAACAAAGCGGCCCAGTACTTCAGAATTTTCATAGTTTTTTTTTAGCTGGATGTTTTCGTGATGCACACGACGTCGTCTTTCTCGATCTGGTGCTGGCTGGTTCTGTCGGCGGTCCGCTACATGGCCGTCTACAGGCCTTATACTCATCTGCGGCTTGATAGGGAGCCTCGCTTTGCTGTGGTTCGTTGATTTGCAGACTTAAATTCGACTTCTTCTTCAACCATTCTATCTTAAGTTCTGAGGGCTTTAGCAAACGTTTTTATGATCAGTTAAGGCCATTTTTTAATGATTAGAAACTAATCTTTTTTTTGCTGCCAGATGCATTTTTATGAAAGATATTTGCTGCTGCTAGATGCTATTTATAAGAGAGAAAAAAATATTTCTGTGGACCATTTTCTATAATTTATATATAAACTTCCATTCATTCGTTTTTCGAACACCAAAAATTATTAGAAAAAACATGCAATTGACCTTGTTGGAGTTTTGAGGAAGTGACAGAGTCGAAATTTCCAAATAAAAGTATCCATTTTCACAAAACAACCGTTTCAGATTACGGTAGCCGTTTTTTGCTGCCTTTCTGAGGCCTGGGTCCTCTGGGACATTGCCTACGACGACGAATCTAAGTGTAGGTTTTTCAAATTTTGACACACATATTTTTAGAAAAGAAAAAAAATCTAGTATGTGGGCAAAAATTCATTCTTCAACACGTTGAAGGGTACATTAAAAACAAGATTTCTTACTTTTTCAGCCTGCGGTGGCCCAGAAACGGAAATCAGTCGCCATTTTCAAATATTCGAAATCATCATCTCCTATTTCCTGCCTGTCGCCTTCATCACAATCCTCGACATCAAGGTTTTTTTTTCTGCCTCTTTCGTATTTTAATTAATTTCTTGACTCATTTGACGTCGTCGGACGTGATGCGCCTTGGGTTTTTTCAACCTAAAATAATGATAGGGTCGAAATAGCAGAGGTTTTGTAGAGTGTAGGTGGGTGCAAGAAGCCTGCCAATTACATTTTTGCAACCTTGGCTTGCGAATTATGATAATTGGTCCCTTGTGTGTGTTTTGAGCTGCAGTCGTAATAATAGCTCTGTGAGCAAGAAAACTTTGGAAGAGTTTGAAAGTTAAGGTTTTGAGATTTAGTTACAGAGAGAGATCAAGTTTTGCGGGATTTATTTCAAAAAAGTCGTTTATACGAACTTCCCTAAAAGAAAGGCATCAGGACGAAGATAAGGGAAAAGTCAAGAAAAGAAACATTTCAAGATTTTGAAGCAAAAACAAATGAATGAATTACAGTTAAGTTAAAGTTTTTGCGAAAAAAAAATATTTGTATCTTTGCAATCTCGTAAAATTCTTTTCAGTGTAATTTTTGAATTATTTACTCACGTTTTGCGATTTTTTTTCATTGTTTAGATTGACCCTATTGATCATATTGTATACTATGACAATATAGATCGGAAAAAGTTAAGTGAAATTTTTTATTGCCTTTATCAATTGACTTTTAAATAATGTTTACAGGTTCTTCTATGTCGAGCCGTGTGGTTCTCGCACGTGACACACAAACCGAGTAACGTGGCCAGAGATTCCGTCACGAACGCTTCGATCAGAGAAAAAGAAGCGACGCCAACCGCTTCAGGGAACACTTCGAGACCTCCTTCTCTTGGTAGAAACTGAGAAAGTCTAGCAGATTCATGATAAATTCCACTTTCTCAGACCATAAACTCTCCGTGACTCTGCTCAACTCCAATCTCTCCTTCATGGAAGTCTCGCTGAGCAGATCGAGGTGGGAATTATTATTCAAATCGTCAAAGTCCATCGCTGACGTCAAGTCTTTTTTTCTTTTGGTTTCCGACTGGAAATGACATTCTCGTCACTCAATGTGTCTCGTTTGCTCCGAAGAAGTAGTCAATTAATAAATGATGGATCAAATATTCGTAGAACTTTTCCGCCGCCTTTCTCACATTTATTGCTTCGGTTTCGCGTTCTTTTCAAATTCCTTGTGAGGGCGTCAAATAACATGGAAGTAGGTATAATTTCTCTAATCATAGGGTTTTTTGTGCGAAAATCAGTTTTAAAAAGCTGCTTGACTTCTGATTTCCTAAAAAAAAATTCGCTCAAGAGTTCTACCGAGCATTGAACTCAAAAAATGAAATTTTTTTTTGGAAAAAAAACTGATAAAAACATTTGTTATGATAATAGATTATTGAATACATACATAGGAGAAAAATCTTTGATGGTTTTCAGATCGAAAAAGCGGCAACAGATGCGTGTGCTACGTCGCTGCCTCTGCATCACGATTTTCGACCTTTCGATGAACCTTCCGTCGTACCTGCTGCGGCTCTACCTGGCCATCACTCCCAAGGACGAGGTCACCAACTGGGAGCTCATCTTCATCGTCGAGGAAATCTCCCAAGTCATGTACTTCGCCCAGTTCGCCCTCAACGCCGTCTACCTCGTCTGCATCATCTACGACACGCCGAGAAAAAAGTGCACGGTTGGTGATTTTTGTCCTTTCTGGATGATTCAGAAGATCATTGAGCGTCCGTGAAAACATATAGTTGCAACATTTGAAATATGAATATTCTCAGGCGCCGGGCACTCGACTGAGCTTCGGAGCGACGCCTCCACGCTGCAATTCCAAGAAATCGCCCAAATCTTCAATCAGAGAAAGCTGTAAGAAGATTGCGCTCTGAAGAAACCTTTATTTGTTAACTTATTGCTTTTTCCCATTTGTTGATTTCACTTGATGGTACCGGTCTATATTTTGATTTTTACATTTTGCGAGATAAAATATTTTCTTTTTGAGAAAATTATCGAATGAAAAGGCTAAGAAAACGGCTCGAAACTTTCCCCAAGATATTTACAATGTGACTATTTTAGGCCACCCAGGTTGTCACGAATTTTAATGAAGCTTTTGAAAATGAAGGGAAAATATGCGTTCTATTCTTAAAATTTTTTTCGAATTAACTAAAGTTTATCTTTTTATTCTACGAAACGGAGTTCAAGAATTGCGAAACTTTGCGCGACCTTCTTAAAACAAAAAAGAAGGTCTCAGTCTCGCGCAAAAGGTCATTTTTAATTAGAGGGCTTTTGAAGGTGATGTTGAATAAGATATTAACCAGTTGCTTTTTTTCTTGCAGCTAAAAAAAGTATTTGAAAGTAAAACACCAAAGAACTCTAAAAGTTACCCTTTTAGTTTGGAACAGAAAAACGATCGCCAAAAAAATTTTTGAACGCATTCAAGAGGCTGAAAAGCGAAAGAAGCATTTTCTAAAAAATCGTGAAAAACTTTATCGAATATTTTTATAATTCCAAACTTTTTTCATTCTAAAATTTGAGCTCGATAGCACCATCTCGTTTTTTTCGAGGCGATCAAATGTTTTCGGTCAACAAGTCCAGGTACGTTTTGGCGTGTTTCAAGTCTTCCGATAGATCTTCTTTCATTTTCACCTCAAACAGAAAGATTTCAAATACAGAAATAGAATATAAATCAAACCTGGGCCAACTCGGTGAGGACGTCGAGGAAGTTTTCAGAACGGATGACGTGTCTGTCTTCTTTGGGTTGCTCCAGGAACTGCGCCTCAATATTTGATAATAAGTTATAAATAAAGTCCCTCGAAGAAAACTGTTTATAAGCCCCTGTTCAAACGAAGAGCTGCTCACAAAATTATCTAAAAAGCCTATTTTCCTGGGTCACCCTATTCAAATATTGGAAACCAACATTTTTCTGTTCATTCGTCTTGGAGGCGTCAGGCCTCAGTTCCCAGATTCCGTAGGCTGGGATCATCGGAATCGGAGACGTCACTTCCGGATAGATCGGCGACACTGTCACAATGTCGAGGGTTATTGAGACCGGCGACGTGCTCGGAGCGACGGTAGTTGAGGTAGAAGTCGAAGTCGCTTCTGTGGTGGTCGGCGAAGGAGTAGTGGTTGTGGTCGAGGTAGAAGTAGAAGTCGTTGGCGGAACCGTCGGTGGAGACATGACGCCATCCGGATCCGTGGTCACCGAGGCGACGGTTGGACTGTGGTGACGGTAAGGCGGGAACGGACTTGAGGCTCCGTCGGTCGTCCCGTTCAGAGGAGCATAACTTTCGGAGTTGTCTTCTCTAGCGGCGGATCGCATTCGAGCTGCCATGTTCTGGAAGCTCTGTTTTCAAAAAATTCGGAAAAAAAAATGGAACAATGGAAAAATTTTCTTTTCTTTTCGCGAGCGACAGTGACAATAATTAATAAAGATACTTCAGATTTACCGAGAAAAGGTTATTTTCTGAATTTCTTACAATAAACTTTATAAGTTAGAATAGCCGGAAAAGTTTCATTTTTGAAAATATCTGTATAATAGAAAGAATACCTTGTAACGCATGCAGCAGGTGAAGGCGGCACAGGCGACGTATCCAGCCGAGCACTGACAATGGTAGCTGGAGCAGCGGACGCGTTCCGGGGGCATGATGAGGCAGTCGACGTGGCATGACGGCATGCTACAGATAGAGGACCAAGTCATATCACCATATGAGTTATTTTGGAGTAAAGTTTGGAATCTTCCGTAAACTAGACCAAATACTCCTTATAGATTAATATTCCTCATTGTCTCACTTGCGAAAAGTTTCATTTCGAGAATTGGGAATTTTCTTTTTTTGGGCTTAACGCAGTAACAGGCCAGCAGTACTTCATTAGTTTGACAAATCAGAAGTTTTTGCAGTTAGCGACTATGAGGAATACTCAAACAATTTTTCTCTAAAAGAAAGTCCTTGTCGGGTCTTGTCTCAATTACTCACCAGTCCTCTCGGCATTGCGGCTCTTGTATCATGTTGAAGTATTGGGTCTCTTGGATGAAGCTTTCCCTGCAAAATTGTCCAGAAAACTTTCAACAAACATCAGAAAAATACCTGAAAAGGCATTGAGGATTACAGGTAGGTTGGCAGGAAGGAGAGCACTGAGCTTGTGGCGACGGATGTACAACGAGCACTAGCGGATGAGGTGGCGTCGGTGAGCCTTAGAAAATTCAAACTCCCACAAACTTTTTTTTTCAAAACTTACCTGGAAGCGCGGTCGCTTGGATCGTAGTGGATGGGGAAGGACAACAGTCGTTGCCACACCAACCAGCTGGACAGGACGGTTGTGAAACGAAGAAAGGCTGAAAAAGAACCATTGAAAAGGTTATCTTCAATAGTAAAGATACCTGGAAATGATGTGGAGGAGGAGGAACTTGCAATGGTGGCGTCATTGGAGCAAAAGGTCTCATGGGAAGCGCCATAGGCATCATTGGGCCGAATCTCGGCATTCCGAACTTTTGTTTCTTGCTGGCTTCTTTTAGAGCGTTCTCAGTCTCTGGTTGCTCCTCTTCATTCTCTTCAGTTTCCTTGGCCACGGTCTGAGGCTTCTGGAGCGCGGCCAAAGGAGGAGGCTGTCTTTGGGTCACCATCGGCATGAACGGAGAAGGGAACGTCGGAGGAGTCGGCAGTGTCAGAGCCAATGGTGCGTCTGGGGGTATGATCGGACCGCTGTTGATGATTGTGGGATAGTTCTGCTGATGTGTGAGGTAAGGCGGTAGACTGGAGGCGTTGGCAGGAAATAACGGGGGAAGTTCGATGAGTCGTGGAAAATTCGGATTCGGGACCATGGCCGGAGTTTGAAAGTACTGCGGCTGGAAGGGTGGCAGAAAAGATGGACCCGTTGGTTTTCGACGAATATCTGGCGAATAGTTTGGATTTCGCAAGAGAATCGTCGGAGGAGTTGGAGCTGGTGGAGGTTGAACTCGAACAGTGTGGATATATTGCTTCACAGGGGCTGAAAAGTATCAGCTTCATATTGAGTGTTTACCGACAAGTAAGTTCCCAAACAGTCAGTCTAACCTGGATTGTAAAATCTCGGCTGAATGTGTCTGGGAGGATGCTGAAGATAAAACTTATTCTGTGGAAAAGCTGGAGTGTGATGCTGCTGTAAATCTTCAAGATGGCTGAGAAATTTTATTTTTAATTTCTGACCTGTGAGCCACCAAGTGCCCACCGTGCGTACTGATTAGCGATTCTAGATATTCTATCGCTAGTCTCCTTAACTTTCATACCCTCTTCAAAATATTTTGGAACTTACCTCAACATTAGCCGAAGAAAATGTATAAAAAGAGGCTAAAATAATGAGTCGAAGCATTACTGAAGAATTGAAACTAATGAGAAGAAGCTGGGCTCAAGCACGGAAAATTTGACAGTTCCGTGCGCCTCCCTCCCATATTTGCCGAAATTTGCATCGCGCCATTTTTGACATTTGCGTGACGCTCTAGCTCGCTGGTTGCTATGATATATGATTTCAAAAAAATCTTTGTTTTTTTAAAATGTTTATCAGTCAGTTAAGGAGCCGGACTTCGGTTAGGATTAATCTTGACGCTCGCCGCAGATGAAGACAAGCCGGACGACTGATCTTCGTTTTTATTCTCCGATTCCCGCTGAAAATGCCTTTCAGTCTGATTTTATTGAGGAAAGACTGACAGTTTTCACATCAGACGACTGCTCTTTTTCCACTAATCGATCCGATGAGCTGGAGATGATATTTCCATCAGAGAAGTCAGAAACTGGCGCTGGTTTTTTCTCAGATACAGTTGTCGTGGTTTTCTCAGGTTGCTCCGAAGATCTTAAAAATTGGGTTTTCTGAATAAATAGAGATTTCTTACTTTGGTTGAGGTTTCTCAGAGCTTTCAGTCTGACTCTCGGAAGGCTTACGAGGCTCAACCGTTTTCTTTTTGGAAGGTTCCGCCTTACTGGAGCTCTTCCGACTGGACTCCGACTTCAGGATTTGATTTTGGAGATAGGCGCCGTGGCTGAACTCCGGAGCGTGAGTTGTGTGAGTTAAATCTCCGCCTTTCTTTCTGAAAGTTAAAAACTTTGTTTTCTTTGAAAAAAACAACTCTACTTGATCAGAGTTGTTATCCAAGCCTCTGCCGTCTTTTGTGGTAATTTTAATTCGACCTGAACAGTCAAAATCGAAGAATCCGATCAAAATTGAAGAATACTTTTTTTCTTTTTATCTTCAACGTCACCAACGTCTCATCATTTTCTAGGGAAATTTTCATTCGCGTCATCTTTTCCAAGTCGTACGAGTTTCCGATAAGTGGTTCACTGAAAATAAATCCCAGAATCGTTTGGAGAAGCCGAAAGAGATAACTAAGGGCTCAGTGAAACACAAAAAACTCGCGCTCATAGTTTTTGAATCACCCTGCACAAACGCCGAAAAGGAAGTACTTGTAGACGAGCAAACGGCGACCGTCCAGAACTGCCAGCCGCTTTTCGTAGCATTGGCCCACTTTTTGTTCCACGTATCCACAAGACGTCCCTTTCTTTTTGCATATTTCGTTCTGAAAAGGGCGATGAAAAATGAATAAAATATAAAATTTTACTAAATCAGTAATTTTACGCTTGCAAACGATAAAAAATTGCAGTGCTAGAAGCTTGAATGAATGAAATGTCGACAAACTTGGTCCGGTAATTGATCATATGTAGTTCTCTTGCAGCACCACGGCATTGCGGCTAGTTAAGAAATGATTGATGATTTCAGCAGGAAAGACGTCAGAATAGATCTCACGGTTTATTCAATACGCGATAGCTGAGTTCTTTGCTCAAAGAACTTTGACACTGCGAAGTAATGAATTTTCAAACGATCAGCCGACTGATGTTTTTGAAAGATAACAGTTACTATGATAAGCGGTGATAATGAGGACGAGCCAACAAATACAAGTAGGCACCCTGATGAAAGTATGTGTGCTCTTCCAATTGGAATACTTTTGCAGTGTCGAAAAACAGTCTTTTTTTTTTTTAATTTTTCGCTTTATTATTTTTTGCAAAATTAAAACAACTTTTCACGAGAATACAGAATTAACAGATATGTACAAAGATAAATAGGAATAGGAGAAAACATGATTGAAATATTTAAATAATTTACTCAGAGTCGGACCGCTTTGTGGAGTTTTTCCCAGGAAGGAGCGATCGCAACGGCGGCGTACAGATCGGCGACGCTTTCCTTCAGGCTTTCCATCGATTTCGCGTCGATTTTCCCAACATTCTGAAACAAATCATTTTGAAGTAAAAGTAGTAAAATTGCTGGAGCCACAACAAGGACGATTTTTTCTTTTCCGATTGGTACGGTATGTAAAAGTCCGCATCATACGTGTGCACGTCGTCTGTTCGAGCTTTCTGCGTGGTCCATTTTCGCGTTTATTTCATTTTTATTTTAAATTTATCGAAATGACATACTAATACAGAAAACAATTGAAATTCCCCGAATATCCATTCTGATTTGAGAAAAAAGTAATCAGAAATTTACGGTAAAATTGAAAAAAAAAACTCGGAAATAAACCACCCAGAAAGTGCAAACACACCAAGGGCACACGCCAAACGCGGAATTTCACATACCGTTCCCATTGGAAAAGGAAAACTCGCTCTTTTCGTATCACCAAAATTCTGACTCACGCAATGGTCCAAAAAGGTGTCGAGATCCTTTGAAATTGGATTGTTCTCGATGGCGATCAGGTGGAACGTCTTCTGGGCGTCGAGGATGAAGGTTCTGCTGTACTGCGAGTAGAGCTCGCTCAACTCTGACTTCTCGTGGTTGAGAAGCTCGATGCTGAAGCTCAGCTTTTCTCGAACAGCTTCCGTCAATCCCTGAAGAACATTCAAATGAGATTTAAATCGATAAACAAAGAAATTTCTACCTTCAAATATTTTAAGGTTTCAGGTGTAACGGGAATATCCGGATAGGCGACGACACGCTGGGCGAACTGAAAATAATTTTTATTAATATTTCGGTAGATAAAGCGGAAAGATATATGCTACCTGTGCTATATGTGATATGGGATATGTAGTTTCAGCTCCATCAAATAATTTTATTTTCAACAAAATTAGTCGAATTGGAAATAAAAAACTATGAGAAACTAGCGGTTATGGTACTGTTTTCGACCGGAAAGCAGAAGTTAAGATCATACAGGCAAAAAAGGAATTACCAAGAAAACAAGACAAAAAGTGAGAGGGAGGTAGATCAAAATTGAGGACCAAATGAATTAAAAAAAGGTCAAGCAAAAAAAAAAACCTGGAAAACGAGGCGTCGGAACTCGGCAAGAACGTCGTGGCTGGCCGAGTAAACGTTCCAGAGACGGTCTACCCATTCTCGTTCCAGCTCCCGTTTGCGCTCAGCAGCGTCGAGTTGCTCCTGGAGCTCGGCGAAGATCAACTCCTCTCTGAGCTGGCTCACGAGGACGGATTGGCGAGAACGACGGAACATGGCGATGGCAACAGCTAGGGACAACTGGTAAGACTTCTGCTCGACAGGTCCTTTTATAGAAGCAATAAGGCGGGGTCATGAGCCGAGTTCCCATCGCAGCTTCTGAAGTGCGAGACTGCTCGAGGCTCTTTGGAAGTCGTTCACACTTTTGTCGGTATGGGTTTCGCTGCCGCTGGCTGCATCGCACTTCTTTTGGGAGACTGTCTGACAAGTGTCAACACTTTTGTTTCCCTTTTTCGAATTGTGTACTCGAGAACTGTACGCCAATAAAATTGAAATGTGCTCTTCAAAAAAGTAAGTACACTGTTTATGATCCGAGCCAAATTAAAAAAAAAGTTTGAAACCTCTTTATGAGAAAGATTTCATTCGGCAATAAATTTATTCATAAGGTCGTTTTTGTAAAAGTTGAGGTAAAAAGGATTTTTATGACTTGTAAGGAATCGGATTATTGTCTTCGAATGCCGCCTTCACGTTGTTGTGCAGCTTCAGATTGTCGACAGAGATGAAAAGTTTTCCGAGGGACGAGCACCCGGAAACGCAAACGACGAACGAGAGAAAAATCTGAACATATACTCTCTTTCGAAGACGTTTCTTCTCACTAACCTCGAGCAAAACTAACAAGCTCAGCGCGAAGTCCAAATTCAGCGGCTCCACGGAGCTAACAAGCCATCGAGAATCAACTTTTGGGAAGATCCAAGTGAACACAGGGAAAAGTCCTAAAATATAAATTGTTCGAGAATCATTGGTCTTTTTCACACCAAGAAGTAATGGAACGGTCGCGAAGATGCCGGCGACGACGTTGGCAATGTAGCAGTAGACTGCGGCTGCGTAGCTGCCCCGCTTGACTGCGTAGATTCCCACAAGAGCTGGGACCACGGCGCAAGTCGCGAAGACGATCTCCACGCCGATCGCCCACAGAGAGCCGTAAAGCATACGCGCCACGCCGACGCCGAATATTCCGACGCAGCAAAGAACCTTAAGAAAAAAAAAATGTTGAAAACCACGACCTTTACAATAGCCATTGGTCAGTCTGAAGACAGCAGCAGATGTTATCACTCTCCATTCTGATATAAACAAAACTTAGAAAACATCATTTTATTCTGATTCTTTATTCTAGAACTCTAATATATAACACTGAAGAAGAAACAGTTTTGTCAAAATATATTCCTGTTATAACCGTACCTGCATGCAGGAGACGAGACTCATGAGGTTCCAGTTGACGACGCTGGGTCCGATGGCCATGTGGGCGATTTCTCGTGGCGACGGGATCGGCTTCTGGGAATGCGGAGGCACGTAGGCGGCCAGGTTCGACGCCAGCGGCGCCACGGCCATCGGAGGTCCGCCGCTCAGCGCCGACGGCGGCCGCATCTGCGGTGTCACCATTTGAGGCGGCACCATCTGAAGACGAACGATCGGGTAAATCTTTGAAAAAAAAAGTTTGTTTTATCCTGCCGACGATTGACAATCATATATGTGTTAGTGATGAAAGATAGCAGCTTTCTTTGATTGATTAGTAGTGCTTACGGAAGTGCGAAATGTCGAGGAATTGGAATTTAATGAAACTTGGTATATAGGTACTTCCGAACACCCTGAATCCAAAGCAGTTGAAAAAAGTGCGCCTTTTTGGTTCTAGTCGAGTTAGGGCGCCTCAAAGTTTGCACGCAAAAAATGCATTAGAAAGGAGGAGTGAATGTGTTGCGGTGGCTAACTCTAGCTGCCAGCAGGTGGCGTGGTGTTGTGGCTAGAGGCCTGGCGCTGTGAAACCTATGATGCAGGTTCGATCCCTTCTTGGTGGAATTTTTTTTTGCCAATTTTTTTTATTTGAAAAATGAGGAAGTTTTGATGATGGAGTGAAAGAACAGCTCAAAATTTTGAAATTCACCATTTTATGCCCATCTGAGAAAGGATTTCGACAAAGTGTTAGGAAGATTTATGAACTAACAGAATTACTCTCATTTTTGTAACGAATTAAAACAAAATCATTATTCTCAAGCTTTGCGAACAGGAGTGATTAATTAATAATGAATTGAATTTGTAATAAAGAAGACTTTTTGCCAAAAGCTTTCCTTGATTTTTGCATGTAAACACTCGAAAAATGCAGGTTTGGATCGAGCCCACCATCTTCTCTTTTTTCCTCGCATACAAAAATCCCAATTCAAACCTTCGTAGGATCGTAGAAAGGATGATGAACTGGTCCGTGAGGAGGATGCATCTGCAGCTGCATCTGAATCTGGCTCAAAGTCTCCGGATCCATTTGCTCGGGCCTCGGCAAAGTGCAATAAGACTGGTAACGAGAGCCGCCAACTGGACAATTTTTCGACGTATTTTTCTAGGTTTGAGCCTCACATTGACCCATCGGAGTGAATTCGTTGGGACGGTTCAGAGGCCTCGTCAGTGTCGAAGTTCCCATGGCAGAGGCCGACCGGAAATGCGCAGGGTTTGGAGGAACTGAAAATTTCAAATTTTGAAAACATCTCCTGAAAATAATCTGAGATTTTAAATTTTTAAACGTCGTAAGAAAATCGAGATTGCTGGTTATAGTCAATCTTTCCCGACTTGAAAGACGAGATGGGCTGATTGGCAAGGATGAAGCATCGCGTTCGCGATGCGGCTTTTGGCGGGAAACTCAAATTCAAACACGAGCCACCTTTTTCGATATTATTTCAATAGTTTTTAACTATTCAGGGATTCGAAAAAATTCAGTTCAATGAAAAAACCATGAAAAATAATAATAATCTCATTTTTTTTTTTCTATATTATTCCATAACCTCGATTTTTTCGCGACGCGTACGTAACGCATCATCTTTGCCGCCTCTCAAGTCAAAAAAACTTTACATAATGTACATTGCCAGCAGAAAATCGAGAATGTAGAACTTGAAAATGGAATATTAATATTCTCACCTCTTCCCCATGTGAGCTTCTGCTCGCGACTCATCGTGTTATTATTACCAGCCGCACTTTCCGAACGTTGTGCTCGTGGCATTTTTGGAGTTGACTGAGTTGTTGGCGGGTCTAAAAACTATTTTTTAGCTTCTCCGATTATTTTGTTTTTCTCAGAATACATTGAAAAGCTTCACGTACCATAGACAAATGGGCTAGCTTTCGGAGGACGAAGCGTTCCTGTATGAGGCTCACCGGATCCTGGGAACTTCAAAATAAACTAACTTCCGATTATAAGAAGCTCACGATTTCTTTTTGGAGTTGTATTCCCCAAACTTGTATTCCCTAGAGTGGCCGCTTTGTTATTTCCATTGTAAGTTGAGTAAGAAACCTGGCTGTTGGTCTAAAAATGAATCTAAAAGTCGAACTATAACAATTAAAACCTCGGAATCTTTGTTCCAAAGCTTATTTGCGTCTTTCAGCTTTTTCGGCTGGAACTGTTTGGTGAGGGTTCCCGTCGGTTTTGGAGCCGTCGGTTCAGCAACTTCTTCTGCCGGATATTCGTCGTAGGTGTCAACGTGTTGAAAGTACCCTCGTTGTTGGTTCATCACTGGAAAAACAAACTTTTCCGAGAATTCTATTAAATTTTATTTTGACGTTTACCGGCTGTGACATTTTTTACAAAAATATTCGAATTTTTCAGAGAAATATGATTCAAGTTTAGCTTCGTTCAGCTGTAAAATTTTCTTTGAAAATAAGCTGCAAACATTTTTTTGAAAGTTTCGTTTTTAGAAATTAATATAAGTTAGGCGCAGACTTGTTCTGCGCCATTTGGGTTCAGGATGAGTTGGAAAAAAAGGGCGTTTGAGCTTGGGTTTGGGTTTTTTTATGAAATATAAATTAGACTGAATAAATATGTTCTCCCTACACTTCTGGAAAATAATCACGAGGAAAATAAAATGTTTTTGACAAATTCAGGATAGTTTCTCAGCTTTTACCTAAACTGGCAAGCCCAAAGCTCGAAAAAAATCGCAAGCTTGCAGCGATATCAAAGACAACGAGAAGTATAAGAAACATTTTGAAATTTTTTTTTTCAGATCGCGGGGAAAAAAATTAGCAGGCGCGAAAAATTCAAAAAAAACCAAGAAAAAAAAAACCAAGAAAAAATCAGGTAGGTATTGATTGTGTGGGGTGGAAAGATTAGCGAATTAGTGGTGTCATTGATGAAAAAGGAAAAAGAGAGACGTAGTTGGTGGAAAAAGGATATGAGAAAGGCAATTGTAGTTGATGAGTGAGTGATAGGGCGAAGATTGGGTCATTCCGCACGACCTTCGGGCCTTTCTCCTGGCCGACATATTCACAGAATTCTTGTCCATCCGCGTAAACAAGGCTCTTTCTTCTCAATTCTCAAAACTTTTGATTTTCCGACGGATCTTTGTGGTTGGAGTTCAACACCTCTGTAACAAGAACGGAATTTCTGGGATTTCGAAAAATCACATTATCCGCCGCAATTTTTTATTTCCTTTTAAGATTTTTTCTAATCCGCAAATACTAATGGGAAATTTCGAAGCTGCGTTGGACAAAAGCCCTAGGGGCGGCATAGCTCAGCTGGCATAACTCATTTCTAACGTCCGCAAGGTCGTAGGTTCGAGTCCCCCCGAGGTCGACCAAGCCTTTCATCCCTCCGGGGTAGATAAAATTGGGAGCTGCATGCAGCGAAAAGGCTCATTCTCTGCCATCGGCCTTTGGAAAGCCGGCACCGTACTTCTTCCTACGACCTCTCTTGTACCTGATGTTCTACGAGCGAAATTCACAACTTCTCTGCCTAAGCCCCAACTCCTGCCGCCGTTTAAAGGCATAGGGGCAGTAAAAAACGGTGTTTCAGTTCAAAGCAGTACTTTGTAGAGCTTTTCATTGCGAATCGAACGGTAAACTTGGGAACGTACCGAACTTCCTAGTTTTGAAGAAAAAATATTTCAAAATCGGAGAAAGGAAAGCTTGAGTTCCCGCGAAAAGGGCGCTTTGCAGTAAAGTTGCTCTATGGACAACAGGCTTCCCCGTTTTTCGGATTTTCGCTTTTTTCTTCGTTTCTTTCAAATTTCAATTTTTTCTGTTGTCACCAAAGTTCTTTTCGTCACAAAAGCTTTCTATTCATGTATAATTTGCAAACTTTGATTGCAAAAATGCTTCTTTGGTGAAAAATGATGATTTTACACAGGTTTCGATTGGGATAGCGATTATTTGTGTTTTCTTTATTATCAATATGTTTTTTCTGTTTTCTAATCGATTTTTCAGAGAAGAAACCCTTAATTTGAAGCAGATAGCCGGTTATTTCTCACAAAATGCGAGTCTAATGAGACGTCCGCAACATCGCGTGCACAGCTACTGTAATCAGTTGTCTGAGCACCGATCCAAAGCTTTTTTCAAAATAAAAGGCGGGAAAGTGAAATCGCGTTTTTCTTCTAGAGTTGTCACATCTGTAATTTTTTTGAGTACACCGTTGGATTCGCAAAGAAAAACTATACAAGATACTGCTTTCACCTGAAACCCCATTTTTTACTGCCTCTATGCCTTTAAACACAGTTAAATCAATGAAAGTCAATTGCACATGTTTTCTTACATTGAAGATGCTATAAACAGTGAACAGTAAACAGTTGGACAAAAGGGGAAGAACTAGAAATATCGGAAAAAAAATTGAGTTATACTCCCAGCGAAAAAAAAACGTTCTTGAAGACCTTGCCTGCGAAAACGCCTCTGAATTTGAGATGGAATCTCACGGCAATTAATTAACTTGTCCTCACCAGGTGGTCAGTTAAACGCCCTTTTTCATGGTATTTCGAGTGGCAAAAGGAATTATATCATTTCAAAACTGATGAAAACCAATTGACAGTTCGGAAATCATCTCCGAGGAAGTTCAATGAAGAGAAGTGGAAAAAGGCGAGAAAGCAATTAGACACATTTTTCTACACATGGATTTCGTGTCGGGATGGCCGATCTGCGACTGATTGGATTGCCTTTTTATCAATCTTTTTTTTTTGTCTCCGCTTCTTGTTCGGGATGATGAACGGCTTCGGGAAAAACTTGTTCACTGTAGATCAAATGAGGCTTTTTCGGTCTTGTTGATTAGAAAGGGCCAGAAATATTGGCGCTCTCTCATTTATTTGTTACAGCTCACTGGAAAAGTTTTTTGAGCAAAGCATTACTGTGTCGATGGAGTACGTAGACATCTACTAGCACATTAAACAGATCATTCTACGACATTTTTTTAAGATTTTTTTGAATTTCATTTTTTTATAAATTTTTTTAAAAATTTAAATCATTTTTCATTTTGTGTTATAAAATCGGCGAAATTATAGTTTGCAGAGTGACTGCTTCCCAACTGTTTGTCAAGCAACTGCACACCTTTTGTTCAAGTTTGTCTTGATGCAAATTGCTTTTTTTGAAAAAAGTTCAAAGGTATGTTTCAAAATATGGTTCATTGCTCTAGATTTTTTCAGGCGCACAGAAATGCAACTCTTTACAACTCAACCTGCAAGAAAAGACGATAAGCCGCGTCGATTCTTATCTAAATCCGAAAAGTCTGCACCAACTTTCGCGTTCGTTCATTTTCCTTTCGAATTTCTCAGCACTTTTCCAAGTCAACACATTGTTATTCATTAATTTTCTAGTCAAGCACTTCTGACCTCAAGAAATATTTTGCAGCCATGCTCTTCTGGGTGCTGGCGTCGGTTTTTGGTTTGGCGTTATGCCAGGCTCCCGATCAAGTTAAACTATCCTTTACTGGTGTTTTAACAGAAATGGCAGTCACATGGAACACTTATAAAACTGGTATGAAATCATATATTTTTTTTTATAAACTGAAGAAATCGGCTGTTCAGTTTCACAAGACGTGACTTACGGTCCGACTGGAATCGCGACAACGACGGTCGCCAAGGGATCTGTTACGCCTTGGAACTTCGGAGGGATCGACAGGTTCACCCATCGGGCAGTCATGACCAACCTCCAGCCTGAAACTTCTTACAGTTATTCATTCTTATAGCTATCCACCTCACAAGACATATTTTACAGCCTACAAGATTGATCAACGTACATTTCGCTTCAAAACTTTACCAAAAGATTTGAAATCTTACAAGGTTTGTAAATTCATGTTTTTGGATTTGTCAAAGAACTTTTCATCCAATAATAATGGAATTAGTTTCCAAGGTTTGAATTCGTTTGAAGCTATTCGAGAATAAACTTAAAGAAAAAGAATTTCATCTCTTAAAAAAAAGCTGCTTTCAAGAAAAAAAGTTGAACAATGTATTAAACCGAAAAAAAATCTTCAAAAAAGGAAAGATTGGCTCAGAATAAAAAAGTTCAAAAAGTAGAAATTAGACTTGAAATCAAGAAAAATGAATAATTTATAGGTTTGCGTGTTCGGTGATTTGGGCTTCTTCCATGGTAACTCTACGGAGAGTATAATCAACAATGGACTCGCTGGAAAATTCGATTTCATCGTTCATGTTGGTTTGGCCTCATTATTGATTGGAAAAAGCATGAAATTTGAATCCCAGGAGATATCGCGTATGATCTTCACGCCGACAATGGAAGAGTCGGTGACGATTTCTTGAACGAGATGGAGCCCCTCATTTCCACAGTAAGTCTGAGCAAAGATTTCAAAAACGCAGATAACTCGGCTTAAACACAAATGGCGCATTTTTTTTTCTAATTTCCTGAGATTCAGAAGGCCCTAAAGCACCTTTGTACAAAGTTTCATAAAACCTCAACAACTTTTGCACTTCCAGTGTTATTTCTGAAAGTTAGCTCTAGAACTTTCAACGGCTTTCAAATTATGAGCCGAGGTATTGAAGGATAATAGTCCGACGAAATATATAATAATTTTTTTTCCGAGCTCGTTTCAAAATTTTTCTTGAAAAGCTTCTCGGATTCCTTTTTATAACGTTTATATAGGTATAACACTCAAAAATAAATATGAAAGGTACAGAAAGAACAAGTGGAATATTCAAGACAAATAAAATCTTAGTTTATGACATGAACCACACTTATTTTTACCGGATAGTATAGCTTCACAGATGCCTTACATGGTCATCGCTGGGAACCACGAAGACGACGGCTTCAACTTCACCAACTATCAGATGAGGTTCAGCACGCCGCCAAATGGATTCAACGATAATCAGTTCTACAGGTTCCTGTTTTCATTCAGTCTGAATGACTTCGAATTTTGTTGAGATGGAAAAAAAAAGATTTCAGTTCGTAGTGTATCTGAAGAGCCGTGCTAATTTTCTTGAAAGATTATAATAAAAAGAGCTTCGTGAGGCTCGGCTAAGTGATTTTTTGTGCATTACTTGGATTATTCAAGGCTTTCGCATTTTTAGACTCGCAGAAAAGATTGAACTGTGAATTTCAGTTTTGACCTTGGTCCTGTCCATTGGGTCGGAGTAAGCACAGAGAACTATGGATATTACTACGCCTATGGCGTTGATCCAGTTTACACTCAATACAATTGGCTCAAAGCGGATTTGACGGTAAGGGAGGAGATGATCGAAGATTTAAAAAAAATGATTTTCGAAGTGAGTTCGCATGAAATTTACACACGTTCTCCGAGATTGATGAGTTGCCAAAACAGTGAGGCACTAAAAATTCATGTTGCTTTTTTCGAGCTCATACTTTTATCACAACAACTAAATAAGCTTCTGAGACTTTTAGTTAAGGTTTTGACAGGCTCCGCCCCTTTTATGGATTGCTGTAAACACGAAAAAAATCTAACTTTTTTCTCCGTGGTCTAAATTGAATGAAACTTTTCCCAAACAAAAGTCAGTGGTAAAATAAACATTTTTTGTATACTAACTTTCTTTTGAACATCTTTTTCAAACCGAAAAAAAAGATTTTCATTGAAAATCGTGCATTTTTTTTCGTTTTTGATGTTTTTTGCGGGAAGGATCCTCCTACCCGTGGAATTTTATTTATTTGAAAACTGATAAGGGAGAAGGAAAGGATAAAATGAAAAGGCGGAAGACAGTTGAAAGAAACGAAATAATTGAAAAAAATAAAAATTTGTTTTCTATGGTCAAAAAAATACCGTAGCCTCCGCAAAGAGATTCTTTTTTTGTGGTAGAAAATGAGAATTTAAACACAGGCCGGGACTGGGATAAAAAAATCTTTTTCTTAATCATGATACTTCTTTGGCTCCCCTTTTTTTCTACGCTATTTTTTCTTTTTAACTTTTAATAATTCTCTTGAGAAAATGCTCTTGGTATAAGTGTCTCACCAAAAAAACGTTCATCAATTTTTGGAAAAATTTCTGCGATTTTTCAAAAAATATAAAAAGAAATCCTGTTAAATTCTGGCATCCACAATTTTTCGACTTGAAGGCTCTGAACCAAAGAAGATCTCAAGTTCCGTGGGTGGTCACCTTTCAGCACCGGCCGTTCTATTGCAGCAACACCAACTCGGCAGAGTGTCAATCTTTCGAAAATCGATTGGTTTTCATATCAGAATATTATTTGGAAGAAATATCCGGACTAGGTCCGGACTGGCTGGTTGGACATGAAGGGACTTGAGCCGCTATTCCTGCAGCAGTCGGTTGACGTCGGCTTCTGGGGCCATGAACACTCCTACGAGAGGTTTTATCCCGTCGCCGATCGACAGTACTGGAATGGGGTGAATTAGATCAAAAAACATTGAGATGACTCCCAATTTCAGAATGACGCCTACAACAACCCGAAAGCTCCTATATATATCATCACGGGATCGGCGGTTCTTTTAAATTTGAATGCTGAATCCAATTTATTTTTTCCAGGGATGCCACACTCCGGATGCAGAATTCACCGACAAACCTTGGCCGTGGAGCGCGGTCAGGTATGAAGATATTATATTTCTCAAAAGTTTGCGAAAAAACACTGTTGCCAAGTTTTTCTGATTTGAGAAAATATTATTTTAAAGTGAGAGTCAAAAAAAAAATTCGTTGCTCAATGGACAGAACGTATATTTATTCTCCTTTGATTCATTGATTTTTTCTCCGATATTTCTCTAATTTTTTTTTTGATTCTCAACTTTTTCTTCAGGAAAGCTATAAATTAGGTTGTGAACTTTTACCACGAAAACTTAGCCTTGATGTAAATTAGATTACAGTGAAACCTTATGTACAATTCTCTCGGCGTGGCATTAAAATGGATATATATTTTGAAGATTTCTTTTCGCCATTCCGGTAGTGAGTTGAATTCCATCATAACTATTTTTGCGGACAGTCACCTTCTTTTTCACAGAAACAACGACTACGGTTATTCGATCATGACTGTCGCCAACGGTACTCATCTCCGGATAGAACAGATTTCGATCGACAAAAAGGAAGCGACGGTAGACGACTTCTGGATCGTCAAAGATCTGCAACATCTTCACACCTCCGCTATGAGGTTTCCGAATTTTCGAACTAGTCGAAGGGGCAAATATTTGCAGAAACGCCTCGCCCGGGGTCAAGTTTCCGCCTTTGAAATGTCATTTCAAAGACGTTGCTTGCACCCGAAGTCTCAAACAAATTAATGAAGAGCTTTAAAGATGGGAAACTGTAAATGTTTAATAATGAAGTTGTCATTGAGAATCCTCTGAATTCATTGCAATTGATGTTATTTTCTGCAGCTTTCTTTCAGCTTTCGAACAAACTCTTTTTTTTTAAAAAGCTTTATTAGGAACTGGAAAAGAATTTCAACAAGCTATGAGAATCATAATACTTCTCGAATACTTCTTTTACTGTTTAACGAGGTCAGAAACACATGGAATTTTCTATTCATCATCAAGCATGGTTTCGTTTCGACTCGGAATTTCTTCGGGAGGAGGCGCCGGTGGGAGGTTGGTGATCGAGAAGGTGGCGCTTCTAGTGACTTCTTCGTGTTCATTCAAGTCCTGGAGCGCGAATATGCACCGGCAGCGGACTAAAACTTTAGTCACAAACATGGTTCTGCTCTTTTAAGACTTACTAACAACCAGCAGAGCAGTGAAGATTACAATGAACGGAAAAAATACGACCATAAAGGCCCATTTGTCCATGATGAAGAGAAGAGCTGAAGCTAGCCGGCCTTATTCCACAATTAAGAAGGGAGGAATGAGCTTAAGAAGAAAGTTTGGGATGATCAACGCCATGGTAACGATGTGTCACACCTACCGCAACCTTTTCCTTTTTTCCACTCGAATAACTTTTAATTTCCCGCTTCTTCTTCTTCTTGAGAGACTCCATCTTGAAAACAAGAAGATGAAGCTTTACCGAAACGCTTTCGCCCACAGATTTGATCGATAAGTCGAAAACTTATTCATCGTTCATGGGAAGTGGTTCATTTTCATTTACAGGGATGTGTTGAGGAAAAGTCGAAGAAAGACGACTTGGTACATTATGCTTCTGACCACGGCTCTTTTTTTTTCGAACAATATCATTTTCTGACTGGATCTAAGTATCAAAATTTTTTTGGACATCTCAAGTTGCTCCATCTCTCAAAAACGGATCAAGCATCTGAAATCTTGACGCGTAATAAACCGTGTTCAAAAATTAGTTTCCTCGACATTTTTTCAACAATATTTCGTTTTGTAACAGGTTCAACAACATATGATGCATTTGTTGGACCAAAAATGAACGTCTGTTTCTCATCGGCTTTTATGCGATATCGGATCGATACAGAATAGAAGAAAGGACCAACAGGTGTATAATGTTTCTAGCTGCGACTGCTTTTCTCCAATCTCTCGGTGTCTAGAGACCTGACGGAAAGCTGAAAATTCACTATAACGCCTTTTTTCTCTCTCAAGACTTACTAAAATGCAGCCCCATCAAAATGAAGAAGATGTAGTCATGTAGACGATTTGAGCAATCTTCACTCGGTCCGTGATGAAGATGAGACGGAGGTCTGCAGAGAAAATAAAGCACAAGTAGTATTGTGACGTTCCACAGATTCCTGTCTACGGTGGTTCAGTGGTTTTTTGGGCTAGCGCACTTGATGCAGCGAGTGTGTGGCGTCCCACAGACTCTTGATTTCGGTTTGGTGGTTCAGGAAGCGCTTTTCCCGCTAGCTCATGGTTTTGGTGCTACAAGTAAGAAGGATGGTACAGTTTATAAGAGTACGAGTGCAGCAAGATAGGGCACAAAGGGTTAAGAATTGAAGGATGTTGTTTGAAGGGAGTAAGGGTCAGGAGGTGCCGGAAAGAGCTCTCCCGACGATAGGTCGGGTCAGCGGCAAGGTGCACAACTGTCCTGGTCGGCGATAGTTCGATCTCCTAAATCCATTTTCTAGCATTTGTCCATCCTTCGGACGGCTGTTGTTATACGGCCAACTATTCCGATGCTATTGGAGTTTCGATCTCGTGGAGTCCGCGATAAATTTCTCGGTAAAACTACAGCAATTTAAAATTAATAATGGTCAAAAAGCGCTCAAAAATAGGGTCTGACATTTAGTCCCTAAAGTTTAAGTTGTATCTATAAGGGTCGTTCAATTTCATTCGAAAAGGTAATTTTTTTAATTTTTTTTTAATAAATGGAAGTATTTCTTCACCTTCAGTTCATAAATATTATCGACTAGCAAATCCCCTATAGGGGCCACCAACTAAACCCTATACGGACTACTCTGGAGCTCCTAAGTTAAACCGTTTTGAAGTTTCTCAACTTCTCACCTTATAACCTCTCTTTGTACGTCGTTGTATTAACGACATTATTTCTCTTCATAAAATAATTTGCGGCTCTGACCATTTTCTCAATCGCAATGACTTCTTCACTATTTCTCCTTTACAGAGGAATCCACTTCGACTTCGCACTTCCGGTCAGTTCTCTAAAGATTTTTTTTCCAAAACTATTCCATTATGGAATAAACATACCTCTAGAATAAATTTTAACGTCTCTACGGATGCGCTACGGGTTAAACTTAATGATCTCCCTAACTCTGCCTTTTTCGAATCCATTCCTTCCCGTTTGCTCTGACTTCCTTTCTATCCCCGGGTCATAGTCTACTCGTTAGGGTGGACTAATTCCCGTTTTAGTTATTCTGCTGCTTTCGTATTCTGAACTATTTTATTTATTATTTTTCTAACAGTATGCAGTGAATAAACCTATTATTATTATAAGTTTAGAAATTCGAGGCAAACCAAGCTTTTTTTACACAATCTTATTTTTTTCCGTTCATAAAGTTGGAACGAATCTTTTTGCTTTTTTAAATTTAGAACATTTTTTTTTCTTCAACCTTGTCAGATCCAGAGATTTTACTTCAATTTTCGAGATGCAAGTTTTTTGATCGAAGCTTTTTAACATTTTATTTTGTCGTGCAAAGAAAATCGAACAAATGATTATATTTTTATGTAACAAGAACATATACAACTGTTTCATCATCAACTTCTTCACACTATGTTGATTTCGGGACGCATCGAAGTCATCTTGAGCGAGTGTACGAGGTTTCTGGCATTTTCTCTTTCTTCTCTACAGCGTTTACAGCACCAATAAAAGCCTGAAAAAAACCCTCAAGGCTTGATCTCCCTTTTCAAACCCACAAGATAAAGTCACAGCGATGAGTGACATAATGGAGAAAAATATGATGAAATGGAGCACGAGCAGGTTCATGATCAAATGAGAGCTTCAAGAAGATATGAATTTGATAATCGATACCATGGTAACATAAGGAGTCTACAGCAATTTTTCCTTTTTTCCACTCGAATGACTTCGTTTTTCTTCTCCTTGAATGGTTCCATCAAAAACAAATCCACATCTTGTCTCCAGGTTTAATTAATTCTCGGTGCTGAAGAATTTTGCAGGGTGATGAGTAACGTTCTCAAAGATCAAAATCGATCTCCGTGCAAAAATTCTTTCTTATTCTTTCAATAAGAATCATAACTGATACTGGAGAGGAGTTACTTGAAAATAGTTTCAGCATTGGAGTAGTTTCATGTGCGACCGACTTTTTCGGGTTGCTGAATGCTCAAAAAAAAAACTGAAGTTTGTCTCTGGCGTCTCAGATTAAAGTTGGGAAGCTTCTACTTTCGGTTTTCGAAGGCGTCTGGAACTTCAGACCGGAAGCTGCCTTCCACATACCTTCCCAACAACCAGAAGCCTGCTAGAAGACTTCTGGCAGGAATTTTTGTTTTTTACCTTCTAAAGACCTTCCAACTACCTTCCGAACACTTTCCCAATGCCTTCTAAAAACCTTCTCCTTCCAACTTGCTGGTTTCCTTCCTAACACTTTCCCAGGATCCGCCTTAGATAGAAGTTTCTAATGCCTTTCGTGGAACGTCAAAATCAAAGTTTCCGATTCTCAAAGACTGATAGAAAAAAAATGGAGCATGCTTTCTGTTATATACACCTAATTTCAAGCTTCTGCAGATGCGAAAGATTTATTAACAGTGGTGGGATTACGAATATAAATTTTCTAATAGCGTCCTTGCAGACCTTTATTTGAGCTCATGGAGTACACTTTTTTCCTTTTCAAGAAAATTTTCAAATTCTAAAGTGTGTGGTAGCAAAGTATTATTCGTTTCATTGTTGACACTAGCAGAGTCCGACTTCTCAAATGAAGACAGGCTTCGATTTTTTCAACAATGTGATAGACGCGTTGGTTAAAACAATCGTTTCAGGCAATTTCAAAAAATCAATTGCTCCCTAATGTTGCGACAAAACGAAAAAATTTATTGAAACAACACTTTAAAATATGTTTGGAATGCAAAGTAATTCGAAAAACCAAATATTTGTGTATTTATTGGACGACAACTTGAGCTCCTGCTTCCCTCTCGGAGTACGGTGGAGGCGGCTCGAACGATCGTTTTATTTCTCTGCTTCTGGCCAAGGCTCTATCCATATGTTCTCTCTTAATATCATTACACCGATCAACTGAAATTGGAAAAAAAAGCATTAAAATTGTTTTCTACTTATTCAGACTCACTCAAGATTATCCTGGAAATGATAAGAGTTATGATTATCAGAATGAGGATCGCAACGCCGATCCCGGCTATAGGGTATATGATTTCGCTGAGAGACGATTCCATGATTTGAGAGCGAGCCTGAGCTTCGGAAGACGAAAGTAGGCAATAATCAAAGCCATGGTAACGATGTCTCACCTGGAAGCCCCGCCTCTTCACGCCTCCAACTTTGATGATTTCGGAATAAAGTTTTTGGTTGCAAAACGGTTTTGAGGCGTTTTACTAGATAAAGTTTGAACTGGAATAATTTTTCCTTTAAAATATACTCGATCGAAATAAATCGTCGAATAATGTTCAAATTAATTTATTTTCACAAGATTTCTCGTGAAACAAACGGACGAAGTTTACAAAACCATGGGGTTCAGATGCGCGACACTTAAATTTTCATACATTAACAAAGTCTTGATTTTTTTAACTGGACAGAAAAGTTATATTGATGAGAAAATGAATATCGATGCTTGATGGATTTTATAAGACATATGGGCAACAAAATACGCTGTTTGAGATAAGTGTAAGCTGAAGTGCGAAAGTTTCATGCTGAAATAAGGTTCTTACTTTTACTGAGTCACAAGTAAAGATTTGAAAATCCTTATTCAAGAACAAGAAAAACTTTAGCGAGTTCGGAGAAAGTGATAGGAAGGTTATCGGAAAGAGGTTGGAAGGTAAATGGAAGCTATAAGGTCTTGGAAAGGTCATTGGAGGATTTTCAGAAGGTTGTTTGAAAGTGCTTGGAAGGTGAAAAACGAAAGTAGAATGTTTCGCCCGGTAAGTAAAAGGAAAAGCTGAACGGAAGGTGTTGGACCAGTTGCTGGAAAGCTTCCGAGTGCCGTCCAAGGAACCCAAAGCAGGAGCTTCCGAACATCTTCCCGAGATTCACCTGAGAATGCAGATTTGAAAACATTTATTGGGTTACTTTTCAACATTTCTCTTGTAGCAAAGAGTAAGTTGAACAACCAATGATAAATTCATTGGGCAACAATTTGATCTTTTGCGTCTTTTTCGGGTTCGAAAACACACGGAGGCAGGACGACCGGAACCTTGAGTCCCCTGTTTCTGGCCGCGGCTGTTTCTCTCGCGGCCCTCTCGTTTCGTCGTTTCATTATTACTTAAACCATCATTGGAATTCACGATCGCCTTGTTCAGACTCACGAAGGCAAGCTGCAATTAGGACGAGGACGTTGACGACGACCAAAATTGTCAGGAGTTGATCCAAGTGAGCCAGAAGCCATTCCATGATAAAAAGAGACGTCGAGTTTCGGAAGAAGAAAGTGTGCGATGGTCAACGCCATGGTAACGATGTCTCACCTACCGCAACCTTTTCCTTTTTTCCACTCGAATAACTTTTAATTTCCCGCTTCTTCTTCTTCTTGAGCGGTTCCATCTCTTGAAAACATCTCGGTACGAAAAATTTATCGGGACAACGATGTACACACGATATTATTATACACGTTTGCTTTTTCAAAATAAATAAAAGCTAGTGGAATGAAAATTTGGAATAGAAATTTGAAAAGTTAGCCGCGGAGACAGTGAGATCCGCCGCAGAAACGTCCACTGCGTTGGACCATCGCGTCGATCAAATTGTTGACGAAATCGAAGCCGGTCTTGAGTTGGGAAGTCGCGGATCCGGTCGTGTCAGCGATCACCTGGAGAGCATTTTGTTATCAAGAATCTTTTTCTTTAATTTCCAAATTTGAGAAATCTTTAGTTTCTTAGTATCGTTCACAAGATCCTGGTTGGATATTCCGAAAGTAAACAAAATCCATTTTCTCAGGATAATTCCATTTTGATCTCACCTTGCGGCATCCAACGTTGAGAAGAGCCTCCATGGCAAGGTTCTGACCGGCTGGCTTGTTACGGATGCAGGTAGAAAGAGCCGAGTCGATGACAGTAACCCAGTCATTGACTGGAGTCACCCTGAACATCATACTTCCTAGCCATTCTTTTTATCGGAACTCACATCTGCTTCTTGATCTGCGAGACGCAAATATCGACCTTGTTGGCAGAACCGATGGCGACGCCTCGGTTGCCGGAAAGCAGCTGAAAAGGGCTCTGTTTTTGGAAGAATCTCGAGGTGGACGTTACGTCTTGGAAGACGTTGGAGATAGAGGCGATGCGGTGCTTGAGGTCGTCGCGAGCCTCGGTTATGCATTCGCAGGTCGCCTGGCGAGTCGCGGGAATCGTCTGAGCACAGGATCCGACGGCGAGGCGGGAGTCGCAGTTGGCCAGCACTGAAATTGGAGTTGGAGCATTGTAGTTTTGAAAAAAAAGAAGTGATAAGTACTTTCTGAGTTTTGCACAATTTCCTGAAAATCTGTGGCCAATATAAAAAATTTTAATCGGGTTATTCTTGCAATATTTTTTTCACTAAAAACAAGTTCACTTCAGAAAAAAACGATTGCCTCGCTCGACAAAAACGCTTTCAATTTTGAAATTTTATATGAAAATCGTTCTAGATTATATTTTCGAATACTTTTCAAAATGCGTTTTTTGAAAACGAACCCTTGCAGTGGCCATCGAGATATCCGACAAACGGGTTGGAAAGACAGTTTCTGGTGGTAGAAGCTCTGGCCGGCTTGCGCTCACCGCAGAAAGAGAGGCGCGATTGGATGAGAATGTGGTCCGAGATCGAGGAGATGCTTCAAAAGAACCTCATAATACTCATATCTTCGATAAAAGCCTTACACAGAGTCCTTGAACTGGAAGGATCCTTCCTCGAGGTCAGGAATTTCTGGGACACCGGCAAAGTTCGGAATCTTCTTCTGGAGGCAGTAAGAAGCCTCACGAGAAATGGCTGAAGAAAGAAAGATTTTGTGAGAAAGGAAAATTTTCTATTTACCTTTGCTGATCTCAGTTCGTATGCACTTCTGGTCTTCGGCTGGAGTGGACTTGATCGCCTTGATGGCTCCAGAAGCGAACTGAACGATATTCATCAAGATTTCAAGGACTTTTTGGTAAAACGGACGGTTCTGCAGATGCTGCAGTCTCTGAGAGGTCCGTGACGATCCCAGGCGACCTGGTTGAGGTCGCTAACCGAAAGAACGCAACGATCTTTGCTGTTTCCTTCTTCGATCGAGCTGGCAAAGCAGGTCGCGGCGGCTTTCCTGGAAATTTTGTTTGAAATAGTCTTGCGAAAGTCGTTTTAAGTCGGGAGCACGCTTCGCGTTTTTATCATAAGTGTGTCTTTTTCTGCTTCTAATAGTCTTAAAGAACATCAGAAGTTCCAGAAATGAATAATCTTTCGCTCTCTTCTCAAATTCTCATCTTTTGCAAGAACTTGACGCAACTTTGTCGAATTTGGCTACAACGGGCTACGAAAAAGGTTGGTCATTCAGGTTTTCGAGAACATTACAACAATGTTTGTTGTTCTTTGAGACTACATTGTTTCCAGGAAGGTTTTTGGTCGGTTTTTAACCATGGCGGTCTTGAAAAAGATGGAAAAGTTGGTTCCGAAGCTCCGCAAGTAACTACTAAAGAGGAGAGGTAAATTTCCTAAAATTCTCGGGGCGATAAACAGTTTTTTATTGTTAGTAAACGAACATTTCTTTAAAGTAATCGAACACATCGCTTCAAATTTCTATTTATTTTTTTGTAACGATCACTTCTTGAGAAAAAAAAAAGTTACTTACTTGGAATGTTCCCGGATTTCGTCCTCGTAAGTGCCGTAGTCGCGGTCCAAACCTTCCTTGATACATTGAAGGAAGTTTCCGAAGGCCTGGCGAGTGCCCTGGGGCGAGGTACAATCCTGAGCCGAGGCGAGCGTCTGTAACTTCAAATTTGAATCTTTCAAAAAAAAAAGATACCGCCAGGAGCGCAACTGAAGCCGTTACGAGGAGCCGCATTCTGAAAATGATTTTTTCGTTCAACTGAAGGCCACACAAACGGAAAACGAAAATTGCAAATCAAGCTTGAAATGTTACAAGATTCTTATGAGCCTGATTCAGCGTTCAGTTTTTACAATAGATAAAAGTTCTTGGGAAAAAGCCTTTTACAGTAATCTTTTTTCTATTTGTCAATTTTATACAAGAGAAAAAAGTTTCCAAATTTGAAGTGCTCTTCTGAATTTGCAACTGGTCTTTGTTAGATACGACCAAAGAGAAACGATATTCCGGACCGAGCGCCGACTAAGAAAACAGAAGGGATAAGGTGTTTTCTCGAGGAACAGAAGCAAGGCTTTGATAAGATGGCGTCATCGACGGTCGGAGGAGCGGACTGAAAGATGGGGGGAGGCCGACGGACGGGGGGGCGGAGCGCGTCGCGGAGGCCGACGACACCCAAAAAAACAGGGTCGTATATCTCCGTAACAGTTTTTGGTTCTGCCTTCGAAATCTGAGACAATGTGCAGGAACGGCTTATGATTTACGAGTTCCTCTGGGGCTGTGATGACGATTTTATTGAATCGGAATGCCGTGATCGCATTTATGATGGTTTAAAGCGTCGCGGTCGCGATGCGGATGGGATCAGTTCAGAGACATTTTCGAACTGAATCTGATTCATGCTCTTCTATGTCTTGACACATCGAGTCATTTCAAATATTAGTAAGTTCAAAATCATAAATGGTTTTATCGACCTAACTTCAAACTCTAATCAAACTTTCTTTCGAAACATTCAAAAATTGAAAATGTCTAAAATTAGCCGTATTACAATTGGCAACTGAGATGAGTGATCTACTCCCTACAAAGAAAGATTTATTTATTCTGAAATAGGGAGGCTAGATCCTGGGCGAACATAATAAAGATCAAATCTATTCTTTTATGGTTAATTATGGCTCGACCTTCGACCTTTGAGATACGCTCTACCACGTCTTGGAACCAGAAATCAGCTTTTTTTCTAGATAACTAAGAAAAGCTGAATTTGAGGATACAGAACTTCGTTTTGTTAAGATCTACATAGCAGAACTGAAAAAACAAGGGTTCAATTAGCTGAAAAATTGGATTATAGAAATACGTGTCATTTTTCAAAAGTTGAAACTCAAAAAAATCGCGGATGAAGAATATTGATGAGAAAATTGATTCAAAAATTAAAAAGGCTATAATTTCCGATCTTGCAGCCGAATATAGTTAAAAAACCAAGAACAGACCATTTTGAAACAGAAACAGACTAACTGAAGCTTTTCCGTTTAGAAAAAAATTTCAAAGCTTCATCTCTCATCTTCTCTCTTTATACCGTGTCCAAAAACGAGATCTAAGGATAGTGACGATGATATTCGCCGTACAATGACGAATTAGAAACAGCCGAATAATCAGAAATCTGCCGGGGGAAATTCAACAAAGTAGACTCTCATAAGTAGGGCCATTATTGGAAGCCTGAAAAAAGCGGCGATAAGTGGCTGAACGGCCAGAAATGATTGGTGACACCTTCCAACCGTGTCATTTCAACCGTTTCGGGCAGCGAAATGGGTCATCCCTTGGGATCGTCCTCTGATTATCGCCTTTTGTGGAAGCATCCGACTGGATCCGTTGAAATAATTGTTGTTCAAGCGAAAGGAAATATTCGTCAGAGGCTTTGGATGGGATGAAAGCTTCGCAAAACTACATGGTCTGTTAAAAATCATTGATAGAAGGCGCTAGAGTTTGAAAGACTGGGGACATTTAAGAAAACGTCTCTTCGCTTCGGGACCTTAGGGACATTTTCTCATTATATCCATTGAGTCTCGTTTTAGGACACGATTTTTACGTGATTTCAGAAAAAATTTTAACTCATCTTCTAAAAAAAAACTAGTCTTCTGGAAAGAAAACCAGAAGGCGTTGACATTTTTCGCAAATTGTGACTAAGGTAGCAGAAACTGTTCACTCTTGACTTTTCACTTGATTCACATCTAACTCAATAAAAAAATCAATAAAAAAAATTTGAAGTTCGAAAACATCCACTGGCTGTTTTTCAAAGCTGAAACTAAGATTTATCAACTTTCCTTTCATATCAAACTTTTCTTTTCTGATGTGCGTGTATTTTTTTTTATTTTTTTAAAGAAACAGAAACCAACATAAATTACAGATAACGAAGACAAAGATCGGTTCAAACGTTCAGCGTGGAGTTGAACGAGAAGATGGGAGCGTCCAGAGACTGGGAGAAGCAGAGGCCAGTTTCGCAGGCCTCATGCGCTCCTTGGACTTCCACGAAAACCACCAGGTTGGGACCGTACTTCAGGAACTCGGCGGGAACGTAGAGGGTCATCTGAAGGCATTTTTGATTGGAAGAAAAGGGGAGAAGCCGAACCTGAGGCCCTTCGGTGGCCCAGTACCGGCCGATGTTGTGACTGTTGACGATGACGACGCCCTTTCCCCATCCGCGGGTGTCGATCCATGTGTCCCTGGGCTTCCCGCTCACGACCAGCTCTCCGACGAAAGTTCCTATTCGAGTTTTGAGATCGCCCTAAAAGCGTTCCTTTCCAAAGAATTTCTCCGTGTTAATAGGAGGAGTTTTCGTTGACCTTCAAAGCTCAACCTAGATCTTTCGGAAAAGAAACGTAAGTTCTGGAGAACACGTGAAGCAATCATATTTGCTCGCGCAAGTCGTTTTGTGTCGAGCGCTTCCCTTTTTTTTGAACTCTCAGTGATGCCACTATACAAGCGAGCACAGATTTTCCAACCAGGAGTTATTACATAAAATAATGATCCAATCACCGGCGGGTTCGGAGAAGGATCTCGAAGAACTTGGAAATATTTGTAGAAGTTTTGAGGCGCCAAATCGACGCGGCACTGAGTCCAGTCACGTTTGATCTGACCGTCGATGAACACTTCCGACAGGATTCCCTAAAAACTTGTGAACTTTAACTTTTTGAGGAAAAACTGACTTTGTGATCATTAATCGTTTCGTAGGTCTGTCGTCCTTGGTTCTCCACCATAATGCTCAGAGCACTCATTCCGGGACGACAGCCCGTCAAAGTGATATTCGTCGAGTTCTTCTCGTAGTAATGGCGATAAAGTGTTCCCTAATCTTTGGAGTTATTTCAAGAGAAAATGAGAAGGCGTACCACATATTCTTCCTCGACGAAGACGTAGGCAAAGTCGGCAAACTTGGGAATGAACAACTCGCCGCATTTTTCGATTTTCTGATGAGCTTTTGTAAATCTTCTTTCCCTACTTTACTCGCCACAGCTTGAAATGGTCTGTCTTGTTTGCTCTTTTTTTTTTGAAGCCATGCAGGAGTGAGGAGATTAGCCCAGACCGGTCAGACAGTTTCAAGTAGTTGCTCAAAATCACCGTTCGATAGATGACGTAGCCAAGCGGTTGGTTAATCTCTTCATGGGTCAAGGGGATCTTCGAAGAGACGCAAGAGGGATCGGCAAAGCCAGCTACTCCTTTCGCTTTCTTCAGCTCAAACCTACCGTACTTTGCTTTCCTGAATACGGTAACAGAGGTCAATGTCCAAAAAATGAAAGCTACGGAGTATTTTCAGGAACATCGAGTGGTTTGTTAGGCCAGTCAGGCAGAGACTTGATCCATTTTCGGATCTCCAAGTACTTGGGAGTGACGTCACCGGCCTCGCTGATTGGAGCGCCGTAGTCGTATGACGTCAAGCACTGTTAATAATCTAACGGAGTATTTTGTATGGTGGCAAGGTTACCGGTGCCTGGACTTCAGCTCCGTTCCAAAATCCAAAGTTGGTTCCGCCGTGAATCATATAAAAGTTGATATTCGCTCCGATGTCATACATGTCTGAACTATTGAATACGATTTTCTAACATAGTTTTCTGTACATTGTGCATTGAAGACGATTTCCTTGGCAGTTGGTAGAGATTCGCTCTTGGCTCCCCACAACAAAAGCCATCCCGGATAGAACTCCGAGTTCACAAGTGGCGCTGTGAATTTTCTTTTTTTCAAATAAAAGAGGCGGGAAAACCATAAGGAGCGTACTTCCGCTGCACCTCAAAGTACTTGTCGATGTTGGAGTTGTTGGAGGTCGTTCCGAAGTCAACCGTCGGCAGAACCCCGGGAACTGCGCCACACTTGAGATAGTCTTCGGCGCTTCCGTCCGCTGCAGTTTTTTTTTCTCCTATCTGTCTAAACTTAGACTGAGAAACGTACAATGTCATAGCACCAAAATGGAAGAAGGTGTTTCTCGATTACAATAGACCGTTTTGATTATAATTAAATATATTATTTGGACTTCTAAACAATGAGATAGTGGTTTCGGAACGTTGGGATTTTTTTGAATGAGTCCAAATTTTTTTCTTGATTTTAATAAAATTTAAAAAGTTTGCAACTAACTTGTATAAAGAACGACGTCATCGCCTACCCGCTCCTTCACAAAATCTCTCAGCCAAGTTGTGTAGCTTCTAAGAAATTGAAAATTGTTTTTGGACTTATTTTTTTCTACCCATTTACGGGTTTCCTTTCAAATTTTATCTGAAAAACCCAACACCAATTCCTCGAGAGTGACAACATCTGAAAAATAATCGTACCGATCGCAAGCGTCGTAGCTGCCGTACTCGTTCTCGATCTGCAGCATCAGAATCGGGCCGCCATTTTTCCTCAGGGCCGGCTTGACTCTTTGGAGCAAGGCTTCGAACCAGTTGGCGACCGATTGTTTGAATCTTACAGCAATTATAGATAAGTTATCATAATGAAGTTACATTTGATCGCTGCTCCTTTGTTTTTGAACTCCTTTTCTCAACAACCAGTACGGAAGGCCGCCGTTTTCCCATTCGCCACAAATGTAAGGACCTAGGAAAAAAAAGAGATGAAAGGTCATAAAGTTGTGTTTTTAGTTGAAATTCAGAAGTGCAACATTTTCCAGCTAGAACTCCTTACCAAGCCTCAAAAGTGTCCAGAGGCCATTCTGCCGAGCCAAATCGACAAAATGCAGAAAGTCGAGCTCGCCAGCTCGACCTTTGAAGTCGAATCTGACAAAGATTCACAACATATCGATCTAACTTTTTTCTGATTGCTCTCACTTCCCCTCCTGGAACTCGTGAAGGTTCCACGGGATGTAGAACTGGATGGCGTTGAAGCCCAGAGCTCGCACTTTTTTCAGTCTGTGCGAAAATTAGAATCTTCAAAAAAAGATGGATTTTGAAGTCGTAAGAATTTTTTAAAAAAATGAGAGGGTAAAAAAAAGTTTTTAATCGAAATATAGCCGATTCACGGCCGTAAAGAGGCGTGGCCTGACATCGCTCTCCATCCGACAGATACTGTCTCTTTTTTTTTCGTGTCAGGACCCTTTTTTCCGATGGCTCAGGCCAGCCGTGGATCAGCTGTAAGTATGTTCACTACCAGTTCCAATTTTAATTATGATTACGATCGAAAAATCTTCCAAAGGCTGTTTTAAAACATAAACTGGAATAATTGTTAAAGAAATGCCGTAAAACTTTACAAATTTTCTTTCCGTCGTCTCAAATTACAGGTATTAGAACTTACTCTACCTGTCATTCCACATAGTCAGAGGGATTCGGAAGTAGTGAATCGATCCGGAAATGTAGCGGAAAGGCTTTCCGTCGAGCAAAAATTGTCTATTTTCTGAGTCGATTCGGAAAGACGGTCCTTCATTGTGAGGGTTTCTAAAAAAGTTGGATCTTGATTGAAACAAAGGAAATTCAGTTTCTACCCCATGTTCCAGCCGAAACCCACGACTAATAATGAGAATAGAGCCATCAAAAGAAGTGGTCGCTCCATTTCTGCCCAAAATAGGATTAATAAGAGAAATATAGTCTGTTAAAAGGGTTTTTCTTGCTCTTTTGAACGGACAATGAAAAAATAGAAAAAAAATTCTAAAAGACCCGAAAACAGCCAAGTTGATTTCTGAAGTCAGAAGTTGATTCCAAAATGAAAAAAATGATTTGTCATTTTTAGTCATTGAAAAATGTGGCAAAACGTGAAAACTATCAAAAGTTAAACGATATATAAATGGAACGCTTGTACTATTTATCATTAGATAAGGCTATTTCTGATAACGGAGAGGTCACAACGATTGGAGATCATCGGGATAGAAAAATTAATTAGAAGGAATTTATGAAACATATCTAAAAATTGAGCCGAACCTGAAAAGATAGGTTTAAGAAAATCCAAATTTACACCTACGTAGATTCGCCTTCAATTATATTCAATTAATGCGTTATCACAGCAGTGGATGATAAATTCCAGCTTCAAATTTTGTCAAAAAGAGGAAAATTAGAAATCGAACTCCGCTTGATCCAATTTCTGAACAATATTGACTCTTGGGATCGTTCGCATCAATTTTCCTACAACGAAAACTTGAATAAACACAAATATTACTCAAAAAAAAACTACGGAATCACAACTGAAATCATCCAAAGCCAAGTTTTTCAGTGAAATTCGCTTCGTGTTTCATTGTTTGTTTCTTTTTTTGCTCTAAAAGCGTTCGGTTCAGATTTCTATAAACATTAAACGTCCGACAAAATGCCAATGGTTTTATAACACGGATAAAGAAGCTACAGTCTTTGGATCGATGTGATACAATAAAAGACAAAGAATTTAATTATTAACAGTCTTTCAATCTGAACAAGTTGTAACGCTGTTGAACCATTTGCATAATTTCCAGCACCAAAAACAATCAGATACTTTTTTGAGAACAAAATGGGAAAAAAAAGTAAAGAAAAGCCTTGAAACAGAAAGAGAGAATATAGATAGATAGACAAAGGGGAGAGTACGTTAATAAATTAATGATCTGGAGATCAATAAGAGCGGAATCCGAAGTTGTTCATTCCGTTATTTCCAAACTGCTGCTGCGGACGGCCAAGTCCGAGACTGGAAGCAGTCAAATTGTTGTTATTTTGAGGCTGAGATTGCTGCTGTTGATTTCCTGATGTGACCGAGTTCGCAGCTGAAATGAGACTATGTCATGAAAATATAGAAACAATTTTTTTCGACAGTCCATAGCAATTTTTTTTTTTTGGAATTATGAAAAAAGGGTTCGGAAAACGTAGAGAACTTTTTAATGATTTTTTGATGTTAACCTTTCCGATACGTTCAATTTTTCTTCTAATTTCTTCAAAATGTCAAGTACTACTTTAAAAAAAATTTTCTTCGTGGGGATAGACTCTCTCAAAGTGTTATTTATTTTTTTAATATATCATTCAGCGGGAAAGGTTTTTGTTGTGAAAAACGTTTTCAATCAAATATTTTTTTACCGTTAGAATTCTGCATAGCAAGAGCGTCGTGTATCAGGTTCATGATTCTGTTCTGTAGATTGTCGACAATCGCCTGATCTCTGAGGCCCTCCATCTTGCGCCAAACCATTTTACCTGAAGAAAAAACATGAATGAAGACAATTAAGTGAAATCAAACCAAAAAGTTCGTGGATGCTGCTGTTCTTGCCGAACCCGGGGACTTCCGCGGGCATCGACGAACCGTTACTCTGGTCTTGAGACGGTTGCTGTTGCTGTGTCTGTGGCTGCTGCTGTTGCTGCGGTTGACTTTGCTGGTCACGGCTCTGCGAAGAGAATAAATTTAAATAAAAACTAGATCTGAAAACTCACAAAGTTCACGTTTTCTCCAACATTTGCTTGTCCTACAGTATTCGCAGAAGGTCCGCCGAATCCTAAAATTGAGGAGTGAAATTTTTTTTTAGCTTAGTTGAAGCAGGAATGAATGAATGAGAATGAACCAGGAAAAAGAAGAGAAATCGAGAGTGTGGTTTTTTTATTCTAAATATGCACCACAGAAAAGCAGAAAAGCGTTACGGCGCCTACACGCTTTGAAAATACGTGTATATGAAACAAAAACTTGACACCAAAATATATTTCTTTTCTTCTCTTTTAAATGCGCCATACCAATATCACCATATCAAGAGAAAAAACGCAAAAATTGACAGAATCAGAAATGTTTTATCAACATTTTTTCATTGAATTCTGGGCCCAAAAAGAAACTCAAACGCTTTGATTAAGAGCAAGAAGAATGTTGCGCGCAAAAATTTGAGGTAAAGTGAGCTCTTTGCTACACTAACCATCGCTTTTTGTTTTGAAACGATTATTACGTAAATTGCAGCCGTGAATGTGATGGAAAAATGGAATGAAAGGAAAGATTGCGAGATCAAAATCAAAAAAAAAAAAAAATGAAACTTCGAACTTATTGTTCGCAACTACTAGAACTTTCCACTTGGGAAAGAAAATAACTAGACCTGAAGACTGCTGTCCCATCCTATTGTCGGCCATCTGGAAGTTGCAAAAGTTGGGCTTTCATTCGCAGCACTTGTCGCGGTAGGGCACAAAAAGGCTACGCGTATGCGTTTTTTTTTTCAAGAGAAATGCATTACCAGATGCATGATATTCATCAATAAATTTTGAACTACACCGGTTAAGAAATAGTTCTTTTCATAAACTGTAACAACGTCATCCGAAAAAAATCTCAAAATGAAGTTAAAATAATACAGCAGTACTGAAAACGAATGTTTATTAAAATCTCAGCTTCTTCAAAACTCCAAAAAGGTTCCTAGAACCATGTGGAAACATTTTTCAACAGTTCAGCATCTGATTAAATGAATTTGTATCAGAAGCCTTTTCAAAAATAATTAGCAGCTTTTATGCTACTGCAAAACGAACGTCGAGACGTAGGTAGTTCTGGAAGAAATATGATTATTCCATCATGGAAATTTTTTTTCAATCACGAAAAAAAACGGTTTCTTTTTTGTCAATAATGATAACCGCATAAAACGCAAATAGACTATTGATTAGTTTCACATCTTTGTTGAGATGTTTTCAAAAGAAAAATGTCGAGACGTGGATTGTTCTGGAAGAAAAATGATTATAATCCAAATACTGGATTTTTAACCCGCAAGTGAAACAAAAAAAAACGATGGGGTTCGCATATGAACTCCCGCCGAACACACCGTTCATATTTATTTCAAATCATATTCTCAAATTTTTCCTCACTGAGAAGGCGGGTGGTCTTTTTTTCATTTGTACTTTTTTTATGCCAAAATATATTCTTCATGATTTTTTTCAAGGCATTTCTTTTTTTCAAATCTGAACTTTCAAACACCTGGCGTACTATTTTTTTCAAAAAAAGAAAAAAATAAAAAAAAGGTACGACCAACTTTTGAAGTTGATAAATTCAATTATTCCCAAAAATCTTTTTTTAGATAAAAATAATTCAATACCCTCTGATCTGATAATTTAGATCGATGATGAGTTCAAAAAAGTTTGAGATAATAAAACTCAATAAATGAATCCCAATCTACTTCTGACAATCTTCTCATCGTGAACTAACGAGAAAAACGGATTTCAACGAAAAATCTGCAAGTATCGAAGAGCAGCCATCAACAAGTTGAAGAAACTAACCGGTCCGCCATTCATTCGTCCTCCAGGTCCTTGTCGATTTGGACCCATAGGACCTGCCATTGGATTCATCATGTTGCCCATTGGTCCGTTCATCGGTCCACCCATTGGTCCACCCATCGGTCCATTCATCGGTCCACCCATCGGCCCATTCATCGGTCCACCCATTGGTCCACCCATCGGTCCATTCATAGGTCCGCCTGGACCCATCGGACCTCCAGGACCACCGCCATAATATCCAAACGGAGGAATTCCGCCCATTGGTCCGTTGTTGAATGGCCGCTGTAATTTTTATTTACTTAATCAAATAAGATTTTCGTAGAGTAATTAGCATACTTTAGTCATAAAATTTAAAAAAAAAAAAACTCACATTCGGTCCGCCACGCTGATTCGGTCCATTCCTGTCGAACTTTCCTCCCCTTTGATTATTCATGCCGCTTTTTCCACCACGCTGTGCCTTAGACTTGTCGGAGGCAACTTTTTTGATAGGCTAAAAAAATAAAACTACATTTAAAAAAGTTATGAGCGCTTCAAACCTTTCCATCAGGACCAATCGCAGTTCCGGAAGCTCCCATGATTAATTTTGGTGCTAAAAACAAAAGATTATTTATCCAGTAACGATCATAGCAAAACAAGATATTCTTCAAGCACAATAAAAAGGCAAGCTAATAATATTTGTATTAGATTAAAAAAAATTAATAAATTGGGTAACGTTTAAAAAAAAATCGATATATTTGGTTAGCTGTTAGACCATCTATTTTCACCCAATCTCAACAGAAAACTACAGAGAAAACGCAGAAGGAGAAAAAAAAACGAAGAAAAAGAAGGAACGAAAAGCGGAACGCCAATCGATGCAAGAGCGGCACAGCTGTCAATAGGAGAGGGTGCAGACAGAAAAGAATCCATACGATGACCGCCGCTTGGCCAATGACATGCGCCTTTAATATGTAGTGGTCACTCAGCGAAATGGAAAAAAAAATTTTCAAAACAACTGTTTTTATGGCGCCATGGAAAGATGCCGCGTTCAAAGTAATTTCGGCGCTTTCAAAATTAACGTGTTTCTTGTTTAAAATGATTCCACGATATACCTAAAATTGAAATTTCGGAAGCCACGGCGTCGTGAAAAAATTGGGTGCGATATAGCGACTTTCAGCGCGAAACTCTGAGTTTTAGACTATCTTAATTTTTTCACGCAAAATTTTTAGTTCACGCGTAAAAGTCGCTAACCATCTACAAAGTGATTCCGCGAAAATTAAATTATACATCAGAGAGGGATGAAGATAATCAGATTTCGCAGAGTCAGAGATGATTTTGATTTTCACGTAAATTGCTTTAATTACAGAGAAAAACCAATTACTTCGAGAGAACCTGGTTTGTATCTCTCAGGCAGTGTTTATTTTTTACAGACGAAAATTGGCCCTTTATTCATTTGATTTCAATTTCCCTCTCAAAAGACAAAGAGTCATTGAGAGCGGTTTGAGCTGCAGCCAGAGACTCTTCGATTTTTTGAACGCCATTCACGCATATCCTTTCCATTCGCTGTCCTCGTTGGCACCCTTATTATTAATTAAAAATGAAAAGACTTGGATTTTTTAGTGAATAAAATCTCGAAGACAATAGGTCAATCAGTTTAAGGCGACATTTTTGGACAATACCAAAATAAAGATTAATCATATATGCTTTTTTTTGGCTTAATGACGCCGATTTATTCCGAAGAACTGAATAATCCTTAGAAAGGAATTTTTTTTAAGCTTTTCAAGCTCTCAGAGTCGTGAATTGTTAGCATCGAGCTTTCATCTTTGATCGTTTCTTTTTTCCTCTAATTATCGCTGATTACAGATCTTCATGTTCCTATTACTAAGCCCACGCATGATGAAAACTGAAGTCCGTTTTTAGGTGAGTTTTAATTGCGTGTTTTGTCATCAAGTCTTGATATAAATGTGAGATTTTAGTCTTATATCAGTATTTTTCGTTTTTGAGAAAATTATTTTCTTTTTTTCTGATCAGCTCTTAAATTCATGTTTTATTTCGTATTGTATCTGAAAAGTGACTGCGTAATGCTAAAAAAATTTCTTTAAGCGCCTCAGTTCTTGTTATTTCCTGCAGTAATGGCTCTTTTTTCATCAGCTTAACGTCGATCCCCATGAGAAAAATAGAATAAAAAAGAATCTATGATGTGAGATTATATCACAACATCTTTTCTCTTCTCATTAAGTCTGAAAATTTGGAGCGAACTAAATTTTCTCACATGACCATTTTTTTCCTTTTCTCGCACAGAACTTGTTCTTGAATGATTTATTTCTCTTTTTTGATGTTAGAAATTTTCGCTGATTATACTCTGTCAAAAAATCCTCGGTGTAGAAGACACATGAGTCTTGATTACCAAAAAACACAAAAAACAGTTTTTCGACTAGGGAATTTTTGAAAGATGCTCATTCAAACACCACAATAAACATTTTCGAACTCACAATGAAAGGAAAAATAATTTCAACCCCTATTCCGAAAATGGACTACTTGTTGAAATAGTATGTCCTACAGTTATTATTTTTTTTCTTTTTGAAGTGGAAAGTAAAGATTTACTTTTTTCAATTTGGAACTTGGAGCTAATCTTCGTCTTCTCAAAAGTACTACCAAGCAAATTTTTTTCCTATCAGAGTGTAAATTGAACTTCGAATCAGAAAAAATCTCCGAGTTTTATTTATAGAACTAACTCTGCAAATCTCGCCGGAACGCACCTATATCAGAGTCTAAAAATAGGCATTTCTCTGAGTCCGTAATTTTGGGACAAACCGTAAAAAGCGAGCCGCCAAAAGCGACCTTATCACGGCCAGCATTTTCTTTTCTATTTTAAGGCTCAGAATATTTAGAATAGTTATTATTCGTCCGTGTTTCGTCCAGACCACTACGTCAATGTCTTGAATCAACCGGCGAAACTCGATCATTTCTTGTCTCTTCTCTCTTTCAGAATGTTCCATTTCTCATTACAATGCCTTCCACATTTTCTTTAGGAAGTTTCAGCAAAGTTTCTGTGTAATTAGTTTCTTTTCGCTTTGGGCACAAGTAAAAAAAATCGTTATTTTTGTGACAGCCTAATTCTTTTTTAGTTGGACGACGTAGAGACGAGAAAAATAAGCCGCTTTGTTCAAATCTTCAAATCGTTTTTTTTACACAGAAACTTGCTTTTAGTTCTTTTTACTTTCAATCGAACGAATTCAAAAATAAAAAAGGCTTGTTAGAGATAAAGGATGAGAAGAAAACCTCTTAATGGATCTTTGAGATGAAAACAATTGTTCTATCAATGTGTCATGGGATTCCCTCAGGTTGTCTACAATCTCTATTTTTGCATTTTCAAATTAACTTGTTTTTGAGAGCGCTCCAAGTCCGAAAGTACTTTTTTTAAAATACGGCTTAAACCAAGATAAAAAGAATCTTTCTGTTTTTTTTAGTTCTTCAAATTTTCATGCTCTACTAACTTTCTTGCTCACAAACAATGACTCATGGGAGTGACGAAAAAACTTTTCAAAAAGTCAAAAACTGCAGCTCATTCAGTTTTGAACCTATTTCCCTGATTTTTTTATTCGGATTCTTGAATTTCGTCAGGGAGTTTTCATCCCCAAAGGAAAACTCTCCGTTTCTAGAGAGAAATTGATAGGTCGGGCCGTTCTTTTTTTTTCAAATTATCTTGCCTTCTATTTCCTGGCGTGATTTATGAGCGAATCTTGATAACTTGTTTTTGAACGTATCACTGCGCGGTCTTCATTTTTGTCAGTTTGATTTTATAGTTTACTTGATTTTTGTTTTCTCTGATAAGAGCTTCTTACTTTTATCGCGTGATTTGTTTCCCTCACCCTAGGGTGGAACACGATAAATATTTCCGATCTGAAACGGTCGAAAAAGATATCCTATTTGAAAATTTACGATCTCTGAGATAGAAAAGTTTTAAATCTGTTTCAACTACAGAACTTCCATGTGAAGTTTGAGATATAATAGGTAAAATTTTTTTGTTCTGTTTCTTATTTTTTTAAACATTTTTCAAAGTTACTCAGCAAGAAGAGTTTGAAAGACGAAGTGAATTCTGAACAAAAAAAAAACGCTTTTTTGAAAATGACTTTTTTTCTCCGGATTTTCTGCCTTAATTGAACACCCCAATTCAATTTTCTTCCAATGTTTTTCTCTCTCTTCTGTTTTATTCAATCTTTAGACTTTCCTTTTGTTTTTCAGGTAATTTGCATAAAAACAAGGGTAGTTGGCGGTGACGAGTAAATCGATAAAATCCGGCGCGATGGGGGAAAAATTCAAAAAAGGTCCAGAATCGGACTCAGAGAGCGTGATCGGCATGAAAGAGGTTCGTGCGTGTTTTTTTAGTTCTTCTTCGTCTTCCAATTTTTTTTTCTGGACCATTCTCTTCTTATCACAAAAAAAAGTTCCGGATTTTAGCGGAGATAATAAAGAGAAAAATGAACCGTGGTCAACTTTCTGAACTTTTTTTTCTCTGAAGTTCTGATAACTTTTCTCTCTTCATCAATAATAATTTGAAGCATTTCCAGGTTTACATTCCTTGTACCACAAATGAAGATAATTCGTCTAAATGGCTTTCTGAGCGCAAGAGAAACCTCTACGATTTCGTTCCAATCCTTGATTGGCTTCCAAAGTCAGTTATCATGTCATTTGTTGCCATTGAAAATAAGAAATTTTCTCTCAAAGATTCCTACGATATTCAACTTGGAAAAAACATTTTCGAGTAGAAGTTGGTTTTTTCACAAAAAATCTCAAGTAATAAAAAAATTGGAAGCCTCTTCGCCACGAAAATTTACCAATTTTTAGGTACAAATGGAAGAAATGGATTCAAGGCGACCTGATTGCCGGATTGACCGTCGGAATTATGCACGTGCCCCAGGGTAACGATCAGTTAAAATCAAATATAAATTCTCGAAAAATCCAGGAAAACGTTTCAAATTTGCATATTTATATTTTGTTGTAATAAACAAAAACCGTTTAGAAATTACGAAATAATTATGATAACTTTATTCAAAAAAATTGATTTTTTTCAAAGTAAACTTGGAAACAATGTATGTTCCGAGGACTGAAAATTTGAATTTTGAAACTTCTGAGGAAAAAAACGGTTCTTTTTTTCTTCAAGGAATGGCCTACGCAAGTTTGGCGGGTGTCGCTCCGATCTACGGACTGTACTCGTCGTTCTTCGCCTCGATAATTTACATGATGTTTGGAACGTCCCGCCACATTTCCATCGGTTATTCTTTTTCTTACAAAAATTATAATGTGCAGGAGAAAGACTGAGATGGGTTTTAGGGCTATTTATTTTTGCTCTTCGAAAGTTTTCTCATTAGAAATCGCGATTTGATTTGAAGTCATCTTTCAATCTCGGGGTTGAAGTGAAAACTCTTTTTTTCAAAGTTTAATCTCTTCATTTTGTTAAAATCAGTTTCAAGAGAAAAATTTGCATTTTGCCGTTTTTGGAAATTAAAAAAAAAACGATTTTTGTTGACTAGTCACTGATGGAATTTCGCCGATTTAAAAATTTTGTCTTGGTCAATGATCAACGGAAGATTTATGTTGCTTCTGAATCAAGAAAAACTTTCCTTTTTATCTCCAACTTTTCTCATTCTTTGTAGGAGTGTTCGCTGTAGCCTCCATGATGGTCGGAGCTTCCAAAGCTCGTCTTGCTCCGAGCCACGAAGAACTGGCTCTTTCCAACCGCACGAGTTTTCCTCTTGGGAAATACGTCGAACCTCTAGAGTTCACCAGCGCCCTCACTTTTATGGTCGGCGTCCTTCAGGTTTATCTTCAACTCGAAGAATTCCGAGAACTTCAAGCTTCCAGATAGTTCTGGGATTAAGTCGACTCGGTTTTCTGGCGACTTACCTGTCGGATCCGCTCGTTTCCGGCTTCACTACTGGCGCTGCTGCTCACGTCTTTACGTCGCAACTCAATAAAATCTTCGGCGTCACGCTCCCGCGTCATGAAGGCGTTGGAATGCTTCTTAAGGTACTCTTCTCGGAAAAGAGCCGAAATTCGCTTCGGCCGTCTGACCTCTTCTTTTACAATAATAACTTCGGAAATAATTTTTTCTATCTCCCATTATGCGCCAGATGATCCACGACGTGATGTATTCGCTGAGGCAAACGAACGGCGTCGCTTTAGTCATCTCGATTTTCGGCTTAATCTTCCTGGATGTTGGCAGGACCTACTTGAATCCACTCGTGAAGAAATACGCCCCGGTTCCGCCGCCACTCGAGCTTTTATTGGTGAATAGAAAATGCAAGTAATGCAGAGGACAGCTGTCTATTTAGGTGATCATTGGAATCTTGATGTCTGTAACTTTCGGATTGAACGAAAACTACAACGTCAGCATTGTCAACACAATCCCTAGAGGGTAAGACTTCCACTACCAAAAAATTCTGGCATATCGATTCGTTCTTTATTCACTTTCCTTGTTTCATAATCTTTTCTTGAAACTTTAAATCTCCAGCATAAAAAGTTAAAATCGATGATAGAGATTGAGGACAGAACGATGTGGCAGAATCTGATCAATTTTTTTGAAAATCCGCAACCCAAAGTAAAATGATTAGTTTGTAAGAGAGGGCTTTATCGAAACTTCGCAGTTTCGGACCGAACTGTGCGACTTCTTCAAGTAATTGTTCTGCAGAATGCCTGCGCCGTCGATCCCTCGTACGGATATCATGTTTCTACTCCTCTCCGACGCCCTCTGCATCGCCATCGTCTGTTACACGTTTGTCATGTCGATGGGCAAGCTCTTCGCCAAGAAACACAAGTACAAGACCGACGCCACCCAGGTGCACATGTCCTCCTGTCTCTCTCCACAATGAACGATTTCAGGAGCTCTACGCCGTCGGAATCATGTCTATCGCCTCGTCGTTCTTCCCAGTTTATCCAGTCGGCGCGTCGCTTTCTCGCTCTTCAGTCTGTGAGATGTCCGGCGCCAACACTCAGGTTGGAGACTTGAAGAAAGCATGAAGGGCACAGATAGTCGGAGCTTCAATGATTATAACTTATCCAATGATCAGTTTCAACCCCAAAGAGTTCACTTGGATCTAGAATTTTTGAAAGAAAGCTACATAGATTTATATCAATTGGGCCTCAGAGGAAAATATTGGAAGTACTCGTTTAGAGGTTAATTGATCAACAACTTTTAAGGTTCTCTCTTAAACTTTGATCGTTTTCATACTGAAACCCACTTTCAGTTCTACAACGTCTTCTCTTCGTTGCTCCTTTTGTTAGTGATCCTTTTCCTGGGTCCACTTCTCGAGCCTCTTCCAATGGTTTTTCCCAACAGAATGGACTGTTCTCAACTGTTTTTACAGTGCATCCTCGCTTGTATCGTGATTGTCAGTCTGAAGAGTTTGTTCCTGCAAGTCAAGGAGTTGCCGCGGCTTTGGAAGATCTGCAGATATGACTTTGTGAGATCATTCTCTAGATTAGGATTTTTTGAAGATAAAAAGTTATTAAAATTGGATGATACAGAAAATTGAAGGATATGGATTCCTAGAGAAATTATGATTTTTTAAAGTTAAGTAATTTCAAGGTTTTCGGGAAAAAAGCAATACTTAAAAGAAAGTATTTTGTAATTCTGGAATGGTTCCAAATTTTGAAAAGGAAGAATACGAAAGCTCCCACTAGCGTTATTTTGGTAATCCTTGCCTAAAGTTGAATCTCGAAAAATATTGGTGGGTTTACTGACTCAATGAAAAATATTGAGGCGATTTGGGTGGTCGCCTGCGTGGCCACAATCGTCACAGATGTCACCAAGGGCTTGCTCATTTCTGTAGCCTTTGGACTGATTACTGTGGTCATCCGACAGCAATGGTTTCTTATTCTCAACAGAGGACATTCGAAATATCCCAATTTTCAGGCCCAGTTTCACCGAAGAAGCCGTGGATGATACTCCTCGTACACACATTCCTCCAGGCGTCATTATCGTCAAATTCGACTCTCCGATCCATTTTGTCAACGTTCAATATTTCATTGAGAAGATGACGAACACAATCAGCAAAACTCCGAAGCAAGAAGTGAATCGAATAGAACAAACTGAAGACAATAAACTTGAAATACAGCTTTTGATGGGACCTGAAGACCGTGCGATTTTGGTGGACTGTTCTTCGATTGGCTACATCGACACGATGGGTCTCGACGCACTGCGAGAAGTTCGTCTTCGAAAAAAAGTCTTTTATTTCTAAAATTTTTCAGGTTCACTCGTTGGCAGCGAAGGGAAATGCGCGAATATACTACTGCGCTTTTAATTGTGAGTTTTGAATCGGTAGAACGCTTTAAAAGCCAAAAATTTATTTCAGAAAAGAGACGTTTTTGACCAAAGTTTAGCCTTTCAAAAAAAAAAAAAACGTTTTTCGTTCAATGTTTGTTAAGAAACTTTTTCTCGATATGACTGAATTTTTTTACAAAAAAAGCTTTCAAAAAGCAAACCTTTTTGTTCAGTTTCAAGTCTAAAAAGCTTTTTTTATCGAAGATTTTTATATTTTTTTTTCAAGATGGCGTCCGCGAAATGATCGAAGACGACGAGGAGACCTCTTCCGACATTCCGAAAACCGTTTTCCAGCCTTCCATCGCCAGAGCTTGTCTTGAATTGAGCAGAGCCTAAATTTTTTGACCAACGAACCAAAACAATAACTTTTGCTGAAACCTCCTCTGCTAGGCATTCTAAACGTTCAGAAAAAAACATTCCTAAATGTCCTCACTTTTTTGTGTATTTTGCCACATATCCTGAAGTTGTATCTAACCACTCCGGTACTAGCATTCCCGTGATGAAATCATACGCTGTATTTCTTATTTTTATTCATTTTACAAAAAGTAAACGTTTCTAAAAACTGAGATATTCTCGAAAAAATTTTGACATCGGCAAGTTGAAAAAAAAATTAATAAATGTTGGGCAGCGTAAATTGATCACAAGGTATTCTTATTATAAAGGTAGAATGAAAATTAGGAAGGAAAGGAAAAATTTCGACTAGCCAATGAAAAGATTCTGGAAAGATTATTCAGTAGAGATCATGAAATAATACCGTAAGACAGATAAGGAGGGAAGATAAATAAACAAGATTACAGGAATTCGGCCATAAATGGGCACAGAGAAGAAATGCGGATTTTAAAAATTGAGCTTTTTTATAAGTTCGAAAAAAATACGCGACGCATTTCATTGAAATTCATCAAGTTGAGCTTTTAGAAAATGATCTCAAGACATCTTAATTTTTTTAGAGGTATTTTTTTGTAGTAGCTTTTTATTCATAAGAAGAATAGAAAATGGTCTCGGAATGGAAATAAATTCCATTTAAGGACGCTTCTCGATATTTCAAGACAGAGCTCCTTTGTGATTGAGGAACTCCATGAGGGTCTCAATCTCGAGGTTGATATTAGCCGTGGCGCGACGTATCCTCTGGGCGATTTCGTCCGTTTCGCAGTCATCGAACGACCTTCCGCAGAACGAGGCGACCATCGCTTGCGCTTGAGCGTCATCGCTGGAAAATATTCATTTTGAATATTTCAACGAGTGATTTTTCTTGATCAACGCCTCGTACAGATTCAACTTGTTAGGATTTCTTTCAAAACAGAATATATGTTTTAGACTCAAAATTTGATGCGCATAATTGTAGTCAGATTTGAGAAACTCGCTGGAAGGAGAAAAAATACAAGACGTTGATTTTTCGAGTTAGAAACACTCCAAACCATACTGTTATTGAAGAAAAAAAAAACAGTTACAAACGGAAGATACAGCGATTTTCGTCTGGAATAGCGTTTTGAGCTCATTTTTGTTGGAAATTGCCTATTTTTTCATGTTCTAACCATCTTAGCTAACTAAATACAATCCAATTAGCTTGAGGAATGAAAGACATTTACGAACGGAAACTTTGAAACAACTATTTTCGTCTTCAGTTCAACAAATCTTAAAAAATCGTAGGCTCGACGAGACTTGTTACGACAGGCTTCAACTTCAACTTTTCAATCATTAGGAAAATATCAATCCTAAACTTTATATTTAATTACCTACTTCTTTCTTCTCATTCTTCATTCCTTTTGGTACAATTTTAATTTTCCGTTACCAAAGCCGCCACAAATATACGAGTCTTTTCAGAATTTCTCAAGGAACACACCACTAAAATTCGTTTTATTCAACGGCAACTCCATGCATCAAAGGATAGACCACGTTTCCAAAGGAAATTTACGACATGAAAAAGGTCGATCAAGGAAAATACGATATTGCGGATCATGCGCATAGGAAACGGTAGGGTTTGAGAGGTTTTTGAGGCTCCAAAGTTAATTTATGGATCTTTTGTAAATAACTTTTTTTTTTGGTGAGTGGCCTATTGGTTGTGACGTTTCTTTGGATCCAAAAAAGGCATGAAAAAAGAAAATGGCTCATTTCGGTTCAATTATGTGAAAATTATTTTTTGAAAGCTTGAATTATTTCCTAGGTTTTTTCTCTCCTCGGTTAACCTATCTTATCAAAAACTTCGAAAAATCTTTTTTTTGGATTCAGAAAAAAACGTCGAAAAGTTAAAGGGTGCGACAGAATAGCGAAGCGGAGGTACCTGGCCACTGACACATGGGAACCGGTTTTTTTGGTGTCGTTCGAGCCGCGGAGCAGCTTGTCCTTGAGCTCGTGCAGGTCGATGAAAGACCGTCTTTTGGAAGGCGTCGAGCGGATCTTGTGCGGCGTTGCCGTCAGGTCCAACTGTAAAGTTATGGAATTTGGACTGCGGAAAAAAAAAACCTGATCTGACCTTTTTAAACCCTAGAAAAAAATTTTTTTCCCCAGAGTAAAATGACCTTTTTTGACTGATAGAGATGTTATTTTACTTTGTGGTTAGAAGTTTTCTGAAAACTGGCCAGATAATTTTTGGATAGTACCAAATTATGGTCGTAGGAATCTCAACCTGCACAACTTCCAAATCTTCAAGAAAAGTGGTCAAAAAGTTTCAAAATAGCCTGTTTTAACGTATTTTGATCGTTTGCTCTAACACAGGGCTCTTGTTTATCGAAAACTGGAGAAGGTTGAGCATATTGAGGCTTTTAGAAGACTCAATGGGTTCCTCGAGGAGTATTCTGGCCAAATTTCAAGGAACTCCTACCGTAAAGTAAAATGACCTTCCTTGTGGAGCAGACTAGGCTTACAGGAGCAGACCTTCAAAGACCGCCGAAGAATTAAAATTTTTCCTCCCTCCTGGTCACAATTTTAATTGGTTTTTGTCAACCCAAACTCCTGTATTTAAAAAAATTATCTTTTTCTTTTTCTTACTTTACAAAAAAATTTTTCTGAGCCAACTTCTACTCCCCGGACTCAATTTCTTCACTTGCTCAGGTGTGACCTCATACCTGTTTCAAAGCGTCGTTAAGATCGCCACACTTTGTCCTCAGGTCGGAGAAGTGCAGAATCGTGTCCTTGACGATCTCGTGGATCTCCGCCACCCAGAACTTCATCGACAGGCCCAACGCTCTTCGGCATTCGTTGATGAAAAGTTGGGACTGCGCCACAGCCTAAATCGGCAAATACAATGTCCCAGTGAAAGAAAAACTGATAGATCAGACCCTTACAGAACTCCTTTGTAAAATTTAAATCAAATTTTCAAACCTTATCAAGGTGATGATTATTCCACAATTGGAGGTAATCGCCCTTGTGATCAACGTTTGGTGACCAGTCCATTATGGCGCACCAATCCTTCATGAGTAGTGGTTCGACCTAAAATAATCAGCTTTTTTTGAAAAAAGTAATAGTATTCAGAAACCCAGGCTTTGAAACTTCAGAGAAAATTGTTTTTCGGAAATCAGAATTTAATTAAACATCTTTTTTTCATAATATTGACCCTTTTCCATTAAAAAAATTTTTTTTTCAGGTGTATGAAGTATCGAATTTTTTCAAATTAGTAACTTCAACGATTTTGAAACTATCAAACTTTTTCAATGTACATTATGTTTTTGAACTTCAAAAAGTCGTTTGAAAATTTCTAGTTAAAAAAATTTCATTTTGGAAATAAACAATAAGAGAGAAAACTCGAACAACGCTACTCATGAGGCCTAAATTGACTTCAAAAATCCTTAATTTTCTCTACGTTTCTGCTCTTGAATAAAAAATCGATTTGACAAACCTTGATACCGGCTTGAAGCATACACAAAATGCCTTGTTTGGTGTAAAGATCGCCCCGATTCAGATGCGGATACAGGAATTTCACGGTCATCTTCACGTCCACCTTTTTGATCTCCTTCCGGACCTGGAAGTAGGAAGATTTTCGAGAGGTCGGGACACGATGGAAAACCTTGCTGAGAAGGAGTCCGAGCAGCTTGGCGCAGGCCTTGTTGCTCTTGCACTCGTCGACGACCTCGCACTTGGGCTCGCAGTCTTGATGAAAGCAAGGCGACTTCGACACGAATATACTAATTTCATAGAGGTCTACCTGGAAAGGCGAACCGTCAAGTTGTTTTTGATTATCACTATCATGATAAAAAGAAGTTATCCATATTAAAAAAAAGTCAAAAACCTTTCGTTTTGCCCTAATTTTTGGTTCAAAACGACGTTAAAAAACGACAACTTTAAAGAATAATCGTAACGAAACGTGTAAAAAAATGGAACTTTCATTTCACTTTTTTTGATAAAAATTTCCAAACTCACATTATATTTAGATATGAGGTCATAAATTGCTGCTACTAACTGCTCCTCGACGTGCGGTTCTCCCTAAAATAATCAGAATTAAAGGGCATTTTTTTAAAAATTAGAGGGTATTTTTCAGAGTTATGATTATGGTCCATTAACCCCTGGCTTGAGAATACATTTAATTAAGGTCTTTGAAAAAAATAAGAAGTTCAGAAGTCTGTAGTTCTTTTGGTTCCAAGCTAACAGGGAAAGGAAACCACAAATTCAGACGAACTAACCTTCGACTCGTGGTAGAAATCGCCTCGGTAAATGTAATCTTCTCCTGAAAATGGCAACTTCATTCAGAAAAACCCTGTGAGATTATCAAACCTATCAATGTGACTATCAGGCCGCTACTCTCGTGTTTATGCTCCAAAAAGCAGTTTTGAACGTGTTTCGGAACCGAAAACTTCGAAGCACCATTTGTACAGTCGCCGCCGCATTTGCAACTGAATTAGTTATTTTTTTGAAAGTTTGATCGAATGTAAATCTGCGAAGTAAAGAATTTAGTGAGTTAGATGATTTCTCAAGTGTGTGGCGCAAGGAAATCAAATTTGAACGGCCACAGGAGACGAATTTCGCATCAGATTCACACCCCAAAGTCATTCAAGCAGAAGAAATTTTGTCGCGAAAACTATTGAGTAGAAAACCAGGACCTAAAGCTTCTAGATGAAAGTTGGGAGCCGAAATTTATAGTTTTTCGAAAAAAAAAGTTTTTTTATAGAAATTCATTCATTGTTAATTTTTCATATAAAATACACATGTTTGAGAAAAAATTCAATAAAACTTTGCAGAATAGTTCGCTATTCATTCCGAAAATTATTTAGGAAAAAAAAGTCGTTAGATTTCCAATTGTTGGCTCAAAAAAATCAGGGAATTTTCATCTTCAAAAAACTTCTGGAAAGTTTTATTGAAGTAAGAAATTTTACCGGAATCTTACTAATTTTCAAATTTTTATATCACCCCCTCTCTCAAATAACTCGTTATTTTTGTGAAAAAGTTTTGTTTTCGAGCCCGTTCCACATTATAATCCATTGCAAATTCACAACTCGTTGGTGAAAAACTCGCGGCTCTCAGATTTACCAGGCCGAACGGAGTGAAATATTCAGGAAAGGGTTCCAGGGACACGTCCAAGCGCCTCTTTTGTCCGTTTTACGCCTGCCTCGGCCCATTCATCTCATCAGTCGCCAGTAGATCAACAATTCTTCGTTCAGACCCGTTCTTCGTGTTAATTTATGGGTTCAGCCAAAAATGTCAAGAATGAAAAAAGACCTCACGGAAAAGGTTAAAGAAGACAAAGTTATACAAGTTTGTTTTTCCAAATCATTTTTTTAAAATGAACAAACTTGGCTGAGCAGAAACCGTAGACAGTCCTGCAGGAACATTCTTTCTTCACGCATTGTTTCTTGCTTTTTGCGCATTGGCATCCAGAAGTCGGCTTCGCTACTTTTGTCAGTTTCTTCGGGGCTTCCTGTAATTTCCCCGAGCTTTTATTCATGAAATTAAAAGAAAAAGAATATGATGACTATTTCCCTTGAGTTTCATGAAAAATTAAGACTTTCGCCTCTTGAAAAATCCTGTAAAAACCTTTTCAAAAGTTTGTACTTTGGCAAAGAATAAAATCTATATTTATTCTCTCATAAATTGATGAAATGAAACATTCTTGTGCTATTTTTCTCGTCCCTCAAAAAGAAATGAAGATGGAAAACTAAAAAAATTCAGTTCCTGAGCCCCCGAAAACCATAAAAAAATGCCTTTCAAGGACCCGACTTTCAGGGCTTAACCTTGTCAGGCGTTTCGTTCCGCTTCTTCTCCTAGTTTTTGAAACTTCGAGTGTAATCCTCAGAGCTCAACTTCTCTCAGGAGGCTTTTGGATTTTCTTACAAATGATCATAAATTTGATTGAAAAACAGTTAATTTGATGAATAAATGGACTCAAGTCCAATGGAGTTTCTTCAAAGCCAAAATTTAACTATTGTTCCGATTTTTCTCAAACTTTAAATCTTTCGAAGCAAAGGAATCCAACTTTATTTTTCAAACAAAACCCGGAAACTCAGTCCAATACGAATTTCTGTGCAAACAAAAACAATTTAACAAGGCTATTGGCTTTCGTTTTTCCATTGAAAAGGAGTGCATTTAAGGAATCTTCGAGAGGGGCTTCTATTGGCGTGCCGAGTGTACGTATTTCAATTGGTCGGTGGCGAGAAACACGAGCCATTTCGAGGGCTTTTTTCCCCGTTTCCAGGATCATTCCGTCTCATTTTCCTTCGTGATTATTGCAAATGAGACGGAGTAAGAAGAAATACCATGGAAATTGGGTCTTCTTCTTGGAGTCAGCATTTGTTTAGTGTTAAGTTACTGGATGGAAAAATACAAAGAAGCTCTGAGCATTGATGTTTTTTTTTTGAGATCTCAAAGCTTTTCAAAACTTCCAAAATCCATGAATACTGTTGAACGGTGCTTGAGTTCACGCAAAAAAAAAAAACTGTAGAACGAAATGTAGAGTATCAGAAGAAGAAGAACGCTACGATATTGTTTCACATTTGATGAAAAAGCAAAAGTTTTCTAAAAGAAAAATTGTCAAAAGGATGAACAGTTTCCAAAAAAGCAAAAAAATTGAACAAACAAGGCATTTCCCATGGTTAGTTCTCCCTTCGTAAAATTGAATATAAAAAAAAATAATGTAGCGACTTGAAACTTTACGATTCTACATGGTTTCGAGAAATCAAACGAAAGACAAAAATCACCTTGTTCTTGCAGATTTGCTTGCAGGCGCAAAGTTTGCTGCAGCCTTCCTTGATCCTCAAACAATCGCATCTTTCGCTCTTGGTACAGGCGTTCTTGGCCGGCTTGGCTGGATCGACCTCACAGGAACACTTGCAGATCGCCTGGTTGAGGCAGTCTCCGCGGTACCTCAACAAGTCATTTATTCAAGGACCAAGTTGAAATAACAATGATTCGAAGCTACTGTCCCTTTTCATTCTTCATGTTCATCCCACTTGACGCTCCTCACTTCTCACATCTTTACTCGAGTAGAAGAATCGAAGAAGACACGGCGAAGAAACGTGTGAATAGCGCGGCTAATCCCAGGTTTTCGCGCGTGGGTAAGTGATGATGAAGGATTACTTTCCAATTACACTCAAATAAAAATCTTTGCCCTTTTTATGGGTCCCTTTTATTGCTTTAATTCCAATGACCATAGTATTTGGGTAGTTGTGGAGTGCGAATAGCAAACGGCTCTCCGGGGACTTTTTTTGCTGCTCTTCGTTTCTGAGTTCGGTTATTTGTAGGTTTTTCTGTTTTGAAAGAAAAAGATGAATCATCTCAAAAAAAGTAATATGGGAACTATGACTTTTTCGCAAAACTATAAAAAAACTTTTACAAGAGCTCAGAATAAAATTATAAGACTGGCGAAGTTGCAATTTTAGGTTGAGTTATGTCGTTCAGAGATTTTCCTTTTCAAAACCTTTTCAAAAAAGATAATTAATTTTACCCACTTTTCAAGTGGAGCCACCTTTCTTATTTTCTAAATTTCATCACTTCAGTTGTGCTTCAGGAACCTATTTTAAGACTCTCATGTTAAAGACCTTCGGACACTAAAAAACTCGTCTATATGAAAGTATCCTATATCCAAACGAGGGTAATCATCAACTGAACGTCGCTGTTCCAAAACTTTTTTTGCTTTTTTTTTACCTTTCCAGAAATATTAGCTTGATTGCGCTTTTCTACTTTGAGCTATTTTCGATCGCTCAGACTTTCAAAACAAGAACGTATGATCCCTTATCAAATCGCCTTCTGTTATGCCAACTAGTACAGCTTTGAATCCCGAAAATGCGGATGAGGCCGTTTAGGACGCGTTGCGGACATATGTGTTTGGTCGTGGTATCGGATATCAAAACGCGCATCCCACGAGACTTTCAGCCTTTCAGAGGCCCGTCTCCGCTTCAATCGGCCACACGTCAGGACGGCACCGAACATACATTCGCTAGGAATGCGTAGTAACATGACAGAATGGAGAAATACCGCAGAATCTTTCGAAACGATTTCGAGATTTCGAAAACGTCGATTTTAGATCAAAATCGTGATTTTATGAGCTTTTTTCGGCAAAAATTTCTCAAGCTAACTCCCTCTTGGGTAAGCTTAAAACCCTCGAAACTTAAAAAGGACGGAACTACCCCACAAAAAATAGTCTGTTATGATGATTTACAAATTTCCCGAATTGTATTTCAAATTTTGAACGGTCATTTTTTCATATAACAAGTTATACCTGGTGCTCTCGCAGTGCTCGTCGCAAGTCTTGCGAGCGGCGACGCAAGGACAGGTGTCGGCGCTGCAGCGGCCCTGCGAGGCGACGCACTCGCAGCAGTAGTTGGCGACACGGCTCATCTCCGACGCCATCCGTCCGTGCACGTCTTCGTCCGCCCAACGGCGCCACGCCACCTCGCCTGACTCGGACGCTTCTGTGTGCGTTGAGGTATTCAGGGCTGCTGCTGGTGGTCGCTATCTTTCATCAATTGTCATTGTTCTGAAATGAGGCTGTTGGACAGAAGTCGTACAGTGAGAATGATGAAAGAATGTTTAAGAGAACATTAAGCATAAAAACCATTTTAAAAAAATCAATTTGAACGAAAAAATAACGTTAACAATTTTCAATTATTGAGAATAAAACGGTACTGCTTCACAGCTTTAAAAATGAACTTCAAACGTAAAAATAAAACATTAAAAAAGAAAGAATATTTTAAAAATTCAAAAATTTGGAAGTGGCGCGTTCTGATTTTTCGAACAGGTGGAAGTGTGCTCCAGCGAATTCTAGTGAGCCTATTTTACTCAAGAAATTTCAACGTAAAACAAACGAAATGTCTCACGAAAATCTATAAACAGCAAGAAAGAGAGTATCTCAGATCGAGAGCATTGAGCAGGAGAAAAGCGTCATCATATCTGGTAATTATTGGCGCCGTAAGCTGCAGGGAAAAGCCGGAACAAGGCAGTTATTAAATGTAGACGGGGCAGTCGAGTAGGAGCGACACACACGCAATAATAATGAAGGACCGTCAGTGATAATTAGCGAAGGGTCATTTCCGTCTCACCTTGATGAGCCCGAAAGGTGAAAAAAAAATCCAATTATTTTTGTTTGAACCTTCCAGTAATCAAAAATATTTCTTAGATGAAGCGTTGATAATGGTAGAATAAAAAAAGGTGGCTGAATTCATGTTACGACTTGTACAAAAAAATTTGGACCTCTTTTTGGAGATTCATACTTTTTTTAATTGAAAAACGGTACGTTGATTTTTTTCGAAAAAAACCTTGAATTTTTTTCGGTTTTTTTGGAAACTCTAAATAAGAAAAAAAAGAGTACTAACACACATAAAGGCTTAACTTCTTTTTTTTTCGATTAAGCCAACTCAATTTTTCCTGAACGTCTTCTCGAAGCCGTGAACCGACATTTTATTCGAAAGCGAACGCTCCAATCCAATTTTCTCGCCTTTTTTGTCCCCTACTCAATTATCGGTTGTCCACACAAACAGACAAAGTGCATTTTGCTCAAAAGGTCAAAGAAATGGAGGTGAGGTCGGACCTCTGCCAGCCGGCTTTCGATCAATATTCGACAGCTTTTCCTGGAGGTCCGCTAATTACGGGGGACTCTCATATGTGTTGCTCATGTCCGCTTATGGGCCGTCTAATGTGTTGGCAGGGTAATGAAAATGGCACGCTTTTATCCTGGATTCATGGAGCGATCTTTGGAGCTTCGGCTTAGTCGAAGCCTGAAGAATTTGAGAAAAATCATTTTCGTAAGAGAAGGAAAGTTCTTCTTGAGTTAAAAAATATTTGCGCAAGAACATTGAAAAACCAAAAATAACAGCGAAACCCACTCTCTAACTTTTTTTTCTGTAATTGGTAACCTCAGAGCAAGAATAGTCTGAGCAAAAGTGAACTGGGAAAAAAACTATCGAAAATATTTTGAAAAATCGAAGGAATCGATTGCTGGAATTTTCAAATTTTTGCCATTTCCAAGATGAGTTTTTGAAGAAATTGGAGCGAAAAAAAGAAATCAGATGAAAAATTCATAAAACTCATGGAACCTTCAAGTTTCAAGGAGAAAATAAGAAACTTAAATCATTGAAGGGAAAAAACGAGATGGGTGTTTTGAAGAAAACTTAAATTTTAAAATTTAAAAAGCACAAGCTTAAAAAATGCAAAAAATTGTCTAGGAAGTTCCATTCAATTTCTGAAGAGATTTGAGCTTCCGTATTATTTTTTTCGAGGATTTTTGTTTTTTTCTTCATCAAGAAAAAAATGTCAAAAAAAGCTCTTTTTAAAAAAGTTAGTGAAAAAAAGCCTGATTACAAATGGAAAGAGATGAATGAAGGAAATTCTAGGAGATTTCAATTCAAAAGCGGCTTTCACAAGATTTAGCTCAAGTTATGACAAAAATTCTACGGGTGGCGTGAGCTTTTCACTTAAGAAAAAAAAAATAAAATTGGAAATAATCACAAAAATCAAAAAAATTTTTCAAAACTTTCATCAGCTTGTTAGAAAATCAAAGGAAGAGGCTCAAAAACACAAAAAAAAATGTTTCGAGTCAAAAAACCCAAGAAAAAATGGATCAAAATAGACGGAACAGCAGCTTTTAGTCCATTAAACTTCAGAGGTGACACGAAACCAATTCAAAGAGCACAAAAAAGAGGGAAAAGCCTGAAGAACGGCTCTGCGCGGAAGGAATATGCACACGGAGCACTCACGTTTCGATTTGGCAGCCGTGAGCGTGTGTGAGTCTTTTCGTGAGTGAGTTCGTGTGAGGAAAAAGAAGTGGGCGTGGCTTTCAAATCCTCCTCGTCCCTTTTGCCTCGTTTGCATGTCTTCAACAGCGAGTATACTTTCTTTCCTAATATGGCGCCGAGGAGAAGCCGAAATTGGCTCTGAGCCAGTCTCCCCAAAGACAATCGCCACGCGTTTTTCCTCCACGCAATGACAAAAACAAAGGAAGAACGGAAAAACGAGAAAATTCGCAGAGAGGTGTGAAAAAATAGCTCGAAGAGATCAGATTCTGAACGAATAATCTGAAGTTATAGCTCAGTATATTTAAAAATTAAACTTCGTAAATTAGTTCTTCGTATGTTCACCAAAGTTGAAATAAAAATTAAAGTATGTTCAAATTCTATGTTCAAAGCGGGAAGACCTTCCGCTGCCCCCATCCGAAAGTCGTTTTTGGTCGGGTGCTTCTAAAAGCGACCACTTGACGACCACGACGCGTCGAGACATTCCAAATACGATCTTGGCTCAACTTTAGAGGAAAAATTAGGATCTGATGCATGATTCTCAAAAGCTTAACTGAGAATTAAAAAAAATCAAGGCTTCAAAAGTCATGGAAAACGAATAGTATTCCCGAATTTCTAGTTTATTCTGATTCATCAAACATTCAATCTTCTGATAAGACTCAAGCTACGGACATAAACGTTCTGCCTCTTGATGAGCAACATCTTCGACGATAAACAAAACATGATTTAAATCTGACGGTCCGAGCAGCAACACGTGATGAATAAGCACTCGAGAAGCACGGAAAGTGGGAACAATAGATGGTGGAAAGGGGTGCGCGGAAAAGGGACAGATGGCAACTCTAGCGCTGCTCCAGCTCCTAATGAGACGTCAAGGTGCCGGCGACGACTTGACCAACACGACAAACATGGAGTCGGCTGGTGCCAGAGTTCGAACAAGCAACGCCACAATGACTTTTTGAACTTTCAAGGCTAGACTTTTTTCCGGTTTACTATCTTGAAGATTTTCGCTCCGATCTTCGAAAAATACTTCATTCGCACAGTTTCAGCACTTGTCGATTCGGTAGACGTGGTTCGCCGGGGCGAACCATCCCTCGTAGACGACGTCTTCTGGAGTCGTGTCGTAGTGGTAGTGACCGCCTTCGCCGTGTTCGGAGTAGCAATGCGTGTGCTCCAATCGAAGGCTCATTCCTGAAAAATGTACTGTTTTTATTACTGAACCTAAAACATTTTTTGAAATTTCCTTATCTTCGTTTTCCGATTTTTCAGAGATCCAGTGAAGGTCTGTGGAAAAAAAAAGTAAGGTCTCATAAAACCTGCTCTAAAATCAAATATTCTAGCGCAGAATCAAACGCAAATATTTTCATATTCCTCAGAATAGCACTTGAAACGGCTCTTCGCCTCGAGACCTGTATAAAGTTAGTTTGCTCCTTTCAAAACCCCCGCAAGGCTATTTGAAGTGAATAAGCTATATTAACCTTCCCCAATTCTTACTTATTTTCACAGAACAGTTTTAAAACAGAAAAAAAAAATTCTGATTCTCGAAAACTCAACCTGGATCATAAGAATGAAGAATCGAAGCACAGACCAACGGCGCCTCCATTTCAAAATACCTCAACCATTTGTCGACCTAAAATCTTGATGATTCAAAACATCCTTTATCAAGCCAAACCTCTTCATTCGACTCAAACGGACAACCCGGAAAGTCTGGCATGACGTGAAGTTTGGCTTTTCCTTTTTGAATGATGAAAAGACCTGCCAATGACACCGGCCTGAGTTCAATTGATTTTTCTAGCTTTCACTAAAATCAAGACTTCTCTCCATAATACTCGGCGAGAGCATCTCTGATCGTGTTTGTCAGGTTCTTGGACCCTTTCCGGATCGAAGCCTTGAAGTGGACTGTAAGAAAAATCGAAATTATTTGAGTTTTCGAGCTAGATTTTGATGAAAATGTGACTCACCCACTTGCTCCGCTTGATCAGGCTCCGAGATGGCGATATTGGCCATCATGTTGAACTTGGGTTCTTGGATTTTTGAAACGGCGTAGCCTTTGGGGTTACTGTCGTCGATTTTGGCGACTTTTGTGGACACCTGACAAAAAGTTTCGAAAATTCAAGAGGATAAATTTACCCAAAGTTTATTGAACCATTTTATCTGTGACCAGAATATTTCATTTGACTCAACAGAAAATTTTTTTATGTTGAGTGAAATGATTGTTAATTTTGTTAACTTTTTCATTTTTTTTTTCTGGTGTTTTTCGAATTTCCAAGTTCTGAAAAACCAGTTTTTGACACGCAGTAGATCAAAAAACAACATTGAAATCAGTGACGACACCTTCTTTATCAAATACTGTTTTTCAAGATTTTTTTTTGGAAAATGAATAACCCGTCTCAATGATGTAAGTCGAAAGAACGGCGAATTTCTTTTTTTCGTTGGTCGAAAGTAGTTTGAAAATTTTAATTGAACTTTCACAATGAAAAAGCTTTAGAGTGACTTTTAGAAAACCGGGCTCCAAATTTAAAAAAAAACTGGACTTGTTTTGGAAAGCCGCCAAAAAAGTCTGTTTTTCGAAGAAAGGCGTAAAATTGACCCTGGCATCTCTAAAAATTTTTGAGAGTTAGGTTTTGTGTTTTCTTTCGGTACCTAGAAAACAATCTTTAAAAAAAGCCTTTAAAGTTGAGAATAATGACTTTTCCACTGGCAAGATTGGCGTCGACGACCATTTCGCTGTTGACTCCGACCGTCGGCCAATGACCGGCGCCTGGGCCGAAAAGCGCCGCCGACGGAAGCTCGCAGACCTTGGCAATCTCCTGAAGCGGGCAATAGAACTTTCAAGGATTCATTTTTAAGAGTACCCTCAGGTCGAATTCGCTGTGCGTATGGAAACGCGGATAGAGATTGCTGGGACCACCGATATCGGCGATTCTCAAGTTTTTGCCAAATCCTGACGACTGTAAGCTGAACGGCTCGGCAGACAGGTCTTAACAAAAAAGAACTTGAAGAGTTATATTGTTGAAAAGATGAGACAAAAAACTTTCGTTTACACTACATTAAAACAATTTGATTTTAAAAAAGGTTTCACGAAACGTTCAAACCTGGACAATCACGGACATCAACGCTAACATTTTCGAAGTTTGCAGCCAAAGACTTTTCGACCACCTGAACTGGGAACCTATCCGATTTATAAGCTTTTCAAGAACCTCTTTGAGCTCGGAAAGAGCTGGAACGTGGTTTTGAATCTTGCCAGCCAATTCCTTCGAACAATCAACCAACTTTTGCATTTTTCCGTCTGAAATTCTTTTTCACAGCCGGAAACAGAACATTTAGATGATATCAACTTGATTATCATCATCAAAAAAGGCAAGAACGTCAAAGGGGAAAACAGCAAAACAACAGAAGAACGTTGACCCGACCAAACGATGAGATCGATGACTGATAATCAACCGATTGATAAGAAGGAATATCAAGATTCTGGTACTTCTCTTAGGTTCAGACCATTCGAAGACAAAAATTGATTTTTAATTTATTTATTGGGATGGAAAGACTACTTACAAGTGTACAGACAAATCCGGGCAAAACAAGAAAATTAATTATAATCAATATTATCAACAATGTTCGTTATCCAATGGCGGGTTTGTGGCCGACGGCTTTGAATTTCTCCACGAATTTCGCTTCGACAATGTCTCGAAATAATTCGAAGCAAGCGCCCTAAAGAAACCAAAATATCTTTTCATTTTTCTGATTTCAATCACTGATGAATGAAGTTTCTATCAACTGTACAACTAGGCAACGCAAAGCCACGCCCCTTTCGCGATATAAAAAGTGGCTTTTTTTGGTTTTCAACTCTCATTTTGTTGTAGTTGCAAAATATGTGGAACTGGATAATAAAGTTTTTACAACAAAAGAAATGATTAGAAACTTGCCTTGAAACCGTTAACTCGTTTCCGAAATTCGCCAGCCACACACATTTGGTTGAATACTCTGAAAATTGAAAGAAAGTTTATAATTACAAAAAGGATGACTTTAATTTTTATACGTAACTAAACTTCAAAAAAACAGCAAGTTGGAGTTCTAAATGGAAATAACTTTGGGACTAAATAAAGTTTTTTTTGGCATGAACCTTGCTTGATAGCTCCTTCATAGAAGTTTAAGACGCGTTCTCTGAGAAAGTCGATGAATCTGAAGCAAAATAAAAAAAAAGTTTTTTTGATTTGCCTCAAAATGTGATCACCGCTCACACACGTGCTTCTGATTACTTAGCACCAGGTTTTTGATGACATTCAAAAAAATGTCGATGATGCTCAAATATTATTTTTTTCGCAAAAAAATACAGTAACTTACAGTTTTTTTACTTTTTTTCAATCGACTCTATCCATACACTTTTTTTCCCTGAAATTGAGGTTTCTGAAGCTTTTTAGAAGTTCTTGTAATACAATTCTGGCTTTTTTTGTGTTGCAACGTTTATACAGACACTTTTTCATGTTTTTCATTCATTTACAGAAAAACTCAAGCGAAAAAAGGTTTATAAAAAAAGCATTTTTTGACCTAAGAAGCGTTTTAATGCATCTTCCGGATTAAAGTCAGGTTTATTAAATCTCTCTTTTTTCTTTCTGTTAAGTTTCATCAATAGTTGTTTTTTAAAGAGTAATTTACATTATTGAATGTCATAAGGTGTTTTTGTTTCTCGAAAAAGTTGATTAAAAAGCTTTTTTCGCCATTTCTTCACTCCGATCTCCCTTGCTTAGGTGTTCAAAAAAATTCAAACATTTGCTGGGTTTCCCTAAAATCTTTTTGAACAGGTTTCCAGGTTACTTCAGCAATTTAGAGCAGGTAAGAACGGTGAAAACGAAGATAAGCGTGCCAAGCCTCAAATTTGAATAAAACTACTTATTTCTTGCCGAAAAAGACTCCGATTCATGTCGAAAAGTGATGTAGGTCTCACTGAAAAAGCTTTTTGTTAGAATGGAAACAAAAAAAGTTGTTTTCCGAGCCTTTGTGAAAATTCCATTTTTGGGGTCGTCACCTTCAGGCGGTCGGAGGTCAACGGGGGCACCCCAGAGATTTTTACCGGACTAATTTTTTCTCATCCAGAAAGACCTACTCTTCCATATACCAAAAGATAATGACCACATTCGGGAGTTCCTACAGAAAAAACTACCTGAAAACGGAAAAAATCGAAAATCGACGAAAGTCCTAAAATTCGAAAAGTCTCGAGAAATTCGGAATAAAATTTTCTTTGAGCACTAAAATGGTGGAGAACATAAACACGAGTGTTTTCTTTTCTTTCGAAACAAAAAAGAGGAAGAAGCCTTCAAATTAGGAGAAAAATGATTTTTTGAATTTTGAGCCGATTCGAGTTGATCACCTTCGGTCGAATGGAGGTCAACTATCCCACCCCAGGGATTTGTTGTAGAACTACTTTTTCTTGAAGAAGAAGGCCCCTAGTTTCATAATCAGAAATAAAAGTCGTACCATAGGGGGGTTCTTACTCTAGTTATGGCTCGAAAACTGAAAAAAATCGCTGTTTTTGAAGAAATTTCGATTTTTTTCTCCCCGAAGATGTCGAGTTAATAAAAAAATTGCAACTGAAAAAATACTCAAAATAGTGTTTTCTTACATTTCCAAACATTTTTGAATGAAAATTCTCAACAGGAAAAAAATTAATTTTTTCCAGCTTACTGTCTACAGTATCTTTAAAAAGGGGCGGAGCCACCTGGAACCTGGTGCTAAGTAATCAGAAGCACGTGTGTGAACCGTGATCACATTTTGAGGCAAATCAAAAATAAATTTTATTTTGTTTTGCTTTTTATTACTGAAAAGTCATCGATTTCCTCAGAGAACGCGTGTTAAATGATTTTTTGAAGATCTGTTTTATTTCAAACTCTCAATTTTTAGTTTTCATTTGTCCTTTCCAAGGTAAAGATGAGTCAATAGTTGGTATTTCCAACCGAAGAGTTGAGGGAACTTGGAAAATGGAAGCGGATAGAGCAACTCACTGAACTTGAAAAAAAAGGCTCAACTACGAAAACAATTACTTTCGGTGTGTAACTAAAATAACTGACTTCTACGACTTCGAAATGAAAAAAGAAATCAGTAAAAATTAAAAATGAAGATTTTGTGAAAACGAAACAGTTGCAGGCTCAAATCACGAATTGGACATATTTTGTTCTCTTTTTTATCCATCAGTAGTATTATCCAACCTCGTGATGAAAGCTGAACACTTGGGACAAGATCCGTCGAAACAATGGAAGGCGCAAGTTTGCCGGACACACTTGTTGATCTGCAGGATGTCCATATTTGAGTCGGCGACGCATTTTGTGGCACAGCCGATGAGTTCTGGACACTCTCCTGCAATTTGAAGATATCGAGTTTTAAATTAAGTGACTGAAAATATTGAAAAAAGTGACAAGTAGCTCATTACCCGATAAGAAGCTAACAAGAATCTTCGAGAAAAATTCTTTAAAAAAGTCCAAAAATTCAACATTTTTATTAAAGAAGAACAGGTTTATTTATGCTGCATTTTAGCTTTTATGTGCCATTTTTGCCTCCTATCCCATTTTTCGACCTTTCCAAAGTTTTTACAAGTTCAGCACCACACCTCAAAAAATATTAACTACTACAGTTTTTAATTTTTTTCTCAGCTTTTTGCTCCGGTCATCTCCAAAAGTCCAAGGTTTTTGATATGAAGCTGTTTATTTTACTTATCTTGAAAAATCTATGAAGATTAGAAGAAAAATAACCGATTACCGTCAGTTGGACTGTCTCCACTGAGAATGTCGACGATTTGAAGCTTGGAATTGAGGCAAAGAGGACAGTCGTTGCACTCGTCCTGACAGCCCGAAGTGAATATACAGCCATAATCTGTCGACTGAAATCTTCTTTTTTCGACATTTTCGTGGATTGAGGCAGAGAGACCTTATCGATATCGTCGTACATTTGCGCCGAGACGCTCTTGTTGGTCATTTGCTCCTTCAGAAGAGGGAGCTGAAAAAGTTTTGAAGCTATCAAATGCAAGAAAAATTTATTTTTTTTCATGTTTTCAGACCGTTTTCTCAAACTCTCATATATTCCTGAAACTAACATTGACACAGTCCTTCTGAATCGAGCAGGAAAGAAGCTCTCGACATTGTCGATTCAAGGTCGAAGCCTCTGTCGAGCAAAGTAACGCTGCCAATGTTATCAGCCACCACGAGATCATTTTGTCACTTTTGGCTGGAAAGACTGATCTTTGTGATAGTTTTTGATATGATGTGAGGCAAAAAAGAGCGTACTGATCTCATCATATTAAAGAAAATGAATGGATTTGTTTTTACATTACTGTCTACTTCAGACAGCGAAATCTTATCGGAATCATTGCCACAGAAAATTCTGAAGATAATTTTTTAAATTCAACTTCTCAAAAAATTGATAATTCTCACTTGATCTCTCTGCTTCAGGACACGCTTACGATACCTGATAAATACTGTTGAGATAAGATAAAAGATAAAGTTTTAAACGGAACACTGACGTACAGGACATGCTTACAAATGTTTGAAAAAACAAGCGATAAGAGTCGCGGAAACGATAATAAAATTTGGACCACACTGTACCGCCATTTCCCACGACGATATCAGCGAGTCGAACTGAAAGTTCAAATAGAGTGAATCGAGACGATCTACAGTCTGTAGGAGCAAGAGTCTGGGTCTCATCAAAACACAAGAAAATCGAGAAAAACTTTTCGGAAAAAAAGAAACTGTCATCAATGATTTTTGTTTCCAAACTTGGAAAAACTATTATTTGGTTCAAAAAAGTCCTTTTTCCCTTATACAGTCAAAGAAGCTCGTGAAGTATAATAGTTAGTTATTTTATTATACAGAGATTTATCGATTTCTCTCATATTAACTTTTTTGTTAAAGGTAAAAATGAACTTATTCACTGAAAAAAACGAAAAACCGATATTTTGATATTTTTTGGCCTGTAAATACTATGAACGAACAGAAGATCTCGAAATCGTGGTTCCAAAGTTCTAAAAAAGATGTTAAGCTTCACTCTAAGCGTTTCGAAATACTCTGACCTGTCTGCCCTCTCCTTCCCCTCCTAGAAAATTGGGAAAAGCCTGTAAACCCTAGAGTATCATTTAGAGATAAAGAGAGCTCAAAAAGGCGAAAAAGTAGCGGCGAATGATATTCAACCAAAAAAATATTCAATTTTCATTGCTGGCATCAGTCTCACGATAAAAGGTTCGAATTTGATAGAAGAATTAATATAGAATCTAAAAGATTTCAAGTCCGACCTAGCGTGATACGAACCATCTAAATATAAGTGCTGACTTTGGCGCTCAAAAATGTCGAGCGAAACTCTACTGACGAACTGAAATCTCTTCAAATGAGAAAAATAAAAAGAAGACGTGGTCCGTGGCAGCGACGGCGAAGATCCTTTGACAACGTCGCCACGGCGGAACTGGATCCGCCCATCTTGCGTGTTGTTTGGCCAAAAATCGACGTCGACCGTCAATTTTGAGACCACGAGACGCCGTTTTTTGACCCTCGACCCGGCGGAAATATGTGATGATCAGTCGAAAAAAGAAATCCTTGAAGAAGAAAATTATTGATAGGAAGACGGATTGTTTCATGGAAATTAAACTCAGTGTGACTTGAAATTCTTGGGAGAACTGGAAGGGCTGAGCTGAGCGATGAAGTTGCGCTTTAAAATTTTCAGATAAACTTGAATTTTTTGGATATGCTCAAGCTGAGGTCTTTTGAAACATTTAAAATATTCGGCATTTTCACAGATTTTTCGGTAAAAATTTTTCAAAATAGCAAAACTTTTTTCTGTTCTGAACATTTTGAAAAAATGAGTTCAAAAATTCTATTCAGCCTTGAATTTTTCAACTTCGATAGTTTTTCTTACTCTCATAAATATTCTTTATGACTATTTTTCCAAGCTAAAGATTTCTTTATTGAAATGTCATCTGTCACATCTTCCGCCTCACGTTAAAAAACTCCTAACCTAATTTTTCATAATGACTCATTTTTCCCGAAAAAAACACTCCAACAGTTTCAGAAACAATCCAACAAACCGAGAACAATATCACAAGACCTGAAATTCGAACTGTTCCCTTTTTTCCTGATCATCGAACGTCTTCTCGTCTACTGCAAACAGACAAAAAGAAACTGATCTTCCTCTGACCGAAAATCAATAAATATTCGAAAAAAATAGCCGCCGAAAAGAGAGGACGGATGCGGGTTTTTGGAAAATCTTGATGTCGGACCAGGAAAGGAAAACGTTGCGTTGCGATGCCAAGACCCGTTTATTATCCAACAGAATAACTATAAAACAAGGACATAAAAACCAAAAAATGCAACAAGGAAAGAAAAAAACTACACTGTGCGGAAACCAAAAGATCATTGGGGCAGAATTCGCAACGTTCGATCTTCTGAACACTAAAAGAGAAAGCTCGAACTTTCAGAAACCCCAGAACTTTAACATAGATTTTTTCATTCAAACTTATGAATTTTAGTAAGAGGAGATTCTTGAGGAAGAACGTGAGAAAAATCCTTGATTATTCCTTGAAATTCGCCAAAAACTATTTTCTCCTCTTTTATTGTCAAACTGATGAATACCAGGAATTTCTAACGGAGAAACTTTTCCAGAAACATATCGCCAAATCAATAAGTTTTCTAAACTTTTGGTGTAATTTTTTTGAGAAAGCTTTTGCTCATTTTGGGCTCTAGTGAGCCATATAAAGTTTATGTCCGACAAATCCAGTCATGATCGTTTCCTATCTGAAAATATATATTAGACTTACTCAGGGCTTTTCTATATCCTAGATTTTCTAATATTCTGATAGACTGTTGTTCCACAAAAATCTCATTTTTTAGTCCAATTCCAATTCGTTTCTCCTTTTTTGAGTACAAAAAGGTCTTAGAACTCTTCTCAACGACAGTTTCGTTCAAACGCCGCCTCTTCAGGAATTAGTGACGAGACGGAGCAACTGAGATAAGAAGTTTTGGTATAAAACTGGCAAACAGGGAACAAAGAGTGTCAATTTCTAGCACGCGGCAGTTGATTTTTCAAACATGCAGAGCTTTTTCGCAGCCCTCTGTCTTGGTAAGACTTTTTGAGAAAATTGTAGTTTTTGCTGTTTGAAGAAAAAAACTATTGTTTTTCAAATTGATAAGCTTCAGTTAGCCTCTCTACTTCTTTATGTGAGCCTGACAATCAGAAAAACTAAAACTGTGGTTATTCTCCTCAAGGCTACCATTTTTTGAACAAAAAATCGTTCCTGGAAAAATCAAATTAAGACGTTTCAAAGATACTCCCATAAGAATGAGTGGAAATGAAGTCCTATCTTTCAAACTGGTTCAATTGAATAATTCCAGCGGCCGTTCTCGCCATTGGCTCAGCTCAATCCGACAGTTGTGATGCCAGCTCTATTCAGGTAGTTTTTCAAGCGAAAATTCAAGTTCAATGAAAACTTTCTCTCACGTGTGCCAAACGACAGGAGCCCGATCAGAATTTTTTATCAGAGCCACTCGGTATGATAAGAAGAGAGAGAAGAAAAGAGAAGCTAGCCAAATGTCTAACTGATAAGCTTCCATTTGACAATAAAGCATGCAAATAAAATAACTCGACTCGAAATCAGAAAAAATAAATGAAACATGCGAGATGAAAAATAACGCTTTGAAATATTTAAAAAATGCAGATTTTTTTTCTTTCAAAAGCTTCAAAATTTCCTAGTCTGAACTATTCAATTTAGATCTACTCAATGTGCTTAGGAACGCCAGATTGGTTTTTTAGGAGTAAAATTCAATCGGTCTCTATAGGGGTTTAGAGTCTGACCCCTAAGTCCCTTGAGCTCAAGTGGTCTTTATAGGGTTTTTATCTTGCGTTTTAGTTTAATCTGAAAAATTAAACCTACAAATGAACATCTAATTCAATTTCCATAGAGCATTCATCTCCATAGAACCAAGAAAGTAGATAGGAGATAATTAAATTTGTCTAGGCCATCACCAAATGCTACCAAACATACCTGTCCGGCTACAACTTCACAATGACGGATACACTTCCCGAGTACTGGTCGTTCCACAACCGCCGCGCTCAATGGCTCAACGACTACGGCCTTCACGTTCAGCCGCAGATTTGCCTGTGAGAACCCTTTTTTCCGATGGTTATCCATGGAACTCACATTCAGGCTCGGCAACACGCTCGTCAGCTGTCTGCAGCCGTACCAATGCCTCGGTCCCAACGCCTACTTGCAGATGAACGCCTTCAACCTCACCCAGGCTCAAGATTACTACATCGACCTCGCTGTCACGACCTACCAGTGCGGAGCTGGCTACAACAGTGAGCGAGGATTTCTTTTTGGTTTGAGATAACGAACTTTTTCAGTCGGTAACCAGGAGTTCTACTGCCTGGCGTTCTGCCGCGAACGTTACCAGAGCGACCTCGACGCCTGCTCCACGCAGATGCAGAACACCATTGCCCAAGGTGGCAACCCGTGCACGTTAGTCACTTTCCTTCATTCTCATCAACACTTATCTTTTTTTCTAATAATTGGATTTCATTTTTTTTTCTCTCGAGAAAAGCACACTTTCGTTAGAAGCTATGATTTTCTGACTTTTTCAGAGCCACCCAACAATTCCTCAACTGCCAATCCAACATCATGAAAGGATGCTGCGACTGGAACGCCGGCGTTTACATTTGCAACGTTGATCTTGTCGGTGGGTTAGGCCGGAAAATGGTTTTCGAGTATTTACCGCTTCAACATAATCTTGAACTACTGTATAAAATGACCAAAACTTTTCTCGAAGTCCCACAAAATCATTACTTAGTACATTTGGAATTTGCAGTTCAACGTACTTTTGGATTTACTGATTGACATAATTATATAGAAATGATAATTATAGAGTACTATCTTCAAAGTTATCGGATCGCCTTAAAAGCCGTGACTTATTTTTAATGAACGTTCTAGAAAAAAAAATCTCGATCAGTCTATATAAAAGTTAAAGCCTTTCTTCACTATATACATTTTTAGTATTAGTATCGAGACGAAAGCTTCTCTCAGATTACACTTCTGCGCCTTTAAAATTCCCATGAATCAATTTTGAACAGGAAAAAAGATAACAAATCCAGGGAAAATCATAAAATGGAAACATTTCTTTCAAGCCTAGAAACACATAATACTCCCGAATCAGAAGTTCTTTTTATCACAAAACCGCTACTGGATCCAGTTCTCAGAACTTGTTGGATGTTACAGGAGTGAACGCCGTGTCGCCGCAATGCTCCAACGCGGGACTTCTGTCGTGTCCGCCGCCGCGAACTCTGGCGGAAATGGCGGCGATCGCCCAGGCCGAAATTCGCGCTGCTCGCCACGCATAATCCCACTTTTCGATATGAGATGTTTCATTTGCAATATGAAGAATAACAATGTAAAGTGGAATAACAATGAAAAATCAACAAATAAAACAAAAAAAGGTCACAAACGGGTTCAGTCCTCGTCGCTGTAGTTGTTGTCGTCGATCTGATCGTCTTCCATTTCCATCTCCTCTTCTTCTTTCATTTCCTGAAAGATATATTTTCGGAGGGAATCGGATTAATTTGAAATAGTTCTGAAAACTCTTTATAAAACGAAATGCCTGCGTTAAACTTAACTTGTTATATGTTAATTATTATAAAAATTATTACAAGTGGAACTAAACCCATTCTTAAATTACCAATTCGCTGATCGTTTTTTTCATTTAAGAAGTTATAGGCATGGAAAGGATAGGGAAAGTTGAGAAATTTGAAAAAAGAAACAACTTATACATATATGAAGATTTGTGATAGTCATTTTATATAACGCGCGCCGTTTCGAGTCTTATAAATGGACGACTCTTCATTAGAATGTTCCATCATGGCTTAAGAACTCCAGAGGGGTTCCTATAGGGGAATGCCCATTCAATCTAAACGGTGCTTGTGAAAAAGAGAAATTAGGGTTTGAAAAATTATAGAAATAGATAACAATTATAGAAAATCTGTAAAGATCTTCATTAAAATGGCTTGTGCGTTCCGAGTTTTGTAAAAAAAAGAAGATAAATCTGAAAAATTACTAATACAGTTTTTTTCTTTTAAAGTTTCGGCTGAACTTAATATTATTTATTTTTTTGTTTATATCATTAGGGTTATAGCCTCAAACCTCTAGAAAACCTTCTTGAAATATGTCTAACCTACTAGATTATATCGTGTTCAAAAATTACCGCTAGAGAGCAGAATGCACAAATTCGATAGAGCATAATAGAAGAAAAGCAGCTTTTCGTTGAATTGGAGGCTATTTGAGAATTTAAAGACAATAAAAACATGAATGTTCCTTCGAATCGAGATATTTTTCTTCGACAGAAATACAACCTTCCATTCTGTTTGTTTTCTAGTACATTTCTCAACTCATCTCCCATTTTAGTTTTAAATACTCCATGTTTTTCAAAAAATTTTCTTCGAAAACCTATACTAGAATTTCATAATATTTAAAAGATACCTTCTTAGCAGCGGCTTGATCTCTTTCTGCGTACTTGTTCACATCAAAATTCTTTCCGCTGAACCGCTCTCTAGCCTGAAATTGTTTCTCAACTTTTTCGAAGTTCGAATTACGGAAAACTAACCTGCCGTCGTTCTTTACTCGACAACTTCTTTTTCAATTCCTCGGACATGGTATTCTGACGATCTGCGACGGCGTTGAATAATTGGACAACTCCTCTGTGAAAATTTCTTTTCAGAACTTCTATTTAATCAGAACTAACTTCGTGGCGATTCTCCTCAAAATTCGCTCCTTTTCTCGATCCGTAGTAATATCAGGCTTGACTAAAGCAAGTTTCACTCTATTAGCCTTTATTTTTCTCTTTTCTCGAGTCTCTCGCTTTGTCAACTTCTTCACTTTTGTTCTTATCTTCTGAAGGTTAAACTTATCCATTGAAATAAAATAATCAAACCTTTGGCAGGGAAGGAAAAGAAACGACTTCATTTGGGTCAGTCGAAGTAGTTGGGCGCAGAGCGACCGTGTCGTCATCTTAATACAAAACGAGTTTCAAAAATATTCAGAGAAAATAAATTGTAAAGTAATAATTTAAATCACCGTATTCGTCTTCATACTCGTTGTCGTCCTCATCTGATCCTTGAGAAATTTGAATTTTCCCACTACCTCTCAGCGTCATTCTCAATAACTTTAATACAAATGAATCATTCGAATTAGGTATTTAAAAACAGATTAAAACAAGCAACAAAAAAACCGAAATTTCCAAAAGTGGTGAAAAGTAGAAACTGTGCCCCAGTGGACAACTTTACCGATGAAGTAGTCCCTCAAGAGCTAGAATTTAAAAATTTTCGAATTCATTTTTTTCAGTTTTCCATTTTCGCGATGTTTACTTGTAAATCCGCTTTATTTTAAAGGAATTTATTGTTTTAATAGATGCAATCCAAGTATATATTTTTCAGACCGCTCTCAAGTTCACCTTACAGCAGCGCAGAATGGTTGGTTTTAAACCATTATTCTTATTGAACTTTTCCCCTTTGAATTTCTTTTTAATGAGTGAATTTTCAGGCTCGTAATGCTGAGAAGGCGATGACAGCGTTGGCCCGATGGAGGCGGATGAAAGAAGAAGAAGAACGGGTTGGTTTTTTAGTTTTTTTTTTCCTGAAAATTGTCTTCTTTTTTTTTCGTTTTTGTTACGTATTCCATTTTAGGGACCTCTCGCGAAAAGACCACATGACGTGAAGGAGTGTCGCAGCTTGGAAGACGCTGAAAGATTCCGTTCAGATGTGATATCATTCAATTCTTTTCAAAAAAAAAAAAAAAAAAATTGTCCAGATCACGCGAGAAGCTTCGAAGAAAATTGCGGCGATCCAGAATCCTGGTCTTGGAGAGTTCAAACTGCGAGATCTCAACGACGAAATAAACAAATTACTCAAACTAAAGTTAACATGGGAAGGTCGAATAAAAGAGTTAGGCGGGACAGATTACAGGTAATGAAAAGGTAAATTTATTCAATAACTGTTTTAATCTCACAGAAAATATGCTTCAAAAGAGTTAGATGCTCAAGGAAGAGAGGTGAGGTCAGCGCGAGGGTACAAGTATTTTGGAGCAGCCAAAGACCTTCCCGGCGTTCGAGAACTTTTCGAAAAGAGTAATGAGCAGGAGGTAAATAAAATAGATAAAAGGGCTACTCTGAAAATGAAAGTTCAGGTTCTTCGAAAAAACAGAGCAGAACTGATGAAAGATATCGACGCCCATTATTTCGGATACTTGGATGATGACGACGGGGTCTTGATTCCATTAGAAAGTGCAGTCGAAAAAGAAGCTATCGCCAAAATCGAACAGGTAGGCCTTTGGTTTGAAAGGGGAATCGCTTGGGGAAAAATAACTCATCTTTTTGATCCAAACGTATAGTCGAATTGGAACTATTTTCTCATTTGTTTTTTGACATGACGATGCGAGCGCAATCGAAGTTTGTTGTTTTTAAGCGGAAAGTAAGTATTATTTGAAACGAAACTCAAAAATTCAAACTTTGTAGTAAGTTATAATTGTTTTATTAAAATTCTCATCTTTTGACAACAAAAAATTTTTCAAAAACTTTCAAAAAATCACAGGTGGATGCTTTTTTGAAAAATTCATATGATTCAAAGCATTTCACAATCTCAGAAGCCAGGAAAACATTTCTTTTCACTCATCATTTAGAGAAATGTCACTCAGAAACTTATTCTGAATTCGAATGACCACTCTAAAAAAACTGCAAAAATTTATAAGGAACTTTAGGATTTCGAAGAGAAAGGAGGCGAAACGGCTGCGAGGCAATCCGCCAAAGGTTACGAGGATATTTACAAAATTGAAGACGTAAGACATTTTTCTTTAATTCATACAGATATTTTCATTTGTAGGATGGTCAGGAGGACTTGGAATCACACGAGACGAAGGTGGTCGGCGACGACGGCCGGCCGATGACAATCCGCCACGTTTTGGTAGGTTTTACTTCATTTTCTTCATTTCTCGAGTTTCTTTTCAGATCCCCTCGCAGCAAGACATCGAAGAAGTGCTACTGGAGCAGAAAAAGCAGGAACTCCTTTTCAAATACGTTTGATTTTTCATACTTATTTTCATTGTTTCTTGTTGATACTTTGTTTGAAAACCTCAAAACTGTTGGTCTCTCCGCTGTGTAAATTATTTTTATTTATCAAATATTCTTTACAAACCGAGGCACCTGATTTCTCGCATATGTATTTTTGATTCTGTGATGACAAGGTTGTGGTTATTCTTGTTTCTAAAGTGGAAAAGCGAGTTCAGACGAGCAAGACAAAGTTTGGAACATATAAACTTTGGAAATCTTTTCATATATTTCGCAGAGAAAACATGAGGAAAACTTTTTTTTCTCTCCAATTGGTCAGGTATAGCTTTAATGCTATTTGAATATGAAAAAAATTATTGAAAACGACTTTTCTGATTTAAAAAAAAGTTTCGACACCAAATACTGTCTTCCGCTTGATTTTTGCTCTATAGCACGACGTCTTCTTATTTCTTTGAAAAATTCATATTAGGATTTTTTTTTTCCCAGGTTTTGATCTTCGCAGCAAATACTGTCGCTTCGTCCATTTCCCTGATTATCGTAAATGCCTATTTTTAGTGACCTTCTTAACTTCTTTTTCTTGTACCCTAATCAAAAATTTTCTTTCACGCTTGTCTGAGCTCATCTGTTCCACTTATAAAACCACAAACAATGAGAGAAGGACGGTGAAAATGGGGAGCGTTTTGAAAGAAATGACGGGGGAATGGTTGCAAAAGTCCTTTTCGGAGCAAAGGCACATTTTTTCGCCAGAGACGAGGTCCGTCCGACAACCTTCCGGTGTGTAGGCGTGTATCAGTGAATCGTGTGGCAGGCAAGTCATCGCCGTTTTTGCGCCTTTATCCGTCGATGGCCTGGAATTCGCTAGATTTTTGAAGTAAACACACGAACATATCAAGATATCAGGGTGCGGAAAAAGATTAGGAATTGTCCATTAAGAAAAAAATCTTTAATGAGGAGATTATGTTCAAACTAATAGACCGCTTTTATTTGAAATCTCTCATACTATTTATAATTCATTCTTGAACTTTTTTTCTAGAATTGTTACAAAAATCGATGAGGAAACTTCACTAGTGAACATTATGAACAGAAGAAGTTTGTTCTAAAAATCTTTTAGCGCCTTACTTTAAAAAAAAAATTGAAAAAAAAAACTTTACAATGGATTTTTTTTCTGAAAGCTGATATAGAAAAAGCGAACGCCAAATTTGAAGTTTCTTTTTTTAACCTATTACCGAGCCCATCCAATAGTTCGAAATTACTTTTTCTTCTCACTAATTCAAGTCGAGTAATTCAATCCGCTATAGTCGGACTACTCGAAGCAATTGGAGTAAAGATGTTTTGATATTTCTAACGAGAAAGGGTCTATTCCTTGCGTTTTTGCATATTCGAACGAGACTTTTCCTTCTTTCTCTTTTTGCCCACTGCATCTCAATGTGCCTGGAATTGACAAGAATCCCAAATGAGCCTCCGTCGGCCGGAGTATTTGTCAAATGCAGGCAGGTATTCAATAGTACGATTGGCGATAGGTTTCATTCAGTTCAAGGACTACTACTTCAAAAACAGCTGTTTTCGGAAAAGAAAGAAGAAAGTGAATGACAATAAAAAGATAAAAACGATTTCTTCTTGGTAGAAATCAGATATGGAAAAAATTGTATCTCTTGAAAAAATTAACTTTTTTATCTCCAACTTGTAGTAATGTTTAGCAAAAAAATTAAAAAAACTCCTGAAATCCAGCCCAAGAAGTCCTTCACAGGCGCTCTTATCCATTTTTTTGATAGTTTAAAGATTTCCTTTTTTTAACAAGATTTTTCAGTTAATTTAACGCTTCATCTTTAACTTATTAAGTTCAGGGTTAAACTTTTTTTCAGAATGGAAAAATCAAGTTATTTCACCTTCTTTTTTTCTTCTTATTTAGACCTGCGAAAACTAGGCAGATGATTGATTTTAATTTTTGAAAAATAGTCGAAATCGATGAGCTAGGCCCTGAAGACAAATTCTCTAATAAAAATGAAACAGTAAACTTTTCTCAAGTATCCATAAAAAATCTGTTTTTCCAAGTTTTCCAATTTCATATAAACTCATGAAAAAAACCTCTGAACCCTGAGACAGGCGGCTCCTTCACACAAGGCGCACGTCTCCAACGAGTCGCAGTCGTTGCCGTCGAGGCACCACATCCCCGAAACCACTGAAAAGTTTCGGCTTCTGATTGGTCATTCGACTCGTTTAGCAACTGCATATTCAATCGTCGCCTCTCCCCAGATAATGCAAGTGCAAAGGGATGCGCTCGATTGCGAAAATGAATGGAGATGAAAAGGCGTCGCGATGAAAAGTTTGATGGATTGCAAGGCGTATCGTCATGAATATTTGAATTTGGCGCGCATCCACATCGATTGAAAAAACAAAAACATTGACTAAGAGGTTTTTCGGAACCGAAGGTTAAAGTATTGAAATATTATTCAAATTAAACTCTCCATCAACTTGATACTCATTCCAGTAAGTCATCACGACTTGAAATTTTCTGTTCGCATGTGGCTCAATGCGTAACGGCTGCGAAGCGGTCTGACCAAGAACGACTGGAATCGGGAAGTTTCACAGCAAGCTGTTGAATTTAAAGCCATCTGTAGACTCTATTCTAACCGCAACGCTTCGAGCCATTCCAAACGCGACCACGAAGTTTAAGAGAAGAAAGTTAACTGAATTTTCGAACATTGTCCCATCAAAAATGAACTTTTAAATAATTTTAAAGAATCTCCAGATAACATAAATGCAATTGAACTAAAAAAGCCGTATTTTTTAAAAAACTTTTTTCTTTCTCCTAGATATCAACAAACTAACTCTGATTACAAGTGATCGAGAAGAAAATGAGGAGGCCGAGGCTCATCGGAGCATACTTGGCTCCAACCGATTTTTCGAAGCTTCAAGGCCAGCTCCCCTGCTGACGCCTCTTCAGGTGTTGAAATGTGGCCTGGAAAAGTTCGAAAAATTTTAAAATTGGCGATGGAGCGCAAAAACGCAAGAAAAAACTGCCATTTTTGTTGGATAACTATATATTTTTTTGATAGCAAAATCAGTTTCAAAATAACAAAAAAACATGAAATAGCAAAAATCGTCCATGGAGCGAAACTGTATGAAAATGTTCATTCAAACCATGAATTTTTGAAGAAAAACATTTTTGTTGAACTTTTCAAAAATAATAGCTCTGTCCGTGGGTATCATGTCATAAAATGCCCTATACCATTCCGAGATGAACAATTGAATGAAAAAAAGAGATTTCAAAGTAGAAAAGTGTTGCGTAGGTGCCAAAAACCGCTAGCCGAGGAGGACTATTAGAGGGCACTTGAAAAGGCGTTCAGCCCAGAAGCAAAAGCCCAAATTTCAAAAGGGCGGCAATTATATTCCTGTGCGTTCGACGCCATTCGACGGAGCCGACAAACCGGCAATTCGCCTTTCGGAAACATCATGAAACAATGAACGGCCGACTTTCAAGCTTTTTAGTTTTCCAGGTGAAGCTTTTCTTTGGCTGAGAAGTACAGGTGTGTGAGAAAGAAAGAAAGGGAAACTGTGGAAAATGAGACTAGAAATAATGGAATAATGAAATTAACGAAATGTTGAAACATGAAAAAACTTCTGAAAATCATCTCTACTGAACTTGGAAGTGAAAATGAACATTTTTTCGCCATTATTCTAGAAATCTATTTGATTTCTGAAAAGTCAAGTCATGGATTATCCATAGATCGCAGTTTTCTATTTATTTCCTCATCTTTTTTTTGGTACTCGAACTTGGGAAGATTCCACAGCAGTATTTATTTTACGAAAAATCAACTTCCTAGAGTTTATCCGTAAAAATAGGGATAAAATCAGTTTCCCAATCGTAATTTCTCCTTTAAAAAAATCCAAAAAACAAGCTTGAAACTTTCATAAAAATTTTGCCAGTAATCTCTCAGTTGTTCGAGTGGATCTCAACTGATGCGATTAGCTTACATTTTTTCCAGCTCCAGAACGCTTTTCCAGGAAATAAAAATAAAGATTCGTGCGAGCCGGGAATTAGCGCCGCTTTCTTAACAACAGCAAAAATTCATTCATCAAGAATTATATAGAAAAAAAAACAACCTTTTCCCAAAACAATAAAATATTAATTGGCGAAAAGCACGCAGTTTTCGCGTTTTTAACATTTGAAGAAAGGAAGAATTGAAAAAAGTTTTGAAAGAAAAATCGGGTGCATGAATGGCTGGTCTATTTTTTTCTGTAATCATCAGAATTTTTTCGAAAAATGTCTATTGAATTGTTTAACTGACTGAAATCTAGTTGTTTGAGCGCCAAATAGGGGCTTTGAAATCGGTTTGAAAATTCCATAAAGCACCTGCTTCTAGGAAGGAAATTCGTGTCAAGATCTAGGTGTTCTAAAGAACTAGTATAGCCCAATCAGTTTAATATTTACTTCGATAATTGAACAAAATTTTTTTTTGTATATTACAGTAAACGAGTTTTATTTCATTAAACCGTAAATTAATGAAGTTGAAAGTCAATGAAAATTCCAAAAAATGGACCTCTGATGGAAAATTTCCATATCGTAAGAGCTGACCAGGGAATGGTCTCAGCTCACAGTGGGACTTCTGAATGAGACCAGTTTTATTAGATGTAGTTTTTCACGCTGATTCCAAATCTGCTTTCAAAAGTTGTCCAATACGTCTGTGAAAAAAGTTATGGACCCTCAAAAGAAACAGCAAAATTGGTCTCATTCAGAAGTCCCACTGTGAGCTGAGACCATTCCCTGGTGAGATAGCGGTTCTTCTGTATTTTTTTGAAGTTTTTTTAAAAAAATAATTATAAGATTAATAGCCAGTAGAAAAAAAAGAATAAAACTGGTTACAAAAAAATTGTAAATTATTGAAAATCTGCGTATAGATGAAAAGTTCTTCAAATTAGAAAAAAAGAAAATATCGAAACAGACGCGCAGAAAATTTTGAGAAAAAAAAACCAACTAAAAAAAACTCAAGCCATACATGTCTCGCGCGATTTCCGTCAGGATTTTTTGAAAAATATCACGAATCTCCAAGGAACCTCGCTAACTAATTAATTATTGAGATAACGAGAAATCGGCTAGTCGTCGACATGACGACTCTGCGTTACGAAACACGGAAAAACGCCCAAAAACAGAGAAAAATGTGGGCGGAGTCGCCGTGTTTTAATACTAAATGTCTGTGGCGTATCATGTCCTTTTCAAAATTTCATCTTTTTGCACATTACTTGGGAGATTTGAAAGGTTCCTAATGAACCCCTTCTGACAATGGGTAGGTGAAAAAGATTGTAGGACCCTATAAGAAAAACTCATTCGTACAGCTGAAAAGAAAATTTGGATGTGAATGTATATTCGTAGAATTCAACCTGGCTGAACCTACTTTCCAGAAATTTTGTTGGAGTATATTTTTGATTGTTCTAAAGATGATAATTAACATAAGAAAAAAAAAACGCCGAAATTTAAAGGATTTTGTAGAAATTGAAATAAGTATAGTTCTTATGAAGTCCTCAAAAAAAACCATGGAAAAAATTATAAATAAAAATGCTAACAATAATTTTGCGCTTCTTGAGTATAATATTTTACTTCAAAGAAAAAGCAGTTTGTTTGAAAAAGATCAGAGTGAAACTGTTAGAAAAAAAACAAGATTTATGTACGTGAAGAAACCGAGAACTCGGAGAAAATCTAGAAACCAATCGTTAAAAAAGTGGACGTCGAAAAACTGGAACCTAATTTTTAAATGGAAAATTACAACTTTCAATAATTCTTCTTCTGAATTGCGTGGAAAATAACCAACAATTTCATACTTATTTTAAAAAAAAGTAATGAAAATAGACGAGTAAAAAAAGCGTTGTTGAATGAGATATGACAATTGTTTCTTTTTGAAAGACTCGAAGAAGGTCCCCCCAGAGACGGCGGCTCGGATTTCCAGTCGCCGAGTACTTCTTCGTAATTCAATTCAACTCTGTTCCTTTTCAACACGTTTTGGCCGAGATTAATTAACTGCGATGGAAGGAAATCGTCGCGGAAAAGAGCACGAGAAAAATTCAAGAGAGCGGAAAAAAAATGGGCGGTGCGCTGCAGGTGAGTTTGTTGAATTATTCTGTCTTTGCATAAAGTTACTCGACTTTTGGGAGAGTTCAATAGGAAGCCAGAGTTTGAATGAGTATTACGTGGTACTCAGAGCCAAGTTAATGAAGATCGGCTCCAAGAAAATCCAGAGACACAAAAAGGCTTCAATCCTGAGGAAAACTTTCAGTGGTCCCTTTAGGCTTTTGACGTTTCAGTGGCCGTTATAGTGGTCGAATTAGTCGTCACTTGAGTGGCTAAGTCTAGTGGCCTCTTTAGAAGTCTAATTGGTACTTCTCGACCACTAAAACTACTACAGTGGCCGAAAAGACGCAAAACAGCGGCTTCTAAAGAGGGGTTATTAGTGGTCACTTTAGCGTCCTCTTCAAGTAGACCTTTGAGGAACCTCTTAAGTGACGACTAGGGTTTCGCGCAGTCTGTCACAAAATTTTTCCGGATCTAAACGAAGAAAGCTGGAAAAAAAAATTAATGCTTTTCGTTTGAAAACCAAAAAAAAACAAATCAACATTTAGATGAACCTAGAGGCTTTCAAATCGATTTTCTAGATTTCGAAGATAGTGAGAGAAAAAGATTCATCATTTTTTAAGCGGGTTTTGTAACACAAATTTCTGAAATATCATCCACACAGTGTGATGATGATTCTAATAGAAAACTTTACTGCACTGAACATTGAAATCTGATATTTCTAACAGGGAGATCAAATGTCGAGTGTACTGAAACAGTATATTGGAGCCGACAAAAATTATACATATCATTTTTTTAAAACTTCGCTCAGTCAGATTCAATGTGAAAAAATTATTTCAGTTTTTCGATCAGAGGGTGATAGTGGATCGAAGGACTTTTTCACGGCAATAATTCGATTTTTGAAGAAGATTAATTCTTCAAATAGATTTTTTCAAAAATCAACCAGGAAAGGTATCAACGATTCCAAGCTACTCGCATCGACTTGGAGATTATTTTTTCAGATTTTTGAAGGTATCGAAATCAATAGTCAGAAAAACCTCATAGAATGCGACTAAGAACGTGATAAAAGCTGAAAGGAGCAATGGGGTGGCTCAGGAAAAATGACGCCGTGCCGAAGACAACAAGACAAATGGCGACGCCGAGATAATGGTGGGCGAGTCGAAAAAATGTTCGGTTTGTTTCTTTTATTTCTGTGTCCAAAGTCGGGTCCCGTCGCCGGAGGAATTTCCCTTATAACAATGGGCTCGTATTGCGGCACCAAGTTCGATTAATTATGCATTAGCCGCCGTCGAAAGGCCAAACTCCCAATCTTCCCGAGGACACTTGACAACTGATGGCCCCTCCAGTGTCAGTTATGATTTCTTTTCTTTTTGCTTTCTGACTGGACATGAGTTCTTTCGGTCTGGTTGAAAAAACATGAGAGCCGAAAAGCTACAGCTGAGATTTATTTTTTGGATACTAAAAAGTGACAAAATCCTTCATTTTTCGGCTTGAAACGGTTGCATTTTGAGAAAATCATATTCTCCGATTAGAAAATATATAATTTTTCAAATTAATGAAATAATATTTTCCCAAGCTTCAAAGGATGAAAAATTCGATTTCAGCACAGCGTTCCTTTAAAGTTCGAACTGATATCAAAATTATTTTTGATTCCAAAAAAAAAACGGTTCAGGAGAGAACCGAGATGCAGGATTGATTAACGACCGGACTTTTTTCAAGGAGAAACGTTTTCGCAAGTGGAACTTTTGTTTTCAACCAAAGGTGCCCGGTTGATTTGTGGACATGGACAGAAAACTTTACGACGGCAAACGCTCCTAGCAACTAGTCTTTTTTCCACTAATGTCGACGGATCACAAGTTCTTTTACTATGGAAAGGGGCTGGAAACTTTGAGACCTTCTTTCAGCAAAAAAAAACGCTTTGAAAGTAAGACTGAAAAAAAAGTCCGAAATAAGTTAAGAGAAAGTTCGTCCAAGAAAGCTGAGACGGCCGCGTCGCCAATTTCCGGGCCATTTTCCTACTTTCAGCGTTGTTTGGGAAATTAAAACATCAGCGAACTTTGCGAAAATGAAGCTTCTTCCTAGATGATTCGGTGGACCGAAGAAAAAAGACTATTGGGTTTTTGCAATTGGGTAAAATTCCAAGATGTCAAAAAAATAACCCACTCGTCTTCATTTCGGTTCCGCCTTCTTTTTGTGGACCCTACGAAAGGAAAATTTAAACTCAAAATGTCGACCATAGAAATTCACGCGTAGGTAAGCGCAGTTTTTTTTGAACAAAAATGGAAAAAAAAATTTATTCAAAATACAACGTTATGAATAAGGTGTGGATGAAAATATATTGAACCCGTGAAAAAAGACAAAAACGTTGGATGAGAGACCGTTTCAACGTACATGTTCAAAACTAGAGTTTCCACAGGGATAATAGCACGGAATATGGCACAAGGAAATGGAATGAGGGCGAAATATCATTGGACTGTCGAGAAACGCAGAAGTTTCCTTCTTGACGACGTTCTATGCGATCCGGCTGAAAAAAGTTGAAGTTATTAGGATTTTATTCGTTTTAACTTAGAGGAGGTAGTCATGTTTCTCGTGAATTCCGCAGAATGCAGGATTTGAAAATTAAAAACGAAGAGATAACTTTTGCGGTATTTTCGAATTTACTCTCCTAATGAGGTAATCCTTGAAGGCCTAGTCGAAAAATTTTGGTGCAATCACAATGAAAATAATACATCAGCTGAAAAAACTTTGAAAACGAACCTCTGGACAAGGAACACTGGATGTCGTCTCGGATGTCATCCGGACTCATGTCGACGGCTCTGGACGTCCTCCGAGACGTCTGAATGACTCGGAGGTCGTTCTCCGACGACGCCGGCACCAAGGCACGGCTTCGAGGTCTTCTCTTGGCGAAGACCGCCGCGTTTCCTCGACGTGATCTTCTTGCTTAAACCAATCATACAAATGGGAAGCAATCCGTTTTTCCTTTCGCCTCCGTTATAGGAATCAATAAACACTGATTTTTTATTTTTGCCTATTTCGTCTCTCGCGATAAAGCAAGGTGAAGATAAGATACACAGATATTTTTCTTCGAAATTGCCCTACAATATTTTGATTTGTTTCCTCCTTGGCGCTTTGAAGTTCAACAAAGTACCTTCAGCCAAGGAAAAAGGAACTTTTTCGGACGAAAACATGTTGAAAACGCTCTCTATAAAAGCTTTCATGGCAGCCAACTCTGTTTCGCCTTATTTATAGAGTCTAAAAGATCTATCGGACCCTTTTTGGAACAATAGAACAATTTCCTGGTCCCATCATGGGACATTTTCCAGTCTCTAGATTCACAGCCAGATCCACGAAAACTCACATTCAACTTCATCCGGCAAAATTGAGAGTTCCAGAGCTTTTTGAGCTGCCATCGCCGTTGTAAGTGCTACTCCGTTCACCTGAAAAGTTTATAACTTCAGTACAAACTCCAGAAATGTCGAAATCACCCGCTTGCGTTTCTCCAGCCCCAACCAGTGCTTTATTATGCACCGGTATTTGGACGAGAAGATGAGGTAGACGAACATCGAGCTCGACGAGTTTAACGAGATTAGCAGGTTTGATATCTCTACCGACAAGTCGAAATGCTGTTCTCGAAGTAGTTCTTCTGCCGCGTCGTCCTATATGAAGAGAAATTATCAGTTTTCCTTGATTTTTTATTTGAAAAATATAAAATAACTCTAGTTTGCCGTTTTACTTCTAAGTTTGTGTTTTTGCTGGGCGTCATCCTCGAAAATTGATTTCAAAAGCATAAAGTTACCCTGAAGCAAAAAAGTTCTGTGCAAGAAAAAACTAATCTTCAAAATATTGAATAACAATTAAAAAACAGATGTTAACAAAAAGGTAAGTTCGAACCGCCTGAAGGCTGACGGTAGAGTTGGTCGAGGCAACGTGAGCGGCTGCGCCTCGGACGATCTCGTAGATGTTGTTGCAGAAGGCGAGACAGTTGCAGCACAGGAAGATGGCGACGATCGCCAGCAACATCAACGTCACTGAACGGTCTCGCAAGGAGTTTCCGTTCGTCTTGAGCAACGACGGCGTCTTCAGCGGACTGAAATACACGCCTAAAATGTCTTCAGAAAAACTGCTCCTCACTTGAACTTGAGACGGCCAAACTTTCCGAAAAGCTCCGAGTATTTGGCGTCTCTCAGCAGCCGGAAGTTGCTGATCAAGCGTCTGAAAGTCTTTTTTTTTCATGGGATATAGCCGACGTATGACTTCAATCTAATAACACGAAAATCATAATTTTAAAAGGACAGATATCCATCAATTTCCCAGCAAAACTTTTGGAGTTCATAGATCGACAATTTTTAAATCAATCAATCAATCAAATCAACATCTTCGAGTGAAGACTTTACACGGAAATCAGCACAATGAAAACTAACGATTGAGTGTTTTTCTTAGAAGAATGGGCGTTTCGCATCCTCGTGCTGGCTTTCAAAGCGACGACGATCCTCCAATTGACGATGATCAAAGTGATAAAAGGTACCTTTAGAAATTATCCTTTTGACTGAGAAACCAAGAAAATTCTCACCACAAACATGACAAGCGTATAAAGTATACATTTCGTAATGATATTGTAGGAGGCGTCATTTTTCAGCTTCGTTAGCTTGATACTTCTGAAAATAAGTATATTTTAGAGCCCACTTTGGATTTCAAAAACCTAATAGTGTCATGAAAAATCGGAGAATAACACTTGAAAACGTCGAGTTCGAGCCAAGTGTGCAAATTTATCAAAATACTGAATATGACAGAACCTGAAGATGAAAATAAGAACTATTTCACAGTTAGGTCATTTTAAAACTTACCGATAATGGCACATTTGACCGGAGTTCCGGAGACCCATCGTTTGGCTCGAAAAGGATGACACACGCCTAGGTATCTGAAAAAGACTTAGGTTAGCAATTGATTTCCATGGTTTCCAAGCTGAAAGAAGAATATTTTTCTCTTTTCTTAAACTTCCAGTTGACACCCAATAAATTCAAACTTTTCAGCTGACCTATGAACAGAGACGAGAACAGTAAGGTAGACTCCGCAGGTCTGAGTGCTCAATCCAACCGGATAAGAATACCTGAATACCAATTCTTTAAGAGGTTTTCGATCCGAGAGTACCATAAAAACAAGGGATAATAGTCGTGAAGAGCCACGTTGTTGCTCATCGAAGAAATGACTGGGAATATGAGCATGAAGAAGTTACAGACCAAAAGGAGCAAGTCTGATATCGATAGTACCTAGAAATATCCAGTTGATAGACGGCTTTTTGAAGGATTCATCTCAAGTTAAAGTCTACTGTGAATGAATTGCGCATGTATGGTTGCTTTTAGACACTTCCGACCTAAAACGACTTGCGCGCGCAGGCATAAAATGGTTCTAAAGGTTTTTTTTTTAGTTCAAACACTTCAAGCCCACTGTCCTGATTCAATTTCGACGCTCAGAGTCATTCCAAGTGCGACCATGACCTTTTAAATTTTTTCATGTTGAGGATTATAACGTGATTCTTTTTTTTTGAAACCGTGATCTGGAGATCCCCAGTATATCTACAAAATATACTCTCTTTCCGCGTTTCAAAGCTTCTCGCCTCAAATTTTTCTGACTTTTTATTCATCTGGGAAAAAAAATAAAAATCAAAATGGAAACTTTTTATGTGAAAGTGCAGACGAAACATTTATAAAACGCTCGGCTAATCTTCTCTCCTTCTCGTCATGCAGATCACCATTTCAATGCTAATCGCTTCCAAAACATTTATGGGAAAACAAAGAAACTAAAACTATAAGAAAATTGTCGAAAATCGGCTTGCCCTCGTGACATTTTTCAGTTCCGCCTTGGTTGAAAATCCGTGACGCTGCAGACTAATTCGAATCAACAAAATACTAATAAAAATCTTCTGTGACGTTCCGAAAACTTTTGGCAAATAAACAAACAGTGGAGAAAAAAACTTGAAAGAGATTAAAGCACGTGGAAGATTGACGTCTTCGGTCAAAGTGTCTCTGCCTGGCCAATCAGACACGTTCTCGTGATTCTATAGGCCAAAAACTGTTGAGCATTTATCCCATAAACGGATTATCAACCAAGTTTCCATTGTTCATGTTGAGTTATAAAGAGAAAAGAAAGAAAGAATAAACGTTTTGATTGCCTTTTAACAGGGTTTTAGTTTATTCAAGAGCAGATTGACGGGAAAGAACATCAAAAATCAATTTTCGAATGCCTCCCCGAAGATCTGAAATTTTCTTGGCTTTCTTTCAATAAAACTTCGGATTCATCTCTTGTCAAAATTGAGAAAAAGTTCATCAGAACAGTCAATTTTTTTCAAAATTCAACAAAAGTCAACAAAAAAATATAGTTTTGTTTTGCCACGGGGTTAATTTTCGCGTTTAACTCCCTAATCCTACAAAACTCAGGATTTAAGAGTCTATCCATGGAGCGCAAGAGAAAAAGAATCTTTCGTGGCTCTTTTTACACATGTCTTCTGTCTATTCATCCATCACTTGGATAATAAAATCGAACGACGGACCAACAAAAAGTGATTGACGAGTGAGCAGCGCATCTCGGGGTCGCAGAAGACGACGACATTGATGACGTTGGTCAGGAATCCGAAGATGGCGATGGGCATGCCGCCGTAGAGCCGCGACGTCATCTGGATTTCGTTGAAGACGGACGGCTCACACGTCGGCAGGCCAGCAGAAGCCGCCGTCGACATCTCCGCCGTCGAGGCTACGTCTTCGGTTCTGAAAATTCTCAGGTGTAACACTTTCAATGAAAATCCAAGGAGTATCAAAAAAGAAAGAAGTTTCTGAATAGAGGATTTAAGAAAGTAAAGCAAAAAAGAGAGCAAAATTCAAATACTCAACGGAAGCCTTTGGCAAGGGATAATCGATTTATGATTTCTCAATTTATAGGTTTATGCGGTGTTTTACAGGAATTTCATTTTCACCGTAACCAGCTTAACTTTCTTCTTATTATTTGAATCATGGCTTGCATCTTTTTTCATTCTCAACTCTATTCTTTTCAAACTTTCAGATTCTTTTTAGCTTTATCGGAACCCTGACAAAAACCCTCGTTGGCACCTCGGTTTCATCAAAATGTTCTCCTTTTACAAAACTTTCAACGTGTATATATTTCTGTTCGGAAAACTGAGAGATTGAGCATTAAAAACGAAAATTCACGGAATTTTCGAGAGAATGTATTTTTAATCATACCCTTTTTTCCCAGTAGAGCGAAAAGTAGTTCGAAGGATCTGCTAGAGGAAACTTGGAGAAATTTCCAATTTCATACGCAAACGAGCTTTTTCTTCGCACATTGTATCAAAAAGTTGAATGGACATCTTTTGAAAATTCTCTTTTCAGAGAACTTGAAACTTTTAGGAAAGAAACTTGGTCGGCTTTTTTCCGTATGAAAAGACTCGAAAAAACTTTCAGCAGTTGAATTTACTAGCCTTACAAACAGGAACGATTTTTGATATTGATGATTTAATATAAGAAAAAAGAGAAGATGAATTTAACTGAGAAAAAATTTTCCCACGGAAAACTTTGAAAATGACGAGCAATAAATTGATTCCGGAACAAAAATTAAAAAGGAACAACCGCAGATGTGCACATCAAGAAAGCTGATAAGCTGAATAATCATGAGATGAAAGTGAATGAGTGTATTTATTTGAAAATATTGAAAAACGAGTCTATGTCTAGGTCCGGTTGTGAGCATCGAGCTATAGTGGAGTAACTTGGAATAAAAAAGGAAAAAAAATTGAAGACTGAAAGAAAAGAAAATTGGAGATTAGTGAAATATACTACGAATCATGAAATCTGCCCATCATTCAGAACTTTCTCGGAAAAAAAACGATCATGAAAAAACACACTAAATACCTTTTTTCTGGTAATTGAATGAAAAAGAACAACAGAAAACCATTATCTGTCATGCCAAAGAGGAAAATCCAGTCTTTCGAAAATATTCGAAGAAGAGGGAAGTTTGAAGCAAAAAAAAATGACGCATAATATGATTTGCCAAGTTTTACCACGGATAATTTAATAAACTATCGCCTTAAAAAAAGTTGGACTTAAAGATTGGAGGAACCAATTTGAAAAACTTCCTGCAAAGCGAAAAGGACATTTTTTCCAAAGAAATAATCTTCGAAAGTAAAAATGCAAAAGTCCTCTGATCAACTTGAAATATCCTAGGTCATCAAATGAAAATGTGTTTTCAATGTAAAATGATCATGCTCCACTTATGAACGAAAAAAAAACGGAGCAGCAAATCAACTTTCAGCGGTACTTTTCTAAAAAATTCAACTTTAACTCCGACTCTTAGAAACTAAAAGTCAGCGAGGAAATGATCCTTTCGGATTCTTTTGAAACCTTTAAGGATCATACAAGTGGTTTTAACGCATCTTGAACTTTAACTCAAAATGGCAGACACGTTCTACAAGATTTCCGAGTGCCTGAGAATTTCATTCAAAGTCGAAAAAACAAAAGAAGAGAAGAACGGACTTTTCAGGCTCATTATCTTGAATATTCAAAGGCAAAAAAGGAGAAGTCGTTGGCGGGAAGAGTGAGGAAGTAATCGGACAAACGAATACGCAAAGAAGCCTCAGCCGAGCCAAGATTACGAGCTCAACGCGTCTCTTTTACCGTTTAGAGGGAGTTTTAAGGTTTTGGAAGAAATCATTTATCGCAATGGGTCCTTAGCTGGCTTATCTTTCTCAATCAAACTGAGCTCTTTGCGAATAATTGCTGCGGTTTGCATCGAAAAAAGTCCAATTTTTGAAGCTGGCTAGAAAAAAGAAAGAACGGAAAATTTTGCAAAAGGAAACTTAAAAAAAAAACAAAATTCGTGAACAGGGTTTTGAAAGATTTTTTGAAGAAGCTGGCTTCAAAAAAATAGAAATAAAACTAGCTTAAAGCCCGTTTCTACGTAATTCAAAATTAGTTACAAGAGTGACCAGCCACTGAGAAATTTCGAGTAAAGTGAGCAAAAGTTAGATTCAAAAACGTCTTTTTTTGATCTCAGCTTCTCAGAGCTTATAGAAGTTCACAAAGTCACATCAAGTTCTACTTAATACTGAAAAATTGAACTAACAAGAAGAATCAAAAAACAACCAAATTTTTCCTTGTCATCGCTTCCAAAAGCAAGCAAAAAAAAAGTTATAATTTGTATCGATTGCGGGGCAAGTGAGGATTAGCCAAGTCCCGTATCTGGCTAATCTTTTATGTATTCCGAATAGACTTTCCATGGAAATTTGCAGGGGTTTCATGATTATTGAGGGGAGTTAAGGGAGAGAGAAAAGTAACTAGTCTGTTTCAAGAAAAAAGTTTTTTCTAAGCTTCCGACCATTAAAAAAAAAACAAGGAACGGAGTTTTGATGTCGCAAAATCCAGGGGGCGCAATTAACGTTGTAATGGCCTTCTAAGTGGCGGAAAGGCTGATTTAAACGGTTTTCAGAACTAAGGAAGAAGCTCTGAACCATCCAGAAACAGAATATAAAAGTGTTATTCAGCTGAAAATTTTCGAAATCGTTTTAGGTTCAGTCTTACCATTTCGTCCAGTTTTTCGAGTTGCAAATATTGTATTTCAAACCACCCACACTACTGGCAAATAAAAAAAACCAAAATACGCTGAAGTGTGATAAAACATCAAAAAAAAGAAGTTTTTACTTGGAAAAAAGGAAAGTTTTATCAAGGTGCAGATATATAAATCAATAGCAACAAGTAACTAAAAAAATTGAAAACTAATTTTTAACTAATTTTTTCAAACATGATTCGGAAAAAGGCAAGCTGCCAAATGGAATATAAGACGCCTAATACGAATGACGATGCGTTTGGCGCTTATGAAAAGGATAGGAACCGCCCAATTTTTTCTCCGACCTTATAAAGCGAAAGTTTTTTGAATTATAAAAAAATGAAAGAGTTACCGCTTTGAAAACCGAAACTGTAGTCGATTCAGATATTTTTGACGTGAGAAAATAATCTTTCATGTATTCAGAATCAAGTTTTTGTGACTGGAAAAATCCATTTGAGCTTTCTGAATTCCAGAAAATTTGCGTTTTTTTGCTCCTAGCCAAGGGAATCTTCCAGATTAAAAGTCAAACTTCGAAGTTTCATATCTGAAAAAAAAAAAATGGAGACCATGTGTTTTCGATTCAGGGTAAACGTAAGAATTTTTCAGCCAATTTTCACACCCACGCCTGAATGACCTCCCTAGCAAATATTAATTGGAAAAAAAACTCGGTTTACAGTTGACGTTCTTTTTATTTCGAAAGGTCGTGAAAGGAAGGGTGGACTCAATTATCTGCTCCATACACTCGCGCAACGGAAATGACTTTTTTGAATGTTTGATGGCGACATAAAACAAAACACAACAGAAGACAAGGCGATGCAAATTATGAAGGGTTTTCTGTTCTTTTTTCTCGCGTGGGATATTCCATCAGAAGGAATTATTCATACTTGAGAAGAGCATAATTAATGCAGCTTTTTGGCGCATGTGGAAACGCTTTTTTTGATGGTCGAAGCTCGTTTAGAAGCGCCAGTAAATGAAAGAAGTGAAAAGGCAGAGCTTCAGGCCTATAAAAGGTTGTTCGAGAGCTTCGTCGGTACCGTAGTTGGGCTTTTTGGGCTTCGCCTTTCACCGAAACATTTATGAGGAGCTGTCAATCATGAAATTTCGATAAAGGTCAGCTCAACTTCCCTTTTCGATATGAAAATATTATATAACGTTGCAAAACGAGTAAAAAAAACGGAAATTCATATGATTGAGACGATTTTTCTACAATTTTTAATAATATACTTTGGTGTGGTAAATTTTTTTGAGAAAATCAAAGAATACTCCTAGAATGTTGATTTTTTTGTTGTTGTGAAAATACGAAATTGAAAATGTATAATATTAAAAAGGCAGTTTCAAAACGCATTTGTCAAGCACGAAATCGCCTAAAAACTGCTAAAAAGATGCGCAGGCAAGAAATGAGGGAAGAAAACATTATGAGTGATATGACGGCGTCAGTGGATTACGCAAGCCGGAAATCCGAGAAAAAAAACTTCGAAAGACCGCTGGACAAGGGCTTCGACTTTTTTTTTGGCGAGGTCTTTCTGTCTTCAACTGCTCGATGAACTTGGATATAGAGTAAAGCACAACTAAAGGTGAGCCTGACATCCGACCTTTTATTGGTTAAACGAACAAAAATCATGAGAAATATAAAATTTTTTATCAAGTCTTTAAAACTATCCTTCTTCTCCTTTTCATTATAATCCCAGAACTTCAGAAATTTCGGAGACAACCTATGACCTGAAATTCTATGAAAATTCTATCATATTTCGATTTCCTTCACTTATGTAGCTTGGCATCAAAATAAATGGATCACAAGAAAAATTTAAAAATTTTCTTCAAACTCTGAAAAAATAAAGAAAACCAGAACTTTCCCTTACTTATCATCTCAATTACAATAAGAGCATCCAACTTAAAGCCGTAACGATGACAGAACCCCAAAATGAGCGAAGAAAAGTTGTTGTTAGAGGAAACGGGAGCCAATCTGCGTCACAAGAAAATGCCCTCTTCGGCAAAAAGAAAAATAACAACGGTTGATTAAATGTTTGAGGTTTAGGATATCGCCCGGCAAATGGCTTCGGCGACAGGAAAATGAGTTATACCTTCCTTTTTCGGACATAGAGATCATTGTTCAAGAAGGCGTAGCTCAGTGGCTAAGAATCATTTTCAGAGTTCGCGAGGTCGCTGGTTCAAGTCTTCATAGAGGAGACGGTTAAAATGAGGATCTCGATCGCGCGAAAAAGCTCTAAAACCTACCTTTGAGAATTTTAAAGTTACTAGGAAATCTTTAAGAAATGATCAGTGACCACGAGCTATGTTCTTTTTGAGTGAAGTTTGCTCAAGAATTTGATTTCACAGTCCAGCAAAGAAGCAAAAAATGTTCCAAACATCTAATTTCCCACAGATATTTCAAGCTCTGCAAATCAAAAATGAACGCCGAAAAAAAAGTATTTCGAGGAACATCCAATGGAGGTGTAACGAAAAGAAGAAGCACATACTATAGAAGAGGCTTTGCAAAAAATTTAGGATTTGAAGAAATAAAATCCG